GGATGTCGTCGATATAGACTACAACGACTTTTCCTTCTTTGAGATCTTGGAAAATCTGGTCCATCATGGTTTGGAAAGTGGCAGGAGAGTTCATCATTCCGAAATACATAACTACTGGTTCATGGTGTCTGAAAGGAGTTTTGAAGGCTGCCTTCCATTCATCTCCTTTTCGCATTCTAATATTATTGTATCCCCATCGAACGTCCATTTTCGAAAAGAGGCTTGCACCGGTAAGAGAATCGATGAGATCTTGCGATTGGGGAAGAGGGTATGCGTTTCGGACGGTTTTCTCATTTAACCTCCGATAGTCCATGACGGGTCTAAGTTTTCCGTCTTTTTTGGCAACAAAGAAGAAAGGAGCTGCTACTGGGGATTCTGAATCTCGCAGTCTCCCTAATTCATATTCTTGTTTGAGCCACTTCTCACATGCGTCGTGTTCTGCGGGCGAAAGGGGATATGCTTTCGAGTTTGGAGGAAGGTCATTAGGATCCTTGAAGTCTACTTTATGATCCCACTTCTTGGGTTCAGGGAATCTAGTAGATTCTTCTTCGGAGAAGACCTTGAGATAATCATGGAGCCATTCTGGGACCATCTCTTCTACGGACTTCTTTTCCTTCTTCTTTTCCTCTTGTTGAGCTAACTCCGAAACGACTGAGCTTTTGTACTTGATCCACACGTTTCGTGGTGAATCTTCATCTTCGATCTCCTCTATCTCTACTTTTTTAGGAGCACTCGAATCTGAAGGCTGTACTTTGGCTGCAGGGATCGAAGTTTCCATGGTGACTTCATCGTCATCTTCTTCCATGGGTAACAAAGCAGGTAACATGTCCTTCTGCTTTTTTGCCTTGGTCTTTCTCTTCTTGACCTTGGCATCCTCGCATTTGACTGGGCAGCGGTTCAACATCATTTTTCCCGCATTCCAATCTATGTTTGGATTATGATATCGTAGCCAATCTACTCCAATGATAACATCATCGGTTCCTAGATCTGTGATCAGAAAGGCTACTTCTTCTTTGTGATCTCCTATCTTCAGAGTCAAATCTGCGTAGCTTTTGATTGGTCCGGCGGAGTTTTTAGTTCCATCGATATTGCGGATGGGCAGTGCTCGCAGTAACTGCTTGGTTTTGACTTCGTTCTTGTCTACGAACTTTTGGCTTAGAAATAAGTTCGTTGCTCCGCAGTCTACTAGAGCTTCTAATTCTGCTTTTTTGTTTTTTCCCTTCAACGTGATTGGCAAGTAAAAATGATCTCGTTTATTTCCAGAACAAACTTCCGATACTTCCATAAACATGATTGCCAAGTCACTAAGGATAGAAAAACGATTGTTCTGGTCTAAGTTCACAGTCAACTTCGACCTATCTAAAAACCCCATTTCTTGAGGGCTTCGTCTGAAGAGGTTAGGAAGATCCTCTCGTTCATGATGCGTTGGATATCTTCCAGCGTGATGGGCTTCACCGCTGGTTTCTCTTCTTCTTCTTTGACCGCTTTGATAGCAGGTCCCTTGCCTTTGGTATCCATCGGCTGTCCAGTGCAATTACGAGCCATGTGCCCGGGTTTTCCACAACGATAACACTTGAAAGTGTCTCCCGATGTTATGACCCACGTCCCTTAACCTAACTAGTAGGTGTCTGGAGTTGGAATCACACCACAGGACTCAGTCAAAGAGGATAAAGCGAGATGGATTGAGAGGGAACGTCTAGGCCCTACAATGATGTAGAAACGAGGAGGTTAAGTCTAAGGAGTACTACTGACTACTACCTAGACTATATACTACTATTGGGGCGGAGCTATCTGAGTATGAAAGGTATGTGATATAACTATATACGGTCATAACATTGCACCTAGGGTATAGGGCGTCTTATCAACCAATCAACTACAAGAAGAGAAGGGTAAAGGGTTTATAGGGCCAAGGGTATCGGTAATTAAGCAGGGTTCTCAGGGACTGCTTCTATTCAGGGTGAACGGAGATTAAGAAGGGTGTGAGAGAGTTCTGTGACTAGAAGTCTCGAGCGGTAATTAAGGATCTCGATAAGAGATGTGATCGAGATAGGATCTGAGGATCTAGATCTAAGGATCTAGATAGAATCTGGATCTGGAGATGTATCGGGTACGATCGGATCTAAGGGTTCTCCAGGGTCTTCGGTAATGAACATGCTTCTCTATGAGCGATGCTTCTGTGATAGGGATCTAGGGTTTAGCTGTGACTGTGCAACAGGTTCTAATGTAAGGGGTTCGATAAATGACAGAGGTAACTCTTAACGTGTCATGAGAAGTGAAGGTGTGCGATGTGAAGGGATGACTTCTTCGAGAGATAACTCGTAGAGGGCTCTTGGTTATGGTTCGATCATAGAGGCGTATAGACGCTTATGATATAACCCGTTGCCTAATCGTAGGACTTCTAAGGATGTGATGAGTTCGTATGTTTTAGGGTTACGGATAAGATGGATGACGTTGATATAGTATAGATATGATGTAAAGATAGTGATCGTTAATCGGTTATCCATCTTATCTTATCAGGGATCTATCTAATCTAATCTTATCGGATAAGGTGACTTAGGGTTCGATAATCGAATTTTAGATGCAGTTGGTAACATTCATGACACCCGATTTTCCTTGAGGTTGGGGTCCACCTCGTGTCTTTGATGCATCTACGTCCATTGCATCTCCTCCTTGAGAAACTGGTTTGAGAGGGCCTCTTTCAACCCATGGGTGACGTGGTGGTTGCCAGGTCTTCTTTTTCTCATCGTCCAGTTCTTCAAAGTTCATTCCAATGATAAGAGCATGCGAAATCATTCCTTCTAGGGTGCTCTTGTCCCTAGGGTTTACGTGGGCCAACTGATCCCGGATCCGTTGGGATAATGCGAGATGGAACTTGCACATGAGTTCGTAGTCTGAGAAGCGGCAGTGGGCGATCTTCTGTCTGAAGAGAGAGACGAATTCCGTGATGTTGCGGTTTCCTTGCTGGAGATGATCTATCTCCCGAGCCATCTTCTCTTCCTTGTTGATGATGCCCCACATGGCTTGCATGTCATTCTTCAACTGGTCGTATGAACCGAGTCGTCCGCTTAAGGAAACCTTGGATACACTTTCTCCCCATTTTGCTGCAGAGCCCTTGCAGAAAGAAATAAGACAGGAACTCTTCTGGAGCTCAGAGGCGGTGGGATAGGAGGTGAGGTAGAGATCGAGCTGGGAGAGGAATGTATCAACGTCGATGGAGTTCTTGTCTCCCGTGAACTCTGTAGGTTTGGCCATCTTGAAATCAGAGCTCGAAACTCCAGAGGTAAATGCCTGTGTTGTTGGCGTTGTCGTACGAAAGGCTTGCAAAGCCGTGATCATTTGCTCTGCTGCCGTCAGCCTCTCTGCTAGCTCGTTCTTCTCTGTCTCTACCCTGTTCAGGTTCTTGGCTAAGAGTGCGAGATGGTCTTTCATCTCGTTGTACCGGTTTTGGTTGAGCTCTCTTTCTTGGGCAGTTATGTGAAATATGGCGTCCGAAATGCTCTGGTGGGTGATGGTAGTCCCCTCTGGGTCTAAGATGCCTTCCGCTACCACAGAGCCTGGCCTCGACAGGGTCGGTGTGGAGTTTTCTGCAGATACCGATGGCCCTGCTCCTAGTGTCTGCCATCCTTGAATTGGTGCGTGGTGCGGGGCGGGGGATTGGATGGTTCTCCACTCTTGCTCGGACATGAAGGAAGGGGCAGTTGTTTTCCCGACAGGTATCGTTGTCGTGGATTTGTAAGGCGCGGTCTCTGACGAGACGGGATCTCCAAGGGGGAGCTATGATGACTATAGGTGCGAATACAGCGCGTGTAGCGGTTTGTCAACCTAAGTAGAACTCGAGAGGAGTTCGGGAACGACGCGGTGAAGTTTGGGTCTTCTTAGTACCCACAACCTCCTAAGGTAATGTAACTAGGGTTGTAAGACCCGCGAGTGCCGTTCTTTATAGTACGAAAGAAAAGTAGGTAGTGTGCAGTCGGTAGAGTTTTGGACCTAACTGCAGGTGTGCGGAAACAGGACCTAAGTGTCACTGCTCCTTATAGACTGGCGGCTCACGTAGGGCAAGGGCCTGGTCTACTTCTACAAAAGACTAACATAAAAGAAAATGGTATAGTGCGCGTCTGGGAAAGATGATTTGAAAAACGTAATCCGCGAGAGTACTCTCAGCAGAATAGCATGGGTGAAGTTTATCGAGGACAAGGTGTCCAAGACAAAGTTCAAGTCGGAGTGGTAAGATAGACTTAACCTAATGCTATGATCAATGTTTCACCTAATGGCAAAAGGTATCACACAACCACTAGGACTCGTCAAGGATGAGAGAATCAGATAGATTGAGAGGTAAATGTCTGAGTCTACACTGGGTAGGAACGAAGAGGTTAAGTCTAAAGAGAAACTACGCTAACTACCCTACCTATATACATAACATTGAATCGGAGATATCTGAGTCTGTAAATAATCAGCCAATGAGAAAAGAGTCGTACGATAACTGCGGATGACGTAGTATGACGTCGTGATATATAAGCAATGATGTCAGAGACGGAGATTAAGTGATAGGAAGACATATGGTTCTAGCCCTGGGCGTAGGGGATCCGATCAGAGATGTGATTGGTGAAATGTGAAGGGGTGAAGCTGTGACATGGTGATGATGTGATAATGTGAAAGGTAGTGGTGTCATGTGACCGGTTCGGGTATGGGACATAGCTGAAGGAAAACCGAGAAATGAAAAATGATTCGTGTTGGGAATTCGTGACATGCGCCAGCCTACAGCGACCTTGTACAGTGAGAACACCCATATTTCTTGGGACCATTATTTATGGTAGGACACAAATAAGATTATACTCACGGATCTCCGCCATGACCAGAATCACGTAGAGGAATATGATGGATGTATCCTTGCCAGTTTCAAAACAACTTGTGACAGGGATATGAGATTTGGTGACTGCAGCAGTGCTTCAGTGCAAGAAGCCCTTTCTGACTGTCCAGGGAAACATACTTGCAGGGGGGGATCAGATGATCGAGAGAACCACAATCGCAGCAATAACATACATCTAAGCAGTTAAAATTCAATTAACATAGAGACCCTAGTAAAATTGAAGCTTGGGACTGACCAGCCCACTTATCAGGAATGGAACCACTATGCGCCTCCTAAATCCCCAAATTGCACAAACACGGGTCAAAAAGACACCTTGCAGGTTCTGTTCAATGAATCCACAGACATAGGATGTCAAAAGCAAACCTTCCGCACACACCACTATGAAACCTCCCAGATCTATGTCACAACTATTAGGAATAATTTTGGTTTTAGAAATGAGGAAAATGCACAGGTATTTATGGAATATATCACTTGACACATCTGTCACAACACCATAGTTGAGTGCGGCTTCACAGTCATTGCAAAACTCACATGAATTGACATCATGGGTTGAAATGCCACTGCGAATGTCATGAATCAAAATGATTAACGTCATCCAAAGGCGCTTACCGAGCATCTCCAATGTCAAGTAACAGCAGGTAAGATATCGACAGACAAAGTAAAGGAGCTTCACCCATTTCCATTGTGACTGCCTCAAAAACGCCATCTGGAATGTTTCACACCTTTAAGCCTGTATATCGACTGAAAAATACAGCTAAGGGTACCTCGTCAGCTAAGGTGAGGAAATAGTCATACGCCTGCAGTGATATAGATCAATAATTTGATTGAGAGTGATTCATGCAAGGTTACCCAGGACGAAGTTACAGCCACTGCGACAATTTTATGGACAAGTCAGTATATTTTATAGCCAACACAACTTGAAAGAGAATGCGGACCATTGGCATACTAGATAGATCATGAGCAGCTGGAACCAAACAGGGTATCACTCACGTTAAGACCCCACAGCACCCGTCCAAGTTCAAGTATGTCCTTACTAGTGGAGCTCATCATGGTGCACGCGTCTTCACCTTGTGGAAGTGGGTATACACCTTGATACAAGTAACTGGTGCATTGTATATAGATTGGAAGCTTTGTACAGCTTGAGTGGAGGCGAATAATTTTGAGATTGGGAACAGATTCCGAGCATTCACTATGAGCCCTGGAGACGATGAGAGACATTTGGGCCTGCCTGTCACTGGAATGTATGGATGGCACAACTTGGGAAATGGGCCCAGGTAATCAAAATGTTGGAGCTGTGGGCAGGCTACATTCTGTAATTTGACTCCATGGACACTGTCTGAAATCTGGTGTTTATTGATCTGGGAGCTTGCCAGAAGTGCGGGCTCCAAGCATCCGAGATCATTATGTAGCTACCTTGAAAATTGATGAGTAAGTCTGTGCATTTCCATACGAGTGTTTAACAACCGCATCCCCGTAGTATGAACAGGCTAACGGGGACTGGCAGTAACTGGAACATTTGGGCCGCCTACGTTCCACAATTGACGCTTTCTTCTATGTTCGGAGAACGAAAGGCTTCAATGGACGTGACAAAAGCGTGATCTGATGACTTGGTGATGATCTGTGGGGTAAGTAGGGTCACAAACCTATTTCGTCTCGACATTCATGGAGGTCATAGATTTATGCAACCTACCCACCTCAGACGATGAAGAAGTCACAGTGTCGCACAAAGAGCCCAGAAATGTGGTTGACGACATGTCCGAAACACGCCTTCAGAAGATGGCAATCAGGCTCGCCGACAAGATAAGTACCAGTGTTTAGAAGTGCATTGATGAAAGAAGCCATGGTGGTGAGTGGCAAAAAGAGAAAAGCTATTCCGAGATGGGAAATACTATCTGTTCCCATACACTCGGCACCCCCAGAAGTCGGCAGTCACGCTTTTTCGCAGGGTTTTGTGTGACTGCATGTGACCAATTGAAACAAAAGTGTCACATTTTCCCGCTAAAATGTGTGACCTGCCGACTTCTGGGGGTGCCAAGTGTACGGGAACAGATAGTATGCATCAGTTGCAACGTGAGCGTGAGCTGTGAACATCGTGATGACAAAGAGTACTAGTGTGTTTTCATCCAGGTTGGTATTGGTATCTTCATCATAAATATAGCAGTATGTCGGAAATTTGCAAAACCTATTTCAATGCTCCATTGTTGAGATGTCGTTGAAATTGCTATTGGCATGATAATGTAAGATTGTTTGCTGAGTTTCAATGCATTGTCAGGCGATTGCAAGGCGTCGTTCCTCGTATTTGAGCTCTCACACATCTGTATTCCTCAATTTCTTTGCTCACATCAACTCTATAGATACCTTATATATATCTGTCAACATCATGGGCTCCGACCGGGCGAAATTCTGCAATCTGTGCAAACAGAATATTAAACCACATGGTTGGGCCACTCACCGAAAGGCCTGCGAGAGGAACACGCAAAAGCGAGCGCATGATGAACACGTCGTGGAATCAATCAGGCAGCGAAAAGGTGCGTTTTAAATTTGAGTTGCTCTCATCACCTTCCCATCTGATTCAGAATATAGCTGCAGCAAATAATCCTGTTGGTCCTGGACACAGGACTATCAATGCAGCTGCAGATTCAAACATTGACGGGCTTCCAAATCAGACACAGGGTAAGTTTCACCCTTTGTGTCATATACTATGGCGTCTATTTCACTTATCCGTCTATCAATCAGTCACAACAGGCCAGAATGGCCCGTCTTTGACAAGTTCTCATGGTGTTGAACATCTGGACCCTATTTTCGGTGAGTTCCACAATTCCTTTGACTTTTCTTAATTGTGTATCATTAATGTGGATGTTAGAGGATCAACTGTTTTTCCCTGGCGATGATGGAGACCTCGAATATCATGAATTCGAGGTTGATGATATCAAGGTTGTACATCACCCAAAGAGCAGGATCCCAACGAAAGTTCATGTGTTTGGTGATTTCAAGCGCCACCCAGCCCATCACTCCTCATGGTCCACTCCTGAACCTGATGCACAACCTTGGCGTCCCTTCAAGTCTCGTTTAGAGTTTGATATCGCTGAAATCACCCTTGAAGCGGCCCTCAATAATGCTCAGACTGACCATCTCCTTGACATCTGCCGCCGTTGTGCGCGGCAGTCAGAGAAATTTACTTTCCAGAACCATAAGGATATCCGCGCCAAGTGGGATGCTGCCTCTCAACATGTAACAGGGGTTGTCTCATTGCTTGCTGTATGATTCTCTTCGGACTAACATTTGAGCTCAGTTTACAAAAGACGTGGTTTCGATACCCTTCACTGATAAATCTTGGGACTTTGATGTCTACTATCGTGATCTTTGGGGATGGGCCACCGACCTCCTCCATGATCCTTATCTATTTCCTCACTTTCATTTTGATGCTCAACACTTGTCAAAATTCAATGGCCAGTCATTCAAACACTTTGTAGACGAGCCCTTTACGGCTCAAAACTTCTGGGATGCTCAAGTATGTACTATTCATGTCAATGTACCACGTGTAGTGATTTTGATTGCATTTAAATTTCGATGTATTGTGTAGTCACAGCTGCCGCCTGATGCAAAGCCCCTTGCCTTCATTTTGTATGCCGACAAGATGAAATTATCCAGTTTCGGTAGTGCGAAAGGGTACCCTGTCGTTGCATGATTAGCCAACTTACCCACTGACATTCGCAATGGTCAGGGGATGGGTGGCGGTTATATTGTTGGGTGGCTTCCCGTGGTTTGGTACATTTGTTACATCCGCTGATTCAATTTAAAACTAATTCTGTTAGGTGAAGGAAGATAAGCAATACTCTGGCAAGCCGGCATGGGCCAACTTTAAGGCTATAGTATGGCACAAGTCCTTCAAAAGGATCCTCTCTTCGCTAGCGACAAAATCCAATATGGGACAATGGTTTGAGTGTTTAGACAGGGTTCAGCGCTGGTTTTTTCCATTAATACTAATCTTATCGTCCGATTTTGAGGAGCAGTAGGATTTGAACTTCAATTTAAATGCTGGCCTCTCGCTAACTCACTGTGTTTCAAGGTCCACAATGTCACTCACTCGAGGTGTCAGGGCACTTTGGCCATGCCCCGTTTGTCTGGTTCCACATGACGAACTTAGTGACACGTCACACTGCTATCCACGTCGCACATCCTGTGACTTGCAGGCTATCCTAGCAACTGCACGAGTGAAGGACACCGCGGAAGAGAGGGAGGAGACACTAAAAGACTATGGACTCCATGATATCCTGGTGAGGTTATCTGTACTCTCCTGACACATTTTTTAACTTCATCATAGAATGCATTTTGGACAGTGAAGTCTACCGATGTGCATCGTGCATTGTTGTGGGACAAACTGCACTTTCACTCTGGTGGTGGATGGTCGGATCACTTGTGGGTCGAGCTTCAAAAGTATATCAATGGTCTTGGACAAGACAAAACATCTCAAGTAGATAAGAAGTAACACTTTCTTCAGAAACATTTTGAGTTGAATTGACATGTTTTAATACAGCTATCAAGCATTTCCCCATTGGCGAGATCAGAAGCACCCAAACCAAGTAATGAACATTTCGTTTATGGACAACTCCGTGCATGAAGACATTTCAAAGGTTCGTATCAAGCTTTTGTGTTACTAGCTTGAGTCTGACAGATTCCTAGATGATAATATATGCTACTCATGACATTCTAACTGAGCAAGACTGTCCTCTTGGTTATTTACTCCTTCGTTGTGTCCGTCTTTACCTCGAACTTGATATGTATGCCTCGCTTGAAGTTTACATGGCCGAAACTATCAGCAGTGGCCGTCACACACACCACATGTTTTCGGCCATTTTGCATGTATGTTGCATGTGTTTACTGCTACCAATAGTCAACTAATCAACTCGCTATTAGCAACACATCAGCAAAACGGCTGACGAGAATGGAAAAAATTGGAATTATCCGAAATTACATATGGACCTGCATATTTTTGATGACGTCGAAGCAAAAGGAGCTACACGGAATTATAATACAAAGCCGAATGAGAAGATGCACAGCTCGTTAAAGGATTCATATTTGCTGCGGACGAACTTTCGTGATGTAGCAGAACAGGTGTGTTGTTACAACGATCATTTACTAACTTAAATTTGATGTATTGTTTGACAGATCCTCTGAATCAATCAGTGGCAAGTCATTGCGGATTGTATCCGTCGTCGCTTATATGAATTTGACGAGCATCAACGTCAATTACACGAAGAAGACTTGCTGGAGGAAGAAGAATTCATCGCAAATGTCGTCGAGCGCCCTATCTCAACTGGCAGTTCCTTTCATGTCAAACTTGGATCAAAACAACCTTCGGAGACCTTTGATGCGATTGAGAAAGCTCATCAGGACGACCAAGCGTTTGGTAATTTCCGCATCAAACTCAATGATTTCCTTAATGTTCTGTTACCCTCGTCGGATATACCACTACCTGACAGTAAACGTATTCATCTCTGAGGAAACAATAATGTATGATATTCTATCTCAGTTTGTTCATTGGCTATGCTAACATACAAGTAGATTCCAGCGCACCGATTTCTTCATGTCAACTATGAATCAATGGTTGACTGGTGCCAACACACAGATTATCTTTGATGCAATCCCCTTTTCTTTGGTTCCCCACACTTTGACTGTGTCTTCATTCGGCTGACAGAAGATAAAGTCATTCTTGGCCGGCTGCTCTTCCTTTTCGAATGTCTGATTGGGGACCACAAATTTCCCCTTGCTCTTATTCACCCGTTTGATGCTCCCACTGGTCAGCACTCTCGAAAGGACAGGGATCTTAACCTCTTCCAAGTTTGAGCAAGACAATGAGCAGAGGCACAGTTTTTTTTCAGTCAGATCCATCATACGTGGAGCGCTTCTGGTACTGGATGGGCCTTCTGATTACCTTGTAGTTGATACTGTAGATACAGACATGTTTCTTCGCATGAAGATGATGCATCTCAAGGCAGGGCACATCGTGCGCGTTTGACATCTGCCAGCCATCACAGCAGTAAGTCCAGGATGCCAAAAGTTGGTACAATTATCTGATTCTCAACCTACAGCAACCACAAAATGGTTCATGGAATATGATTAACCAGACTTTCCATGAACCGAAAAGCTATCTTCCATCCCATTCTCGTCACCAGTATTATTTAATTGCTAGGCAACTCTCATTGGCTTTTGTTGCATGGCCACCCAATGTACTTCTTCACTTGAATCTCATCCGACCATTCCTTCCACTCCTGCTAGAAATTCTGTCACTAGATTGCACAGTATGTATCATTATCCTCCCTCAACTGAGCTTCTTCAGACTGGACGTGACAGGCTCCCAAACATCATGAACCTCCATCGTGTTCGCCACTGTCATCTACTGGGAATTCCGTATTGAGATCCCTGTCAAAGTCACAGATGAGCAGTCAAATCATCTTCTGGTCGTCCTGCTGCGCAGGATTGGCGACTCTCGCACTTTTTCTACTTCTCAGGAGTCCATTCTTCCCATCTGGTCATCAACTGCATGATCGCGGTGGTCGCAACCCAACACCTACGCACCAGAACTCTTTGTTCTCTTACTTGGCATGTCATTCACTAACATCCAACTTGACAACTTCTCACTGACCCTTGCTCGCTTCCTTCAGCATGTTGAAATCAAGGGCACCAGGGAGCACGAGTTGATCACAATGGCAGTCGTGAACATTGGTGCCGTGCTTGAATATGGTTGTCTGAGTGGCATACTGCATAAGATTGGCGGTATAGGTGCTTGTGACACCAGTCTAAGTGCAGGTGGTCTGGCTATAAAAGTTGCCAAGAAGTGTCAAGTTGCACCCACAGAAGACAGCGATGAGGTACGACTCTGAATCCTTATCTCTCAGTCATGCTCACCTTATCGATGCTCTCATTCATTCTCCACAATCCGACGCGAAAGGCCTCGCCTTTTGCTCACATTCTTGGCCACCATCACGAAATGGAGTGTTCGAAACCTTGGCATGATCTTGCCCAATTTTTTGCCGCCATTGCCCATTTTATCTTTAGGGCTAGCACATATCACCTGCCCGTCCAAATGATGGTCTTGCCCAGCCTGTTTTAAGTGTCATGGCAGGCTATCCTATTCTTGTACTGGATACCATTGATGCATGTCTATTGACATCCTCTGGGAGCTAAGAGCCGAACTGGAGGCCCACGAAACGTAAGAGACCAGCCTGCAATATTATGCTGATTACTCGTGCTGATTTCATATTATGTTGTAAGGTCAGGCTAGCCTTCATTACATGGCTGGAGCATAAGCACGTTTCAAGGTGCATCACGGTATGTTTCTTCGTGTGCCGGCACATCACTGCAGCCTGAGGGATCTTCGGCTGCAGCATACACGAGGTACACCAAACATTTTGCCTTATATACCGGGGTGTTGTGCTGACCGCTCTCTTGTCTCCCTTCCCTCCAGTTCATTTGCATCATGTCGCACCTGTCTGGGAATACATTCGATGATGAATCAGATGAAGAACCTGTCACTGAATCTGTTGCGATTCCAGGGCCAAACACATCAAAGGGAGACCTCATAGAGGTAATGATGTTCTAGACACCCTGACTACATTACCCATCTAACACTTCTCTCACTCTAGGCACTTAAGGCTGCTGCAGGTTCAGGTTCAGAAGCTTGTCGAGGACAATCATACCCTTCGTGAGGAGAACAAGGTTCTGATCGCTGAGAAACCCAAACGAAAATGTCGTGTGGAAGCACCTGATGAACTTTTGGCCCATGAGCAAACAATAATGCTTTTCGCTCGTAAATACGGCCTGACTGTTGAAATGTTCCCCGATTCCAACCTTCTCAGCAAGCCACGCCCTGAGAACCCAACTCCATTCGACAGCCTGAGACCAGGTACCTGACAGCGATGACACAGGAATCAGCATTCTTGGACGAACTATTTCAGCACTTCCCCGATCGCATACACAGCGCCATGGAAAGTTTGTATTTCAGTGATCTCGTAAGTATTATATGTTTTGATACTAAATGTAACTGACATTCATCAGGTAATGAAGTCCATTTCTGAGGCTCGCTCATCAGAGATAAATAAGTTGCGTGGTGTCACTGGTGATATCTTTGGGCTTCCAGGGATGTACTTCGCCAATACCAACTACCGCAGAGCTGATGTCACAGGAAATACATGGATATGCTTGGAGTGTCAGCGACAAATCCAAAGTACAAGACTTTTCCACCGGTCTTATTTCTTGGAATGTGGGAAGACTCGTCCTTGAAGACTGTGTTCGGAAACTGGGAGCTTTTGGCTAAGGTAGGCTTTTCAGCTGTGTCTTTTTGCAGACCATGTGATGATGCACCTCTAAATAGTTTTTGAAGGCTGCCCTACGTGGCGTCACTTCACTTCATCAAGAGACGACAGGCAGACCGAAGACAAATGCACGCAAATGGAACTTCGAACAGGTCACACCAGGGTCCATTGCATGGGCCACCTGTCATTGTGAGTCATCCACCCTATGTTGAGCGACGGTGTTGCTCATATCACAGGCGATCTTTCTGCTGTCACCTGACACAGAATTTCAGAAGTCTGGCTTAGGAAAGTCCTCCTGGTATCAACTACAAGGATCTATTCTACCACTACAAGAAGCTCTTGCTCACAAAGTGGGATAGCCTGTCGCATCCAGACTATCGTTCAAAACATCAACCGAGAAGTTTTTCGGCTCCACAAAGTCTTCTGCCTCTGACCCAGCTGGTCAGGAAGATCACTCCAGCGAAATCACTCGTGCCATGAATGCACTTGACATAGACAGTGATAGTGAATCAGATTTACCTGCCCCATCTTCTACAGCACAAACCACCACTGTAACTGCCTCTCGGTCTGACGTTATCAAGGCAGCGCGGCCTCCAGAACATTTTGCCCAGCTCTCAGTCCAAGTGCTACTTCTACTCTCAGTAGTGCCTCCACCCTCAGCAGCGCTTCCAGAAAGCACACTGAAGTATTACCTGTAATGACGGGCCCAGAAGCCATTATTACTACTGCAGTCACGGCGCAGGATTCAGATGTAGGACAGCAACCAACTCAAGGTAGAGGAAAGACTAAGGCGAAGAAGGCTGCAGCTCAAGGTGTTCGTCGTGGCACTCGCACTCGCCAGGGATAGATAGTCACACTTCGTGTTGTAGTGCCTGCTGTTTCTTTTAAATGTAGTTCACACTTGTGCTCAAGTCTAAATGTTATTTCGGATGTGATTCAGATTTAGAGAATGATAAATTTAAAATAAGCGAGAGGGCAGCGTTTCTTTTCCCATGTCTCTTGTCTATTACCGCCACCTATTAGACTTCACTCTGCCGCCACTATGTCTGAATTGTTTATGCTTGAGGGTATAAATGGAGACGACTCTTCAGAAATATTGCTACTCTCTGAATCTGTGTCTTTTTTGAACTCATGTGCCCTTGCTCATTCTTGACGTGAGGGTGTGTTTCAATTGCTTGTGACTTTGCTCGAAGGAGATGTTCGCTTTTCTACCAGTTTTCTGTTCGCGCTTTGCAACACCTTGTCGGCCACTGTAACAATTGTTTTAGGCCGTGACCGGTACACTTTGCACAACCATCCTGAAGTACAGCTTCCGTTTAAATTGTGTGAGTGGATGTTGTCTGAATCGGACAATCTTGGTTCATTTCCTAATAGTTCTGAATCTTTTGATCAGACAGCTTGTAGTTTCGAGAACACTTCTACACCATCTGAAATTGACTGCGATTTATGACATCTCTGGCGCATGGGAGGGCGGTGTTGCTGGTTGCACAACTGCTTTAGCTCTCTTTTCAAACCAACGGTTCTCAAATTCACGCAAACCCATCTCTCCACGGACAAATCTAGCTTCTTCCTTCTTCCTGCTCGTCTCTCTCCCTGGTTCTCCTGCTCGTTTGCTTCCCTCCTCCTGCTCTCGTTCATTGTCCGTACTTATCTGAGCTACGTCAGCAGTTGCTGATGTGTTCGGTCCAGAGTTCGACCAACAGCTGAACCTGGACCTAAGGCTCGGTTCGGCATTCAGAAAATTTTGCCAGAGAACTGTTGCGTGGACAATGCCCACCACCAAGAAATCGGTCTCGTTCAATGGCGGTGTTCAGTCTGACCCCATTCTCAATGATTGGAATGGTCCATCTGGCACACAGGATTCATACACACACCGCGCAGTACCCCTACCGTCTGGAAGCAGACCTATCACCACCAAGAAATCACTCTCTTTCGGTGATGGCGGCTTGCAGCCTAGCCCGGGTCATGAAGGCTGGACTGGTCCATCACGCTGGCTGTCTGAAACCTGCTATGAGTCCTTGCGCTCCCCGGAGACACCAGAGGAAGTCCCGTAGAGCTGGCAGTTGTCTAACCCCCATAATCAGCGCTCCTCTCATGGCATGATGTTGATTCGTCATTTGAGTCTAATGTAGGATGTCTATTACACTACGGATATTACAATGTAACAAATACAAAAGAGATAATATAACAATTGAACAACATAATAGAAAGACACTTGTAAGGGTATTACAAGAGACTATCTCTATCAACCGGTTGCAATGCTCACCGCGGCTGAGGGGTGCAAACAGTCCATTACAATGACTAAGATTGACTGCATCGGGTTGCAATGCCCATTGCAATGGGCATTGCAACCGCTATTGTAACGACCATTACAAGACACTCTCTATTATTAGAAGCCATTTCAAGCAGAGGTTTGCATTTAGACATTTCAATGCTTTGTCATGCATTGAAAGTTAAATTAGAAATTTCCGACATTACTAGTGTTTCTGATTTGAAACAAATTTCTCAAAAGGTGAACTAGAGGTTGATGCGGAGTTTTATTTCCCAGAGTCACCCAGACTGGGACGGCCTCGATACCATGATCCCAATGCAACGCAAAACAGAGCGGATTACCCGGAGTGATTTATCTGGGACTGTCGTAATGAGAACGGACGGTCTGAAGGATGCAAGAGTCGTGAGACTGGACAACACGTTCCTAGAAAAAAGTCCAAGAAAAGACGTTGACATCATTTGATCTGGTTTGTCTTTGAGCGCCTTTGTAATACAAGTAGCTTGCACTATCCTCCACGACTTGATGAGTAATAGAGACATTCCTCAACGCTCGACCCTGCTGATTTTGAAGGCCTTCCAATGCTCGGACGATCATTCCGTTCAACATGACTGAAAGTCTCGCGCTGAGACCTAGCGTCGAAAGGAAGGCTTCTTAGGTGTCCAATGGCCACTTCGTTAAATTGTGAGTGCCCTGTGAGCACATTCTATTTGAGAGTACATAATGTTGCACTATAAATAAATGCAGTCCGTCAAGACGCGACGCGCCTGATCACGTGCGCGAAAAAGCAAAGTGCTTGTCAGGCTTGTCAATGTCGTATACTTACTTCTAAGTTACGCTCTGTATGCTGGCTACCGTATTCTAGGCTGAATATTAATGTCGACAGTCCCAGCCACACCAAGAGCGAAGGCGGGTATCACCCCTGCAACGCCAACGACAAATCGAGTGGCAGGATCCCATGTTCTTCAAGCATCTCCTCATTACGCGACAACCAGGCGTCACTCTCTCTATGGCACAGAGGATCGTGTTGTAATCGACCCAGGTTCACGAATCTGGAAAGTCGGATTCAGTGGCGAAGGAAAACCTAGAGACGTGTTCTACGCTGACCCCAAAAAATATGGCTCCCTGTGGAGTTGCAATCGAGCTACAGACCCAGCAGAAAGGACAGAGCAGGACAACATGTTGGCAATCAACTTGGAGAGATGTATGCGTTCCGTTTTTCACGAGTAAGTGGACAGAACTCTCGCCGGCACTCGCATCCAATAGATCGTGAAGGTCACTTCTTGCAGAACCCAAGGCCCGAAAGGTGATAATGGTCGAGCATCCATTAATGCCGCTGTACATTAAGGATATGTTAGCTCGCATCCTCTTTAGTAACCTCCAGGTACGTGTTCAGTATTTGCGGGCTACAATTCTGTAGACATAAGATGACAGGTCCCCTCAATATCATTCGCATCAAGTCATCTGTTGTCTCTGTTATCTGTTGGACGAATAACAGGCCTTGTCTTGGATTGTGGCCATCTAGAATCCACTGCATTACCTGTAAGATAGATAGAACCTGCTGTATTTTTCTGTTAACACATTCTCTTAGATATTCGCAGCACGTCCTCTCTTCCCCCAACTCCGAACAACACCACTCGCAGGCTCTCGGTTTTCGTCCCACATCCGTGTACTACTCCTTTTATTTGGTTCTTACCTCCCTCCACCAACTACACTCAGTGCAGCTGTCAACGTGCCCGCAGCCAATCGCACTACTCGTGTACCACAAGAGATACTAACGGATGCTGTTATCGAGGACATCAAGACGCGCTGTTGCCTCGTGTCAGATGCTTTAGAATCATCTTTCAATGATACCCGCGCATCCTCCCCGCTAGGCGACGATCCTTCAGAACACGAGCCTCCTCCCTCAAGTGACCCTGCCATGTCTGAGTCCGAGTTTTCACGGGGTTCCCTCGGCCAGGAGAGTGCAGCAGAGTCCGAGTTCTCGATCATCTCCCATCCGACTCATCCTAGCTCCGGTGGAGAGGCAAGAAATGAAAACCATCTGCAAGTCATTGCGAATATGTACATGCGTCATTCCACCGCTACGGATCTTCACATACGCGTTGTTCCACCTGTTTCTCAGCAGACGGGAACAGGGCGTGGAACGCTCGTCATCCCGGGCTGGATCCGCGAACGCGCTGCCGAGGTGCTGTTTGAAGGAGGCGATGTCGATGAAAGTAGTGTCGCAGAAGTAATCTTGGATGCTTTACTCAAGGTTTGCTATCCAATCGCACCATCTCATAATCACACCATTCACCGTGTTCATAGGTCCCACTTGATCTTCGTAAAACACTGGCATCCTCTATTCTCATCACAGGAGGAACAGCCGTGCTTCCCGGGTTCATTCCTCGGTTACACGCGGAGCTTCTGCGTGCCACCGCACCGCTAAATACGTCATCAACACGGTCAAGACCCACATACGATCGCTATGCTGCATTACGCCCATTGGTACCACATTTTGCTATCCTCAACAATCCCGCACCGGTACCCTCATCAAGCACACGTGCCAATGCGAACGCAGGGAAAGCGCCAGCTTTCACACCTGCTACTATGGCGTGGGTGGGTGGCTCCCTAGCTGGGTATGTTCTCGTATTCCCTCGCGTCGTCTTATTATATGCTGATGATGACCTTCCCTAGGGCATTAAAAACGGGGGGCGTCGAAGTTGCACGAGAGAAATGGGATGAGTCAGATCCAGCGCAAACTGACCAGGATGATGATGTTGTGATGATTCCCCTTATACCTGAATATGCTCCAAGAAACGTGATACCAGACTGGACTAGAGGACCGCTGCCCGCGGGCGCGCCGCCTGCTGTAGCCCCTAAACCTCCGCCTACCCCGCAAGCCGTCGGTGCTTGACTGTATCTTTGTATAATTGTTCTCATGAAAGATCAGGCAAAGATTGTCATAATATGCAGCATTTTATAGTATGCAGTAGATAATGTGTGATAATTCGATAACAAGAATGTTATTCTACAACTTGAATCCCCCACATGAGCTCGTGAGTACAATCCTATGAAAGTACAAACACGGCTAAAGTCAGAAACGAAGCGTAAACAAAGAAATCCAATATTGAACGAAAATTGAATATTGATGAAGGACAGTAGGTATCGCTAGTTGGAACTTGGTTGGAACGAAACAATTGATGTATGCTGGAACGAAGTCGAAAACCCGAAATTCTATACAAAAAGTCATAAGATCGAAAGTGCCCATTATAGGTAAATGCATGGAGGGCAATGCATACATACGTCAAGCAGCCTATGCACGGCTGCCGATAACACGAAGAGAAACCTTGTTACCATACTTGTATATCGCCTGATCCCAGTCATCGTTGGACTTCACAAAGTGCAGTACCACATTATCAGCGCTCGCAGAAGACAGCGAGCCAGCGTAAGGTCGTCCTCCAGATTTCTCAATCGCTAGAGCGGGAACAACGAGCGCCACGACAAAGCTTTCCGACAGTGGCAAGCCTTCCTGCCGTACAAATTTGTCATAGAGTCGATGACGAACCTCCATGAATGACAAGGAACGTGGAATGCGAAGCATGATGATGCTGTTCTCGTGCATTGCTTTGATGGCGATGGCTGAACCGTCACTGCATCCCGTTGATCCGCTGGATATGGATGTGGTTATGGATGCGCGTCGCGGGACGTACGTCGAACTTGGATACTGATGTGCATAGAAGTGGCTATCTTCACTTGACGTCTGAGAACTGGCGAATGATGCCGGCGTTATCGCGTCTGTAGCAGCGGTAATTGATAAATTGGTCATACATGTAGGTATACCGCACGTACCAGAGAAATAAGTATCGAGGAGATCCTCCTCTCCATAAGCCGATTCATTAGCCCATGGTTCACGTTCCACCCACTCCTCTTCGTCAGGGAAAGGCATGGAGTGACGGTGTTGTCGAGTCCCTGAAGAGGGTGGGCGCTGGAGAGCCGAAGACTGGGAAAGAGCAGATCGAGGAATGATTGCATCGGCAGAGGCGTCAGTCCTGTACGATGCCATACTACACATCGAGGCACGTGGGCGGTGCGCACGTTCCGGGTGGGGGTGTGGAAGCGTAAGGTCAACACCGAGTTCCGCAAGGTAGGCTGCGGTCTGGGAAACAGAAGAGGTTGACAACCACGAGCACCTATCATGTCGAGAGGACGTCACTGCTTTGCGGTCAGTACAGGATATTTAAGCACAAAAAAGTTGGAGGCGCACCGTCCGAAGGAAATTCAGCATCATCAGATAAGTCGGAAGAACTCTCTGGACGGGGGACAAAAGCCGTTCCATTCCTAATTGCCTCGCTTGAAGCAGAACCTGCTCGCCTTCGCATCTGCGAGTAATCCGTAGATGCGGCTTTGCTAATCTCAACCTCTCTATCCTCTGGGAGAGCTTGGAGAATCGACGTTTGACGTTCCGACGCGTAGCCGTCAGATGTGTGCTGTGGGTTATGTCCAAATTTCATCGGAGCTTCATGCGTAACAATCATTGGGGTGCGGCCAGATCGACGAGGCGTGACAGGAGATGGAGAGTTCGAAGAGGAAGATGATGATGATAGGGTGGATTTTGAGCTACGTGACGGCAGGGATATCGTTAAGCCAGCAGGGTGACTATTCATTCGTGACCGCGCGGTTGGTTGATCTTGCAGGGAAGTCTCCGAGGACAATGAGTCCGAGGTACCTGAGCCACGTTTGGGGAGCAGCTTGTGCGAGCCATTCACAGATGGCATGTCTGCCAGTGCCGGAGTGGATGCATAAAAATAAGCAGAAAGCATGCTACTAGACACAGAACGGCGAGGTTTCGCGGGAGGGGTCTGATTTTTCTGTGTTTTGAGAGCGAGGTCATGATCACGTCTCCAATAGCCGAAGAAATCAGTGAAGGTTCGCGTAGCCATCAGCTCCTTTACGAGCGTCGGGAGTTCATCCTGAAAAAAGGCATTTATCATGGCACTAAATTCCTTGAACCGTTGATCGATGGTAGCCTGGCTCGCGCGGAATAGAGTTCCCTTCTTCGTCAGCTTCGGGATGTACTGGTGAATGTCACGAGCAACGGATTGAGGATCGGGACCCGGAGGGAGTGATTCGAAAGAAGCCGCCTGGTCACTCTGGATGTACATCCCGTCCTTTTTCACTCCTTTGCCCGCGGCTAGACGCGTACGTTTCTCTCTTGCCATGAGAGTATATTCAGCCTCAATTGTGTCTTGAAACCAGAGGCAGTCCTCCCATTTGCGCCATATTTCATACTCCAAATGCGAGCCTTTCGAAGAAGTCGAATGGGTGGAAATGGATGCGTTATCATCCTTGAAGGGACAAATCCGGAGGCCGTAGCTGTAGCTGCCGCCTAAAACAAAAATGAACACGATTCAATATGAACTGAGTGAACTTACCTTGCTTTTCCGGAGTAAGTACGCCAACATAAAAATTCTGAGGAGCACTCCGGTAAACGGCACGTTTCCACGACTGTAATGGCATGAGCACGTTGTTCGCAAACTGGGGGCTTTAACTTACGTCGGGAGATATAGGCCCCTGGTGGTAGGCTGAAGCACCACCCTGAAAGTTGATTGAGAGACGGTGAGTGAGTCATGAGTGGCATGTACGCACCGTGGCAAAATCCATGAATGCCGCGCGTTCAAACGGTAGCCTCGAGGCAAGGTATCTAGAGAAGGATCAAGACACGATAAGGAATTCATGCCACAGATGCGGTTATAGAATTTATCCACGTACGTTAGGTGCGGACTGTCACTGAATGATGTAGGGGGCTTGAACGAGAAGCTCGATTTGTGGGCTCTCGTGCTCAGTCGTTGATGAAGGTATCTGAGAAAAAAGCAAAGGGCTTTGGAGTGTTCTGTCGGAAAGATATGTCAATAAATATGTATGTGCCTAGCTGCGTGAATGAGTCGGAGGATATGCACCTTGACGTGTGGCTATACAGTGAGTATATGAGTGTCTGCAATCAGTGACTTTTCGTTAAGCACCTTTCTTCAGAAAGGAGCACAAGTATAGCTCTGAAACGATGAGGTGGAAGAGGAGGGAAAGATGGATGGCCTTCTCGTTTTGTCATAATAATAATACTTGACCCGGGCCATGCGATCACTGTGACTGCAAAGACCACAATTGTGATTATCCGATCTAATTACCCGTTATATCCAAGAATAATTTACATAACCACAATAAGAATGAAATTACCACATCACAATCCTTGATTCCACAGTACACAAGTCCACAACTTTCTCACAGGGCCCGAGCGTTACTGGTCATGGGGATGGTCCAGGATGGTCTCAGCAGATTTCAATGGCTCAAGATATAATTACCGAAGTCTGTCTCGGTCTACAGCGCTATTTTGCTTCAGCCTCCTGATAACATGCTCGGAGCCTCGAAGTTCCATGAACCATTTGTGTGTGGGTGCGTAACTATAAGCTGTGTTCGTGAGTTCACTGAGAACCGCAGTACTGTTGGCTACTCAGAGAGTTGTGATGTTCCAATCCCATGGGTCGGGAACCACCGTAAATTATGTGCTCGGCGTGCTTTCACGGTCCTTATCCATATGTATCGGGTTGCACGCATATGATATGATTTGTTCGACGTGCAACGGATCTGACTCCGGACCCGCTATCCAATTATTTTGTAGATAACAAGCGAAATCTTCGACTACTACATGTGCCTCTCGAGCCCAGAGTTGACCGAGATGGACGGGTCTCACGGATTGGTGCCAAGGTAGTCCACACATGACCCGCCCGTACATAGGTAACTGCTAGTAATATATACAAGCCAAGCACACGCAATCGAAGGAAGCTTAGCAACATGTAACGTGCCTCTCGACTCAATCGGTACCGAATATCACTCTTCTCATCGCCTCTTCTTCCCTCTCTTTCGCTCTCACCCGGCCCTCTTGTAGCCGCTGAAGTCCCGTCTGAATGCTCTCGATATGCACGTGAAGTGGGATTCGTCCATCAACCAGTTCAGGAGCCGCTACCCTCTCTCGTAAATCTTCCATGTCCTCGCTCATCGAATGCAGTGTGTGGAGTGCGGCAACAACATGTGCCTGTGCTTGTTTCCGATAGTCACCAAGGTCTTTGAGCAAATGAAGACGTTTCTCATTATCCTTTACTGCGTGTTTGTTCCCGCCCAGCCTTGTCCATAGCGCTCCCAAAAGCTCAGAATGCTCAGCTGTGATGGAATTGTCTTCGCGTTGCACAGCTTCGCGGACAGCGGACAGATCTTCCTCTAGTATATCCAAGTTGTGCAGGGATATTTCGGCTTCCAGAATAAGCCGTTGAATTGCTATAGAGAAGGTGTCCATCGCACTGGTGAATGCGCCGACTATCACCTCTTGGTTTGTGGGTCCAGTGCGGAACGGAATCAAAGCTGTGAGCGAATACGGCGATGGTGCGTTCTTCTCCGCATCTTCTATGGTACGCATCGCATACCCATTCACTGCCATGATGCTTTCGGACATGAGCACAAATTCTACGCCTAATGTACGGCTGCTTACTTGTCTACAGCGCCACCGATTTTCGAACTGAGTTTTGTAAGACTCCTAGCCGTCTTCTTGGCATCTTTGACGAACGTTGTCAAGAGATCAGCTAGGACGTCATTAGACTTCAGGTCGCTGTGTCGCACGAGCGTTGTAAGGTCAGCTGTGGCGAATTCAGCCTTCCGGATTTCGAGCGAAAGTTCAGACCCTCCGACCGACCCATCCAAGAGCTGCTCAAAAGTCGAGCCCTGGACCTGCATAAGTTGCGGGAAATCCGCCCATTTTGGATCATGCGAAGCAGTGAGGTCTAGCGGAGCACACAGCGCCGACCTCGATACCAAAGGAAGGTAACACATCGGGGCAAACGCTGTGCGCAACGCACCCGAAAGGCGTACCATCACGAATGTCATCATCCAAAGGAAGAGCATTACTGATAATGGTATACGCATCAATCGCACCGCTCGAAGGAAAACGTCGAGGATATAAGCGCTTGAGTGATGGGCACCGGTGGAAAGCGCTTCTTTGATCTGCTCTTTGTCTACTATGGGACTCTTCTTGCGCTTCTGCCGTAGAGGTGCGGGGCGACTACGCCGAGCGGTGTCAGCGATGAAGACAGTCTTTGAACCAGGGCGATGCCTCGCTTTCGAGGTATCCGTAAAAGTGCTGGTTGCACTGAAGGAGTCGCAGTTATCGAACCGCTCTGCACTGACGTCCTTGTCTGGGATATCCTCCCAATCGCCTCCTTCAAGAGCAGATACGGGCTCCTAGGTAAGTCACATGCTGGTAAGGTGGTATGAACTTGGGTGAATCGAACACTCACCTCTGCCCCAGCATCATATTCACTCTTCAATTCTCTTTTCATGTTATCAAGTCAACTTTGAATTTCGTAGCGCTGGTTCAGGTCAGAAAGCATGTGAACGTTTTGCGAACGTGTTCACAAGTTGTTTGTGTCTTGTTCGGCTGCCAGTGTGAGACGAGCCGTAAGCACACGTGACCCGAAAATAGCTTTGGCATGCAATGAAGAACTCAACATCTAGTCCCCCCATCGTTGTAATTTCCGCTGCTGCAGAGCGCAACGCTCATCAACTTTAGCATGCAGCTGATCATTATGCATTAATATTGGAAGTATTCAAAGCAAGCCTCAAGTTGAAAACTTTGCTGACATGACGTAACAGGCAATATTATAGTGTGATTAAGTAAGCCAGGGACAAATAGCTAACGCTTCCTCTCTTCTTCATCTTGCTTTATATACCATACCATCATATCACCGTCCTCAAACATCTTATTTTATTATTTTATAATAATGTCTACATTCCCCATATTCCACACTCTTAACACTTCTACCTTCCCTGGGCTTTCCACCCCTTTCCCTGCTGAGCAGGTATCATTACCCCTTTTGGATGCGCCCCTAAGTCACCAAAAATCTGCCGACCTCCCTGGGCAGGACGCAATGTCCCAAGACGAATTGCTTGCAATGGTTACTAGTTTCTTATCCTTGTCTGTGCCTGGTGCGCATTCGTCACCGGTCGACCACCCTATTGCCTTCGAGGAGTCACCTTCACAATTCACGGCAGTCATTCGTACGAAGCCTCCCCACCCCCGGGTAGCTCATGCCTGCGATCACTGCAGGCGGCGTAAAATAAAGGTTCGCACCCAATGTCTTTTCCTTCAACTCAAGCTGACATCAGGGGACAGTGCTCCGGGGAACAGCCTGTGTGTGACAGCTGTGAGAAGAAGGGCAGGGCGTGCCAGTGGACCCCTCTCAAAACTACTAAAGAGCGGCGAAGTCGGAAGCCCTACGACATCGTGGAATACAGACCACGACCCAGTGCACCTGCTCCATACATTGCGGCGCCTAATCCGACTCCGAATCCAGTGACCCTTTGGTCTACTGAGGATCTTATGTCTGCGTCGCAGGCGGCTACTATGACGAATCCACCTATGGTAAAGCCTATGGTGCAAGCACTTACTGGTTGGAGCGCTCCTGCGCTGAGTGGTTGGCAAGATCCGGATGCCGATCTTCAATGGATACCATCACCTCCTTCCTACTGCTCTTCATTGACGAGCGATGTCTCATCTCGTGAATCATCACCTCCGCGCACACCGGTTGCATCGGAGGAGGCGCCACCAAATTTTGACGATGCGGACGCTTTCCTCAACGAGCTATATAAAAGTCTATCACCCGAGTGGTCTTCGCTGTTACATAACGGCCCGGAAATTGAGATGTCTTTTGCTCAGTAAGCACCACTGCCACAATTTTATTTCCCTTGGCGCTGGTCGTCGAACGGGATTTATTTCTGGTGGGCTTGCAGTATGGACGCTTTTGCGATACCTGTAGGCCTGTGTAGTGATGTCCTCTTAGTGTAGCGAAAATAAAACATCAAGTTACATAACAATTGGAGTTTGACCAGAGTGATACTAATCAGCTCAGTTCATTATAGCGCTATATTCTCTTGTCGTGAGTTATTTATCTCGCATCATTATCCACGTGGAATTTCATGGCTGCCCGAAACTGTAATACAAGCTCTTTGTCTGGACGTAGTGGGACAGTCTTACGTTGTGATGTAGTAGTACCATATGTCATTCATTAATCGCTTTCGGAGCAAGCAGCGAATCAAGATTCAAGACCAATAGAGCCATACATCTGACCGCTCAGAAGTGACCAATCACAGCAGTAGGTTTGTACTCTTCCTCCAGATATTTGATTTCTTCTGCTGTGAGTTTCACGTCGATTCCAGCTTGGGTTCAACGTCAATGGCGCAGGACATCCAATATAGACATCGGCACTTACCGATGATATCTTTCAAGTTTTGGATACTCGTAGTTCCGACGATGGGAGCTGATACACCTGTGGGAACGTTTTCATTGATCGAGGATACACGTAGACGTGAAAATGACTCACCATCCTTCGTCAAGATCCATGATATTGCTATTTGGGCCATGGTTACACCTTTCTTCTTGGCAAGTTCCTCGACACTGATCGACCTGTCAGCATCGTTGTTTTTCTTAGCACAGAACCAGCCTACCGGGTAACGATAGTTTCGTAAGCCGACGCCTGGGCATAGTTCCCAATGAACCTGTGAAATAGCATCAGACTGTGGCTCCGAGAATATGTTGAAATACTTGCCAATCGGATTGGCCTCTGTTTGTCTGTTGTCCAAGGGGCCGTGTGAGGGCACCGCGAGCCAGTGGAGACCATGGAATTGAACCGACACCAAACATCTTCATTGGTGTGAGCAACGACGCTGATATCATGAACACTATGAAAGAACCTTGAGAGTAGGGAACATCTCGCGCTCCTCCTCGCGATAGAGTAGACTGTAGTGGTTCTGCATGGAGATGAAGGGAGTGAGCTTGTTTGTGATCGCATAGTCTGCATTAATTCGAGGTTAGAGGACGATATGTGCATCTAATTGAGATCTGACTTTGCATCGCTTGGACTGGACAGCAAACGGACATTAGACCAACTCTGTATAGGAATAAGGTGCACCCACATTGGTACGCCCAGCAAGAACTCATCCCGATGTAACGGACATAGCCAGCCTTGACTACGTCGTGCAATGCTTGCATCTTCTCGAAAATTAGCGCAGGAAAGCGAATAGAAAAAATGCATTACCGTCTCTTCAATCGGTGTTTCTTTGTCGAATCTGTGGCCTGCAGATGAATAAGCGACATGAGAAAGCAGTTGAGCATATTGATAGCCAGACTTACATTGTAGAAGGTCAATATAATCCAGTTGAAGCCGCTCCAGACTTTTTTTCACGCTTGCGAAGATGTGCTGTTTCGTGAGTTCAGAAAGTCACGACACCTCAGAGTCGATTGAAAACGTGCCTTCCTGCTAAGGCCATGCTGGTTCACATAACCATTCTGATCTGGGTCCTTACGCCCGCTAAGCTGGTGGGTGCTGTATTCGCGTCCAACCACATTGTACACCTGTTCGAGATAAAGATGATGAGAGAGCCGCAGAAAAATGACGACGTGTACCTTGGTCATGACGACAATTTCGTCGCGGGGTAAATTCAACTTCTTGATCGCGCGTCCCAGAATAACTTCCGAGTAACCATTTGAATATGTCTAAGAAACGTTGATCGAGCAAGTTCTGACAGTAACATTGCTTGACTCACATCAGCAGTATCAAAAGTCTGAATTCCTGCTTCGTAACTGGTCCTAACGATCAGGGGTGGCGTGTACATGTTATTGAGAATGATGACTTACGCAACTTTGATGTGTTCGACCGCCTCATCCTCTCCGAGGACCCAGTCTTGCCATCCCTTGTTACCGTACTGCATGGTGCCAAGTATGATTCTGGACACCTTCAGGCCAGAATTCCCCAGCCTCACTGAGCACATAGTCAAAGTGAGTGCCTTCCTACGAAGTGTAGCCAGACTCACCATATGGCATTTTCCTCGGCATAGACATGTTAGTAAAAGGTACTTCGATTTGTCGAAGAGGCGAACAAGCTCAGACACTGAAGGTGAATAGCAGGACGATAGGAATGGCGTGCGATCTTGATATTTATGTGCATGTCGGAACCCGTACACATTCCCTCCGTCAGCAGGTTGCTCACCTGACGTGTGCTGCTCATCCATTTCCCGAGATTAGGTAGATAAGGGGATGTCATCATCTTTGGTCGTCTTCTAGGATGGCGCCCGGATGTTTTGAAGACAAATGTCATTATTTGGCAATAACCTTGGAATCAAACACCAACATTAGATGTTGCTGTGAGTCTGTAAGTTCAATAGTCACCCTCGTGGCGTAGTGCTAGCTGGTCTCCTCACAAATATACAATTGTACCATCATGATTGGCTAGAACCCGTCAGCCCATTCTGACAGCAGCCAGCTCCATGACCGATGAATGCTCGTGAATCAGGATGTCGAGGTTATTTCGGGAGTTGCCGGTGGTATACCTTCCTGACCACCACGCAGTCGCATTTTCACGCTGATCGCTGAGCTCCTTGTGTGTGCCAATGACCACGACAATGTAGAGTCATTGGCAAGCTGATAGACACAAGGAGCTCCTCACGAGTCACCCCTTCCGTCATTCTGCGTAAATTCAGGTCTCAGCCAGGTGACCAGTATCGTAGGTACCACATTCGTGTTCTCTCCCGATCACGGCTACACCGTTCATATTAATATCACCTCACTCGATGAATGCGATTCTATTCGCATGTACATGAACTGAGATCCGCCCTGATCCCCCCAAACATTCCGGGTATGGACGAGGGGAAAGTTACGATCACCTCTTGTCGTATATTTATCACGATCATGGCGTTGATCGCCCTAGAACTCATGATCACCTGGGCCACGCGGCAGTTTTTCAGTTCTCGGAAAGCTGCAAAGGACTACAACGATGCCTTTAATGCATAACTTACCCAGGCCTTTGCCGACCATCATGATATATCAGAGAGAACAACTACATTGTTTGGCGAAATTCCAGAATCAAGTAGAAGTCTGGGCGCCCCTGACTCCCCGAACCTGCAAAATTTAGAGGTCAGTTACATGCTCGGACTCTTCGGTCCGGCAGGTTTAACAGATGTCTTCACAGGACGGACTTTTTCATGCTCTACGTTGATAAGAACCCGCGAGCTACTCTTACACTCGATGAACTTCTACGCTTTGTTCATGAGGGATCCCGTGGATATATCCGACATCATACAGGCAGAGACAGAAGATCAAAGTAAGGGTGATGGGGCATCGCCATTCTTCAGCCGATGTGGTTCGTTCTCCAGCTTGCCGCCCGTTGCGTCCAGAACTTTCCGATGACACTGCTTGAGATCTGCAGGCCCGAGCAGCAACAGTTATGGTGGTTGTAGCTCCTCTGACCTGCATTACATATCGTCTGTGTGGAAGAACCCTAAGGATGCACGACGTCCTTATATTGCTCGTTGGAAAGCAACAGCATCACCAAGCGGCTTAACCTATGTGTATGTTATCAATATACTTGCCTGAATTCACTCTGATTCGCCTACATCTCTCCAAGGTGGGCCGCCGTCGTTATGTCAACTATCTCGGCTATCCATTTACCAGTCTTACGGGCATTGGCGCGACCATTCCGCCCGTGCTGTTCATTCAGTGACCGTAGCCACCTAGAGATGGAATCCCATCTTTAGGTGACTACGGTCAGTATCAATGTCATGGTAAAATCATACAAGGCTTCTCCTTGGAGGGATACATTGTCTGGGCTGGAACTTCTTGTTTCAGAAACACGGGGAGCAGATATTATAGCGTAAACGATAGGGTAACTCGGACCAAGTTTGTTCCACATTTGTGGATTCAAACATCGCCGTAACGGACTCTAATCAAGCAGTCATCTCACTTGCATACCATGAGCAACGCTCGGAAAGGCTCCCACATGATCATATCAGATATCGAAATGTGACTAGTTAGGCATCTAGATACGTTGGATACGCGCACGACATCAGTCCTGGTATAGTTTATGAACACATGCGAGCGTCAGTTTGCTGGTAATAAGTAGACTCATCACGGACCTGAACATGGTTTCTCGGGTCCCTGTGTTTACGACAATGCAAACGCTTCTTTTCATCTTTTCAGTCGACCCCGACGTGGGCGACGGTCCTCCCGCTTTCAGTTAGACTCAACGCCGCGTAAATTATCATACATACAAGATGGCTCGCCTGCGCCGCGACACACTTTCAGCGTCCAGCACTACTCATTCTCCAACATCTACCACCGCGAATTCACCTATGCCAAGTCCGATAACGCCCTCCAAACCATTTCGTATTTTCTCGACAGGGACAATATTCTTGACGTATTCATTGGACCTCTCCTCGCATCCAGTTCCGGGTACTACATCTCGTGCACAGGCAGTCACCGCCGCACGAGGTGGGAGCGCTGGACATGTACTCGGTTTTTTGGCAGCGCTTCCCGCTGCTGTAGAACCTATGCTCATAGCGAGTTTGGGCGCGTCACCCGACGGAATCCGACTCCGAGATGAACTTGAAGCTGGTGGAGTGCGCACGAAATACTGCAAACTCTGGCCCGGTCTTGGTGTTCCATCTGCATGGGTAATGCACGCCCGTGATACTGGTGAAAAGACTGTCATAAATCACAATCCGCTTCCAGAGGTGTCTCACGAAGATTTTATTGCCTTGCTTGGCCCTGTTCTGGCCCCAGAGAACTACGTTGGTGTTGCTCACCCCCAGCCCCCTCAACTACCTCCAAATCCACCTTCGCCCACTTCTGTCTTCCCAAACGCATTTGCTTCCACTCCACCACCGAGAACTAGCATGTCTTCCAGACCTGCAACAGCTCCAACAGGAAGCAGCGCTCCACATATGGCCATCGTGCCTACGCAAAGTCCATTTTCACCAGCGCCTTTTGACTGGCTGCATTTTGAAGGACGGAGTGTCAGAACCACCCTATCCAACATTCTTGGAGTAGACGGTCTCGCCCGCGAGCGAAAGTGGCGAGGTCATTGTGTTATTAGCGTGGATCTCGGTCGGAGGGCACGAGAAGGCGTCGAAGCCGTAAGTCCTCTTTGAACTTTTCTTAAACGTACTTTATTTGACCATTTTACGCAACCAGCTTATCCCCCATGCAGACATCATCTTCCTTTCAGCCCACACTTTCCCTTCACTCTCTAATCCCCAACCTAATGCTGCCAACCCTGGCCCACCTTCTCCGCGCGCTATTCTCCTTGCGCTCGCACGACACGCACCTCCACACGCGCTCCTTGTCTTATATGGAGGTGCGCTCGGTTCAGCCCTCCTCTCCCTCCCCACGCGTGAGTACCTCCAGTCCTCCTCCTGGTCTCCACCCCCGATAGGGTACAGATCCCACGCACACACCAACTCCAACTTACATTCTATCATCTCCACCGCCGAGGGTGTCGAGAGCGTTCGCAGCGGGTCAGAATTTTGGGCTGGCGGCCGCAGCCCCGACTCAAGCGGGTTCAACATGGGCAATATCTCCTCATCTGCCGGAAATCGTGATAGTGGATACTCAGAAGACCACGAGGACGAGCCGAGGGGGCGCACGTCATCAGCAGGAGAATCCTTCCATCCACTCGACGATGACGACGATGATGACGACGACGCGAGGTCCACGCATACCACTCGCGGGACATCCCTGCCGCACTCACTTCCAAGCCCTCATCTTCACACCAACGGTCATGTTCACGGTCACAGCCACGCACACGTACGTCCTCCGCAACACGTGCGTCCTCCGCGACACGCGCGTCCCCCACAACGTGTACAGAGCTCTGTGCACGCGCAGCCTTTACCACCGCTCTCGGAAGACCTGCAAGACGAGGAGGGTGCGCATTCCGCGTTCGTCGCGGGGATGATCTGGTCCCTCAGCCGGCGCATTCTTCCAGGTGCACCGTACACACCCGTGCAAGCGGAGGAGAAGGAAGTAGACCCCACCGCGCGGTGGAGACTCGACGAGTGCATGCGATTTGCGACGGAGTGTGCGGGGCGCAAAGCTGGTGGGTGCGAGTGGGGCAATTTGGCTATGGAGATGAGAGATGCGGGGTGGTTTGATTGATCGACGCACTCGTTGACGAAAAGCATTTAGTTTTGTATTTGGTTGATTATGATACCTTTACTGATATACCCTCTTGGACATCTGGTTTTACATTGTACATATACCATCTTGCCGAATTCCAGATGCTGATACGTTGGCCTTCTGGTTACTGAAGTTATATATGTCTTGAGCAGACATTGCGGGGCAGGCAGCACTTTATTTGCTCTCATCACGGATCTCGTACCCAGCACCAAGAGACTGGGTTGGTTGCGAGGTCGACGTTCGCTTGCAACTTGGCCAGATATCCAGGCCTATTGTCTCTCCAAAAGTACTTCGGAATATAAAATGACATAGTCCCACGACGAAATTTCGGACATATTTCTCCTGCTCCCTACAAAATACCCACCACGCATTTCTCGTACTACACACCACTGCTAGTCGACACATGTACGCGCTGGTGCTGAAAAGCAATCGAACTCACGCTAGTTTTGGCGTCAGAATCCGCCACGAGCTTAGCGTGATATTCTCGAACGCTAAGGATGAGGCGTGGTCCCAGCACAAACATTTGCGCGGTCCTGAAAATTTGAAGACCAGCGCTGTATATCTCAGCTCCCGTGGAACTTGAGTTCTATAGAAATGATGAGCAGTGGTAGCATGCAGAGCCTCGGCGATAAATAGGCGCACCAAGATCATTGGAGAGAGGTAACCAAGCTGGAGGCAAGAAACAGCGGCAAAGCTAACACGTGCGGAAGTCAGCGGAGCGATGTAACTCTATTCAAATTACGAGCTTACCTTGCAAAATAAATCATGTGAGATTTTATTAACACCGCGAAACAGTTCCCGATGGTCAATCTTCTCGATGGTTCAAGTCGTCGCATTTGAAAGAAGTATTGCCCAGCAATCCAGACTGCAAGAAACAGTGCGAGGACCTCCCATACAGTGTTGAGTGTCCAAACCATTCTAATCAGAAGGTTGACATCTCCCTTGTAGTAATGAGTGCACATATAGGTGCCGGAGAGGATGAGCTCCTCTGGGATTCGTCCGATCAGCCTGACTCTTTGATACACAACTGAAGCTAAAGCATACCCCCTGACAAATACCTGAGTCCTATTGCCGTGATCACTCCGCAGGTGACGTTGATAGCCAGGAAGCTGACAATGAGAAAGATAAGCATCTTTCGAGATCCCTGATACATGGCATGCAACCGAGCGACCATGATGACTAAGATGATACGTCAGTCAAGTCAATATCACTGAAGTATCACAGCTCACCGCCCAGTATCGCAGCTACGACCACGTTTGTCACATTTAGCGCAAAGTACATAATATCACCTAAAACACCTGATTAGTAATCACTCTCGAAGGATTATACACTCTAACGAAACTCACAACTGTTGTAGTTATTATATCGAACCAACGAGCTGAGTCGAGAATACCACTCACCCCTAGTGCATAGACAGGTAATTGGACGGGAATGACAGGCGTTAGTGGAAAATACTCACTGCATCTGAGATTGACACCGAGAATGACGGAAGAGTATCTGTATGCTGCCAGTCAGAAGAACCAAATGCAGTTTATCTATGCAAGAAGACATACACAACGCGAAAATGCTGATTGGTAGAGATGGCTTGTTAGTGTAGTGGCCACCTTGTTAGACTTGCAAACATACACAGCATATGGTATTCCAGCGTAACGCACCTAGAATAGTTCGAAGTCAGCAAAACTTGCCAGCTATGGCGTAAGTAAGGCTACGTACACTCAGATATAGAATGGTCATCAGGGACCAGCGTTGCCTCTAGGCCGAAATAACTGTATTATGTATCCTGTCGTCTTCGGATGTGGGACTTTGCGTACCCATATCAGTTCAACCTATAACACATTCTTAGCGAGATGGCTGCTCCAGTGATGACATTAAGCTACCTCTTGTCCAAGTGTCAACACTAGAAATACAATTAGGATATCAGCGGTTTCTCGAATACTATCTTGCTCACCACAATCGTATATCACCACAGCAGAGGAGGCAACTGTGGTCAAGGTTAGATCGAGACATCTTCCGACTAGTCACTGGCTCTCCACGAACCTACAAAATAGCTGTTGAAACGATACGAACTAATTACCGGCCACCAACTGGGATCATTTGAGACTAGGGTCATGTTACTAGATGTGATGAATGCATAACGGTGGCGTTTGTGCTAGATATACCACCATCCAGCGCTTGTAGTATTGCCAAAATCGGCATGATGCCACCGGACGCCTCAAGGCCGTTGATAAATGAAGTAAGGATTATGGCACGAAAAGTTAAAATCTTCGAGGGGATTGAATCAAAGTAGACTTTGGGTTGTGGATTTGGACGATGAGCAGTGTCAGTGTCGCGCGAAATGACACTGTAAAATCCGAAATACTCTTTATGATTTCGGGAACTTGTTTCGAATGTGATTCTCAAAATGTTCTGCAAAGTGCCACACTTGCATCAGTTTAGGAGTTCCATCAGTGATTTCATCAATCAGACACAGGTCTAGGAGTGATGATCATGTAACCATCGAAAAAGCCTGCCGTCTCAATCATTCTCGATGAGGATTGACCCGAGAATTTAGAGTCGTAACCAGTCTGAACTACGTCTTTGAGATGTTAAGAAGTTGACGTAGTCACACTCAATAGCAATGGATCATTCCTAAATGAGAAATGGAATAAGCTCAAACGCAATAATAGCTCACCTCTCCCCATACCTAAGCTGCCAACACACCTCCACTGGCAGTGCAATGACTCAGTCTCCAAGCCGACCCTTCGGTGCTTAATCTCCCTCCAAGGCATCGCTTTTGTCTGTCGCCTCATGCGCACTTCCTCCCTCTCCGCCGTGGTCAGCATCGGGCGATAATTGATAAATGATGTGGTAAGGGCTGTGTGGATCTAATGCAGCATGCAAGCTTCTGGTCACACGTGACCCGTGACCGTGTCACTACCCCACACGACCCCGAACACAAATAACATACTGATTGTCATTAATCGATCTATTGGTTTCCCGGCCCATCCCGAGACCTACATAGTACTACTGTCTCCCAAACCTGCAACTTTCTCGCGGAGATCAGCTAGTCCCTCAGCCAGCGCATTCGAGTACCATACACTCCCCGTGTAGACGACGAAGAACTCACCGAGCGGTAGCGGCTCCACGAGTGTTTGCGATTTTCGACAGAGTCTGTGGGGCGCAAGGCTGGCGGGTGAAATGTTATTGATTGAGACTGGTTGAACAAAAGTATTTCACCATCATTTTTGTTTGGCCGATCGTGGTACCTGTACTAACACACCTTCACGCACGTCTAGTTTCTACTGTACATATACACTGTCTAGCCGGAATGCACCAATTTTCAGATGCGAGGTGTTCTCCTTCCTGGTCACAGAAGATATACATTTCTTGAGCATATATATCGCGGGGCAGGCAGTATACGCCTGCGATAATATATTAACAACGCCCTACAGAATGCATTGTAGAATGGATGGATCATGGAACGGCCATAAGGAGCCCTGTCAGAAGGATTTGCCATTCCCTCATCGCGTTCTCACCACAAATACTCAAGGAAAGGTGGATTCAAGGAGACGCACTTCCTCTGGTATCATTCATAAGGCTCAGGTTACGGGCTACGAGCTCTTTGACATACAAACACAAGCATAGCGAACCAGGTAACACAAGCCTAAGCGAGTTATTGTTTGTTCTCACATCGCAGAGTGCTTGCAGGTATCTGCACTACCTCTATCACATATGATGCACCAGGAAGATTGAGCGGTCCTTCCGGCCACATAATTGGCCATTCGTAAAATTTGAAAGGCGCGCGTGACGGGAATCAAATATTCCTTGCGCGAGCACGCAGTTGCAAAGTTCATAGTTTGGACTGGAACTCGGATAAGAGATGCTTAGGCAAGTTTCTTATGCTCATTCTTGTAATTATCGAGTACCAAGGACTGGGTTGGTTGCGAGGCATTCCGCATGTTTTCAGCTTGCTGCTCGGTACAAGCGTGGGTAGGCAGCTACTTGGTGTCCATAGTGATACAACAAGGATTTGGTTTTCCTAGACCTCTATAGGCTATGATCCCATTAAATATACTTTAGAACGCGATATAAATACGAAACTTGAATCGATTTTCTCCTTATCCCTGCTCGACAAGCATTACTCGCGCTACACACCACTGCCAGTTGACATATGTACGCGCGACTGGAAGGCAATTGAAGTCATGGCAGTTCCTGAGTCAGAGTCGGCTACGAGCTTAGCGTGATATTCTCGGACGCTAAGGATGAGGCGTGGCCCAAGTAAAAACATCTGCACGACCTTGAAAATTTGAAGAGCACCACCATACAACTGAACTGCCACAGAAGATGATTCCTATAGAAACGATGAACAGTTGTCACATGCAGATGTCAGTCCAGATCAGTGCACCAAGATGGTTGGGGAAAGATAACCAAGCTGGAGGCAAGAAACAGCAGCAAAGCTAGCACGTGCAGAACTTCAGCGGAAAAATATGACCATATTAATTACGAGCTCACCTCGCAAAGTAAACTAGATGAGTTTTGATTAACATCGTGAAGCAGTCCCCGACGGTCCATCCTGTCGATGATCGTTGTAGTTCGCGGAGGTGTTTTACAGCAATCCAGAGTGCAAAAAACAGTGTGAAGACCTCCCACACAGTGTTGAGTATCCATACCATGGAAATCAGAAGTACGGTATCTCCCGGATAGCTATAACCGCACTGATAGGTGCCGGAAAGGATGATGGCCTCTGATGTTGTCTGATAAGCCTTTTCCCCTTGATACATGACCAAAACTTACGCCCTGAGATCTCCCTGAGTATCAATGCGACGATCACTGCACAAGTGATGTTGACAGCCAGGAAGATTGCAATGAGAACAATAAGCATCTTTCTGGATCGCTGATACATGGCATGTAACCGAGAAATCATGATGACTTTTACAATGTTTCAGTTGAGCCACCACTGAGGCATCGCAGCTGGGTAACTCACCGCCCAGCAGGGCAGGCAGGATCACATTCGTGCAACTTATTGCGGAGTACAGAATATTGCCTGAGACACCCGATTAGTGATCACCCTCGCAAGATCAAACACGGCAATGAAACTCACACCTGTAGTCAATATATTGAACCAAAAAGGTAGTCAAGAATTTCTAAGAGCTTACTCCTGCATGTGAGAGCAGTTAATTGGACGGGAATGACAGGCATCAATGAAGGATACTCACTGTATCAGTCACCGAGAGTAACGGAAGATTTGCTGTATGCCGCGGGTCAGAAGCAACAAACATAGTGTATGTGACACATACACAACATGCTGACGCTGATTGTGAGGGATAGGCTATTAGCACAGCGCCAATTTGTTAGCCTTGACAACATACGCAGAATATGGTATCCCAATATAGCGTATCTAGAACATTGTGGAGTCAGCACAACTTGCTAACCATGCTATAGTATAAACTTGGGGTACGAACAACGAGATACAGAACAGTTATGAGGGACCAACGTTGCCTCTGCCCCGAATTAATTTTATCGACCCATTTTGTTTCTGATATGGGATTCTGCCACTCACCCAGATCAGTTCAATCTATAACACAATTCTTAGCGAGATGGCTGGTCCGGTATAATTCAACCTACCTCTTCTTCGAATGTCAGTACTAGAAATATCGAAAGGATATCAATGGAACTTCAACACTACTAGTATTTCGCTCACCCCAATCGTATATCACCGCAGCACAAGCAGCAACTGCGAATCCCAGTCAAGGTTAGATCAAGACATCAACAATTGGATCTCCACAGACCTAAAAAATAGCTGTTGAAACGAGCGGAATTGATTAGCTCCCACCAAGCGGGATCATTTGAGACTAGGGTCATAATCGAGGGAATGGTGTAGGTGGGCGGAGACCTTGGTATATAACGATGGCATCCGTGCTACATATACCCTCACCCGGCGTTTATATGGCTAAAATCGGCATGATGGAGATGGATATCCATCCCCCCCCTTATGTAAAAGCCTTGATCGATGAACTCAGGTGGAAAGTGGAAGTCCTTGTTTGAATCAAATATTTTGGGTTGTGGATGTGTAAACCAGTGGCGGGAAGTTTGTTCGTGATGTCGGCCCGAGTGAAATGCTGTACTTATTGGCCGGTCATCATTGAAATATTGATGCATCATGTAAACAGCCTGAGTGACACAGGCCTATAGTAGCCGGCGTGATGTGCATGTACACGTGTAGGGAACTCACCTTTCCAACTTGAACTGCCAACATCCCAACATCCCTCGAGAAACCTCGAAGCACACACGTCAGTGCTTAATCTCCCTGCAGCAGCTCCTCCTCGTCCTCAGGCATCTATTGCGCATCTCCTCGCGGTCACAGGGCTATGGCAGAGAGATAAGGTAAACGTAAACATTGAGCGACATTTCGACGAATCTGATGGCAAAAACTCACTAACGCCACCCATCTTCACAGCCTTGAGATACATCTTGTGTCATAATACGTGATTGCTGAGGCCACCGTCATACTATGATAGAAAAGCTTCAAGTTTGTAATGTATATTTACATAAGTTCATGTTGCACATGCTTACGCGCGCCGGCCTCAGGCCCTCAGCACAAACTCGCCGCCATGCAGGGCAGACTACACGTGTTTAGTTAGATGATAGAGGTCAAACTTAAGACCCGTTCTACAATTCGCACGGCTACAATATCAAGGTCTCATCGGTTTACTGATGAAAGACGGAACTGCTCAGCCTGTTACTGAGGAAGTGGACAACATTATTGCGGACGTTTTTCGCTGATTTGCGATGCGTAGTTGACAAGCGAATTGGCCGTAGAATCTCCCCGCTTTGTGGCCAACTCATCTATAAAACCGAAGTAGACGTATTCCGGGTATTTGGCATGTGAGTCCTTTGTGTTCATTGAGCTAGCCAGTCATCATGGTCTCTCGGTTGCTGCGTGCCAGACACCTTCAATATCTGTTTGGTTTCTCACTACAGGTCCCTCAGGTTCCTTCATATGCCCTCCAAATGCGTGCGCTCAAAATGAATTCCCGCTTGCCAGTGGTCGGTATGCGCGTTCGTCAGACATGCATGCGCATTTCTGTCATTACCATTAACTCAAGTATTGTTCAAGATGGTTTACTTCATCATCAGCATCTTATCATTCCGACTCGAGCATCTGATGGCATCTATTAGTACAGGTGTAACAGCGTGGGCGTAACGTGACTAGCAGCAGGGTTCGAAGGCATCGAGAATCGAGATGCTCAAATGCCCAACAACAGATCATCAAATCTCGGTCAGTTGGTAAGACGATATCCCATGCTTGGCGGACTGCAATTCCCAATCGTGATTCCTCTCCATTTTCAACGAGGCAGTCTTTCCAATCCGGGTCATAGCGAGTAGATGGCTGTCCGCGAATGCGGATGGGCACGGGCAAAGGATAAGAGTCGGGATATATGGTTCTATACTATCCACCAATTAACGAATGCACGCGGAACTGCCGCTGGGAAGGAAGATCAATAAATTGGATAGTGCCAAAAAAAAAGGGCTTACGATTAGTTGATGGAGTGGTCTGTGGCTGTTTCGTGATCTCCGTGGTGGACTAGGGACGGGCTCAGACACCAGGGGCTCTCCCCCCGCAGGACAGCAAGTCCAACTTCGACAGGCAGCGGATGGATGGGATCTAATTTCTAAAGACTGCTACTGATATGCGTGCCTACACTGTGCGAACCAGGACTCCAGCCACTGTGCCAGGACCTCCGGCACTCCCACGGCGCGCCAGGTCTCCCCACTACAGTGGGCAGCATGGTAAGCCAGATATCTTGGAGTACTGCAAAGAGAGGGTCAGAACTGTAAGTTGATGTATGCAAAACAAAGAAGATATCATACCCTCACTAATGAGAGCGTACACTTGAAGGCGGGCTCCTGGTTCATCGCCTTGTTTCTTCTTCCGAGTCGACATCTTCTTTATCCGAGTAAGTGACTCCCCTGACTGCTTCTTTAATTGAGCAATCGACCGATCTAATATTTCCAAGCTCTCGAGCGCCTCCATCGTTAGCTGCTTCTCTTGTAACCTCTCTCGATAGGACTTGGTGCTTACCGTACAGGGCCGGTAAATCCAGATGGTTCTCGTTCGAAGACTTCATTCGCAGGGTCATAGAGTAAAATTAACTTCATAATGATGACAGTAGCAGATAATGGTTAATTAGTAGCCCCTATCATAATTTCTTGCTCTCGCTACATGACAAAAGCCCCCCTACACACCGAACAACTCGACCCGAACTCTCACTAGTTAGCCTCCTAGATCTTAGAGCTTACCACTACGATGGCAAGTCGTCGCGCGTCGAGAGCAAGGCCCATAGCCTCGTCTGAAGTAGAGTCGATAAGCGTAGCTTATGATGCTGACTTCATGATTTTGACGTTTGGTCGGACAGAGATTGAGAACTACGGGTGTTAGACAACAAATGAAGTGGCGACACTGCAAAATCTGGGAGGGAATTATTCAGTTTACAGTAGCAGTTCAATCCGAGTGAGGCGGATGGAAGGAACTTGTGTGCGTGGTTCGATCAAAGGCAAATCAAAGGCGGTCAAAATTTGAATTTCAACGATCCGACGGTGAAGGGCATTTAAATGTAAGCGTTGTAATAGATGTCTCGTTCAAGTGAACCAGTGTATGATAACTGATACAGATACTGTCAAAGTACAGATGAAAACAGCTCGAGGATCTCTGTATTTCAAACTACGAGTAAGCGCTCACCGCGAGCGCAGCATTTTAACAGCGCACTTCGCTCTTATTGGAGCTGGAGAGCTGAGTGAAGTGTGATTGAGGATTGTAGACAGGGTGAGGTGACATTACCGAAGACATACCAGCGAACCAAGCACATAAGCTGGCCTTTATAGCGTCATCAATCTTCTCCATGATGGATTGGTACGATTCGATGGCTGCTCCAATTCTACCTGCCCGAAAGAGTGCATGACAGTGTTGCTGGTTCGCGGTTTGCCACAAGGACTTGAGGTCCCAGCCGAAGAGCTGCAGAAATGTAAGCACGAAAATGATATTCGGTCACATCATATCAACGTACCACGACAAATTCCTCGTACATCGAATGAATTTCCAATTTATAAAAGAAAGCACTGGCATTGACGGCAGAAGTGAAGTGGTCAACAGCTGCATTATGGCGCGCGCCGTCCAAGGCAATGTTGCCTAGTTGGACGCGTAGATACGCCTGATGTGCGAAGGGCAAAAAAAAATCAGTGCCAGCACACAAACCTAGTCGTGATCGAGCGCATGATACTCACTTCCACGACACGACAGGCAAGATGATCGGCATTTGGACATACAGATAGCTCTTCGACGCGCTGTATTGCCTCTTCATGTTCATTTGCATTGAACAGCGCGATGGTCTGAAAATCGCAATGAAGTATGGAGTACGTAAGAGAAATATTACCCGCCTTGATGAAAAAAAGAAAATGATCGGTCTTTGAATCTCCATTCGTGAACATGGACGCGAGGTCAAATGATGTCCTCCCGACGCGGACTTGCTTTTTTCCGCAGATGGCAATCCCCTTGGAAATATGACCTGCCAACGTGGGCTGAATGCTGACGGACTATGTCACTATCAAAGTTAGCTTTTGTAACGGGGCCATGGTGGGTCAGTCTATCTCGCCTAAATTGCATCACGAAGCGCATGGTCCCAGTCGCGTTTTCGCGCCATAATAAATGCGCGACTGGCATAGGAGGTATGATCGCCGGCGCCAGCGTCGATCTCTATATTTAGCACCTTCTCAGCGGTAGGCAAGTCCCCAGTTATGCACGCATTACGGACTGTTGAGTCAGCAACGAGGACCTGAGTGAAGCATATTCGCATTGCGTTATCAGAGTAAAAGGAGGGAACATACCTTGAATTCGCAGTAGGCTTGAGCCTTGGTATAAAAAAGAGACTTAGATGATGAAGGGGCGGGAAATGATAATGAATTTACCTGGTGTATCGCATGCTCCTTCATGAGACCATTATTTGGATCTTCCTCTGGCAAAGTGTCCTCGGATGCTGGCCACTCTGATATTTTCTCATCTACACCTCCACTGAAGATATGCCTGCCATCTGCGGAGAAGGTGACGCAGTTCACCTCGCCAGAGTGCTTGAATACGGCGATGGTTCGTCGATCTGAGAGCGGCCAGAGGCGGACACGGTTGTCATCGGAGGCGGAGGCAAGGAGAGTCCCGTTAGAGTTCAAGGAAATAGCGCGGATAGTCTTGAAATGGCCCTTCCAGGGATCGCCGACCCGCTGCCAGGTTGATGTATCCCACTCTCGTATGGTGGGATCATTCGCGTGACCTCCCGAGAGAAGGCGCGTGCCATCGGGCGTCCACGCGAGTGAGTTGTTGCATCCTTCACTGATACCTGCGCTGTACTGAGTCCGGACGTATTCGTAGTTCCCTGAATTGTATTCGTAGTTGTACTGGGTTTTGTCTTGGTAAATTTTGATATTGTGCTGTGTTGCGATTGCAAGAAGTCCGCCAGACGGCGAATACCGAACGCAGCGGACGACCGTATTGTCACCACAACTGATTTTTGCTTGCTGCTGCCATGTTGATGTGTACCACAGTTTCGTCGTGGAGTCTGATGATCCACTGGCCAGTATTTTACCATCGGAAGAAAAGTCAAGGGATAATATCCAATCGGTGTGGGCACTGATAGGTTGGGTGAGAGGTTCCCCGGTTTCTCCATCCCATGCAATGAGTTCTCCCTTGCTATCACCACTTGCTATCAACCGCCCATTCCGTGATACCGCCAATGCCTGCACCCGATTGTGATGCCCCTCCATCATCTTCAACACTAGACCTGTCGTCAAGTCCCACAGACGAACCATCTTGTCGTCCGAGCATGTGACCATACGTCGTTTATCAGAGAAGACCGCGACTGCGGACACGCGTGCTTCATGTTCTTCAAACTCTCGAACAGGTATGGTGTTTGGAATGAGCTGTGCCATTACGTTGACGGTATTGAAGGGCCAAAGTGGATTTGGTTGGGGGGATTTTGGGTGTCTGGCTCGGAGTTGCAGAGGTGCATGTACTGGTGCGTTTTTATGCTGTTTCATAACATTAACTTCTCACAAGACGCCCAAGACATGAGGCTGTTATCATAAGCACATTGCATGACGATCTAAGCATATGTCCGACTCGTGTCACCGCAGCTTTCCTGATAAGTCAACGAGCCTGGCCGCCTGATCGCATCACTGCAGGTGTTGAAAAACACTATCGATTGTGGAGTGAATGGACCCAACCCTTCGACCATCCAGAAACAACTCAATCCCAAGATTTGGGCGCGGGCAGGCACAATCTTTGATGGCCGTTATGCCAGCTCAAATCTGGCTGGCACAACACTTAATACGAAGGAACGACGATCTTCCTTCGATTGGTCTGGCTAGGGAAGACTAGGCGCAGCAGCAACCTTTCAATCCCAACTACGCCCCAAGCTAGGACGTTCCCGGTTTTCAGTTGCTATGAATGAAGTCAAGTGAAGTAATAAGGTATTCTGATCACTGTCATTGCAGGGGTCCGCGGTACGTGGGCAGCTACTTGAGACGTGACACAACAAGAAATTAGTTTCCCCAAACCCATTCTCTCTGAACCTTGGAATATATACTTTGGAACACCAAACAACTTATACATACAAACGAAACTTCGAAAAAAATCCTCCTGCTCCTTCAGAGAACCTGACAAGCATCTCCCGTACTACACACTGCTGCTAGTTGACACATGTACATACTCCTGGAAGACAATTGAAGCCATGCCAGTTGCTGCGTCGGAATCGACCATGAGCTTAGCGTGATATTCTTGAATGTTGAGGATGAAGCGTGGTCCCAGCACAAACATCTGCACGGTCGAGAAAATCTGAAGGACACAACCATACGCCTCAACTGCTACGGAAGATGACCCCTATAGAAATGATGAGTAGTGGTCGTATGCAGAGGTCAGTAACGAATCAGCATACCGCGATCGTTGGAGAGAGAAAACCAAGCTGGAGGGAAGCAACAGCAGCAAAGCTAGCATGTGCAGATCTTCAGTGGCAAAGACATGTACATTTACATTACGAGTTCACCTTGCAAAGTAAAGTACGTGAGATTTTATCAAGACTGCGTAACAGTCCTTGATGATCGATCCTGTCGATGGTTCGAGTCGTCGCAGGTCACGGAAGTATTTCACAGCAATCCAGACTGCAAGACACAGTACGAGGACCTCCCATCCAGCGGTGAGTGCCCAAACCGCTGCAATCAGAATGCGGGTGTCTTCCTCGTAGTCAAAAACGCAGGAATGGGTGCCAGAGATGATGAGCTCCTCTGGTATTCGTTCGGTCAGCCTGATTCTTTGATACATAACTCCAGCTTACCCCCTACAGTATACTTGAATCCTATTGCGGTGATCACTCCGCAGGCGATGTTGACAGCCAGGAAAATCACAATGAGAAAGATAAGCATCTTTCTGGATCCATGATACATCGCATGTAACCGAGTAATTAAATGACTTGCATGACGTTTCCGTTGAGTATCACTGAGATACTGCAGCCATGGGTAGCTCACCACCTAGCATGGCAGTTATAACCACATCTGTCCAATTTAATGCGGAGTTAGAGTTCATGATATAGCCTGAAATAATGAATTAGTCATGGTGATCATTCTCGTAGGATCGAACGCTCTCATGAAACTCACACCTGTGTAGTCATTATATTGAACCAAGAAGCTGGTTAGGCATTGCACTCACCCCTACATAGGAGGAAGTTGATTGGACTGGAACGACAAGTAGATTCATTACTCACCGCATCCGTCACCGGGACTGACGGAACATTTTCTGTGTGTCGCCGATCAGAGAAAACGATCACAGTGCATATTGAGACATACGCAGCAAGTAAGTACTGATCGCAAGAGAAAGCTTATTAGCACATCGCTTCCTTGCTAGCCTTGCAAACATGCACAATGTAAGGTATTCCAATGTAGCGCACCTAGAATATTTTGACGTCAGCACAACTAGCCGACTGCGCTTATAATACAACCCACGTACAGTGAGATATAGAATCGTCATCAGGGACCAGCGTTGTCTCTGCCCCGGATTAATTGTATCATCCTGTTATATGTAACTCTGCTTAGCAGGTAAATTCAATCTATAACACCATCTTTAGCAAGATGGCTGTTCCGGTAATGGCATCAACCTACCTCCTGTCCGAGTGTCAGTGCTAGCAATACAATAAGGACATCAATGGTTCTTTAATACTATTTCGCTTACCCCAATCGTATGTCACGGCTGCACAGGCTGAAACTGCGAAACCCAGTCAAGGTTAGATCAAGTCATTACCAACATCATCCGACTGGACCTCCACGAACCTAAAAAAAATAGCTGAAAAAACGACCCGAATTTGCTACTGGCCACAAGCGGGGATTGTTTGAGACTATGGTCATATTCGAGGGGTGGGAGTGAGTGAGTGAGTGAGTGAGTGGGAGAACTTAGTGGACATGTCACAACAGTATTATATACTGCCATCCGGCACTTGTGTCGCCAAAATCGGCATGATGGGGAGGAATAATCGTTCTTGCCTCAAGGCCCTCGCTGAACCGATGTAGGGATTGCGGTTCGAAATCAAATAGACAGTGGAAGTCCTCGATTTGAATTGAGTTGGAATTTGAGCCGAGGATCTACAGACCTGTGTCACGCACGACGGATGTTTGCAGATCGGGACAGTTTGAAAAGTTGTTCGTGATGTTGGGAGCTTTTTCCAATGCCATTCTCGAGATGTTCTTGCCACGCTTGCATCGCCGATTCAGGAGTTACATGGGTGATATCTAGCATGGGTCTCAGCATGAAGTGATTATCATCAACAAGCTGAAACCCTGCCTTCTCAATGGTCATTCTCCACGAAGCCATCTGCTCTCTCTCGACCATGCTGACCGAACGCAGTGGACGTAACAGCTCCTCAGAGGTCTCTGAACAAGGTCCCTTCCATGCTGTCAGTATGGCACCGGGACATGAGACAAGAAAAACAGAATGAGTCGATACGAACCAAATGTAACATACATGTCCCTCCCGGGCTGCCAATACTCCTCCAGACCCCTCAATGCCCACCATTCCTCCTCGTTAACAACATATCCGCCGCCTCGCGCGCATCTCCTCCCTCGGTCATCGGGCTATCATATGACAAGGATGATGCCAAGAATGATGGGTGTGAAGTGATTCATGCAAAACGCACTACACTCGATGCATCGCGCAGTTGATGCGATTGTGATGCATCACACAACCATCCTCGTTCATAATCCGTGATCGATATCAGTTGAGTGTACGACGCCATGCCATATCTAGGTCAACACGGAAATGAGAGGGAGACAAGAAGAATCGGACGCACCTGTAGGCCCGCAAAATTACACAGGAAGTCTGACTTCTGATTCTTCTAATTGCACAAGCTCATGTCGATGGCCATTGTATGTCGTGATCTTTTTCTGTCCCGAATCGAGCTGGTGTACACGAGAGAGCTGTGAGCGTAAGATAACTCGGAAGATCAATTATCATCAGCAAAGAACCCATCACGCTCAGCAAAACTCAGCGCTCAGCAATATCATAGGCAGGCTATGAAAGCTACGCCGTAGTTTGATGGTTCCACCTCGCATACGGATAGTCAAAATACAAAGAGTAACGTTTCATCTCGCGCGCATAGGTCGGCGAATCAGAAACAATCGCATATATACAGCTTAGCCTGGGTTTCCAGTCACACATCAATGATCAAACTTCGTGATGAGCTCACTGAAGGTGTGAAGTCCGTGCAGGCGGAATACAACATCACGGATGTTTGCTTCTGCTGGATTCGACCTACTGACTCACTGGAGGTACCTCCCCAGAAGAGTTGATTTGACTACATATAGGCTATCTTGGAGCCGCCTTGTTCGCCGCAGATAAGATGGAAAATTACTTGGGACCGGAGTGTCCAATGGTTTTTATTTGTACACCTAGCTGAGAGCGCTACCCAGACCTAGGGCCTTCCTCCTGCAACGACAACACCAGCAAGCCCACGTTGGAGTAGTGCCGAATGCCTGAGACCTAGATGATGCGCGGATCGACTGAGATTTGATGATGCTACACTACGAACATGCTAACGCCTGACCCATGTGCTGACTAAGCTACGGAAATGGCCGAGAGAGCTCTCGGTGCGTGACCTTGCCCTTGGAACCCCTAGTCCAACGTCATTGTTTATGCTGCGCCAACTCTGTTGGCTTCGAGCTTCAGCCGGCTATGAACACCTACAGAAAAGGCTGTCGCGCCCATTATAGCGAGAACCCAGGAGTATTCGCGCGTGTAGGGTAGAGTGATACATTTTCGAACGAGTAGGAAACATATGTCCTCGTCGTCGATGGCATCCTCTCAACTGTCTTTGTCGCCCTCTTCATCATCCTCGGCTGTAGAGGACTGGATGCCCAGGGAATCTAGGGTCCCAAGGGGTTCTTCGACGTGTGCTGATAGAAGCGTGACTGGATCTGACTGGATCTACATGGAATTTTAGCACTGAGATGGCAACCCGTAAGAAATGAACAGACGTTGCGCAAACGTCTTAGAAGGCCTTTTAAGGACAAAAAAAAGTGAACTCACCCTTTGATTCTCTGGCTGTTATAGAATACCAGCCTTCTATTCTATCATCAGATGCGGGTATAATTTCCCAACACATCAGAGCGCGCCTCCTCTGATTTTTATTTGACTGAGGCAAGCACTGGCAAGAGATTGAACGGGTCGATTTGTACAGCAGTTGCCCAAAGGGAATCGTAGGCTGTCGGTGCATCAGGAGCAAAGCTATCATGTGGATGTTCACGATCGCATTAACGGCTTTTTGATAAATAAATAGAGGATGCACCACGTAGCATTGATCATACCCAGGTTCATCCAAAGTTCAATATCGTAATGGTTCGTGTCGGTGGTTGTTTGGATTCCAAACAACCATCGACGACACGAACCATGTCGATATTCCTTGCCACCTCGTCCTCTGCCTCGTCTTGTTCATCTTACTGGGGTTGAAGGTGCCTTGCCCTTGAACTGTATCTGTGACTGAGGTATTGCAACTCGGCAACTCACCGCCCAGCGCGGCGGCCATGACCACATCCGTCCAATTTATTGCAGAGAACATACCATAGCCTGAAACACTCAATCAGTGATTATCCCATGTCAAACCCCGATGATACTCACACCTATTTTAATTATTATAGCGAACCAACAAGCTGGCCAGGAACCTCACTCACCCCTACATAGGAGTGCGGTCAAGTAGACGGAAAGGGCAAGCATCAGCGCAGAAAACTCACTGCATCTGTCACCGAGACTGGTGGAAGACTGTCTGTATGCCGTCGGTCAGAAGAAACAAACACAATGTATGCAAGGAGACATGCCCATCATGAACATACTGGTTGTGAGACACGGCTTATTAGCATAGCGCCAATGTTATGCTGGCCCTGAAAACGTACACAGAATATGGTATTCTGATGTATTGTATCTAGAACATTTTGCGATCAGCACTAGCCAACCTCGCTTATAATGCAAGCTACGCACACTGAGATATACAATAGTCATCAGGGACAAGCGTTGCCTCTGCGCCGAAATTACCCCGTTGTGTTCTAACACTCGAGTATGGGAGAGTCTGCTCACCCAGACCAGTTCAACCTAGCACAAAACCATTCTTAGTTGAGATAGTTACTCCCGTAATGGCATCATCTCACTTCTTGTGCGAATGTCAGTACTGGAAATAACATAAGGATATCAATGGCTCTATAATACTATTTCACTCACCCCAATCGTATACCACCGCAGCACAGCCAGCAACTGTAAAACCGCAGTGAAGGTTAGACCAAGACACCATATACACCACTGTCTCTCCACAAACCTGTAAAATAGCTGTGAAAAATTGATTAGTGGCCACCAGCTGAGATCATTTGAAACTAGGGTCATATTCAAGGGACGGGTGTGAGTGAGTGGGGAACTTGGTGAACGTATAACGATGGCGTTCGTGCTAGATATGTCACCATCCGGCACGTGTATCGCCAAAATCGGCATGATGCAGATGAATACTCGTTCCTGCTTCAAGGCCCTGAATTGACTGAACTAAGGATTGCAGTGTGAAATCAAGTAAAAAGTGGGAATCCTCGATTGAATCAGAGTAGATTGTGGGTCATGGACTTACGAAGCAGTGTCACGCACAGGGAATGTTTGAGCACCGGGAAACTTGTCGAAAAGTTGTCTGTGATGTTGCGGAGTTGCGTCATTCTCGAAATATTCTGCTCTGCTTGCATTAATTCAGGAGCCCCGTGAGTAAAATCATGCAGTCATCAGTCTACCACCGGTATAGGCGTGATGTGACCATAGACAATGCCTGCGGTCTCGATGAGCATCGGCACTCTATGTGCCCCGCTGGCGTGTGCTTAGGAGCGTAAGAGCTCCTCCGAAGTCTCATAACAAGGTCCCATCCTGTCAGCATGACACCAGGAAAGTCAGACACGAAAAATAGAACAGGTTGAAACCGAGCAAGCAGATACCTCACCTGTCGCAGCTGGACTGCGAAAATCGCTCTGAAACGCTTCCAAGGTCACCAATCAATACCTAATCACCATACTCCTCCTCGTTCTCAGCATCCCTTGGCTCACGCGCACCCCCTCGCTCTCTGCCTCAGTTATCGCAAGGATGCATAAAAATAGCGTAGGGCGAATCGCACACAAAACCCACGAACGTAATGCATCGTGTTCAGGTGATGGTGATGTATAGATTTTCTAGATCTCGTTTCATGATACGTGATTGGCATCGAATGCATCACACTATTTCTGGGTCGAAACATAAATGAGAGGTCATGGGAGATAAAAGATAGCCCTCACAACCACATGACCACACAGGAAGCTTGTTCTTCCAATTAGACAAGCTAAAATCATAAATAGTCATTGTGTTTCGCTTTCACTGACCTTCGTCGGTAACTTGACCCGGGCCATATACGCTAGACCATTATGAGCGTATTAGAGAGATACAGCAAAGAATTCCCTGCGGGATATCTATCACGCTAGCGATATCACGAGCAGGACACAGCAGTTCGATGGTTCCACCGTCGTAACGGAGGGTCAAAGTCAAGGGTTCGTTCTGTAACGTGGAGGTTGCCCCGCCGAGCGCCTTGAGCACCTCGCACTTGACACCTCGATAAGAACACCCGCATGCACAGCAGGTGGACTGCCCTGCGTACCACGCAGAGGGAATAACTATCGGTTGTTAGTGGCCACTAAACCAAAATGCCGAACGACATTACGGCTGTTTCTAGAGACATGAATCTTGTGCAAATCGCAACACAACACAACATCCATCCAAGCACATCAGGTTTGTGTACAATCTGATGATCTTTGAAGTATTTATATACTTACAGAGCACTGCACGCGGCGAGAAAGTTGCAAGTATTTCTAGAAATCCTGAACGAGCCAAGTAGATTGTTATGCGGGCAGCCGTTAAGGCTATCGCTCAATGCAGTGAATGATAAATGATCGATCAGATGTGTTCTTCATGGCGAGGAGTATTTGTGCTGGTTAGACTTTGAGGGTTGACTCGAGCCACAAGTAGGGACATCGTGTTATGACATTTCAACGTCCTCGTCATCGCTGGCATCCTCCCAGTCATCCCCGTCGCCCTCTTCGTCGTCCTGGATCGGGGAGGGCAGGATACCCAGCGCATCGAGAGTTCCAAGGAGTTCTTGGACGTGTTCTAATATAGGCGTGTCTGGATCTGACTGTGACTCGTGCAACTATATCGAAAAATGTCAGCACTGAGATATTAACCAGTAAGAAATGAAAGGAGGTTTTCTAGTAGAGCTTGCAAGGGAAAATGCGTAGGAACGAGGCAGACCTACCGTTCGGCAAGTTTCTAAGCAGTCCCTCGAGTCTCTGGCTATATCCTCCCATGTAAGGCCCTCGCTTCCTTCTACTTCGCCTCCTTCTTTCCGGCGTTCAGCTACCAGCCACCACCCCCACCCCATGAGGTACCAGCCTTCTACTGAGGTATCATCAGACGCAAGAACATTTTCCAAAACATCGAGAGCATCGTGGTAAGCGCCACACTCCAGAAGCAGCTTGGCGCGCGCAAGCCGCACAGAAAGAGGAAGAGCAGCAACTAAAGCTTGATTATGCGCAGGAGGCGCATCTGGTGAGGACGGTGGGAAAGTGAGAAGTGCAGCAAGTGCCTCCTCCGTTTTTTCTTGACTGAGGCGAACGCTAGCAAGGGATTGCAGAGCCTCGAGGTTATATGGATCAACCTGTAGAGCATTTGCCAGAAGGAGATCACACGTTGATGATGCAGCAGGATCAAAGCTGTTATCCGAAATAGGTCAACTCTTTCACGAAGGCTTTGTGATAAGTAAATTGAGGACGCACCATAGATCATATTCAGGGTCCATCCATAACTCGACCATTCCGATATAAGCCCTCACGATATTACTTTTCACCTCATCCTCTCCTTCGTCCTGTTCATTTTCCTGTATGGGTGAAGGTGCCTTGCCCTTGAGTTGTGTCTGAAGTATGTCGATAGCTGCCTGGTAGTGATTCAAAGCGGTATGCGGATCGGCAGATAGTTGAGCAAGATAAAGGTGCGCTGAGGGTGGTGGGGGTGTAGGAGCTGTTGGATGCGGTGGAAGCAACGTTAGGAATAACTAAGGGCAAGTAAATGATCAGGTTCATGATACAAGGCGAGCAACAGTTCCTACTTACCTCTCTTGCTTCATCCACTTCCCCTGTTTCGAGGAGAACGACACCCATCATCTCCCTCGCCTGATTTTTTTCGTTCACCGACCCATCGTTCCTTGCGAGAACACGCTCGATGAATTTGCGTGCCAAAGGGAAGTTGCACTGTATGATGAACTCTTGAGCCTTGTCAATGAGTGCAGAAATGGCTGGTGTTGCTGAGCTTGAGGATGATTGCGATGAGCTTGTCACGATGGGTGCAGACTTCTTAGCTTTCGCGCGCGCTCGACCCATTTTGAAAGTCGCGATCAATGGATATGCGAGAGGATCTTTGCAGAGGTGGTATAGGACCCCAGAAACCACGACTCCAATTGTGGGCCATCACCTTTCCGTCAAGTACTTCCATCATCCCAAGCTCCAACTCAAACAATACCTGTCACAGGAAATTGACCAACAGGGACATCGAATGAGAATGGCAGGAAGAATCTCCGTGCCATCGAACAACTTGGAAAGTTAAACCCAACTTCACCAGGAGGAAGAGAGAATCGGTGCATATTGCCGCGGAATGCTGGTGCTGTCAGTATTAAACAGGGTCGGGGCCCGCATGAGCGCGAACGTCCACTGGATTAACGAGCTCAGGACGCTTCCCCAATATCGCATCCTGCAGTGTGTCCAAGGACGTGTTTGACATCATGCTCAATTTACGCCGTAACCGTCATCCCCACAGGCAGAGGATCATATTGCCCGCTTGGTTTGACGCGGATGTTTAGCGATCAGCGTAAAGCTCAACTATAGGGAGCAGAAGGAATATATCTTCTGCCTCGTGCAATCTCTATATGTAACAGCTGTTTATCAGAGGACGGTACCGCACCGCTTTTAATCCAGATTCGAACGGTTGGAGAGCAGAACAATGTGGAAATCTCAATTCAAGAGACGACCATGAGCGAGCACATGCTCCCGTCCCAAATTTACTGGGGCGCTTACTTTCAAGGTACTGCGTTCACCTCGTGTTCAGTGCCTTACTCGTGGGCTAGTGATAAGCCCGGTGATGGACAGGTCCGTGTTGTGGTCAATGTTATCTGGCCGCCTTTCTGACCCCTTGAATGCTAGCTTTTCATAGGAACTGTTCAGACCCATAATTAAACACCTGCAGTAAGTATGGTACTCCCACCGCGCTCGTTCCTGCACAGATCGTTCGCGATTGTGTTCTACACAGGGATTCTAGACCCAAGATACTGCAATATAGTACTACCATTCTGTCCGCAACTTATATTCGCCCGGTACCCTGCAGGCACTTGCTGTGCATTGTTATCTTCTCTTCGATCCGCTGCAATCGTGTCCCAGCGGTGTCAACAAGTCCCCTCGCCATAGGCGTTCTCGCGCTGTCAGTACCTGGACAGCTTACTCCGTGACAGAAGGATTGCGCAATCTGGGTCATGATCATCAGGAGGCCGAACAGAAAGCAATACTCGCGGGCGTCGACCAATACAAGGGGACCTCGACGCCAGCAAAGCGGCTTGGACAGGAATAACTAATCAGGGCGTCAGGGACTCTGCGAATCAACTCATCAGCAGGCACAACTGCGAAATTCAGGCTCTCCACGACAAGGTCGACTAAGCTATGCTGAAGAAAGCCGAGCCCGAGCGTTACGAATGGCACTACTATGCGGCCAAGATGGTCGATGCGATGCACGAGGTCGCTGACGAGCAGAATAATGTGGATCAAGCCATTGTAGCTGCCAAGCGCCGAGTAGACCAAGTTACCGCGGGCATGAAGAACGAGGAGCGTTAATTGCAATACAACATTGCCACCATGCATGGTGGAGTCGACAAATTCAAGATTGTCACGTGGGGGACGGCACTTGTACGTGTGCAAGGACGGCAAAGGCGGAAAGAAGCTAGCCTTGGATGGGCTATTGCAGCACTCGAAGCTCACATATCGTCTGGATCAGTAGCGGCTATAAAGGAGCGTAAGGCCGCTAAACAGGTGCATATCTGACGTCGCCTCCCTCGTCATCACGAAAGAACCAAGGCGCACAACATCAGAAAGATTTGACTGGAATATTCCTGAGGAATATTCTTCGTGGTTTACGGTCACTTTCCGCGGATCTTCAAGCTTGACATCATCGAAAAAACCACGGAAAACTGACCCTTCGGGAGGTTAAGGCTTTCATAAGTGTTATGTTCATTTTCACACAGTATGTCCTGTCTTTCTGTGCTTCGAACCCAGGTCCGGGCTCTGACGTGATGCTCACAGACTTGAGTCGCACGTCAGCAAGCTGTGAGTCTGCCGAGTGGCATCTCGATGCGTGGATTAGGCCTGGTATACGTATATATAAGATCTACTGCGAAGCCTCGGGCATCTTTAGGAAGATGTCAGGCGGGATCGGTGACTCAGGTGTAATTCCGAGATGAAACTCAGTTCGTGGATGTCAGAACCGTAAATCCGCCGGCAGAAACAAAGGAGTTGCGTATTATTACCTGGACATGTCTGGGCATTGCCTGCCATGAGAAACTATCAGCCAGCTATGGACTGCACACATAAATTACTGGGAATGGTTGTTTATCTATGTTTATTTCTAAAGCTTTCACACAATACGCACAAACAATACGACCGCATCTTCCGAACCTAAGTGCAGCAGGCCCACTCGAAAGCTGGTGCCCGCATTATTCTATTCCAATGGCGTCTATTTTGTCCCCTTTCCGAAGGGGCTACAGACATCTGGTATGTAAAGTTCGACCTGAAACATTGATATTCTCGGCCGACACTCCCTAGCAATACCTCGCACATGAACAACCAGTCATCTTTTACTCTTGCGTCCTCGGACTTGCGGGACCAGCTCTTGCTCTGACTGTGCCTGCAGTCAGGAGGAATTGGCTCGGATATACTCCCGCGGAGCCTATACCTACCACATTTCCTGGTACGTCCTTGCCTATCCAGTTTTGGTCCGCATCGTGCTGTTCTAAACACGGCTCTTCTCTTCAGTGCCAAAACGACAGCGAAGGTCTGTACAAGGCTATGAGGACGAGTAGAGTAATTGGTGGTTGGGCTAGAATCATAGACAGGTAATTTCACTTCATTGCTCGCATGCCTTTCATTGACAATCGCTCGATTCGTAACAGTCATTTTATTATATCACAATATATCGACTGCCATACATGTATATTAGGCCAGCCGTCGGAGAGTATCCTTTCATCGCCTTGACTCAATACCGTGAATTTACTCGCGAGAATACAATAATGGTGTGTCGACCAGTGCGAATTCACGTCTGCTATACTCTTTTACGCCATCATTCACACTACCAATTACGTCGAATATCTATTTCCGTGCCTGTGAGGCGCACTCCCAATCTTGGGCCTCCTCCTACACCAGTAATGTGACGGTGTGAAGGATGCTCTCTTTGCGACTGACCTCAGACGTTGTGAATGAATTATCCACCACTGAACAGGCTAATCAGCTCTCCGAAATGGTGTGCCAGCGGAGTACGTACCGGTACCGCAACCATGCAGACGAGAACTTGATTAGGACAGGCAAATCCTTCAGCTGGGACTTCCGTATTCGCAGCCATGTCCGCGGTTGGGATATTTGATTTCCCCCTTCATTACATCTCAATGTCCTCTACACAGGTCCGAGCTCACCAAATAAACACCAGCCCCAAGATGACGCCATGAAATGGAGAGATCAAATCATCTGAGATTAACTGAGCCTACGTCTGATGGCTTGCAATCTACGGGGCTGTAACCAAAGTAGCAAACCTTTTGCTACTCAAGGTCTTCCACGCCTGTGACTATGTATGGCAGTCGTAAAACACGACATTGTACGTCCATTCCCATCCGAGTGTTATCCCGTGTCAGCATGCATAATGGCTGCATGGGATGTGGCGAAAGTAATCATATGTCACGTTCGTAGGAGTGCGATCCCGCTTTACATGTGGGTAAAACCCAAAGGGTTTGTGCGACTCCTTATTGTTGCGATACTCGTGAGCTAGATGCATTATGAAGTCACGGCGTTACTTACATACCGAACTTCATAGAGTCCGCGATGGTGAAGCAGCGCTGAACGTCGTCAGGGAAAATTCATCCGGATGGGCATAGTCTTCGTTGTATCTCCATAGCGCTTGGTGCATTCTCGTGACCAGCATAGCATGGGCGGTAATTTGAATGCTTCCAGAGCGATGAGCGTGGTACAATCGTTATGTAACAAAATTTGACACCCACCTGGACGCTAAATCAGAGTATGATGCCTGTATATTGATTAAGTCAGTGACACCCCAACGGTCTCTTGGATCAGGTACTGACAGGGAAGATAGCAATGGCAACTATGAGCACAGCAGAAGATACTACGACGCGTCACTCTTGGTGCCTTGAAGGAAAGAGACGATTAAACCCACCAACCCCACACACAAAGTAGAATATATTATGCTCCACAAGAACTCCAAGCACGTTACTACTTCCCCGTTCGTGTTGGTAGTTAGAGATGGCGCGGTACAATGTCAAACACAAGATTTCTGCGACAAATCAGATGATTTCAGACAATATCACGTGACTCAGGCTCACCTAACTCGGCGACGACCAAGAGAACGTACACAAAAAGTATAGCAGTAGTTTCACCTATTTTGGAGCACCCCGAAATCCCAATGGCGATCGAACTGGTAACTGAAGGGGCGAGATCGTTCACGATGTGGCTTGTGTGGATACCAAGAGGGGCACTTACCGGTTGTTGAGGAATTGTACTTCACGAGAATGGCAATTATTGGTGTCAGGATAAACTGAATGCAATAGATCAATGCGAAGAGCGCGCTGCACAACGATATCACAGGCCTTACAACAACACTGCCGATGAAGGCCCACAATATCCGTTTGGAACGGTCCCAAATGGCGTACGTTCGCACAAAAAATATGCCTTAAATATATATTATCAGTATCGTCTGCGGTGCACCACTAATACATACTTTCTGCTGCAAAAACTATGACACTACCGAGATCTGACGAAATGGAGGTCAGATTACGGGCGCTACCCGCCCAACCTGATCACTTACATGAATTCAGCGAATAGTATGTTTGGCACATCTACGCAGGAACGTCAGAGCCACGCCCCCTGTGCGCTTACACGGGTAACTTACGCTGAGCGATGGATAGGTTTCCAGGGTTCCTTGATTGGATCGATGTCAGGTAAATGGGGCGCGATAAACGTATATCAGCTTTTAAATGTACTCACGGATCAGAACTACGCCTAGATAAACGAAAGGCAGATATCGACAGAGGAGATAGAGGTATTTGACTATTCTCCAGCTCGATTTCGTAACAAATGACAGCTGGATGAGATGACACGACGGTGATCATACTACTACTGCTTTAATAATACACATACCTCTTCATCCAATGTCGTGACATAGTCATAAACCTCAATTGACAGAGAAGTTTTTAGTCTTCAGACGGAATGATTTTGGCCGCACTACCTACCCACAACGCCACCAAAGCCACTGCGGTGACAGGTTCGGTGTCAGTTATGCAAACATGCGGTCGTATGCCAGAATGTACATACCATAAGCGTACTGCGACGTTGATGAATTGTTAGGACGGCTTCATTTTACTAGATCGTTACTCACCTTCATTTGAATCAGGACATCGGGGCTTGCATTTTCATTCAGACGCACTGGGGACTGCATACTGAGTGAAAAAGAGAGCAAAGCGCTTAAACCTACTAAGCTCCGAATAATATAAGATGCAGTCCGTGGACGTGGAGCTTCTCCGATTCTCGGCTTCGAAAGTACTTTCTATCGATCACATAGTTGGCACAAAGGAAGGCGCTTGAATATTCGAATGGCTCAAGATGTCCATCGCGAAGACGACGGTCCACATTTGCCTTATTGAGCGGACCATCCCGGACCGTCATAGACTCGTGGCACTTTTTCGTGGGTCAGCTTACATCCACATTGAATTGCCAAGCTAGTGTTATTTCATCAACAGCATACTTAACTGAGAATCTGCCGTCCGTTCGTCTTTTCGCGCTTAAATTTCCCATGATTGTGCGGATATGAAGTTATGTGAAATGCCTGCAAGCAAATGTGGGCCTTGAACGGAGGCTGGATATTCAATTAGCGAAGCTTCTGTTCAACCCTCAACCTTCCTTTTGCAATAGAAATCGACGCTTCCCATTCCGCTGCCGTATTTACTTTACCGTATCAACCGTCGCCGGTCGGTATCACCTTCGGGTACTCAGCCAGAGGGAACCGCGCTTCCAACTGACAGATACACAACAATGATCCCGCAGGCAGTCTGATTCGGGCTGCCGGGATTGAAAGAGGCCTATCTGAATTGGAGATGAATCCAGTTATAGGTCCCCGATCAATGCCTATTTCATTCTAGAGCTTGCGACCATGAGCACCATGAGGAGGCACCAGGCAACAGCACACCCATAATTTTAACTTACCTATGTAGACTTCGCAATTGCTTGAGATCCGCGATCCATATCCAGTATCTTATCTGACATCCAAGTTTAACAGTGCCCCTTGCCTAGATATCAGATTCTTTGCTGCTTACCCAAGCAACGAAGCCACTTGAAGGACATTAATGATCGTCCACTCCTGCACCACGCCTACATAGCAACAAGTCAACGAAGCAAGGCAGGGCAGGAAACACCGAGGTGAGACTAAGATCCTGCAGACATTCATTTGAGTAGCTTCGTGAAACCTGAATAAGATAGGTAGGAGGACTCGATCGACCAGTAAACGGAGCTAAATGTTGCGGTGGCTGAATCACTGAGATTGGACAATCAGGTTTGTGACCGTCTGCAGCCGCATTTACCTATCATATAGTCAGTACCTACTTACAAGGAGACGGGAAATGTGAGTTCCACGCTGTCATTAAGGGAACTTAGCGAAGAAGTTTCAGGCTGTAACAACCCGTCAATCGCAACCATATACTGCACGTTGGGCACATGTGCAGAGCCTCACGCACCCCTGGGTTCAACGGTGAACTTTGTGGCTGTGAAAGCAGACATCATTGGATGATCAATGATGGAAGCCGACCTATTGAGCTCTTTGGTCAAAGTTCTCAGCTGTCCGACTTGCGGCGATCCATGGCAGCTTCTCACCTAAATTCCGTGAGCTGCTTAAGTCGAGTTAAAATGGTAGGTTGTAATAATTAGATAAAAATAAACGCGGTGTGACGTTGTAAATTTTCGTAGAATTTGAATAAAACATTTTGGCAAAAAATATACGTACGTGGGATTGTACGCGGAGAGAAAGATGGGGCGAGTGATAGGCATTTGCCGCACTAACTGCTCGATGTTGTTCCAGAGATCATAGCGGATTTTGAAAGTTGTAAGAGATATGGGCGCTTGAATGCGAGGGAAACGAGGTTGACGTTGACGTTGACTTCTCCCAAACGTCATACGACGCTTGCTAACCATCAAAATTTACCGGATCAAGCCATTCATACCCCCATGGAATGCTCGTGGAATTCTTTTTGTTGCGGAACCGTGCAAGGAAAAATAATGAACAACTGCAGGAAAACACGCTTGTTCATGGCCCAATAATAAGACCAGGTAAGTAACTATCTGAATATGTTTATGGTTAGCCTTATGACGCACTTCGGGTACAGATCTCTTCCAAAGTAAAATTCAATAATCAAGTGCCAAGTGGTCACGCTCCTCATCCCCAGCACTCCACTTTTATCCGACCGTGTGTTTTTCAGGCTGAATCACTTAAAAGGGCCAACAACCAAACTGGTTTACCATTCCCCACACCCCGTATCCCAGCTTATTTGTTGAATACGGCGGCGACCGATCGAGACGATCATTATGCCCTCTGTCGTTAGCTTTGATGGCTTTCGTCTGCGCTGGAGGTCAAAGTCTTTCGCCAAACCACTTCCCCCTAGCGAGAACGACAGTGATCGTTCGTCTTCACCTCAACAAGTAGAGAATCGTATCAGTTTCCACATCACCACTCCCAAGAGTACACGCCAATCCGCAGACCGACCCCGGAATGTTCAACACAATGAGAAGACCCTCCCCGGATTACCTACCGGCACCAGCAGCAAACAGTTTCATGACGAAGTCGTGAATGAAAAGTCCAGCACTCATTATCTCGAGCAACCAATGGAAGTAACACCCGACCAAGTTGTCGGTCTCCTAACGTGAGTTCCGGCCAATACCTTCCTTGGGCACTGTGGGGCGTTACATGTGGTCGCAGCAATAGATGTTCTTGGAACTCTAACTTTTCTTTTTTTGTTCGTTTACAAATTCGGCCCAATCTCGGATTATATTTCATTAGCCGATGGTCTCACTTGCTGACTTTCCAAATTTCGACAGATCAACTACAAATATACATAAATCATTACTACCTCCACCACCTGACAGAAAAACATCCTTGATTCGTCGTGTAACTTCGAAGCTACACATCATCGTCCCTGCAACTGCTTCGCCTTCACAGCCCAAGTCATCCGTGCGGCCAGCACATGCCGCGGTTAATGTGAAGCACTCCCCACGACCTCCTCGATCACCCCGCATTGCTCTTCCCCGTTCTCCCACCCTTCCCAACTCTTTTGTCTCTCGCGAGCACCGTGAGGCGGCGCTGCGTGAGCGTGGCTTACTTCCGCCTAGGAAAGATCTCAGCGAACAGGAGCGTGAGGCTGATAAGCGCCTGGGTCTAACTCCTCTCCCTGACCAACACGAGAATGGCTCCAGTGCGGCATCGAAAATTAAGGAAGAATGGTTGTCCATAAATCGTTCCTCTGAATCACGTGCCTCGGATTCTGGGTCTGCATTTCACCCAAGACAGATACCGAACTTCAGTGCGCTGGCATCAGGGGTAGCGCTCATATCCCATTCGGCATCTCCATCGCTGCCTCGGACCTCAACATGTGATTCAGATTGTTCTCGCGCGGACCTTAATGCCGAGATACCATTCCTGGCAAGATCCTCAATATCCAGTAGCGTCCCTCCTCTATCCCAATCCTCACACCTAGAAGCACTGCAGGAGGAGCCTGCAGAGCATGTGCCTCCAACGTCACCGCCACCGCATCATGTCCAGCCGCCGATAATCATATCTACCCCCGTTGAGGACTCTTTCCCCCCGGGCTTCGATGTCCTTGTTGAGAGCCCAATCTCTTGTACCTTCTCTACCCATCTCGCGCCTCCAGGGTCATCCTCACAGCCGCATACACCCCTACCGGTCTCACCAGACAAGGAAAACTCATCTTCTCCATTCTCGGCGCACCAATCCCGGCGGCGTACGACAGATTCGAACGATCGCAGACGTTCTTCATCAGTCGGAACCTCTCTGTCCAGATTCGGCACTAACTCGCTCACCAATCTTCGACGCTCGGTGATTGGGAGCATAAGATATTCAGGGTCAAGTGCGAATCTGTCCACTGCTTCCAGTCAACTTTCCTCTCCCCGTGTGGCTGTCAGTCCGACGATGCACAACCGCGGAAGCATACTGGTTGAGGCTAGGGGTATCCAAGATGCAGAGAGTCGCCGACTGAGTGAGTTGGCATTCTTGGATTGATCATGCGGATCTTCGGATTCAAGGGTTGGTGATCGAAGGCATCTCTGCTCTTTGCTTCGTGGAACAATTTGGCTGTCCCGGCGCATCGTGCGAGTGGTGCTACATCAATGGAATCACCCCCTGTTCTTTTGCAGGTCACTTATAATTGATAATCTTCTTCGCCCATCCTTTTCGAACACTCACACGGCGACGCCTTCCACATTCATTCAGGCTAATACATCCATCAATCATTCAACACCCTCGTTACTTACTTCTTGCATGTAGTTTTAATCAATTCATTTCATTTTTTGCAATACCTACTCTTCATCTTTCACCGATTCTTTAATTCTTTCACCAACGCGATACCACCTACTTGCATCCTCTCCTTTGGAACTACCCTTTGTACTGTTGTAATCGATCACATTGTAAAACATCTGACCAAACCTTGACTCAATTGGTGTTGCCGACACGTAAAAAATGCTCCAGATGCCCTCGTGTCGATCGGTTGTGTCCGTCTCAAAGGTCTGCGCAAACCGTTAGTTCACGTTAGCTTCTCCCATCAGCTTCTCGAAGGTATTCCTCCGTCTTTTGATATTGCGCTTCTACTAACTGATCGGCGTGGACAGCAACACCACACTTTGGCAACCAGTCAGAGCTTCTAAAAGTGTCCGAACCTACTACAGCAGCACAGCTCAAAGACGAAGGTTCTGAACGCAAGACTACGTCGAGGCGATTGCTGTGAATGACAAAAACGCAGTTCTGTATGCCAACCATGCAGCTTGCTATCATGCACTGAACAGGTGATTCGGAGTGGTGCTGATCATGAAAGCTGTAGTAGTGAGCACTGCAGTTGCTGATTTTGATCTTTAAATAGATATCTAGAAGCTGTGGATGACGCGAGTATGGTACTTTTACTGCGGCGTATACTTACATGGACTTTAGAATTCTGACGCGTACGTTAGGCTACACAGCTTGATCCGTGCCATGCTAAAGGGTGGTCACGACTGGCAGCATGTCGAGACGTAAGTTCCTTTGTTCTCCACATCAGCATGATCTCACTTAGTACTATCATAGGCAGTTGAGCCTTCTGCCTGCCAGGCATAAGCATTTTCTTCCAGTCCACACTGCTGCGGACTGAGAGAAAACGCTTATGTCTGGCAAAAGGCTCTGAACACACTCCCAAAAACTAATCAAAGTCTCGCAGAGCGACAACAAAGAGCCAATAAACTGCCGGTTTGAAAGCCGTGCGTAGGCGTTTAGACCAGCCTCCTATCGAGCCTCTCCGGGTCAATCAACAATCTGGCAAGTTTCCTTGGCAAGTGGCTGAGGAGATACTTCCTGAGCTCCGGGAAGTCCGTACCCCATCTAGCAGTGTGAGCTTGAATTGTAATCTTGCATGCCCTCGCTGAATAGTTGTTGGGGCTCCTTTCATTCAGGCTTGGGTGATTGCATATATGTATGAGATGATCTTTGCAAATTTCCAATAAAGAGTGGTGTGCTAACGTTTGAGTGCTGGTAATTCGCCAAAGGGGTTGAAAAAAAAATCCTCACCCTGAAGCGCCAGGTGGTTTTGCGCATTACGGAAACCTAGAGGCGAGAGTTGTTTACGTACATACAATAATTTGATACTAACACGTTTTAGGGGTTGGCGAGTTTAAATGATGGGTTGATGCATGACGATCACGCATTCCATATCAACGAAGCTAACTGGATTAGCATTTACAATAAACAAGGTGATCTTGTTCTAGAATCGCGTACTCAAGTTGCCGAAGTCCGGTCTTGTTCGAAGCTACGGCTCGCGAGACCTGGAACTTTCAAGGACTTGAGACTGTCAAAGAAATGGCCCAGAAACGCTTGAAGGAGAATGGCTGGAATAATGTACGCCCCGCTTTGGCTGTGACTGTTCGGTGCGTCAATTAAGATTATTTCTATCTTATAAGATTTATTGATAATGAGAGCTGCATTCGACGGCAGTTTAAGACAAGAACCTCTAGCTGGTATTACAGACGAGCTCTCGACTTAATCGAATGGGGAAGTATTTGGAAGGAAGTTCCGAAGTCCAGCAGAGGAGCGATTTTCGAGCATACGTTCTTAATAAGTGTCCGTGAGCCAGCTGACCCCGACTTCATATCGTCTTTTATTGCCTACCCTCCTGGAATTGCTCATTCTTATGCCCCTACCTCCCCACGCTTCCGGTCCTCTGCTTATCATCGCCTTACTTTACAGGCATGCTAGGATTATATCATGTCTAAATGGCCCGGTACGCCAGTAATCCTATGGAGATGGATGTTGAGCTTTGGGCAAGGAGCCGGAGCGTATATGACCGCTGCCAGTAAATACCCCGAGGATGACGAGTTACGTGCATGTAAGTGTTCCAACACAGACTCGGACACACGTTTTATAAGCATTTTTCAGGGTACTTCAATAGTACTTTGGATTGCATGCGAAATGCTGGTGTCCCCATTGACAACTTCCTTGTGGTCGCTTTTGGCCTACAGGAATCCGTACCCAAGATGAAGAAGATATGGACAATTTCCGCGCTAGCGCGAAGGTGGCAGAGACCTAGAAAATACTAGAAAACCTGGTACAGAGCAGCTGAACTCAGGAGGCTTGTCGCCGAAAAGAAGTTGACTCCTGAATGATGATGTGCCTTTATGATCACGATTCATGCTATCATCACAATTCACGCTATCATTGATGCACGATTCTCATATATACTACATGTAATGCTGTTACCTACACATATCTGTACTTGAAATCAACACGACGTCTGCTAATCCTGAAAGAATTCTCGTAAGCCCTTGCCAAGACGTATCATGCCCTTCTCGATGATCTCCTCAGTGCCACCGAACGTTGCACGAAGAAACCTCGTTCGCTGTCTCCGAGTTAAACAAAGTACTGATGAGTCTATGATTTCGGTAACACTTACATCGCGCAATGGCACATGCCCATCGCTTGCCACCCATAGGGGGTTTTCCGGTATAGCGAAGGTAGAAGATGGTATGAACACGACGCCTTGGGTATTCATTAACCTTTCGAAAAGCTCCTTCAGCAGGTGTTCCGTATTCGTCTGTGCAACAACAGGCGAGCCACCAGAATACTGCTCGCGAACAAAACGAGGATGTCTCTCAAAAAAAACTTCTATCCAAACAAACATCCCGGCTTCAGGGCAATTTACACTGGCATAACCGGTAGATTCCACTTCGCGCTGAAAAACATCGAGGAGGAAATCACGGCGTCTCTGGTAGTCCAATCGTAAGCTTTTCAGCCACCGAGAGAAGCCCTCGACTTTCCAGCCATGTTCGCCGAGCATCTCGGTGACAAACATCTGACCGAAGGCGTGTGGTGGCTGGGTCGACGAATCGGTGTAATCTGCCAACTTTTGATGAAAAAGCTTTATTGCTTGTAATCCAACCCAATCGCATTCCGGGGGCAAGCACTTTGCTGAACCTTTAGACAGTGGATCAGACAATCAGAAAGGTATCTATGTTTTGTTGGATGCACTAACGTGTCGATACGAAGCACGCGGCCGTCGACATCCATTGACAAGAATGTCGGTATCAAGGTGCTTCTGAAATCTTGAATAAATTCATCAGGATCTGCAGACGTACGGCTCGTTTGAGGTATATCGTATTGCAAGAAATAATAAGGATCTGCGAGAAGAATGTCAGACGACGTGCGGATGACACCGCTGAGTAGATTTACCATCTTCTATGATAATTAAGTCCCATTTCTGTGCAATGGCATAGATCTTCTTGCGACGATCCACGCTCAGCGTTGATCCAGTGGGATTCTGGCCAACCCTGATGATACATCCAACTTTATTGATGCGATGCGCTTTCAGACTGAAGCTTAGAAGCTTACGGGATGATATAGAGAACATGAGGCCGTCGTCCTGACTTCACCTCGTTCCCATTTGACGAGGACTTTTTCCAGCTCCTCAGGAATGATACCACCAGAATCCATCTTGATGCCGACCCACTTAACGCCGTATGCGAGGGGGGAATTAGTCATACCTACAGCACGACGAGGTTAGCTTAGAGCAATGATTCGACAAAAAACTTTTGCTGACTAGGAAAAGAAAACTCGTCAGTCAAAAAATGATCTCCCTTCTCCCCCAAAAGGCGATAAACCTTCGTGATGCCATCAGAGTTCCCCAATGTCAACAGCACATGATGATTCGGCGGAGCAAATATCAACTTCGTGAAGTCAGGTGAGCACGTCTCTGCACTGTTGTAAGTCCAGCAGCACGGGAGTATGGGAAGGCGTCGCGAATAGGATAGTGCGCACTCCTGATCTTTGTATGAATGTATCATCTGGGCGGGCCCAGGAGTTGTTACGCCATGATGTGACTGGATCCGATGCATCCTGCACAGATGGCACTTCGTACATAATTTGCCTGAAAGGATACAACGAATGATGAGGATCGCCTAGAAAACATTCTTTTGGCTATATGTCATCATTATGTATGACAGCAGGATTACCATTTGCCATGCTGATGAGATCAGCGACCGGGCATTCGCTGATCACCCGCAGGATGTCTTTCAGTGGATTGGCGACTCGATCTCTAGCCTCACCCGATAGGTGGTGTGAAAGGTCAATGGCGTTGCTAGTACCATGATTATCGGTTTGGGGTCCCTCCATCGAACAGGTGAGAGATAAGGGAGAGAAGGATGATCTTTTCGGAGCCGCTGATAATACGCCATCCTGTAACGGTAGTGAGAAGCTCGAGAAGCAACGATACTTCCGTCACTAAACGCCGGTTGGTCCACGTCTTCTTTTACTGCATTCGTCTATCCTTGCTATAGCATTTCTTGAGTGGATGCCAGCTATGGCGATCTGGAGGCCAAATAAGGCCGGTGCCATCGATACTGCTTTTAACCATCAACTCCAAACCGCCCCCGAGTACAGTCCTGCTACTGAGGAATGAGATCCTAAGCTACATTTACGGCACGTACCAATAGACGCAAAGACGGTCCAGTAGCCTTGTGAGAGCTCTTGGTCTCCACTACATGATATGGTTTTGGAGATAAAGCTTGGACGGCGTTTTGGAGCGGAGTTAATTTCAAGAGCCACGGACTCACACCTCCTGCAATCGAAGTAACGTCGACGGTCTCTTGTTGGATAACAGGGTGCGATTCCAGCTACTCCCGATCTTTTCTGAGCACCATAATTGACCAAGAAAGTTCAAAAGAACTTACGATATGACTCCTGTCAACGCATTTCAAGCGAATCAGCTTCCCTGCATGCGCCTAGAGCGAAGACATACCAGAGATGCAGTTTGCCAAGAGGATGCCTTCCACAACCAGCTCTTGCTCTCTCTTGCTGCTACAGCTCGTGAATGGTAAAAGGGACCCGTCCAACTTGTCTGGGTATGTCTGCATGGTCACTTGACACTCAGCTGCTCAGCATGGCAGGACCATATAGAGCGATACGCACTGCTCAAGAGACATCGCCGCGGACGTCTCAATCAGGCAGACAGCTGTCCATTATCTCGAGTAATGCGCCGGTTTCAAGGTTCTGACACTTACGAACCAGCCTCACATACATATCCCAGCGGTAGCAGAGGGTGCTTCTTCCGCGCCCCGTTTCTCAGGGTCGAGCTTGATAGTTATTCCTGGGTTAGGCATGTATTTATATGCCGCAAACATTGATACTCTAGATTAACGGAGTAGGGCAGCCTAGGCCACGGTGTCCTGAACTCCTTTGTCCTAACACCATTTTCTAGACCCTCGCCACGTCAGCAAGCTTAGGCATTGCAAGACGACCGTGAGAACTTCACAAAGGCTCACGCTTGCGAACGAACAAAGAGTTGCATGCTACTCTTTGCTGCTGCGGATCCGACTGTACTGCATGAAGAACAGGAACAGGGCTATTTGTAAGGTTGTGCTTAACCAGTGGCGTCCTAACAAAGGCCCTATGATTGGTCGCTAATTGAAGCAAGGTTAGAATCTGGAATGTTCTCTGGTAAGTTCGTGAAGTGTTATTTATGAATCATTATGATCATCGGTATGCCTCGATTATATTGATAGTCAGCGTGAAACCCCTTACACAGTTAGTTCAACACCGCTATTGATCAGCCTGGCGTTGTTCTGTTAGCAAATTGAACGTACGAGTTCGAAGCTAATATGCAATGAGGTCAAAGATAAGGATAAGAATTGACACGTTCGTCGGTACCCTGACTCAGACCACGAGATGAGGGCGCAGAAGACGACATATCATATTTGTTGGACTCCGTTGCAACGTCACGCAGGGGTTTCCTGAGACCAAGGCTCCTAATTGACGGCGAACAAGGAATCGATATCGATCAAAACCCACACACAAGTGACATGGCAGTACACATGCGAGCAAAGTCTCAGTGAATGAAGCAGTTTCCCGCCGGATCTATTTCCAAGGACGTGAATCTGGAGGACGTGAAGAAATGATCTCTCCATCTCCCAGCTGTATATGGCAAGTATTTACGCCGTGGTGGCATTGGAAGCAGTCCACAAAAATTCCCGATTCTGCATTTTGGTACCGGAACAAAGGTTGAAGCTATCATTTATCGCAGCTCTCCAACGAGATATGCACTTTGTTGGAGAGAATGCAAATTCTGTGAGAACATTTGATACGACATTCTCAAGTGACAAGCTGAACTTTCTGCTAATTGCTGTCAGTGATTGAGTACCTAGAAGGACCAAACAAGCTCTGACGTGTGGACATGTCTTATTTCTGAGTCTGCTGCATACGGTTGCAATGTCTCGTGATCGATCATACCCCGCATTATCTACATTGACATACCCCGCAAGATTCACCTCGTTGCCGTGATTATTACGACCCTTTCTGATTGCTCAGTAACGAGTGATTGCCTTGAACCTCAGGTCTCATCCATATGTCTCGAGAGCTCAATTGCAAGAGACTGCAAGTCGGGCCTTACGACAGGAGGAGGCAATGATCGGGAACTTTGATCTGGGCAGACCAAATTGTAATCCAGAGCACGTGGGATGACACACTCGGAGATTTCCATCGCCAATTATAAAGGTCGTATGACTGATCTTAAAATCTAAACACTGCTCTCCTTTCTTCTACTCACTCACTCTCCATCTCCTATATACCACAGTCAATATGAATCAAGATAATGTCGAGAAGGACGATTCAGTGAAGCATTCTCAGCCAATTCCGATGGTTACTCATCATTGGAGGCACCGCTCTACCTCAGTTTCGTCGGACGCGTCGACCTTTCCCGGCGGGTCGCCCCCGCAACTGCAGACCCCATTGAGCGCCAACTCTCCCCGTGTTCCAGTTGCTTCCCCATCTAGTTCTCCTATCCTTTCTTTCCTGTCCCAGTCCCCAACCTCAAAATCCCCATCTTCGCATTCTTACCGTGGATTTGGTGGACAGCCTTCGTTTGATGGTCGGTTCCTTAGTCGTTTCCTGGATTGCTCTCACTGATATCCCCGATATCCCCATAGAGGACACTCCCGAGGAACTTCCAGCAACTATTCATGCCCGTCGATCCGGCACGTCTGGGCTGTTTGCACCCGCTCCACCTGTCCCTGATGGTCATCACGACCGTGGAGCTGGGTTGTTAAGGCGTCTTTCGCTTGGAAGCGCACTTGCAAAGGTGTATTTCTTTGTAATTGTCGTATGACGCGCCATTAATTTTTGTGATTCTCAGCCTCCCAATGTGAATGATCTTCGCTCCCGAAGTCCCTCGAGTCCCACTGTCCCACCTAACTCCGCAATCTCCCCTACCATGTCAACTTTACCCGTATTTGCTGTTCGCAGGGCAAAGCGCTCAGCGACGGTGAGCATTGATCCTGGACGCCAACGTCGCGCGCCTTCTCCCATGGGCGAGAGGATCCTGAAGGGTCATTTCGACGGCTTCAATTGACAGGCTCGATGCTCATCATCATCATCATCATCATGTCCTTGCCTTTCATATACCCTCTCGCGCGAACATTGTTCTCGTCGTTCTCAAACCGTATCCCATCAATAATGTCCTTGATTGAAGGACAAGAAGCTCTCAGTTATGTGACACGTACAAACTCCATCAACCCTAATGCGCCCTTATATCTATCGGCCGGCTCATCATTCGGTTTAAATTCAACTTGTATCATCACCACTGTCACTTGCCACACATTGCATTGAGGCATTCCATTCGGTGAGTGCGGTTCAAGGCAGCGAAGCCCATGAACTGATTTACTCGTTCAGATTACCATATACACCAACACTTTTGGACTTTGTTTCCTCTTGTCTGTTCTGTCTGCCTATTCTTCGTTCTTCATCCTGTAATTTGTATTGTCTCCTATATTTGCTTAGTGAAGTTCGCTTTCAATTGTACATGTACTACCACGAGGTTTCACACCAAATAAAATCTTAAGGCCCTGCTTGGGCTTAGCTATCGTGTTTGATTCTAACTTATAAGCAGCGAATGATGGAATGCGTTCGGTGACGTGGTGCATGTGCAAAACTTCGCTGTTTCAGGTTGGCGCTACATCGATAAGAGACTATGGCGCAAGTCGTTATACGTATGGTGAAATGAAAGGATGTATCACTGGTCAAACACTGGTTATGCAAATGGATGTGTTATTTTCGCTACGCTAAGAATACATCACTACACAGGCCTACAGGTGTCGCAAAAGCGTCCATACTGCAAACCCACTGACAATAAATTCCGTTCGACGACCAGCGCCAAAGGAAAGAACATCGTGGTGGCGGCGCTTACTGACCTAAAGGCTCCACGAGCCGGTGTCTAACAGCGGCGACCACTCGGATGGTAGACTTCCAAATAGCTCGCGGAAGAAAGCGTCCGTATCGTCGAAATTTGGTAGCGCCTCCTCCACAAATAAAGGACTAGCCGAGACAAGAGCCTCCTCCACATTAACAGGCGTGCGTGGAGGCGATGATTCGCAAGATGAGACACTGCTCGCCAGTGAAGGGCACGAGGAAGGAGGTGATTCTATCCATTGAATGTCGACATTTAAATCTTGCCAGTCATACTGCACAGGAGCACTCCAACCAGTATGCGCTTGTACCACAGGCTTGACCATGGGTATATTCGCCATAGTAGTTGCCTGCGAGGCAGACATAAGATCTTGGGTAGACCAAAGGGTCATTGGATTCGGAAGCATAACACTCGGATACATTGGCCTAGGCGCTGCAATGTACGGCGCAGTTGGTGCAGGTGCACTTGGTCGTGGTCTGTATTCCACGACGTCGTAGGGTTTCCGACTTCGTCGTTCTTTAGTAGTTTTGATAGGTGTCCACTGGCACGCCCTGCCCTTCTTCTTGCAGCTGTCACACACAGGCTGGTCCCCAGAGCACTGTCCCCTGAAATCAGCCAAAGTTGAAGAAAAAGAAATTGAATGCACACCTTCGTTTTACGACGCCTGCAGTGATCGCAGGCATGAGCTACCCGAGGGTGGAGTTTCGTGCGAATGGCTGCCGTGAATTGTGAAGGTGACTCCTCGAAGGAAATAGGGTGGTCGACCGGTGAAGAATGTGCACCAGGCACAGACGTAGATAAGAGACTAGTAACCATTGCAAGCAATTCATCTTGGGACATTGCGTCCTGCGCAGGGAGGTCGGCAGATTTTTGGTGACTCAGGGGAACTTCCGAAAGGGGTAATGTTACCTGCTCAGCAGGGAAAGGGGTGGAAAGCCCAGGGAAGGTAGAAGTGTTAAGAGTGTAGAACATAGGGAATGCAGACATGATTATAAAATAATAAAATAGGAGGTTTGTGATATGATGATATAGAGCAAGATGAAGAAGCGTTAGCAAGTGTGCATTTCACCTTCACCACTAGCTTACTTATGTAAGCTTATTATTACGTCACATGATACCGTCAGGACTCAGCAAGTTTTGCTTGCTGGAAGTTGAACAACATTTAATACCCTTGATTAATGACTAGCTGCATGCTGAAGCGTTGACGAGCGTTGTGCTCTGCAGCAGCGGAAATTACAACGATAGGAGGACTAGATAACGACTTCTTCATGCGCACTGCTAGGGACATCCAAACCTTCAATTGGATGTCATTCTCTTCTTCCAAGGTGCGTGCAGAGCTGTATCGCTGCATGACAGAGAGTTGGTGTGCCCTGACGATTCGATTTTTGCTAGCCCAGATACAGGCGAACGTCGAACCGTTTATCGAGTCGTCAACGTCTATCTCGGACCAAGGTGCTCACTTTCGCCTCAAGCGTCGCCGTGTGGACTGGATGAGCATCTCTCAGGAGAATCAAACCAAGTCACGGTACACAGAGCTTTTGCCAAAATGCAATCGACTTCTACCCAACATGCGGAACCCAGCTACCCGAATTCAAGAGATATGGACTTTTCTCAGCTCACTGATCACGAATGTACGCTATGCGCTCCCCTCCAACTCCAGGTGTTGCACGTTGACCAAAGGGTCGATGGGGTACAACGGCTCGGGGCTACTACTGCCTAGGTACCGCAATGTGACTTCAGATCCAGAGCGTAACATGGCTCGAGATCTCTGATACATTGTGACACCCAAGTGTCCTTCAACAGGAGCGGGTGGCAGTGAAACGGGGCGTCTCCAACTTGAATGGAATTTTGCTCATTCGTTCTCTTCCAACTCAGAACCAACCCTCTCTGAAGACACTATATCAATCGCGTAGACCACCTACGATCAATATCGTACGGCTGTACGATGCTAGGTCGCATCTCCAATTGATACTCGATAACGGTGTACTGGTGAAGTTTTTCTCATTAGGAGAGCCGAGCCGAAGGACCATTTGAGCCGTTTTCAGAATGCAGCTATTATTTCGTGTACACCCAATTTTCTGTAAATGGCACAAAGCCAGAGCAGCAGGCGTCAGCGCGAGTTTCTTCTTCGACCTCAAAAGCAGAACTCGCAAAGACGAATTCGCTCGGACCAAAGCTGCAGGGGGTAGTAGATACGCGGTGAGAGGGATCAAAAGACCAGGTGAGCGAAATCTGACATCGACACGAGAGTAGCGAATGTAAACTGCACACAGAAACCGACCGTATGAACTCACTCCACTAAAGGCGTCCAGAATCGCGCTGCACGCGACATACAACTGGAAGAAGTCAGTAAGGTAACTATTGAATGTTGGAGAAATTGTGGAAGGGGAAATCTGGCAGTCTTACTGAGAAGCGGTATCTATGCTACTTGCCAGGTCAGTCTTTACTGATTCCGAGATTGTGATTTGACTCTCAAGAGTCAAGGTCCGTCGATCATTTCCAGTCGGACAGCCTGAGTGATGATGTGGATGAATTGTTGGCGGTTCTGAAACAGCCCCAAGACGATGTGGGTACTCGCGATGGGTCTTCTGGGATGCTACTGATAGAATGTATATGGTGATATAGTCATAGAATACAAAGATGGATTCAGTAGTTGAGCTCGCTGTGGGCAACAGCGAACACGAAGGTGTTAGGCAACTGTGCGGAGTGTGGCCCGCGCGGGTGGGTCGCTTACCTGTTTTAGTATGATCAGCCTTGAGAACTTAAAACTCCGAATCAAACTGCCAGCGCCTCAGACGTTGGCCCCTCTAGACCGCCCCATATTTTAGCCCCAGAGTAACCATATCCAGGAGACAGAAGATTGAATCCACAACGTGGCAATTGCCATTGGCAGAATGGCAGACTTCTGCCAACAACACTACCGAAACCCCGCGTCCCGGACTCCCACGCCCTCATGAACCCGCGCATACTAATAGAAGGAACAACTATCTTCATTCGTCTATGGTCTGTCTAGGGGAGACTAGGAATTGCGCCCTTTTGCATGCAGTAATAAAAGCCGCAAGCTGTACATATCCGCCTTTTTCTGAATCTCTTGACCTCTATTCTAAGATGAAGAATGCCACAAACAGCGCACACTAGATGACATGCAGTCTTTTGGACTTTGACTCACAGTGTACGAGGGTGGGACCATAAACTACTTTGCAGCTGTTGTGTATACTATTGCTGGCCCATGTAATGAAGATCCCGCTACAGTAAGTTCTTTGCCATACCTCTCTCGTACACTCACATTGTTGTAGCATATATAAACTGGGTTGGGCCCCGAAGAAGATCACTAACCGATGGCCATCTGTGATGTCATACTAGATGTGGCTGTACAATTCCAAGAACAAGAAGTTGTGCGTGTCCACGCAATACTTACCTGAGTCGCCTTGTATCATCTGTTCCCTCTCATTTTTATTTGGGGCTAGGGATGTAGCGTCATATCTTCACCAGATCAATTACCAATCAGGATGTATTTAGTGCTGTGTTGCATCAGAGTCGCACCATCCTTACCATATTTTTGGTATCATCATAACATCATCGCCCGACGACCAAGGCGTGGCGTGGGGAGGTGGACATGTGGAGACAGCTGAGGATGTGGGAGGAGGAAGAGGTCGCGTCGGAGGAAGATTATGCATCGAGGCGTGTGCTTGGAAGACGGTAGGCAAGTTACCTCTATTCTATTTCGCACGACAATCCGGGAACAAATTTTCATCTCCGTATCGCCTTTTTCGCGGTACAAGCACTGGATAATGGTATCTCCAGCACGAACGCCATTGTTATATATACGTCCAAAGTTCCCGCTTCCTGATGCCCATCCCTCCAATATGTTCATAATCCCAAACAATCCTAGTTGGTGGCCGGTAATCAATTTCAATCGTGTTTACAGCTATTCCGTAGGTTCGTGGAGAGATGTCGGTGATGTCTTGATCTAACCTCGACTCCGGCAGTTGCCTCCTGTGTTGCGGTGATATATGACTGGGGTGAGCAAGATAGTATTAAAGAACCACTGTTATCCTTATGATGTTCATAGCACTGACATTCGGACAAGAGGTGGGTTGATGCCACTACCAGAGCGGTCATCCCCCTAAGAATGTTTTCTCCTTTATACTAGGTTGAACTGATCTGGGTGAGCGGCGTCCCATATCGGAAGATCATGCAATTCATTCGGGGCAGAGGCAACGCTGGTCCTTTATGACTCTTCTATACCTCAGCGTACGTAGTTTATATCATTACTCATTACTGCAATTGGGAAAAAAACTCTGACTCCAAATAATTCTAGGCGCGCTATGCTGCAATACCATATGCTTTGTAAGTCTGCAAGGCTGACATGATGGCGCTATACTAACAAGCACCTCACAATAAGCCTCAACATACTACGTGTGTCTCCTCACATACATTACATTCATTTCTACTAACCAGCGGCCTACAGAAACTCTTCCGACAGTCCAGCTGACAGACGCAGTGAGTAATACACGCTGATACCTGCCGTTCCCGTCAAATTGACTCCTGTGAAGGGGTGAGTGAGCAGCTTGCTTGTTGGTTCGATGTAATAACTGTAACAGCTGTGAGTTTGTTCGAGTGTTGTTCCTTCTCGAATCTCATCACTAACTATGATTTTCAGGCCTTAATGTGGACTTGGCACTAAATTGGATGAATTTAGTCATGAATGTCTTGCTGGGCAGTGAGCTACTCAGTTGGAATACCTCAGTGATATTGACTTGATTGAAACATCATGCAAGTTATCATGGTTGCTCGGTTACATGCTATGTATCAGCGATCGAGAAAGATGCTTATCTTTCTCATTGTAATATTCCTGGCTGTCACCATCGCCTGCGCAATGTTCACCATAAGAGACGACTTTACTTCAGGGGGTAAGCTTTTATAATGGACGAAAGATAAGTGCAACAAGCTCATCAGAGGAATGCTAGTGGACCTCATCATCTCTGGCACCTATATGTGCTCTTATATGTCCGCCAATGGCGGTGAAGAAACCTACTTGATTACCACCACTGTATGGGAGGTCATCGCACTGTTTCTTGCACTCTGGATTGCTGTAAAACACTTCCATGGACTGCGACGATCATCGACAGGATGGACCAGAGGGGGCTGGTTCACAGTGTTAGTACAACCTCATGCAATGTGAGCTCGTAATTTGAAATGGTTGTCTTTTCCGCTGAAGTTCGGAATGCGTTAGTTATGCTGCTATTTCTTGCTTCCTCCTCGGCAGGCTGTCTGCAGAAGTGGTGGTATGCATCTGTCGCCAACATCTGCATGTAACTACTCACCATCCTCTCAATAGAAACCCTTTTCCGCGAGGGCTCAGTTGTATGTTGGTTTGATTCAAATTTCCTCGGTTTTGCAGATGTTTGTATTAGGACCGCGCCTCGTCTTGAGCATTCGAGAATATCATGCCAAGACTATGGGCAACTCCGACATAGGGACGGACATAAGTACAATTTCTTTCCAGGCGGTACATACGTCAACTTTCAGTAATGCGTAGGAAATGCTCCAGGTGATGAAGAGTCGTCGGTTGCTCTGGAGGGAACACAATAATCTATTTGTATTTTCGTCGTGCTGATATGGTGTACGGAAGTAGATTTTAAAAAGAAACAGGGATTGGCCGACCAATATCATGGTAAATCGCTACTACTAGAACTTAGTACCCGCTCCGATCATGCGGAACTTCTGCGTTGACATGGTTCAAGGTGATGGAAATCTCATGAAGTCACGAACGCACGACAAGAGACTATGGCCGCGGTGGGTGTATCACTCTGGTTACGCAATTGAATGTGTTATTTTATACTCAGAGCACAGCACTGCACAGGCTTACAGGTGTCGCAAAAGCGTCCAGAAATAATTCTATTTGACGACCAGCGTCCAAAGGAATGAAAACCGTGGCAGTGGTACTTACTAAGAAAAAAGCATCTCAATTTCCGGGCCGTCGTCTAAGAACGAAGACCACTCGGATGATAGATTTTCATATATCTCTCGGAAGAAAGCGTCCGCATCATCAAAATTTGGTGGCGCCTCCTCCGCTGCAACCGGTGTGCGCGGAGGTGACGATTCGCAAGATGAGGCACCGCTCGTCAATGATGGGCACGAGGAAGGAGGTGGTGGTATCCATTGAAGATCGACATCTAAATCTTGCCAACTACCCAGTGCACAGGCACTCCAACCAATAGGTGCTTGCACCATAGGCTTGACCATGGGTGGATTCGTCATAGTAGCTGCCTGCGATGCAGACATAAGATCCTTGGCAGACCAAAGGTCACTGGATTCAGAAGCATAGCGCTCGAATACGTCGTCTTATGGCGCAGTTGTTACAGGCGTCCTGAGTCGTGGTATGTATTCAATGCCGTCATAGGACTTCCGACTTTGCCACTCTTTAGTAGTGAGAGGTGTCCACTGGCACACTCTACCCTTCTTCTGACAGCTGTCACACACAGCCTATTCCCCGGAGCACTGTCCCTTGACGTCAGCCTCAGTTGAAGAAAAAGACATTGAGTATTCACCTTCGTTTTACGACGCCTGCAGTGGTCGCAGGCATGAGCTACCCGGGGGTGGGGAGGCTTCGTGCGAATGGCTGCCGTGAATTGTGAAGGTGACTCCTCGAAGGCAACAGGTGGGTCGACCGGTGAAAAATGTGCACCAGGCACAGTCATGGATAAGAGGTCGGCAGATTTTTGCTGACTCAGGGGCACTTTCGAAAGGGGTAATGATGCCTGCTCAGTAAGGAAAGCGGTAGAAAGCCCAGGGAAGGTAGAAGTGTTAAGAGTGTGGAATATGGGGAATGCGGATATGATTGAAAAATAACCAAACAGGATGTTTGAAGGACGGTGACATGATGGTATAAAGCAAGATGAAGAGGGGAAGAAGCGTCTTCACCTCCATCACCAGTTTATGTCATCACATCATTGCTCATGACACGCAGCAAGTTTTAAGAGAAGTTGGACGACACTAACGGCCAGCTGCATCCTGAAGCGCGTTGCGCTCCGCAGCAGCGGACATTACAACGATAGGAGGACTAGATACCGACTTCTTCATTGCGCGGAACATCCAACCTACCTGTTTAGAAAACGGTCAGCAATTCGTCCGTCTGGAGATCCAGTCACGAGATTCAGGCAACAGGAAGGTACCCGTAGTCCGCACATAAGACAAGGGAGAATTGGCAGCCATGTAGGAAAACAACCCATACAAGACACTGATGCAGGCCGTAAGTACTATCAGCCAGATTTGAGAGCCGAGAAATATCAACTGCACGATCGCAATTGAGTACGATGGGATGTATTTTGGAAGGTGTGGAGATATACGTTGTACAGATGTGCAGAGGCACAGGGTGACATGTTAGTGCAATACCGTCGAGGAAGACACGTATGATAACGCGGAGTATTCCGACTCATCCTGCAGCCTTAATGAAGGCAAACTTCTCATGCCCTGGGCGTCTATAGGAAACACAAGGCAAGCTAATACAGGGAACGGCCTAGAAACGCACAGTATACGCAGCTTCAAGAGAGGAAAATACCCAGAATCCCTCCATCAACCTGCAGTAAAATGTCACAGCTCATTTCAAGCACCGCACCTCTCTTCGAATTTTTCAAAGACCATATAGATGGCGTACACGCTCTAGCAATTTTCCCCGATGGGCGACGAATGGTTACGGCCTCATGGGATAAGACGTTTTGTCTGTGGGACTTGAGGACAGGTGTAGTGTTGAAGAAGATGAGGGGCATGGCGACAGGGTCTTTGGGGTGGCGGTATTACCTGGCAGGTACAAGGAAGTCCAATCAATTTTAGTGGTTGGATCTACTGCGTTCGGTATTCGCCGTCAGGCGAACATCTAGCTATTGATCACAACAGACAGCAATATCAAAATTTACAATTCAGGCACGAGGGAACGTGTCGCAAACTTCAAGGCTCACGCAGGAAACAATTGTCAGACACTCACGTGGACGTACGATGGCAAACGCCTTCTCTCAGGGGGCGATGTCAGCGTACGGGAGTGGGATGCATTCATTTGGAAGCAGGTCCGTGCTCCCTGGAACAGTCATACCAATCATATCTACGCCATCGCCGTTCATCCTGCTGGCACCCTCGTTGCTTCTTCATCTGAAGACAATATTGTCCGTCTCTGGCGGCTCTCAGACCGACAAACCATCGCCACCTTCCAGCACTCCGTCTGGGCGGGATGTGTCACTTTCTCTATGGACAGTAAACGCATCCTCAACGGAGGGAATGATAAGATGATCTTAGAGTGGCGTTCATTCAAAGGTGTGTTTCCATCCTTGATTCTGATACCGCAATTCAAAGTTCTTACATGCTTCGCGTCGTAGATCCTCGCCATCAGTGCGACCGCCCGTAATGCATGCATCGCGGTGAATTTTTCTACCGCTGAAGAGATATTCATACAAGAGATTGACGCCGATGCTAACGACTACACCTCATATGCCAATCGCGCATTCATCATGGCGCTAACACACGACTGGGACCGCGCCCTTGATGATGCACTTAAGGTGAGATAGGCTGATTCATCATTCCTCCCTTATGAAAGACTAACTTTCATTGTGATGTAGTCCGTCACCATTCAGCCTTCCTTGACAGGTCATATCTCTGAGGGCATCGCCCTATGTGGAAAAGGGCAGGTCCGAAACGCGAGGACAGCATTTGACCTCGCATTCATGTTCGCGAACGAAGATACGAAGATTATTCATTTCCTTCTCTTAATTAAGGCGCGTAATTTTTTTCTTACACACTCTGTGCTTCATCATGGTTTTCAGGCTATCGCTATTTTCAATGCAGGTCAGCATGAGGAGGCAATTTTCCGCATCCGGAAGCTGGCTGTCGCTTGTCCGACGCACGACACTCTTGCTTGTCGTGTCGTGGAAGCGAGTATTGATCGAGCCTAGGTTTTGTGCATTGACACTGATCTGTCTGAACTTCGCAAATCAGGCGTATCTATGTGTTCAGCTCGGAATAAATGCCCTGAAATGGCGCACGGCACGACGAAGCTGTTGATTGCTTCACTGCCGCCGTCAACCGTAGCGCTTTCTCATCAAAATCGGACATTCATACAGCATACGAGGACCTGGTGGTAGTACAGCGATATGATTCACCTGACAGCTTTTCACGCTGAACCCCGTGCTTTGTGCAGCTCTTCGGATCGCGGTAGCAATATACCCATGCTATCCCATAGATGGTACGAGAAGGAGCTACTTTTGCAGGATATCAAGGACAAGGTCGTGTACGAGTTGGAGGCAGCAGGCAGTCTCGCGAAGTTGCAGTCATTCTGCGAAATGGCTCGTAAGGCGGAGTATCACTGGGCATGGGTTGATTCGTGTTGCATCGACCAGCATAACAACGTCGAGCTCCAAAAATCACTTAACTCTATGTTTGGCTGGTATCACGACTCAGCGCTTACAGTCCTGTCAGATGTTTCGCCTTCGTCCAAGCCCGGCGCGCTAGCGAAGAGCACATGGAACACCCGAGGATGGACCGTCCCCGAATTCCTCGTTCCGAAAGTCATTCGCTTTTACCAGCAGGATTGGTCTCCATATCTCGACGACCACTCCCTCAACCATAAGGAGTCTGACAAGATTATGGATGAGTTGGAGGATGCGATAGGCATAGATGCACGCGTCCTCGTCGCCTTCCAACCGGGAATGAGAGACGCCCGAGAGAAACTGCGATGGGCGTCTACGCGAGCTACCACTGTCCCGGAAGACATTACATATTCATTGTTCGGCATATTCGGCGTACTACCCATCCTCTATGGGGAGAACAAGCAAAATGCACTTGGGCGGCTCCTACAGGAAATTGTGGCTCAGTCGGGTGACATCACTGCGCTGGTCTGGGTCGGAAAATTATCAGACTTCAACAGTTGTCTACCAGCCGACATTATTTCGTACGAAGCTCCACCGTGCAAGCTGCCATCTCTACCCGAAGATGAGATTCAGTCATCGGTCTCCTCGCTGCGAGATACTATGGCTTTAGAGTCAGCTTCGAGACTGTATCAGACACTTGATCAGACACTTGACCAATTGAGCGCTCCCCATTTCGCGCACCGCCGGTTGCATCTTCTATTCCCTGTCACAGAAGCCAAGCGGCGGTCTGGTCGAGACCAGGAGACATTTACGTATGGAGTCAGGGCAGACGGGCTTCATGACCTACAGATCATCACGACACAAAAGTTAATCCAGTTCTTGCGGACAAGGCCCACTCGACAGACATTCCTGCTTGTCCGTCCATGGGATCGACGTCTCCTCGAGCATCCTGACTTTCCAGAGCAGCCTGTCTTTGCAGACGATGCGGAGAGCTTGAGAGATTGGTCCAACTCGGAGCCCGAGTTTCCGTTAGGCGACTCACCCGGCGGTTCTCCTGCAGTACGAGAGCGAGATGATTCGGAATCTCACTCGCGAGCCTTGCGATTGATGGTTCGCCTTGGACAGTCGTTCAGCGCATTTTTACTCGTGCAGCAGCGCAGCGGAGAATACAAGAGGATCGTTTTGGATCATGATATCATTGCACAGGCCAAAGGCGTGGCTTCTGTTCACAACATGACAGGCGGAGTCAGGACCCTAGAAATATTGTAAGCCGTACGAATCCTTTTTTGAAGACCAGAGATCTCTGATTTTTCCTTTGTATCTTGACCATACATATGCAAACGCAGATACCCTACAATTGTCTTCAAAGCAGACATACGTTAGAGACCAACTATTCGTCGTGCACAGTTACTGTATATTCTGTCCTAGTACATTAAATATCTGATGCCCTTTTTCTGTTATGCACCATTGTGACCTTGGCCCCTTTCATCTTCCCTCACAACCCCACATTCGCTCGACACCCTCGCCACCACCAATTTACGCCACCTCAGAGTCTTCGTGATGCCCTACCAGCAGTACACGAACCAATATCAACATCAGGCGCCATCGCCGAATGGATTGCCGCAAGCGTTTGAAACTGCACCTCGTTTGTACACGCCGCCGCGTGAGGCCTGAAGAGTCTGACAGGAGCTAGTCATCCTTGAAATAACGCAGACTTCCAGCGAAGGCTCTTTGCCAGCGTCCGTGAATCGGTGGGATGCGATGACAGATTATATCCTTGTCTTTGACCAGAACGGTAGGAGGAAGTGTTAAGTAGTGGGGTGATTTTACTCGCCGACTTGACTCCGACCCTGTCACTTGAGTTTATTTCAAATTTGCTCTGAAGGTGGCTTGACTAATACACCCGGTTGTTTGGATCCAAGGCTTTTGCCAAATAACTTCCTGATAGTAGTACCCGCAATACTAGGAATCGGAGTATGTCCCAAACGACCGCAAGATTCATTTCAGTGTACTAAGCACCCACTACCAGATTACTGAATATAGGCGTTGCATCGCAGGAGCAGCCCCCCATTCGGAAAACTACTTATAGGAAAGGATCAAAGTTTCCAGCAATCAATCATCATTAACTGGAGTCTATCATATAATGGAACGGAGATAGTCCAACGTTCCAATTGTCGCATGTGCTCGAGGCTGTGTCGTATGATCATGGAACGTTCGAACGACACAGCTTTATGGACTGTAGCTCATGGAGCATGCGGTTGTAAACGCTGTCATGGAAGCACGCAGACCCACTTATATCCACAGGCTTCCGAGGTAGTGATCTGCCTCCCGCACTTCTCGGTTCTATCACCTGCGACTACTGATAGTCATGATCCACTCACCCTCAGGCTCCCATCACTTTAAGGAGTTGGGAATTATGCTATTACGCCTGAATGTGAGTCCTTCCAATATGAATTAGTGAAGGTAGTGGCTTATCAACCTGACCAGTATGCTAATGGTAACCATGTTTCCCTACTATTGCAACTGATCATGCAAACAAGTGGCCATAGCGTTTCTCTGGGTAAATACTAGTGTTGCGTTTTTCTCTGTCGGGTAACAAACAACTTTCTTCGGCATAGGTGTACGACTACTTGACCACCTTCTCGAGCGAGGTACGTTAGAGTCTGCACGACAACTACCCTGAGCGTTCATTTCATGCCACCCCTCAGGTCAATTTTCTGTTCCATGGACGATGGAGCACGACCAAATTATTGTACTTGGTCTGTCGCTATCTCCCATTTGTTTACCTGACTTTGGAGATGCTCAGTGCGTCGAATATGCAATACTTCAATAAGTATTTCGCTTTCTAATTAGTGACTTTGGTCACGGTTTGACAGTGTACATACGACCTACTTTATCACAGATCATGACTGTGAGTCCCAGTATATTTCCAGCTACCTTCGAGGCTGAGTCTCTGAGGTCAGCTGTGCAAGATGTATTATTCTTTGAACACTTGTCAGCATTTTGTGATCGATCGCTCTGCTTAATATTAACGTCTGTGCACTCCTAGATATTGGTGGTGTTATACTATGCTGCGCGGAGTGTATGATTCAAATGTGCTCATGTCTGCAGTTTCGTATTCACGTTCTCTTTCCAGGGATATTCGTCGCGCGTACATGTGCACTTTGGGGATACAAACGATCAATTGTTGTTTTGTTTCTGATCAGCGCGGTGGTGCGTGGCTAAACTCTCATACTTTTATTTATATTCCTCAACCATTCACATTACGTAGCTCTATCTCATTTTAATCATCGTAATCCTAACGATACATGCGTCGTCAGCCAGAGGTAAGTGTTTCATTCACCTGCTCTCATTGTCCTTCAACCAGGTCGTTGACCGTTGTATCTAGTCATCAAATCACCGATACCCTTCGTGAGTTGCTTTGATTCCGGAGAGAGCAACGTCATTATCGCAGCAAATAGTTTGCTTATTCTTGCGGAATTGCGTGAGTTTCATCTTGTCAACCCTGACACGTATCTTTTGACACGGTACAGAAATTCTGTTCCTTTCACTCCGCAAAGCCGTAGCAAGCTTCAGAAGCTGGGGTCGTGAGAATCGATTGCTCGATATCCTCATCCAGCACAACATATTCTACTTTGCCTGTGGATTGTGTTAGGAACTTTTTGTCAGGAACGGAAAGTCTGGTCGCTGACAATTAACCTGCAGGTTCTTCCGTTGTTGTTATTTTAACGAAGGCCCTATTGCAGGTCAGCGCCTCCTCTTTGCTTGAGATTTTGTATTGACGAGACATCGCAAGGCATCGTACGGGAATTTGATGGCTAGGTTCATCTCATCCCCCAGCCTTTGTTAAACAAAACTAAAGTATCCTCTAGTGCTCAAGTCGTGTTCCATGCGCTCCTTGTAACAAAGATGCATCTCAGACTATGGGAATCAGAGCGGTATCACGATATTTCACAACTTTGGCTGTGGATCGAGTGCGATGAGCAAATAATTGACGTTATTAATATGTCCCTGCGTGTCTCTTTTATTGAATCGTTGCCTTCACGTCGTTATTTTAGCCCTGAAATGTCAGCCTTCATGACAGTCATAGCACATAACATGTTGGGACTGTACAGAAAACAAAATAGGTCATCGTTGATTGGTACTTTTACGAAACGCCGAGTACATCCCCTCCTGATTTGGGCACAACACGATAATTGAGAAACTACTACCAAGTCACAGAACGGAAGACGAAGCCTACGACGATCACAACAGATTGCTCCAGCAGTTGCATACGCAGTGGTGCTCCCCGTCGTATTGAGGGTGAGCATCGATCTATGACGTGCTCTTGTGCCACATCAATGCCCCCCGGTAATAGGTAAAAGGATGGGACAGCGCCAAGAACTCTGGAGACCCTTGTATCTCAAGGCAACTCACGACAGGTTATTTGATAAAGATTGCATCAAAACCCACATGGGCGACGACAGTGTCCTATTATATTCAAAAAGTTTACTTTAGCTCGAACACTTTACCCGAGGTTTCTAAAATACATAAAGTGCCAGAATCATGAAGGGAATCCCCACTTTTGCACTGTGAAAGCCGTGCACCGTGATGAACTCCACTGAAGATGTATTTCAGCTCGGGTCGGTTCTTTGGAGCCTCAATGTAAGCAATACTTTATTCAGTTCCAGCTACTTATGATCTCTCAAGTACGCCAATGGTCCGCACTCTAGTTCAAGTTGTGTTGGCTGCGACTGATTATCTTGTCCATGACATCGTTGCAGTGGCTGTAACTTCGTTCTGGGTAAACTCATATGAATCACCCACACTTATATTATTGATCTTCATCGCCGTAGGCATATGACTACTTCCTGACGTTGGCCGATGAGGTACTGTTGCTCTACTTGTTTGTTCGATGGTTACCCAGGTTCAGATTTAAATAATTCCAGGTTGAATTTTTGAAGCACTCACAGTGGAAATGGACGAAGCTGCTTTACCTTGTCTGCCGATATCTTACCTGTGGTTACTTGTCATTGACGATGCTTGGCAAGCACAACCCTATATGTCATTCATCCTTTCATTCATGACGCTCACAGTGGCATTTCGACCCACGATGTCGATTCACGTGAGTATTTCAATGACAGTGAGGCCGTACCTCATCTAGGTATCATACAGGTGTGTCGAGTGATGTACTCTATAAACACATGTGCGGTTTATCATTCGTTGAAACAAAATCGTCTGATAGATATTTGACAGATCTAGGAGGTGTAATTCTGGTGTGTGCCGAAGGTTTGCTGTTTTCATATCACTGTCTACATATTCATTTAAAAAGACCTGCAAGGTGTCTTCTTGGCGCGCGCTTGCGCACTTTGGGAATTTAGGAGGCGCATGGTAGTGATGTTCCTGACCAACGCGGCAGTCAGTCGCAAGCTTTACTGGGAATCATCCGTGTCAGTTGAATTGCAACCGTCAGATATACGTTATTGCTATCCCTGTTGTGCTCTCGATTGGTCGATTCGCCCCTAGGAGTACGTTTTTCCGGACATTTAGACATGGTTACTTGCGCTGAAACATAGTTGCAGTTACTAAATCTCCCATTCCTGTCACAGGCTGCTTTGACACTGGCGAGGGTAGCAGCATCATAATCGTCTATGTGATACTGGCTATGGCGGAGATACGTGGGTACAACCTCGCAACCTCATTCGTTTCCCATGGCAATTGATGATCCCCTAGAAATATGGATGCTCACACTGTACAAGGCCGTGACCAGCTACTGGCGAGAGGGAACCCATAATCGCTTGTTGGGACAGCTGATCCTTCACAATATCATTTACCTTACCTGCGGACTCAGTGAGTTGCTTCCATATTGACAGATTTCCAAATACATATGCAGATTTTATAATAAAGTCTTCTCGCTCTCAGTCATATTAACGACAGTGTGTGTCGAGGTTAGTGGCGTGAAAAATGAATGGAGCCGTGTGTGTTGACGACGAGTAAAATCTGACAGGAATATTACGGTTTCATGATTGTGAAGTTTGTTCGTATTTGGCAAGTAACTGTTCATGCCTTTCTTGTGACAAGGATGAGCCGTGGACTCTGGAAAGTAGACCAGCGGCGTGCTTCACTAGAATCCTTACCTCCTCATCTGTAATGTTAACTCAAATGTCAAATTCTGGCTTTCAGTCAATTTCTTGATCCCTTTCGAGCGAAGGAAGCGGCATCACTCGTCACGACCACACGTAGGAGGCAGAACGTGGTATCCATCAAAACAGCGACTGCCCCTCAAGAAGTTAATGTCTTGCTTGCATGTTGGTCGTGTCAGACCTATTTAGAACATATAATGAATGTCATTCAAGAGAGGACGTATTAGGATAGTTTCCTGAAGCCGTGTCAACGCAAACGTTTGATAGCAAATAACCGGTTAAATGGAATCTTGGTTTATCCCCTCGTATATGTCAGGTTGTTAGAGGAGACAAGTGTTATTCTCCTTGAGGCTCAAGTCAAATATTGTCTATGGACAACCGGTGTGGCCTCAATTGCAGGTCTGTCCGCTCCGTCGGTGACAGAAAAATGGCCGAAAGAGCTGATCTGGATTCTGGTAGCTTCGTTTAGTGTGGTTCCTTCTGTACGTTAGACGAAAACATACCAATCAAACTTCATGACTGTCACACGACGGAATCCAGGCATCAGGGCACGTACCCGACTCAAACCTTCTCTCTCTGAGTAGTACCGCCCAAGTTCACAATCGGCATGGGTCGTTTGGAAAACACAATCTTTTTTTTCACCAGGGCGACGATGCCCCAGCTAACTCCGGGGTTTGAAGTGTCTTTCATCGTTCTGGAGTCATCTCCGTTACCAGGATAGCCATATCGCTTGGACGTTTCCTTGCGATGCATCACGCCCAACGGCTTAGGCAAGTTTACGACCTTGCCCTCAAGCAGATGATGCCCAATGATCAGTGTGGGTTTGTTCTTAAAGGTCTGTCAGGTGCTGCCAGAGCAGTGACTGTGAAGAACTCCACCCACGGCATCCTTGAGGTTCAATTTGCCAACGAACTGCCCGTCTCTAGTGGTGTCTTCACTAGACTCTATATCGAGCGTGCCTTGCAGTTCTATGAGAACAAGCTCGTCATGACCAAGCTTCGCGATGCAAGGCGGAAGTTTCGGATTAAAGGCGTTGGACAGCGAAACAGATACATCGATTGGCATGGTTGGTGCACAACTGCAGTCGGACGCGTCCAAACAAAGCGCGTCAAGTTTCAAGCTCAAGTTTCAACGCGTCAAAGACCCCAGAAACCGTGTTCAATGGGACACAAGTGATCTCGTAAAGAAGAAACGCCTCCTAGGTATTTGATCTGCCTAGGGGCGATTGAATCTCGCGCAATCGCAGTCGATGACTACATATTTCGTGGATCGTCGAGGTCACTGACCGGATGCAGGGCAAGACAAGGTGATTGTGAGTCGCGACTGTCGCCGAGCTCAATCTTGTCTGTGCACTCGAAGGTCAACCATCTGTAAGCCCGGTGGCTTACCTGAGTTCCCATAATCAGCATAAATACTGTCCGAGATAATGAAACATGAGCTTTCATTATCACTGCCTTTTGGCGTAACGGTTAAGGGACGACAGTCTTGACTACTTTACACCATCCACTCTTTCTGCAGCTTTTCGCGGAAGAAGACACGCGCAAGACCATTTACAATTCACATTTTGCCATGAGAGATAAACCTCTTGCGCGCCTGAATTTCGACTTCGGCTTGTTCTCCATCATGTCGAGGAATTCTTGTCGGCGAGCCGGACCGCCGTCGATGATCCACCTGGCAGTTGGTTTGCAGATCCGAGGTTCAAGAGCGCATTTTATGGGTAAGTATAAGTAGGTATGGTATGTTCTAGCAAACTACTTGGCCAAATTGATATCTACAATTAAATCTACAGGGGGAAATCACCAAACTCCCAGCTATAACATTCCTGCAAATTCACATCAGTTTCAGACGAGCGTTGTATAAGTTATGACCACTCACCACGCAATCTTCCTCAACTGTAGGGGGTGGAACCGACCGACCGACATCTTCGCTGGGCTGCCAGGGCTTCCCAAGAATTTCATCTATAACACTGACGATCCCATGTTTGCGTATGTCTACAGACCAAGAAAGGTTCGACACGGTGTCATATACAATGGATTGGCCTAGATGACATCTAGGTTGCCTCAGAGACGCGAGCAGCACGAACGTCGGAAAACATACTTGGATTCCATCGCGAAACCGCCCAGGGCGCAGGAAGACAAAATTCCATTGCAGGTGCCCATCGCAATGGGATCTGCAGTGTGGTATACATGCGTGACATGATGAGTTGATGGCTAAAACTGGTCTATCACTACTAAGATGATAAGCAAATTGGAACCACTTACCGGTGATGGTAGATGCAGCCGTCCTTGCAGCCATTCTTTCTCCTGGTGACTCAAAAGCGACAACAGGGGTGCCAAACGTGGCTCCAAGAAGAGAAGCCAACGCACCACCTTCTCTCCCAGAGTAAGTGACTATAACGCCAGCATCAACAAAAGTACTCGCCTAGTGAGTGCCCTATAATCCAGATATCCGATGTCGGGTACATATACGTCAAGTTATTATACAGATTCTAGTTCAAGTGAGCAAGGGGATCGCACGATAACGATGCACTTACCGTTGCAATGGGGTAAAATAGGCTGTCTTCCACCAGAGGCCTCCTCCAGGCAATCCTGGTCGCATTTCCACCCTCCACGATAGCAACCACAGACGGTCGTCCATGACCAGTCAATTCTAGCACAACAACAACTAAATAGTAGGTTATCATTCAATTTATCCTTCTTGGCAGTGGGACCTCCGCTTCCCCACAAGGCTGCGGAAGTGCCTTTGATAGATAAAATGACGATGGAGTTGTCGGGGGTCGCAAACACATATCCTCGGAACCCATCTGCATCTGGTTCCCATCCAAATGGATGATGCTATAAAAGAGATCCTCAATGATAACGTGCATGTATGATTTAAGGAAACCTACGAACATCGGCCCAGTTATCGCTAAGTTCGTACCACTGGCTATCATCAGGGGTTACATAGGCATTGTTTGTCATCTTGGCAAGTTCCAAAAGTGTTTCGCGGCTCTCGACATTCGGCCCCAATATTTCGGCTTCGTACCAGGGCAAATTCGCGCTTTGTGCGTGCCGCATGGAAAGTATCCTCGCATCATTATATGCGCTGAAACTTGATGGGCGATATGCGGTCGTATGCCGTGTATCTATCGAATAGGATGATTGATTGCCATCGACAAGGCTCACCGTCAATGGCACGTCGGAGAATGCCACATGTGCATCGGGTGAGACAGCATGTTCGTGCCGCAGCTCAAATCGTAGGGGTTTCTGGACATGAACAGTCTGCGGCCGCTGACTACGGCCAAGGAAAACATCCAGGACCAGGACGAGGAGGGCCGTAAAAGCTGTTGGGAGCATGGAGCATCCGAACAGCGGGCCATAAACGTTGCAGACAAACTTTAGTGTTGCTGATTCAGCAAGATATTTCGAGCCTTAATTTCATTGCAGTCTATGAGCCACGATTATAACTTAAGAGACTGCGATCAGTGCGAGTAAGAATACACAAGTAAACATCGAGTGAAAATGCAAAGAGGAAATCGACAATAAAATAGTAACTCTAAATCTGGACCAAGATGTACTATACATGAGTACTGCCACCCACAGGGCACATTAGACGGCACATTATAATATCAAGGCAAGACGAAGACATGAAAGCAAAAATCGTGCTTAAGCAGGAACACCGGTGATGTTCAGCGAGTCCATCGCAAGGCCGAGAGGGTCAGCAGCAGCAAGAGTCGCTTGAGCAACAGCATTGTCGAGGTTTGCTGCTGGCCCGAAGAGGACTTCTGGGCTGGTGCACGTCGCGACTGCGCGACGCATGTGTGTCGTTAAGAAGGACAGGCCCACCTGGTAGGCGGCTGTGATCATTGATCAGCTAGTGAACATGAGTATGGAGGTAGAGAGACGCACAGTTCATCCACCCAAAGCCCTCGCGAGGAACCATCTTAAAATCTAAACCTTGGTTGCCATACTCGGCATCCACTAGATGCGAAAGTTTCACTGCGTCAAACTGGCCATGCGCATTCGTGTTAGTGGTATAACGCAGTCACCGCTTAGGTCACACACCTTCTCAGGTACAACTCCATTGAAGTCAACAAATGCTGTGGTCATCCTACAGCAATCGAGTCAGTTCCAGCGTGAATAAGGCCGCGTATGGTCACGTACATGTAAAGGAACCTATACGATAATCGCTGGGCATCTTCCAGGTAGCCGTAGCGCTCCAGTCCAACCCAAGTCATGATTTGGTGAGGAGGCCATGCGTAGCTGGAAAGAGAAGTATTAGATCTACTGTATTAACAATAAAAGAGACATCTACGCACGGGTAATCCCACTGCCGGTTAGGCCTGTCCAAGGAAATCTTACCCCTAGACTCCTCGGTTCCGGAAACAAGACCGCCAAGTACCTCAAACTTCTTCAACGACTGAGAACTGCACAAAGTTAGATGAGTTTCCGAATGAAGGCAACCGAACGTACACAAGTTTCCAGCATTGCTCCTCGCTAGCACAACCAGCCCAGAGCGCCCAGAATGCAGTGACACTTTCATACAGGCTCTGCTTTTCCAGAACGGTATCATAGTCGAAGTAGAGCTTCTTGCTTTCGTTCCAGAGGTATTTGTCAATCATCTCTCTCCTGTGATCAGCTCTGTCAAACCACTCCTCGCTGGTTTGCATCCGACTGGTTGAGCGTTCGCGGTAGGGGTTGCGGTATGCCTCAACAGAAGGTGGGAAGGGTGCCAAATCAAATTCCTCCTCGAGGTCGAGCTCATCATCAAACACCTCCCGGATGGCCGTCCCGATGTCGACTTCATACTTGAACAGCAGCGCCTGTAGATCGATCGTCCCAAGGTTTGCACATCGCTTCTCAAACCTGTACGTCGTATCATGGCCCGACTCGCGCACAGCCCTGTCATGCAAGAAGTACTCGTCCAGTGCAGGTTCCTTGAGAACTCCATTGTTGTATTTCTCACTGAACTCGAGGACCGAGATGCCATGCTTCTCAGCATAAGGCTCAAGGATATGTGTGAAGTGCGTCGCCTCAGTTTCAGGCGGTATTCCAAGACCGTCGGGGCGGTACCTGGACAACCCCGTCTTGGGGTCAATGCGGGGCTCTGCGACCCAGATGGTATGGTACTCTTTAATAGCGGCTTGGATTGCCCGCTTCAGCCACTGTCGGTTAGACTCCACGTCAGAGCGATCTAGCTGATTGTAGATCTGCAACGCCATGTCCGTCAGGAACGGAGGTTGTGTCCTGCATAGATAGTAGCTCCGGCTTCCATTCAAAATCTTGCCGTAATGCTTGATTTCAAATATGAAGTGGTCAACCATGCCCTTCGCCATGGTCACTTGACCATCGACAAGGAGACCGAGGGAGATGAAGTAAGAATCCCAGTTGTAAAGCTGTCATCGGATGGTGTTAGTCAGGGAGACCAATCAAGTGATTTGATGAAGGCACCTCATTAAAACGAGCGCCAGGCACAATGAATGGAATGCCTTTAAGGGTCCGGCCACCCTTGCCATCATCAACCTCATTCATAGCGAGCGCTAAAAGACCTGGCTTGGAGTTCAAGCTTTTGACAAATAAGGCATCGTCAGGCTTTGGAGGTAGAACCTGTACATCAAGGTTCATGTGTGGTTTCTCGCGCGCCACTTTTCTGTAGTATTCAGCCATTGCGGGTTCGCCGTGGGGGACGTAGATCCGAGGCTGGACTCGGCCCGTACGATTCTTAGGGTCGGCAGTGATAATCTCGAGGCCATCACCGTCAATGCGGCGAGTCAGTGAGTGCCAGAATGAGTTCTTGATCATGCGAGAGAGACGGTCGACTGGGTTCTCTGAGAGACGGCCCTCGTCGAGGACGATACGTTTGCGTCCATGATCACGGGCTAGGGCAAGCTCCTGCAGCAGGTTGGACAACATGTAGGTTCCCTGGATGGAAATTATAATTAGAAATGGTACGATGTCATGAACATGGACTCTCACTCGGATATCAAAAGTCTTGAAGCCATTGCTCGTGGCCGTACCAAGGGCCATCATCTTTGGGCCCGCGTCCGTGATACTGATTTGGAAATCACCGTCTGTGTCCTCCTGCTCAAGGACAACACGAATGGTCTCTTCGACATCAATGAGGAAGCGCCGAGGGCCGGTGACGCTCTTCTCGTCGTGTGACATGCGACGAGCCCTCATGTGCGTATCCTCCTCAAAGAGTGGAGCACGCTTTGGGTTATACCCATGAATATGTGACTGCATAAGAAATTAGCAAGATACTCGCCGAACGACGAGACTAGACGCCTTACATGACTGTAGGTTCTTGAACGAGTGAACGCCTCACCGCCGCCGTAGTATGTTGCAGCATCTACGTGGACTGGTCTATGGGCATCGACGAAGGTGACGCCCGCTGGGTGATTAAGGGTAGGAGCCATGGTGATGGTTAGAAGGAAAGGAGTGAACCGAGAAAAGAAGAGGCGACAACGGCGACCTTGCTGTACTAATAGTTGTGGGGTACTTTAGTTTGAAGCGAAGACTGAGTTGTGGTCTGAGGGGGTGAGCCGAATTTATGCCAGACAAAATTACACCACGTTGCCAAAAATAATCGTGGAAATTATTGTATCCTCCAAATTTCCGCGACGACAGTACTAGTGACGGCGATGAGAACGACGACCACAGGAACGATCCTTGTGAAAAGTCCTAGTCAACCGGGGCTGATAAAGTCTACGACTAAGCATTTGCACTATCAGGCTTTCTTCAACCTACCTATAAGGGTTATCAATGGTGCGGTCAGTTTCTGTCACCTCGAACCTGACGATCTACCTAGACAGCAGATATGATTATCAAGTGCAGCGCAGCGCACCGCTGTTCCCTTTATACCCAGGATCCGAGTCAGGGACTTGTCATCTCTCTCACCTTCATCCCGGCTGAGCGGCTGACCCGGATCCTAGATAAGCCTTACAGATCTATCTTCCTTTCGGTCTCCCTTTCTCCATCAACTTCGTTTCCTGATTATCCCCAATATGACGTAGCCTCAGTCTACGAACCGATATTAATGTTGTACCCCCTCGTCACATCGGAGACGTCCTTCCAGTATTTGTTTTCTTTCTGCCTCTCGAACTCCAAATTGTTGTCATGATACTAAAACCCACGAATGAGGGAACTGCCAGGCTCTAGGTTGTCTTTCCCAGATTTTCAAGATGGCGAACTCCGTGCCACCAGTCGGCCGGAGCATCCACAATATCAGACGCTTGTGAGCGCTCCATCTCCTAACTACAAGAAACGCGCACTGTTGAACAGACTTATTACTTGAACTTGTAGATGACTTTGTCACACTAGCCTCAGGTGACGGAAGCGCCTATTTTGATGTCAAGCCGCCACTGCATGGGCTCTCCACAAGTCTTGAGAATGTTCATCTCATGCAAACGCTATCCCCGGTATCCAATCACATTCTCACCCGAATTAGAAGAAACCGGCAATAGGAAGATGCCCTGAACCTGCAGGGCTGTTTACGAGGCAAGACAATAACTATGTATCCCAACATGGACTCAGAACACTTCTTCTGTGTTCCTGACCTTTTCACTGCGAAGACCTGTGCCTTATTGACACACCTTGGGAAAGTGTTATCCTCAACCTCCCCGCGCAATTCCTTTAGGGTCGAACAACTAGCCTATCATAAGTATCGCGCAAGTCGCCAAAATGGTTTTGCCGATTCGACAGAAAATGGCAGTGTCGTGTAGCAAGTGGTCCAGGTTTACTTCACCGCGGGAGTAATAGGGCAAATCACAGCTTAGCGCGCTGCACATTGAGGCCGTGTAAGATTTCGGGACGAGTCTGACAGTGGGCGCTACTAGTTGACACAGCTATAGGCTGACAGAACAATTACAGGCGAGAATTATCGGTCTCTTCGTAAGCCTTGTATTGTCAATGGAAAGTTGGGTATTTTCTTGGACTCGCTCCACCTCACTGTAAAGGACGCGGTATGTTAGGTAGTGGTATGGTATGACGAATTGATAGTAATATGCATCGCTGCGAGACACGCTCGGGGTTTCCGTGGGCTCAGGTCCCGATAATTTACAGAAGTGCTGTCTGCGGACACAGCAACTCTTTAACGCTTGCATTTAAAATTAAACGAGCCTCCTACTATCTCTGACCCGGTGTTGCAAAATGGCCCGGAGTTGCAAATCACGATATCTAGTAGCACGCTCATATTTCACTCATTTCCTTCGCACAATGATTCTAGAGGATGAGTAATCCATAGCTTACTGTGTGTATTTTAAAAATGCACTAGAAGGGCTCGCGACAGTGAAACACTGTTCAGAACGTGCACTTTCCACGCCAATCCATCGGAGGGAAGCCATCACATGCACTAAAAAATCAGGAATTCCACCAGTGATTTCCTATTGCCTTCTAATACCACACTAATTTTTTCTGACATGATAACTGAGTGGTGTTGAGAGTCACAAATGTTGTACTATCAAGATACAGGACGTGACAGGAGGAGTGAGATTGTGTTCGGAGTCATAAATCGCTGCTCGGCAACTTGGCTAAAACAATTATTGAATAGCACTCGTCAATTGCCCCAGATTCGTTCAACGCTTGACGGCGTCGGAGAGTAAAAACGGCGGTGTGACATAGTGTGACGCGACGACTTATAAAAAACAAGTTGAAAAGTTTTGCAACACCGGGTCAGAGATAGTACTGCTCTGCATATCCTGAGGTCCTTATCATCTTCATGTCGTTTCTGCCGCGGACTCGTATCTTAAACTTAGTATTGAAGGAACGACTGAGTATCTTCCTTCTGTGGTCTGCTCAAGGTGGTCTGAGGTAGCTGAATTTGAAATTAGAACTTTGCACTAGTGACTGCTCCACCCACTCCCTGTATTGGGATAGGCTCGGAGTGGGCATCACCACGGACCACAAAAACCGGTGCCAGCTTACTCACAGTGCTTCTCCGGTTGGACTTATAATATCTATCTGCAACAGATCCACTGGTCAGTTTGTATACCCTCATGGCCCTGTTGTTTGACCAAGCTGAAATCAGTATTGGGATCACGCTCCAGCACAGCAATGTAAGTGATGTTCTGAATCAATAGTATGGTTCAACAAACTGACTGTGCACGTTGTATAGTATGCTTTCTGTGCGTACCAGTGGTTGTATGTGGCAGCGTTTGATGCTGAATTTCTGTCTTAGTTGCCATAGTATGTCTTTGGGTAGGTACCGACTCAGGACAGCACCTGTCAAGTTCACAATGGAAGTTGATTATATCTTTATCAGGTTTACGACTTCGTGCTCACGCTCGATGAAGAGGTGGGTTTTCATCCAGCCAACGACATGGCCTATAGCCTGACAAGTGACATACAAAGTTCGAGTTCATACCAAACGCTCGATGGCAAACGCCCAAACTGCTCTGCCTTATCTGCCGATACTTACCATTCGTATTGGTCTTCATTGATATATTTCGTACGTCCAGAAATGTATCACTTGACTCGGAAGCGAATGGAATCTCACCTGTTTTCAGGAATTGTACACCCTGGGCTTTCCGTCAAGGTATATTATTTGCCTTGCATGTTACTTGTGAAGCTCAATACCAGAGTCTCAGTCCTGCACAACCTGCTTTGCACTTAACTCATGTGAGTTGATACTCCTTAGGGACTAACTACTTCCTGAGCTGACCCCCCTCTTATCAGACATCGGAGGAACAATACTGTGTTGCGCAGAATGTTAGTATCATTTGTTATTCCGTTGTTTCAGTGGCTGACCCTCATTGCAACGTAATGCAGCACTCTTTATACTGAGGGTTTGGGCGATGACGGGTTGCAAACGCTGGAGAGGTATAACAATGTGTTGCAACGCTGCGGTAAGTCGTCGTTTGAAAGTGGACCATTTTGTCAATAGCCCAATGTATAGCTCTTCATGATCCCAGTGGTGGTGACATTAACATTATTTGACTCTTCCTCCATAGGTGGGTCTTCTCCTGCTCGCTGACTTGGACATTCTCAGCGATGTGATGTAGTCCTGCAGTCACCTATTCCCAAAGTTGCGAGTTGTTACAGCAGCCGAGAAAATCGCGTCATTTTTGTAGCCTATATTTTACTCGTGGTCGGAGAGCTAGGTGTGTTTCGCGGTATTTTTTTGTTGGACTTTTAACAAATATTCAATAGAGATCCTCGGATTCATGTTATACCGCTCCTGGAAGCTTTATAGAGAACTTGGAGACGATTTGCCTCTTCTGCGGGTCCTTGTCACACACCAGGTATTCTATTTTGCCTGTGGCCTGTGTGAGTGAAAAAATTATCCGTTACAAATATGCATTGATAATTGTGGCGGACCAGTCTTTTCCACCACAGTCATGATCATCATGGTTACTCTTCCTGTGCGTATCAATGGCATTATGTTAAACGTCCAATTAAAATGACTACAGGCATCCTACGGAAACATGGCATCAGAGTACGAGGCATTTTTCTTGGAGTGGAGGTATCAACTGACTGCATCGTAGTTTACAGATCGTTGTACACGCAATATTAGTGACACGCATGCACCGCGAGCTGTGGAACACAGCACATTGCCCTCAAGACAGTTCCGCTGGGATTGTGTCCCTTCCTCTTGTTTTTGTCGCAGGGTCTTCGTCGGAAATGCATAACTGACCTCATTGTAGAAGAAATTGTCTTTTTTCTATTGGCCCTAGAGAAGACTAGACCATTACTCTGCCATGTTCTTAGATAGAGAGCTCGTGTCTTCTTACTTGGGACATTGCTCGCAGATCATCATGTGCTGGGACTCACGTCTGTCTTGTTCATGATCAGAAGTCGTTTGTAATAGGCCCCGCCAATCCACATCAGTCACAAATCACTATTGCATGTCATTTTAAATACGAATGCTTGAATACAAAGAGCCTGCCACGAGACGTTCGAACCAGTTCTATCGCAACCAAATCCCTGCACACGCCTACGAAAAATACAAAGTATTCGAAATGACAAACGAAGCATGATGAATGATGGTTTGAGAGCCGTAAGAAAATTCGTGATGCTCAAAGCTGGGTCGGAGGGGCATCTCCCTTGATAGGCTCACACCAGTGCTACAGCCAAATAAAATCAGCTCTCGATACTAAAGCAATTGGCAAGAACTCACATTCAGTTTTTGAGCATGTGCTCGTTTGTGTGTTTGGGTACGACAGTTATATCCATACCAGCAGTTGTCTGGAATCGCGTGTCCTCCTGTGGAGCACCGAGTGAGCGGACATCCGTGAAGGTAATCTGGGCAGAAACTTACCCTGAACCTTCTGACCCAGGTACCAGATATGTAGATGGTCGCGCATGAACTTCTCCAAGCATTGTTGACATAGCCAGTCCTCTTTGTTCCAGGTGTTATAAGCCGATGTTTTGTAATCGAATAACCCCCCGAATAGCTGCTCAGATGATGTCTCTCGCAGCACAGTCGTGAAATGCGCTATGTCTGCAAGATTTGCGCAGAGATTACCTTTCAGTAAGTGCGTAATTGAATGATGAGGCGGAGGGCCCCGTAGGTAGCTCCAGTCTTCAGTAATTACGGGTTGAGTATGTGTGTGCTGCGGGCTATATTCCCTGACTTACTACTTGGTCCCCATAAATCCAACCCCTGGACAGTGTCGGATTGACATTGCGAGCCTGTCACTAAATGAACAACCATCAACGAAAAGGAATAGAGGACACAGACACCGATCATGCTCTCCAATGACCTCGTCAATTATAGGCTGCTTTTGGTTAACGGGAAGAACAGATGGTTCTTTCCTCTCGACCAAGACAGACGTTAGCCCAATCATGAAGTCATGAAAGAAGCTTTCGTCAGTATCGTCCATCCAGTCATCTATAATGTCTAATCCCTCCTTATACACATCAAGCACGTTGTGGGGAGCGCAATATAGCGCATAGCATGACCGAAGGCTGTCTATATGAGCTTGATGAGTGGCTGGAGCACGGACGGTGACGCTCGCGCTCACTGGTTGTAGGTGGAATCGCAGGAAAAATAACAGTCTCAGCCCGAGCCAATATTTCCCGCAAAAACGATTCAACCCTTTGGATTTCTCTCAGCTCAGGAGTGGAAAAACTACCAAAGAAGTCTTTTCGTAGTGTCTGGGCTTCTTGGAGTTCCGACTCCATTTCTTCTGAGTCAGTGTCAGAGCCCGACTCGTAAGCTTCGCGGCCGTAGACGGCCGAGAACAAGCACAATCTGTACATCGCTTTCTGGAATCGTGTCGACTCCGCCAAGAAGAGTTGACTTGTCTTGAATCTTCGGTCTTTCATTCTGACGAAACAAGTTAGACAAATCTGGGTGTAAAAGATGATAAAAATACCTCCAGCTAAACAGACTTTCGAGCTCTTGAACGGAGTTGAAAATGACTACAAGTCTTGTGATGTCTTCACTGGAAAGTACTGGATTTTTCTCAATATCATCATCGCCCAAGAGTTCACCAACAGGCTTGGAATACAGTTGCGCATGTTGGCACCGGACCAAACGTAATGCTTGTGGTAAGGCTGCTCCAACCAAGTTGTAAGCTACAGAGCGAACAATCGAGCGAGGATGTTGTTGAAAGACGTTGTAGATGGTCTTTGAGGTCAAGATTGTTGATGCAAGGCAATGGAAGTCAGGCAGAGACGTCAGAACACACACTACAAGGTCAGCGTTCGCGAAGGAACTGCGCATTGGTTGAACTGTGTTCCCCATCTGGCGATTCAGGGGGTTTCGGAGCGTTGTACACTGGAAGGCCCTCCTTCGGTTCGTTCGAGGCGACAGCTCAGACGCAGACGTTCAGGAAAACAGTGAGATTTTTATGGTGACTGCAGGAAACAAAGCGACTCGTTGTTGCGTGAGTCAAGCGTACATGGCAGTCAAATGGTTAGCTGATGAGTCATCAGATGATTTCATCGGAACTTGCCGAAACAACAAGCTCTACACCTCGTGTGCTGTTGCGCGGGGGGATTAGCAAGGGGAACGAGAACAAATGATTGCAAGCAGTTTTTCGGGCGGAAACCCCGATCCGAAGGGGCAGCCCGGCCCCGATAACGGCCCCAACCTTGTGCAAGAGTGAACCGAGGTGACCTGCGAGGACGGGTGTTCAACCTCACAGCCTCAGACTCAGCGGTGTTGATTTGAGTTATTTCTCAGAGTTGTCAATAGTGTCTGGCTTGCCAAGGCGGACGCAGTGATGGGGGTACTACACTGATGAATCACCCTTCGGTGCGCGATGTCGACTCGCGACGACTGACGGCCCGGGGGTATCCGAGTGATCTTGAGCATCAAGACCCCAGAACATTGGGGTAATTCTGGGGTCCCTACTGCCACTGGTCTTGCTCACTGTTCAGAACAGTGAGCATCGTCTACTGTTAACACACTAGGTAATCAACCTAATTGTCAAACATGTCGTTTGGTACAGGGTAGGCTCTAATTATATGTTTTCAAACTTACGGCTCAAGTCTTTTAGTACCAATGTTTTCGGCAGTAACGCTACTGGCACGTCCATCTTCGGGCAATCCAACGCGCCAAAGCCCACAGCTTCCCTCTTCGGGAATACGCAGACGCAGCCCTCTTCCGGGACGGGGACAACGACGGGCTTCGGTGGCTTCGGGATGCAGCCCCAAACGCAAACACAACAGCCCACCCAAGGAAGTGCTATGTTCGGAGGAGGCGCTTTCGGACAGACACAGCAGCAGCAACCGTCCGGATCGACTTCGTTATTCGGGCAGCCCGCTCAACAGCAGCAGCAGCAACCTACAACATCGCTGTTTGGGCAGCCTGCCCAACAGCAGCCACAGAGCGCGTCAGGTACATCTTTGTTTGGAAACCCTTCTACGACTGGGCAGCAGACTGGTGGCGCATTTGGAAGCACACAGCCGCAACAAAGTTTGTTTGGAAGCACGCAACTGCAACAATCAACCAGTCCATTTGGAGCTGCGCAACCACAACAGCAGACAAATAGTTTGTTCGGAAACACGCAGCCACAGCAGCCGGTGGGTGGACTGTTTGGGAGCACGACTACTCAGCAGACAGCTCCTATTGGCGGGCTGGGGGTGAGTACAGCGGGGGCATCGTTCTTCGGACAACAAAGGCAATCATCGTGAGTTCCTATTATGCTTATTCGAATTGGTATTGATGTATCGTAGGATGATGAGGTTAGCTACATGTACTCGCATGTAGGTGTGGCTTTATTGACGTTGGAACAGCACCACACCCATAAGTGGACCTGCACCCTTTTCAAAGTCCACGAAATTCAACGATCTTCCGGATGATATCAAGAAGACATTTGAAGCTATTGAGTGCGCTATTCATAAATACTAACATGTTCCAGGACTAATTTCACGTAGCTCGCACATTCAAGGACGTGTGCAAATAAGCAACGAGCTCAAGCAGCGAAAAATGGGGGAAGAGGCTATCAAGGGTCAGGAGTTAATTCGTGGACTACACAAGGTGCGTCTTATTCCCTTTTGCATGGGTACAGTACATTTGGCCTACCAACTTCCATAATGTCAGGAGCTGCTTGGTGTATCCTCCGTTATCCAATCGGACTCCCTTTTTGCCAAGGACCTGAAAGCGAAGACTGAACAGGCGGTTCAAGATACCATTGTCGCAACCAATATCATCGAGGGCTTTAAGAACCCCCATCAGAGCGCAGCGTATCTCAAAAACCATGCCTCGTTCCCTCTGGAGTATGTACTTGATTTCTCGGCATAAAGTATCTTGGAGTGTTGACGTGCTACTGACCAGATTCTTCACGCGAGTCACACAAGAGATGCAGGAGCGTCTGCAGTGGTTCAAAAACACGATCGAGGTACGGTGTCGTATCTTTAGTAACATTTTAAAGCATTCTAATACTCCAGACAGCAAATTGAGCGGAAACTATCCGCATCAGCATCCCAATCCCAAAATACACCCCAAGGTGAGACTTTCCTTCACTTCCCTCATCCCTAGTTTAAATTCCCCCAGCAATATCCTCCACCCTCCAGACACAGCACGCCATATTCGTCTCACTTGCGGCTAGGACTGCTGCTGTTGACGCCGAGGTTCAGAAGGTGAAGGCACTATACACACAACTCTGGCGCGCGAAAACGGGGAGTATGCGTGATCCTTTCAATGAACTTGACCGCGGGAGTGGAGGGGAGTTTGGGATGGAGTCGTTACAGGTCAAGTGAGGTAGCTTTGTAAATTTCAAGATACCATGCTTTGGGCTTTTTGTTGCTTGAGGGTGATCTCAAATTCTTTGATGGACGTGATACCCTCTGCCAGCTGGCAACTGAGAAAATCAATCTTGCACAAACCTCGCACATCTGATTACTTCCGTGAATCATCTATATTGCACCCTGTGACTTTGAGCGCTCTAAGGTATCGCACCGCCTCGTCACCGCCTCGAATCAATGCCAAAGACCCGTCCAACCTCCTGCGTCTATTTAGGTACCAATCCTGCCGATGGCCTACCAACCCCAACAGTTCGACGTGGTCAGTGGCGAGCAGTACCGCTACGCGTTGACCAACTTCGTGCGTCATATCATCAGTATTCTCGATATTGATCTATGATCTGATCTATCTCATCTCCAGCGAATCGCGCACGAAAAAGTCGAGGAACAGCGTCGGCAGCTTGAAGAACAGGAAAAACAGGTTGCGTTGCTTCGTGCACGGATCGCTTTACTAGAAGGGACAGCGAACGAGGAGCCGCAAGAGGGTGTCAGACAACATGGGGGCAGCTCAGTCGATGACTTCTCCATCAAAGTAAGTCTCAGGATTTGGTTGGACTAGTGTTGGAACTACCCTCTAGTCTGCTATGTATAGAATGCGGCGTCCCAGTTGGAGCGCTTGATCAACCGCTGGGCAGCAGACATTGTGCGCACGCTGCCATCTGGGCTGTCTGACATTCATAGGGCCGCCGTGGGCGACATCACAGGGTCTTATGATCACGCGCCCTATGAAGCCACACCGATTCAGGTACAGAACATCCTCCGCCATGCAATGTCAGAAGTTATTGGCAACGAGATCGTCAACAATCTCGTCGTGACCAACTCCCCCGAAGCAAACGTTCAACTAACGAGGATTCACGAGCACCTATTCGCGCGTGCGCATTAAGTCTTACGTTTCCTCACTTGACAGATGCTAACGATAGCGTAATGCACCAGGCAACCCTGTTGTGGCATGCGTTTGGCGCCGACAAACATTCTCAGCAGCAGTGGAGACTTGCGACCCAGAAATGACAGCCGCCATTCTTGCGGAGACCCTCCCAGCGCTCACAAAAGTGCTCGGGGGATCAGCAAGCAGTACAGCCCCGATTCTAGCAAGCGCATACACGTTCTCGCGCATGCTGCACGGCGCCCCGTCATCATCCACCGACGCATTCTACCGCAGCTTCGTTCCCGAGCTCGGAAGTATACTCTACCCACGTCAGATAGAGCTTGTACGCCGCTGTCTCAAGAGCGAGCGCGGCGAGCAGGACCGTGTAGGTGCAACAATCTTCCCTGGGCTTGTAAAAGTCACGAGGGGTGGCGCTCGACCTACTGAGCAGAACCAGGAAATGGTACATACGGTGGTGCGGCGCGCGCAGGTGATCTGCGAATGTGCGCTCGTATCATCGGGGAACGTGCCAATGCAGGAATAGTGTTATTCCCCACATAGAATTTATATCAGCTTTGACTTGGATAAGATGAAAAGGATGATACCACGTGGGTGGGATATATCGTGCAGTGGTCTATATATTGCTAGTATCCAAATCTATACGACAAGCAGTGATGCGAGTGTTGCTTGTGATTGTATCACCTATGAGGGTGTCAGCGTGGCACATGCTACTAGTTGAGACATTAATACCTCAAGAGCCTGCAGAACCTCCAGCCGTCTCCGTGCAGCTTCCAGCCAATCATGGAGTAGCTCCCTTGCAGTTCCTTTCAATTGATTCAACTCTCTTGCAGCACTATCGAGATCCTTCTCATTCATGTGATAATCCGCTCTCGACAATACACTCAGCACGTCTGACCCAGGAACAAGTCCTTGTTGCTGGAACCTAAATGAGGAAAGGAAATGCGATGCCAGGTGCGTGAGCACACCTGCATTCTGATCAGGGACCAAAGCGACGCTCGAGACGCGCGGTCGCACAGTGGTGTTGAACCATGATGCAAGGTCTGCAAATGGCTCGACACCGATGTCAGGCATATCGCTCTGTTCGAGGGAGTCCAATGCTGCAGCGATGATCGCGTCTTCCTTGGCGACCGCGATGTGTCGGAGTACACGGAGCTCTTCACGGAATGGCTTGCGAGTGGATGCGTCGACAGCGCTCTGCATAGCACGGAGGGCGGTCCACATGCTGTGTACGCGAATATTCTCATCGAGGTAGGAGGAATTGTCGAGTGCAAGACGTTCAAGGCGCTTGAGGTTTGTCGCAAGCTCGTCAAGCTTGGCGAGACGACCGCCGCGTTCTTGCTCCACGTGGACTTTGACCTCGCGGATCCACCGTCTCTGCATCTCTATGCCCTGTGCAATCACTTCCTCCTTCAATCTGTAAAGCGTGGGTAAGGTGACGTATACTGGGCCAGTGCTGGTCGCCTACCGCTCATTGATAAGTTCTGTCTGTGTGCGTAATTCCTGCTCCAGCTTCTCGCGGTACACCTGTGAGAACCTCGCACGCTCCTGGTCGTAGAATGTCCTGAAACCCTCTTGTTGCGAATCCAATTTATCCTGCGCCTCAAGCTCAAGCTCGAGAAGCTTTGTGGTATACTCCCGTGCTTGTTCGTCGAGCTTCATCTCTAGCTGAAGCTTCTCGTCCTCCTTTATCTTTTCAATACGGGCGGCGAGACCAGTGAGGTCACCTTTGGCGATCTCAAGGACGTCTTTGGCCTTTTCGGAGGCAGCAGGGTTGGAAGCAAGGAACGAGGCGAGGTTGTCAATCGTGGATGCGAGCTGGGTAATCACGGGTTCAGATACGGCAACTTCAGACACGGCTGGAGCAACAAGAGGGAGCGGCACAGGAGTGGGTTCCGCAGGGGCCTTCGGGGCAGGCTTTGGGGGTGCGGGGCGCTCATAGCCGGGTGGGGGCTCGAAACCAATAGGGAGCGGTACCGCATAAACAATGACATTATTTGTATTTTTGTCCGACACGATTATAAGGTCGGTGTCGTCGCGTAGTGAGATAGTATCTGCAGGAGAGGAGGCGGGCTGAGCCGGGGTGATTGTCGCCTTAGGAAGAGATTCAACAGGTTTCCCAGCAATGGCCGCTTCTGCTTTGTGGATCAGGTCGTCCAGCTCATCAGCGAACTCTGCACCGTGGTGTCGTGCAATGGCCATCGCTTTCGCGGTTGCTTCTGGGACCTTCTCTTCCTCCACTTTCTTCACAGCGGTCTTGAGGGATGCTACGGCAGACTTTACGCGCTCTTTGGACTCCTTGAGTGCTGAATTGGCAGTCTTTTCAGATGTTTCCTCGGTGGGCGCGTTACCCAGCTGCCGCTGTGCGAAGTTGTAGACATTCTTGTAGGCGTCCACAGTAGCCACCACCACCTGTTCAACGGTAACCTCATCCCAATTGTGCGACTCGCCATACTCTACGAGTTCCTTCCCCAGAGGAACATTTTCCGTGAACAGCTCACGGTACTGTTGGTTCTCGAAGGAAACGAATGTACTACCGATGTAGAACGTGCCCGTCGTTGCTACGGTGTAGAATAAAATCTTGCGAACGATGTTTTTCGCGGGATTGGGACCAGATGAAGAATTGGAGGTGCTGGTGGTAGTAGTGGAGACTAGTCGCTGGTACAAGTTAACTCCGTCATAAGCCACGTCCCAGGAGAGTATTGTAAAATTTGTTTGCTCACCCTGCGAGAAGACCGTACGAGGCCCCGTCCAACCGTCGCTGGGACATGTCTGGGGACGGCAATGGCACGATACATGGCCGCCGTTGTGGTGCTCGATGAGCTCAAACCAAAGAGAGCGGGCGAATTGCAAGACAGAAATTGCTCCCGGTGCTCCCGGAAATTCCCGTCCCGCTTTGTACTTCCCTATTACGCATGGGAGTAGTCCAAACAACCTCAAAATCAAGTACTTATGTTCCCTTGTAGGTCTCCAAGACCTATGATCTGTCAGGTTTAACAGGCAAACGGTTGCAATTACTCGTCGGTCATCGTGAATTCATAGGTTCTTTGACAACGAGTACCGCCACCATGGCATCGACGCTGCTTGCGACTCAACAGGACATTACTACTGACGACTTACTAGTCGTCTACTTAGGACTTCACGTTCCCGATCCCTGACTCAAGTCACTTAGCTGGTCACGAAGTTTGAAGGTACACTTTTAGTAAGTTACTCAGTGGATGACTTGCTGTAGATGTGTTACTGCAAGCCGTAAGCTACACATGTGACCTTGTTTCTGATTCGTCGACCCCCATTCTAGATATAAAATTCTGCAAATGTCATCCGCTGGGATGACATGAAGTCTCTTGGCCTTCGAACCTTCGTGTACGTGATGACTCGTGTAATACCATAAGATCTTGCAGTGAGTTCTTTGTCTTATCTCTCTCGTACACATAACGTTCTGACATATCGAGGATCAAGCGTGGACAGAAGAATCGATGTTTTACGACATGAGTCTGTACAATTCGACGAATAGGCTTGCGCGGTCGTACAGGCATATTTCTTCTCTCGTGGCCTCGTTTCTGTTCCGGCCTAGGGATTATGCCGTGTATTCATCAGAAAATCACGGTTTATCAATCATGATATATCACCTGGCTGTGCAAATTTATGAATGCCGATTAATATTGGCATCACCTGCACGATGGATTTAGTATAGTGCGTCTCGCATCAGTCTTGCACTGGAGTCGCACTACCCTGGCCTTACTATTTATTTGGCAACCTTATGACATTATAGCTCGATGACCGAAGCAGCGAGCGAGGATATGGGCATGAGGACACAGATGCAGTCCACTTCGCAGGAGGAAATGCGCGGATCTGAAAGAGACTAGAAATCGCGGGGTGTGCTTGGTGGCGTGGCAAAGGGGTGGGTGGCAAAGAGGTGGTGGAAGCCCAGGTGGCAGGGGCTGCCACAGCCAATGGAAGCACCGAAGGTTCATCCCAAAAATGCCTATTTCGGCGTGATAAAAGCGCTGGTTGGGGGTATATTATCATACATCCACTAAGTTCGCCACTCGCTCACACCCATTCCTCGAATATGACCGTAGTCTCGGATGATTCCAGTTCGTGGCCGCTAATCAATTCGTATCATTTTCACAGCTATTTTATAGGTTTGTCCATTCGGTTGACGTCGGTGATCTCTTGAGCTGACCAAATTGACTCCTGTTTTGCAGTCGCGGCCTCCGCTGCGATAGTATATGATTGGGGTAAGCAATATAGTATTAGAGAATCATCGACGTCCTTATGATATTCCCAGCACTCACGTTCGGACAAGAGGTAGGTGGATGCAATTATCGGAGCAACCATCTCACCGAAGATGGTGTTATAGGTTGAACTGGTCTGGGTGAGTAGAGCCCATATCAGAAGAACGACATAATGATAAAACTGACTCGGGGCAGAGGCGGCGCTGGTCCCTCATGACTTTTTTATATCTCAGTGTACGGACCTTATATGTTATAAACGCAGTTGGCGTGTTGTGCTGACTTTAAATATTCTAGGTGCGCTATGCTGCAATGCCATATGCTGCGTATGTTGTCACGACTAACAAGTTGGAATTGTGCTAATAAGCCATCTCTGACAATCAGGATCTTCCTGCTGAGTATGCTCCTGACATAAACAGCAAAAAAAATTCTGACCAGCGGCATACAGTAACCCTTCCGACAGTCTCGGTGACAGATGCTGTGAGTATTCTGTACTGATGCCTGGCATTCCCGTCCAATCAACTGAACTCCTACATAGGGGTGGGTGATATTCTCGACCACTTGGTGCAATATAATGACTGTAACAGCTGTGAGTTTGTTCCGAGTGTTTGATCCTCTGGCCTAATCTCTGACCGGGTTTTCAGGCAATTATCTGTTCCTCGCATTAAATTGGATCAATGTAGTCGTCACTGCCTTGTTGGGAGGTGAGTATTCAGCTGCGAACCTCAGTGATGTCACCTTGACTGACCATTCATGCAAGTCATTATGATCATCCGGTTGAATGCTATGTATCATCAATCCGGAAAGATGCTTATCTTTCTTGTTGCAATCTTCCTGGGTATCACGATCGCTTGCGTGGGGATTACTGCAACAGGAACTATCCATACTTTAGGAGGTAAGCTTGAATTATGGACGAAAACTTCAGTGCATCAAACTTAATGGACGAATACCAGAGGAGCTCATTCTCTCCGGCACATACCAGTGCAATTACGACTACGAGGGAGATGCCCAACTTCTCAATTCCATGACTTGGATACTCTGCACTGTATGGGAAGTCCTCGCACTCTGTCTTGCAGTCTGGAGTGCTGTCAAACACTTTCGTGAACTGCGACAATCATACAGGGGAAAGACCATCAACGACTGTTTCACGGTGGTGATAAGAACTCACGTGGTTTACTTTGCAAGGTGAGCTGTTTCAAATTTGAACGTGGCTAATCTTATCCTGCTGAACCGCACATGCTAGCTTTGCAGTTGGTTCTTGTTTCGCCCTCGGTTTCTTGTCTCCAACGCTTATGGTATGCCGATCTACCACTGACATTTGCGTTTGACCGCTGTTCATCGTTTTTATAGGACTCAGATTCCGTGGGAACCCTTATTTATCATGGTGTTCTTGACGTTTTGTCGGTCGTGCAGATGTTTGTGCTGGGACCACGCCTCATCCTTGGCATTCGAGAATATGACGCCAAGCTTGTGGCTGACTCCGATACAGGAACCCGCATAACTCCGATTGTTTTCCAGGAGCACGTATACTATGTGTCAACTGGTAGTGACGTGTAGCGCGGAAAATGTTCTGAGTCATTAACACTTGGCGGGCACTCTGCAGGGAGCAGGAGAATCTCGTCCGGGTTTTCGTCGCGGTACTGGTTTAATGTTGCAAAGTGGATAAGACATTGGCCTAGACAAACCAATATCATGTTGTATCATCACTACTGGAACTGGCTGGCAACCTACACTTGCACCAAATAGCCGGTTGCAAGACGTAGTGGATGCCTTCATCGGGCGGATGAAACTATGCACTACGTCTCGCAACCGACCGGCGAAGTCCCTTCGTGCTCCATACTTACTAAAGGCGGGTCGGGATTGATTTTCTACTACATCACCAACTACACACTCGCACTCGCAAATACTGGCAGACTTTCAACCGAACTGAAGATCTAGACAGCCCGACTCGTGGTTACCAGCTAGTTCATGCTGCAGAATTTGAAAACATATCTCACAATAGCACCTGTTGAAGTCATGAACTATCTGACGCCTGAGGGATGGAAGGGATGAACTTGAGGTCTCAGTCACGAACACTAGAGACAAGGCTTAATACAAACACTAGAAAGCAAGCCTGTTGCAAAGGACACTGCGAAGACAATGAAGATTTTCTGAGCATGTGACTGCTGTTCACTACAGTTTGTTAGAGATCCAGTCTGCGCCATGTTAACATGCGACCCAGGCTTGGTCTGTGATTCTCCATGGAACCATGAAATGAGTAAGGTGCCGATTCGGAGCCTGCCGGAGAGTCAGCACCAAGCGTCCAACTGAGCGAAATGCCTGGTCCTTACCTATTTCTCTTATCACTATTCGAATATTAGCATCCGCATATCATACCCTTAGCACAGTTCCTTACTATTCATTGTCTTAATCACTCTCTCACATCCAGAAAATCTCGCACCACACTTTATCTCTTTCTTTCATTATAATTGACCCTACACTATCCAATCCTTTGCATTGCCACCAATGACTTACCAACACCTGAACCTACAACTCCCGAGCTCTTCATCGCCTCAAGCCAGCTCTTCAGGTCCAACTGCACCACCTGAAGCACCTCTACCAATGGAATCAGCCGAACCCCCAGCAGACCAAGGACGAAGTACAACGCGGACCAAAACGGCAGCAACGAGGCAGTCTGCCAGAATTGCCAGCGCAGGCACCGAAGCCGAAGACGCAGCACCACCCCAAGGCAGCACATCTCAGACAACTCCTCTGCCTGGTGTGCCAGCAAAGTCAACAGCCAAGCCAGCAGCCAAACCATCTGCCAAGCAGGCGGCTACTAAGCAGACACCCCCAATCAATGCACCAGACGCCCCAAGCCCCCAAGCCCCCCCGGCCCCAGCACCTCCTCAAAAAGCAGCAGACATAACGGCGCTGCTTGCACGCATAGCGCAGCTAGAGCAAGAGCAAGCAGCCAGAACCATGCAGCCAGCGGAAATCCCCCACAGGACAGTTCCCCCCATGCTATTCACTTCCCCAGAAGAAGTCGAGAAAGCAAGGGCTGCCACCACGGCAGCCAGAAAGGACAAATCCAAGGTCACTCTCCTGGAAATAGTGCCAGGCTACAAAGCGAACCCCCTTGACACTGGTGAGAATCCTCTCCTTCTTTGTTTCTCCAACTGGTAGTTTTCCACTCGACGTCACACCTCATGCACACCGAGGGCAGTGTTCAGTGCCTTGGGTCCCTACCTACAACCCAAGGCACATGGGACATCTGCGCGTTCGAGTGTAGTCGTTCACCATCGCTGAGCTAAAGGCCAGCAAAACCAAAGAGCAGCAGGCTCAAGATGCTAAAGGCACTCTCGCGATATGTCAGGCAGCAGGCCAGACTATTGGTTTCAGGCCATGAAGTGACCAAAGAAGGGGCTGGAGGCCGCCAAAATGTTCTCCGCCCCGCATATGATCATAGGCACACTCAGCCCAAACCTACCCAATCACCCCAAATGAAGCCTAAGGCTGACGACAGCCCGTGTTTTTTTTTTACAGCCATTCCGCCCAAGGTAGATGAGGTCTTCAAGGCTTCCAAATACGTACCTTACAGTGCACTTACATCGTCGGCTCGATGGCAAGCCATCAGAAGCGGAGAAGAAGCCTTCGTCATCTCAGCATCGGGTTTGATAACAGCCAGAGGGCTTGACCGCCAAAACGAAAGGAGCATATCCTTATCTGACTGGATAGGAGCAGCGAATGCAGTGGAAGAGCGCACCGAGCACTATCATGGGGCAGCTCGAGCCAAGGCACTAAGAGCGCACCATAGCGTTGTCCTAGGACTAAGCCGATCCCACTCTTGGAACGTGGCAGTCGAGTATGACATACAGCAACGTGAGATGGTGGTGCAGCACCCACAGCACGACTTATCGCAGCTGGATGACAAAGCCCTGACCATCATCGCGACATGTATAGTAGCTAGGCAGCCAGCCTTAACTGCCACATATAGTACTCCGCAATTCAAGAGGCCGCTACCACCTTCTTCTTCATCATCATCCCAGCAGCCACCAAAGAAAAAGTCCAGACTCCAGTGCTTTCAGTGTGGAGGAGCAGACCATCTACCGGGCGACTGCACAGCAGAATCAACCATCACCGGGCACCCAGCAGCCCAGATCGCAGCATCAGCCAAGAGTGCGCACACCCTTGCAGCCCCAGGTGGAAAGATATTCTGCATTGGTTGGGCATGATTCTCCAGCTGCCACTTCGCTAATGCCTGCATCAACTACCACAGATGCAGCATCTGTGGAGACACTGCCCATGGCGCAGGAACCTGCAGAGTGGCCTAACCTAGACCTTAGGCAGGTCATAATGCCCCTTATCGCATCAAAGCTTGAGGAGCTTCTTTATAAATATGGTATATACAAAGAATGGAAACATATGATATCCAGCATCAAGAAAGGATTCGACATAGGAGTGAGAGAATCTCCAAAGACCACGCAAACTTTTCGAAAACCACGCATCATCTCAACTCAACATCAACATTATAGATCAATACATACTGTAGAGATACGACACTAGGTTCGTCACAGGTCACAGCCCTTAACGAATCAAATCTATTTAGTGTGACTGTCACACGAATTTTTGGTGGGACGAAGCTAATTTGTGACATACGGAAAAAAACATAGGTTGTGCGCTAATGGGACCAGAAATCATCATACATCGAATTTGCGATGTGTCTACGCTTTCCACGCCCGTAATCAACCTTCGGAACACTGTTCGAGCCACTCTCCACATCTTCGGCAGTAATGTCACCCACATCATAGACTTCGGAGTGGTTTGAACACAGAAGTCCGCCATCTGCATCGATACGGCAGTCAGAACGGACACGTTCACCCCCGGAAGCCATATGGTCAAGAAGTGCATCCATTGGCACGTCACTGGCATCAAGGTCATGCTCGCTAGCATCGTCGAAGGGGGATTCAACTCCAATAGTATCAGTGGCCTCGTCCTCTGACTCGGAGTCTGTTGGCTGGTCGACGCTGACAGTCTTGTACTGAGCGGTAGCAATCCTCATCCATCCAGCTGGATCATTCTTCTGAACATCACGTAAATATTGCAACGCCTCTCGACTTGCGAGGCTCGTGAATGAGAGATTGAAGTTCTCCCCAGCCTTACACATGAAAAATGCCTTGAAAACATGATTTAGCTCCATGCATCAAGATTCGACAGTGCGAGAAAATGAGAAACAAACCTGCTTTACAAGCTCGGGCTTGTTTATAGTGTGATATCCATTTATTACCCACCGCAATGACCAATCACGAAGGGTGCCAATTGTTGTGTTGAGTCGGATGAGTGATGCAGACCTGTCTTGGGCAAGTCAAACAAGAGACTCGTTGACTATATCAGCATGCTGTGTCTGTTTGACTGCAAGTTTGAATGGTCGTTGAATACCGACGTCACATGGCTGACCAACACCAGTGCAGCCCCCAGGGACAAAGCGGTATTTGATCCAAGGGTAGGTCATATCCATCCACATGCGAAATTGAATTGATCTGTGCACACTCCACACGTCGAGGTGCAAAATACACTCCTGGTCAGCCGGTGCATTGAGTAACACTTTCTGCTCCTCCCAGTAAGGCACCAGAATGTCGTTAACATACTCGCACATGAGGGGAAATGTTGACCAGTAAGTGTGTGTACTTGAGTACGAGATTTTGAACTTGAGTTCCATCGCTTCCTTGTATTGCGGAGTAGACTTTGAAGGAATAGAGCGTGAAGTTTTCCCCTCGTAGATCAGTTGCAAGGGGAGGGCATGACCTCCGGCAGATATTCCGTTGACGACAGTGAATGCTCGTTTTTCTTCCTGCCCGATCATGGAGACTTGCTTTGAGCCAATTGTTTCAAAAGTTGAGGTGTTTGCTGGCTGATAGACAATATTCATCTGGTCGATATTGACAATGAATGCAGCATCGAAGATTGCGCAGTCACGAATTGTGAGCGTTAAACGGAGGAACTGATCAAGGAGAAGTTGATCAACATTTGGTGGTGTTTTTTGTGCTGCACGTGTTGCCCTGCGGAAGCTCCAATTGAGATGCTCAGTGAGAAACTCCTTCACCCAACTCTCCGTGCAGCAGAAGCGAGAACCGTCCTTGGTGACATGCTCGAAAATATCAGGAACGGAGTGTTGCAGGCGTGCAAGGATAATACCACGGCAGCGGAGAGTGTCCAACGCAACACCAACTAGACGGAGAGACTGAAGGTCATCGATGATCAATTTGACCATGTTGGGATAGGAGGATAGAATGTGTTTCTGTGTGTTTTGGTACATGGGCAGGCTGCGTTGCTGAACACGAGCAAGAGTTGCTGCGCTCCAAACAGCTTTGTCACCAGAGCGGTCGATCCATGTTCCAACTACCTGCGGAGTCAATGTCCAGAATCGTGCTAAGTCCCTCTGCTGAAGATCGCGCACAATCTCTATGGGAGACATGCCAATCCCCACTCGAACAGCAGCTTCAGCAATAGTAACCCATAACAAGGGGTGTTGCCAGTTGACACGAACTGCAACAGTGTCCTCATGCTTCCTTTTGCATCCAGGTTGAACACTAGGTTTATGCGCCCTCGCATCTCTTCGAATCTCGCGATATGGGCGAGACACCTCAGCAAGATCTGTCATTGGGAGGGCAGGAGCAATGTCGGATGCGTGATTTGTAGTGGCCTTCTTCATAGCCTTTTCACGGGCACGTTGGATTTGTTTCCGCTCCCTATTTCCCTCACGTCGGCGTATATCTCTTTCTACTCCTTCAACACGAACCCTATGGGCATCCCGCTCACGACTCTCTAGCTCCCAAGAGAAAGGAGTCCATGCTGATTTGAGATGCTCCTCGCGTGTCATAGTTGGAAAGTACTTGAACAAACCAACAGATTTTTCCTCTTCGCGAACCCTAAGATTCAAGGAAACACGTTCCGAGCTAGATGTTGTCGGCGGAGGGGAGGGGCTTGTTGCTGGTACCGGACTGGGATATGATGGAGGACATGATGAAAATTCAATGCTGAAATCGCTAGTGTCATCTGCAAAAGAGCTCTCCAAAGACTCAGAAAGTAATTCCTCAGACTGTTATGAGGAAATGAGTTTTTCGAGTTGTAAAAACACAGTAAAAACGAACCTCAAAGTGGCTCTTTGTCAACATCAAAAACTCCTCCATGCGAAGACGATATTTCGAGTCATCGGTAAACAGCGGGTGGTGTCTGAAGACAGCGTACTTGATGGTATTGAGAGCCGCGATTGCACATGAAAAGGAGTCTGTCTGCTCCCCATGAGACAAGGATCCTTTGCCGAATGGTGCGAAACCGTGGTTTTTCAACCAGCGGTGGATAGCATCAACATATGAACTAGGCATGGACCATCCAAGTGAGTCGCCGTACAAGATCATCCGTGTGCTAGCATCCACGCTAACGATGGCCCAATGGACATTGGCAACATTGACAGGGAAAATGACGCGCTGTATGGTGCCATCGTGAAGCGAGTCTCCGAGGTAATGCAGCTGAGTAAAGGCTTTGTCGAAATGATACTTTGACCACCGCGTGTCGCCCAGGAACAATATATTTGAAAAATCAAGTGTCTCGACAGCAGTATCATTGTGTTCATCCACACGATCATTGATAGCGGCAATAAGAGCATCAAGTACATGACCATTGACCATTGTGTCAGCAAGTAGAGGGAGAAGCTCTGGTGTGCGAAGACTGGTCTGAGCACCAAACCCCTTCAAGTCAACATCCCATGGCAAACGCTCAAGCGAATCTAGAACCTCGTCTACAACTACTGACTCAGAAGCACCACGGCCTGTGTCCTCTTCATCCTCAAGCCTCTGAAGAACCCAATCATGGGCCAATATCCAGGTGAGATGAGCCTCCAGGGCACATGAGATGTCCCTCCAGTATGAAAGAACCCAGAACGGAAGGTGAAATGTTGGGGAAAGTGGATGGATGACTGAAGTGTGACCATTAAACCAAGCCTGACCGAACCGATCGAGGAGCTGAGTGACGCAACGGAGCGGGGGAATTGACCATGCCGTGAAATCGTTGGGAAGGCTGAGGAGAGGGGGGTTTGTTGAGAAAATGATGGTGTCTGGGCTAAGATCACAGTCCAGCGATGTGCAAATATTGATGTCGAGTAGCTGTGCGACAGGCAGAGTCTGAGATGGGATGGTTGGTTGCATTGAAGTTGGGATCCTGAGTAACCGTGTGATCTCACGTCGAACAGAAGGCGGCAGTTTGCTCTGGTCAAAAACACGACCACATGAGAGCCACTCTGAAGCAATAAACATATCAGTTTGTGATGGCATGACGGGCGCTTAAAAACGGATCATACTGGTAGACTCACCTGGCAGGCTTTAAGACCACGGAGTCTCCAATTCCACTCATTACCATTCAGCGCTATGCGAGGCGAATCCACGACAGACTGAAGCAAGTTGCTTGAATCACGAAGCAGCATGTCAAATGGTTGCAAACGGCGTTGCGAGCGGCGAAGCACCACGTCCAATCCGCAGGCGAATCTATTTGGGTAAGGTCACAGGTCACCTGGACATTCGAACCTGTAACACTAAGCGTGACATTGTCACGGGCTGCACATGACGAACCTAGTGTCGTATCTCTACAGTAATCAGTGAGCAGAGCGCAGGGCGCTACTCTCGCGCATACTCAATATCAGAATTAGAATCCATAATCGGCCCCTTCCGCATGTCCCCACTCGGTCTCGTACCGAAACCAAACTCCACGAAGTTCAGACTCGTGCAGGACATGTCCTACCCTCGCGACAATCCCGAGAATCCTTCCGTCAACATGGGAATAGACCCGGACGCATTCCCAACAGAATGGGGAACGTTCGACAGCATCGTCGACTTGATCCTTTCACTGCCCGATGGCTGTGTCACAGCAACGTTCGACATCGCATCAGCCTACAGGATCGTACCTGTACACCCCAGTCAACAATGGGCTCTGTGCATTCTTTGGCGAGATCGAGTATACGTCAACAGAGCCCTCATGTTCAGACTGAGCTCCAGTGCAGGAGTATTTGGCTCAGTAGCAGACATGCTCGTCGCCATTTATGAGAAAGCCGGATTCAGTCCAATTCGAAAGTGGGTGGACGACTTCTTCGTCATCCGCCTACCGCACCAAGATTGGACAGAGGAAGAATTCATTGCACTGTCATCTGTTTTCGGGGTTCCATGGAGCTTGGAGAAGCTGCGAGCCTTCACAGCTCGACAACGCTACATCGGCTTCAACTGGGACTTAGTACATCGATCAGTCTCGCTACCCGAGGAGAAGATGGAAAAGACCTTATCTCTGTTGCGAGCATGGCTCACGAAAGGAGCTCGCTTCACGACAATCGAAGCAGTGAGCTTGCACGGCAAGCTGGTCCATATTTCATCGATTTTCCTGCTGATCCGCGGCGCTGCCCCTTCCTACGCTCAATAGCCCTTTTCGCCAACAAATTCAAATCGCGGCGAGCACGGCTCCACGTACCGAGCACGCTATCGGCCGACCTGCAATGGGCGTTAGATATTCTAGCAGTATCGCCACGAGAAAGACCCTTGCACACCCAGAAACCAGTCAACCTCCTCTGGTGGGGCGATGCGAGTACTTCCTTCGGAATAGGTGTAGTGGTAGGCCAACATTGGGCAGCATGGAAATGGAAAGAGGGCTTCCTAGTAGGCCCAGGACACGAGCATGACATCGGCTGGGCCGAAGCCACAGCCGTGGAACTGGGTCTGAGGCTCATTATCCACCTTGGCTTACACGAGCGCCCAAACGTGAAGGCCCAATCCTTATTGGTTCGATCGGACAATGCTGGCATTGTAATATTGATAAACAAGGGCTGATCGCGCAGCCAAGCCACGAACATCATACTCAAAGAAATCTATCTGTTGCAGGCACTCAACGGGGTCCATCTCAAACTCGAACACGTCCCCGGCCAAATCAACATTTCAGATCCGCTATCGCGTGGCAACATTCAAGCCTTCCTAGATGGATTTTCGGGCCCATCATGCAGAACGGACTTCCCACTCCCTTCGCACCTCAGAGACAAGATGTCATTTGTTACAGCCTAACTACCACATCAGCAGAAATCAACACCCCAGCATCCATCGAGCCATTATCCCTTCGAACGTCACCACTACGCCCACCCTGCCCAGCTGACGAGCGCATCTTTCGCTGGCGTGGAGTCAACACCCCGCCCCCTTCCACAATCGACAATCCCTTAATCCACTTCCTCGCCAATATATCCAACCAGGCCTCCCTTCGAGAGACGGCGAGTTACGGATCAGGCCTGCGAAAGTTCCACGTCTTCTGTGACATCTTCTCCGTCCCAGAAACGAACCGTCTGCCAGCATCATTCGAGTTATTACACTCGTTCGCTCTCTGGGCCGTATCCGACCCATCCATAGCCAATTCATTCCTAAGGTCATCGTCGGCTGAAGCGGTCCCCTTCGAACCAGTGTCAGTATCAGTAGCAAGAAAATACCTATCCGCAGTCCGCACATGGCATATAGCACAAGGATGGCAACCCCCGCTAACGCCAGATCATTTCACGCGCATAAACTGGTCACTCCAAGGAATGGAAAACCTACAGGGGACACGCCGCAAACCAGTCAGGCCCCCAATTACCATCCGCATGCTATCGGCCATCAAAGCCACTCTACAGATAGACCAGCCATTCGACGCGTGCATCTGGGCGATGTCGAGCTGCGCATTCTTTGGAATGATGCGGTTCGGCGAAGTCACCGTCAAGTCACGCACCAGTTTCGACAAATCGAAACATATCACGCGAAAGGACGTTCATTTCGGTGTCGACCTAGCCGGAAAACCGTACGCCAGACTCGACCTACCGCAAGCCAAGACGGCAAAGTCAGGAGAAACTCAATCAGTGTTCATAGTGGAGCAAGGAGAACTCTGCCCAATCCAAGCACTACGGAACTTAGCGAGTGTGGTTCCTGCGCTACCAGACGACCCACTATTTTCGTGGAGGGACAGCAAAGGGTGCGTTCGACCAATGGTCAAAGCCCGGGCAATCGAGACGGTAAACAAGATCCTGTCCGCCTGGAACTGGGGGACAACGTTTGGGCACTCGTTCAGAATTGGCGGAGCATCATTCTACCTGGCCAACAAGGTAGACCCAGAGATAGTTCGGATCGCCGGCCGATGGAAGTCGTTGGCATACGAGACTTACATCAGAGCCTTCGAACAAATAGCAACTCAACATCTCGGCGGCTTAACGGAGACGGTACGAACCGTCAATAGCTAGCTCGCTCGGTTGGGTTTAGCCGCTGAGTTCAGCCGCGGTTGTGAGCTCGTTAGCAGCAGGGTGAGCGGCTCATTCTCTCAGCGTCCAGCCCGAGCTAACGCTCGGACTCAGCCCAACCTACGTGCCTCGCATTCGGTTGATTCGTCAAGCAGTAAGTCGAAGTTGGAACTTTATGACATGCCCGTCGTATTGCTGACTCGTGCGATGAAGATCCTGCGGTGTGTTCCTTGCTTCGTCTCTCTGGTACGCACCATGATATAATGTTCTAGCATATATATGCAGACCGGATGATCATGTCAGGACAGATCAAGATCACCGAAGAACGAGGAATCGGGCTTCCTGGGTGGTCGTGCGGTTGTACAGGCGTGTCGGTGTCTTTCTTCATGTGGCCTCAGGTGGCCTGTCATTTCTGTTTTCAGCTGGGGGTAGCGTCATATATTCACCAGACACGGCAGGACGTGTCACATACCTGTGTAAATTGATGCAACGCGGATTGCCATTAGCTGCACTGGGATTACGTTTTGCATCGCTTTTCAATCAGAATCGCATACCCTTACCACATTTCTTGGCACCCTTATCGTATTATAGCCTAAGGATCGAGCAAAGAGCGCGAGGCGACAGATGCTCATGACTTGTGAGGCGGGAAGGGGCACATCTGAGGGTTTAGGTTTCGAGGCGTGTCCTTGGGGGCGTAGCAGAGGTGGGTGGGAGAGGGGTGAGTTTGTCTTTGTGGCATGTTTGGGCCTGTATTTGAATTTTCTGATGGCGCGTGACCTTGTTACGAAATGTCTTACGAACGCAATCTGGCCAGCGAGGCGGGGAGAGAGTCGATACTCGTTAGAAATTATTGAGACGGCAGGTTTTTCCATGATCATATCACGCCTAATGCATCTAGACTGATGAACGACAAAAATTTACTGATGCGAACTTCTGAATTGATGTAAGTGTGGCAAGAACTTATCTCGAGAATGGCATCGAAAACTAACTACCCGAAATCACAAACACCTGTACGAGCTTTTGACTTGATTTCAGGTGACAACACTCAACCCTGTGACCTGTCAATCGAGGCAGAACCCTCACCGGTCACCAATGACAATCACATATGCCTATTTCGGCGACAAAGGCCGCTGGATAGTGGTATATCTAGCATGCACGCCTCGTTACGGCAGGTTCACCACTCGCTCGCGTCTGTCCTCCGAACATGACTGTAGTCTCAAATGATCCCAGTTGGTGGCGGGTAATCAATTTTAATATTGTTTTCAGCTATTTTGCAGGTTCGTGGATAGCCAGTTAAATGGTGTCGGTGAAGTCTCAATTTAACCTTGATTGTGGTTTCGCAGTTGCCTCCTGTGCTGCGGTGATATATGATTGGGGTGAGCGAGATAGTATCGACGAACAATTGATATTCTTATTATTTTTCAGCACTCACATTCGGACAAGAGGTAGATTGACGCCATCATCGGAGCAGCCATCTTACTAACAATGGTTTTATACTAGTTTGAACTGGTCTGGGTGAGTTCGGAAGAGTTCCATGTTAGAAAACAACATCGTAATACAAGTCATTCGGGGTAGAGGCAACGATGGTCCCTCGTGACTCTTCTGTATCTCGGTGTACGCACATTTTGTTATGAGTGTAATTGGAAGTGCTTACTTCAAAATATTCTAGGTGCGCTACCTTGGAATATCATACACCGTGTATGTTTGCAAGACTAAAAAGTTGGCGCTGTGCTAATAAGAAATTTCTCACAATCAGCATTTTCATGCTGCGTATGTCCCACATACACTATGTTGGTTACTTCTGACTAGCTCGATACAGAAAGTCTTCCGACAGCCCCGGCGACAGATGTAGTAAGTACTCTTCACCAATGCCTGTAATCCCCGACCAAACAACTACACTCATGTAGGGGTGAGTGGGATTAGCTTGTTATTTCAATATAATAACCGCAATAGCTGTGAGTTTGTTCTGAGTATTCGGTCGTCCGAGCCTCGTCACTAAATAGGGTTTCTCAGGCAACGTCATGTACTCTGCACTAACTTGGATGACTGTGGTCACAAATGCGATGCTGGGCGGTGAGCTACTGAGCTGCAATACCTCAATGATATTGACTTAACCGAAATATCATGCCAGTCATCATTATCACTCGGTTACATGTAATGTATCAGCAATCCAGAAAGATACTTGTCTTTCTCGTTGTAATCCTCCTGGTTGTCACAATCACCTGCGGAGTGATCGCCGTAATAGGAAGCAGACATACTGTAGGGGGTAAGTTTGAATTGTAGATAAATGACTTAAGTGCAACAGGCTCATCAAACGGATAACAGAGGAAACGATCTTTTCCGGCACCTATCAGTGCACTTACCACTATGAGGGAGACACCAGACTTTTGTATTCTATGGCTTGGACTCTCTATACTGTATGGGAGGTCCTCGCACTATGTCTTGCAGTTTGGATTGTTGTAAAACACTTCCGTGCACTGCACCGCCAATTGCCTGGATGGACCATGGTGGACTGTTTCACGGTGTTGATAAAAACTCACATGGTTTACTTTGCTAGGTGAGCCCGTAATTTGAACGTGGTTATCCTTTTATGCTGAAGTTCTGGGCATGCAAGCTTTATTGCTGTTTCTTGCTTCCAACTCGGGGTCCTCTCTCCAGGAATCATGGTGCGCCGATCTCCTGCTCAGTGGCATCTGCATGTTCGTTTATTGTATTTTCAGAGCTCATCTTCTGTGGGAGTTGATATCTATGGTGGAATACTTGAATTTGTCTCAATCGCACAAATGTTTGTGCTGGGACCACGCCTGATCCTTAGCATTCGAGAATTTAGCGCTGAGCTCGTAGCCGACTCCGATGCAGGAATCGAAATGGCTACGATTATTTTCGAGGAGCCCGGCGATGTGCCAACTGACGGTGATGTGTAGCTTTGAAATGCTCCAAGCAAGTAACATTTGTCGGGCACTGTCGAGGATAGGAAAATATGATCGAATTTTTGTCATGTACTCATTTGGTGTTCCGAAGTAGATTTGACAAGTTGTTAACAAACCCGTATCATGTTTCATCACTACTGGAACTGGCTGCCCAGTTGCACTTGCACGAAGCTGAAAACATGCGTTGCCCATCCCAGTACATTGGTGCTCCATATTGAGTGCGGGTTTGGGATTGATTGTCTATCACTCGACATTGGTGACCAACCAGTGACTCTCCATCTCATACGGCGGGACCCCCTTGCTTTTATGCTGATACATGTACGCAATACTTGAACAGTGATGAAACGGTATGCATATCCCTGCTGCTTTGTTGGCGGTTATCAATGTATTGTGTTATGCGAGGATGCATCGTCTTCACCCAAAATGCTCGCATCCTTCTGTGTACAGAACACCCATCGCATGATTCTGCAAGTGAGCACCTGCCGGTGCTGCGCAATGTGGTCGGCTCTTTCATCAAGATATGCAGTGCACTAGGTGGCCAGTGAGATCGAGGCTGAGGAGCTGTTGCGGCTTTGGGGTGCGAGTCCACACGGCGTTGAGGCTCCGTGACAAGGTAGGACACAACATCCTAATTTGCAATCCTCGAAGATACCTAGGAGGGCCTTGATAACTGTGCCTGCGGCACTGCCGTGTCCGCTTGTAAATTCGATGTGAGGACGAAAAATGACAATCGTTCAAGTCTGGTTAGTGATTATAGTGTGTCCGACGTCCACCCAAGCTCTCATGTGATCTCCATACCGAATCGTGAGATGGTAATCCGCCGCACACTGTATATGGGTGAGTATGTACTAGCATAAGACATTGGTCACCGCAAGTGTTCCACAACAGTACTCACCCATATCCAAATATCCAAGAATCACAATCACGGTAGCTATGCCATTTGTCGCTGCCACGCCCAGCGTTTCTATCGATGGAAGTACCGCTGCAATCACTGGTGCAAGAATGATCGCGCGGAAAGTGCTGCGACATTGATTGGTATGAATGTAGCACATCGCTAGGTTTGAATGCTACTCACGTAACTGCGACAATTACCTCTGCGCTGCGTGATTGTAGTACGTCGACATTGTACGAGCCGATCGGTGTGAGAACAAAATTCACCTGTGCAGCATGTAAGGTTTGACGGAGAAAATAAACATACAGGTTTACGACTCACTCCGATGCCATTCATAAAAAGACGAAGCAAGTTCAATACCAAGCCCAATGGTCCAGCGATGTATGTAGTGACCAATCCTGAAAGACAAACGGATAAAGGGACGAATAGTCCTCCGACCAAGACTGCACCGCCCAGCAATTGGTGAGGCAATTTATGTTTGAATAAGAAGAAGACGACTCGAAAAGCAGAAGTGTGCATAGTGAAGTTTCCGAGTCCACTTGGGAGGAAGCATACACCAATCAGTGCCTCGTTAGATATGTGGTATCGAACACCCTGTAATCACATGTTAACCAAATGATTTGAAACAGGATGACAGACTCACGATCGTGTAGGCAATTGGGATCGACAAAACTGGTACTTAGGTTAGTCTGGGAGACGACGTTCACGTTTGCTAGTGTCTGAGAACAAGACTCAGGAAGTGCATAGTCAGAAGAAGAACAAAAGCCATAATGTTTGGACTACGGAGCAGCCAGAGACTGTTGAAAGGATTGATCCAAAACGGTTTTGTGAGTCCTGAACAGGGGTGGCTTGTCTCCGGCAAGAAAGGATAGAGCAAGACCATCTCAATGAAGCCCCATAGTACAAGCGAGCAGTGCAGGCTGCGCCATGACCAGTGATGTGCTGCAGTGCTGCCCGTAATAGGTGACAGTGCGACGCCCAGAAGACGAACCTTCACGAGAACTGATGATTTCACTTCATGATATGAAAGTACATACGTACCCCAAAGAAAATACCCATCGCTGTACCTCGCTGCTCGACCCTGTAGATGTCGCTAATAGCAGCCGCGCCTACCGACAACCCGCCAGCACATCCAAACGCTTGAAACAACCGCCTGAACAACAACCTCATAAGAGTCGTCGATACTACACCGCCGAAGCTTCCTATACATAAGATAGGCATACCCTACAAGTACATTGCGCGGCGCCCATCTTCGGGCGAAATTAGATGGTCTGATTCAAACAAGCAGCAGTACCGAGAACCTACAAACCGAGGAGTACACTGCCCACACCAAACACCCGATCACATTTGCAAAGACTGACAAACTCACAGCCAAGCTGAGGACAGCCCAACTTAGGGTCACCAGCTAGTGCTTGTTGCAGAATTCAGAAGCATACCTTACAGCAGCACTTGTTGAATCAAGGTCATGAGCGATCTGAGGAATGGAAGAGACAAGGTCCCAGTCACGAACACTGGAGAGACAAGATCAACGCAGCCAGAGAATGTATTTTTGACATATACACACTAGGAAGCACCCCTGCAAAAGACACTGCGAAGACAATGATGTTTTTCTGAGCCTTGCTGAATCGGTCATGCACACCGTCCAAGTCGTCAGGGATATGTATTCCATGTCCCTCGAACAAGGGGCTCTCTTCCGTGTTCGCAGACACGACAGAAGACCCCCATAGTCCGGGATGAGAAAGTCACTATCATAGTAAAAGGTTGTCTCTGGAACCAAATCAGGAATTCTAAGAATAGTGCGGAAGTTCAAACAACTTGTCTGCATCAGAACTTTTGAAAAGTTATCTGAACCAGAGTCAGATCTAGAAGCTCGTGTAACAGCTGTACTGGTAAAAACGCACTTACTTAATACTTACACCCTCGATGTAGCTTCAAGGTTACATCTAGTAGTGACCACTGATTGTGCAGTGCCACTGTTTTCCGCCGAGTTAAAGTATACAGTATCGTGATGCTGCTCTGAGTTGCCTGCTATCACTGTTACCATTCGAAGGAAGATGGACATTCCTTCGTATTCCTCGGGAACTGAATGTTGGTTGTGGAAACTTCCAGCCTTCTTGTGGATCACCGTGCGCAGTGAATATTCACGGCGACCTCTCTGCTCTCGCGATTTCTACCCAAAAAACAACGAAACTCAGCCTCTCGCAGTCAAGGTGTTTTCAGTGTCTCCGACATCCATGTGGATGAATGCGCTATGTCGATGATCAATTGGCTCTCAATTGGCTCAACTCTCCTCAAGAATCAAGATCGCATTAAAATCCAGCGATGGCATCATTTTGATTCTACGTGAGTTGCGTTTATTTTGCTCAGTCTCATCAGTAACCTTGCGAAAACTGAAAGACCATACAAACTTCTGGTCAAGTGGCGCTGTGTAATCCACTGTCCTCGGCAAGCCCTTTGGTGAAGGTTTACCGGTCACTACATCCCGCTGGTCGAAAACCTCATCGATTCTCGAACTCAGACGCAGAAGATCAGAAGACGAGTTCGATGATGGCGCAGATTTGTTGGATGGTCCGTCTGTTCTTCTTGCAGAGCTGAGACAGCGGAAAAGACTGATTCGTGCATGCGAGATCCGGTGGTATCAATTTATATGTACGCCCTACCTACGTGAACTGCTTGATTCTACTGGACAACATCCTTTAAATCGTATTTCCGCATCCACAAAGAAGGCTAGCTATTGCGAAAAACTCATTCCCGCTGTCCCCGACCCTTTTGTTTGAGACATTTTCACCCTAATTCACAGGGCATTTGGCCAAATTCACAGTAATTCACACTGGTGAATCTACTTCCGGCGCAATTTTGAGGAAGACTCGGTCTTCATAGTATAGATTTTGCTTATTTTGGTAAGTCGTATTCTCATCAAGCTTGGTCAGGCACGCTGAACACATTGGTCGTGGAATAGGTACATTTGTTCCTAGTACCTTATCTTGCCACAGACGACTTCGTCGTGAGCATTAACAGACCTATCACAGCTCGCAAACCGGCAATCGGCTGTGTCCCAATGAATCACATAGAGGGTGACTATGAACTTCCTGGATACACACCTCGAGCTGGCGGCAGCCTGGCCTCACAGAATGCCATTATTCCTGGATCCGAACGCACCATATCGCTTGAAGACAGCAAGGGGCACAAATGGCTTCTCCTTTCGGTGAAAAGTCGTGCTCCTACGCCGGAGTTTTGGCCAGCATTCTGTACCGGCGATCTCATCTCGGGGAGCGTGACTCTGGACCTTGTGAAATCGCAGTCATCTAAGGCTATAATAGTAAAAGCAAGTTACCATCCGTTTGCACAACTTCTCTATCCTTATGAGTGATACAGGTGACAGCTGCGACCACCCTCATTGGACAAGAAGGGCAACCATTTCTTGTCATCGAAAAGGAGTTGTGGAGTCCAGCAAAGGCCCTTCCTGATGGATCCATGGTGTCCAAACTCGAGAAAGGCCATTACACGTTGCCCTTCGAAATCCCACTTCCACATGAGACGGAAGTTGTGGACCATAAAGAGAAGAAGATATTTCCCCTTCCGCCTTCGTTCACAGAGCGAGCCAGTCCCGCTTACATCAACTACAAAATTACTGTCATCGTTAAGCGGGGCGCCCTGGGAGTGAATCAAACGTGTGTTCCCTACTCTCCCGGATGCTCTTGGAAGCACTCAATAGTCCGTAGCTTAACTACAGATTTTACATATGTCCCAATCACGAAACCGGAACTCCCATCTTCTATGTTGCAGAAAGCATATAGAGAGAATACACCACTCGTCGGTCCTGAAGGTGAGTTGTCAAGTGATGCAGTCTTCGATGCTTGTATTCAATAATAGGCAGGTGATCCGGAGGGCTGGCACATCCTTCCATCAGTTGCTGTCACAGGCACTCTTTTTGGCGCCAAGAGAGCGAGTGTCGAGTTTAACGTACGTCAATCACCCTTTTTTGTGATCCTTAAGGCTTTAACCCGATACACATCTGTAGCTAGCACTAACAAAACCAGTAAGCCTACTCCTGACTTTGAGCGGCAGGCCTCTCACTGTCCCCGTAGCTCAGTTATGCTCGTGGTTCTGCGATGCCCCTATGGCTAACTTTCACGGGAACAGACGAGCAAGCTCTCGATTCACTCGCCAATCCCCAAGCCATCCGTATCTTCCTCAAGCGATCGTTGGCTACAGGCTCTGATGCAACAAAGGACGATGTTGGGAAGCATACAGACAGCTTCTTCGTTGAGACCATAGCACGCGCTGTTTTCTGGCCTGCAAGGGACGCCAGTACCACGGGGAAGCGGGCTCTTCAAGGCGAAGTGAACTTAAAGAAGACATTCAAACAGAGCGTTGTATTTCCCCGATTTGCTGTGAGGGTGAGTAACTCTCTTTTTGGTCTTTCCGGAGAAATCTATTTATCAATATGCTGTTATTGGGTCACAGTACCATCTCGAAGTGCATCCTTTCGAAGCAGTTGGCTTCGTACATCCACCGACTGTCTCCGGCCCACTGCTGACACTACCAGTTAATGTTACATCTCTCCGTTCAACTGGTTTCGTTATGCGCTCTTTTGCACCACCCGAGTATACAGAGCAAATTGAGAACTTCAACAACTCTGTTGGTTTGTTGGAGAATGGAAACCAGCGCTTCTATCATCATGGAGGGCTTGGAGTTGCTTGATGACGGAAATGGGAGGGGGACTGTTATTTAATTATGTCGTGGTATGTGAGTATGTCTTGGTATTCGAATGAGTATTGCATGAAGAATTAAATAAAGTGGACGGATATCACTCTCCGAGTCCCATGAGGAGTAAGGTTTCGAATGTTTCGTCACTCTTTTTGCCACTCGTCCCCTTTGCGCCGACGCCTCCGAGTAGATCAGTATCCCCCGATGGGATTATCCAGTTTAGTGATTCAGGACGTCTACGTGCCACGAAGATGAATGTCTGATCGCCATCATCCCCTGTATCAAATCCGAATCGCTGCCACTCGGAAAGCGAGTTGTTTGCATCAAGCTTCCGTGCAATGACAGGCTCAAACCAGAACCACAGGCCAAATGCCGACCAGAATGAAGTCTCTTTAGGAAGACTCCGAATTTTGTATGATATGATAACTTGTGGTTGGGACTCGAAGGTGGAGATAGGAGGAGAGGTCAGATGGAGGAGGGTGCGTAGAAGCGGCGCCAGAAGCTCCGGCAAATATACCTGCATTGATGTTAGTGATTAGTCTTAAAGCATGGAGACGACCGTATTATTTACAAGGTCACTGCAGATGATGTGTGTGATACAGGCGTGCTCACGCCCGCTTGGATCATTGACGCGCTTAATTTCTCGTGCGATATTGATGGCATGATCATAGTTCCCCCACGAAAGAGGTCGTACTAGAGTAACCTGTGTATCTGCTGAATCTCCCTTTGGCGTGACGAAAAGATTCTTCTCCAAAAGCGGGCAAACTTCAGGTAGATCAGTCGCTATGACTAGATCTTGTCTGGACAAAACAGTTGCTTGAGCTATCTTCGCCGCAACAATGCCCGTGCCAGAACCAAGTTCAAGAAAAACTCGTTTGCGCCCAGATAATTGTTTATCGACCAAGGGCGGATCGAACTCCCAAGTAGAGAAATGGTCGATGTAGCTGGTCATCAAGTATGCTGCTTCCCTACATGACGTTGCGCTCAGAGCGTGGGAGTGAAAACATCAAAGTGATATCTAGTCACCAAACGCGACCTGCGATCCCGTAGGTCTCGATCGCTTCTCGCTGTGCATCAGCACCAAAGACAAGTTGTTGTTCATCCAAAAAGACGTGCGTAAAGTAAGTCTCGTGTGGAAGCAAAGGACTGATCGCAAGTTTTTCTGGGAAATTGACATGGTCGCGCACCTCGGTCATGATATACAGTTACTGGAAGTTGAAAGCATCATTTGTCCGTGTTAGCTTCAGAAGCTTCAGCCTTCTAATTTGGGACAAGTCAGGCCCCAAACCAGTTCCGACAACTGACCAGCACTGACTTCACAGTACTTTGGAAGCTGGACAGCACTCATTATCGCTCTTCACGGAAATTGACGTGCAGCCGTTGCCCCGTTCACATTTGTAGTCCAACAGGTGCCTCCATTATGCCTGCCAAATCCCAATGACATGGACGCTGTTGGCGAATACGAGATGCTCGGGACCGTCTGCAAAGACTTTGCGTCCTTGGCCCCCGATTTTTGAAGACGAACTTGGGATGAGTGACTGAAAGGAGTAAGCTGCATATGCGCTTGTTTCTGAATCGCTTGATCTCTATTCTAAGATGAAGAATGCCGTAAACAGCGCGCTAGATGACATGCAGTCCTTTGGACTTTGACCCCCGGTGTACGAGGGTGGGACAATAAACTAATTTGCGGCTGCTGTGTGTGTTGTCGCTCAGCGCTGAGTCTTGGCGTTTGACCATGTGATGAAGATCCCGCAGCAGTGAGTACTTTGCCGTGCCTCTCTCGTGCACTCACGTTGTTGTGGCATATATAGACTGGGTCAACTTGGGCCCCGAAGAAGATCACTAAACGATGATCATTGGTTTTTTACTAGATGTGCCTGTTCAATTCCAAGAACAAGAAGTCGGGCGTGTCCGAGCAATACTTATCTGAGTCGCCTTGTCTCCTCCTCTGTTCCCTCTCATTGTTGTTTAAGCTAGGGATGCAGTGTCGATATCTTCACCAGATCGATTATCAATCAGGATGTATTACACGGCTATTCAAATTGATGCAACATCAATGTATCATGTGCATGATAGATGTATTTTTGGAGCTGTGTTGACATCGAGTCGCACCACCCTTATCATATTTTTGGGGTCCTCATGATAGCCCGACGACCAAAGCGTGGCGTGGGGAGTGTGCATGCGGAGACATGGGAAGAGGAAAGGGGCGCATTTGAGGAAGATTACGCATTGAGACGTTTGCTTTGAAGACGTTGTAAGTTACCTCTATTCTATTTCGCACGACAACGCAAGAACAAATTCACATCTCCGTATACCGCCTATTTCGCGTATACGAGGACTGGATGGTAATATCTATGGCACGAACACTATCATTATATATACATCTAACTTCCAGCTCCCTCACGCCTTTCCCTCGAATATGTTCGTAATCTCAAACAATCCCAGTTGGTGGCCGTTAATCGATCGTAATCGTGTTTACAGCTATTTCGTAGGTTCGTGGAGAGACGTCGGTGATATCTTGATCTAACCTTGACTACGGTGTCACAGTTGCCTCCTGTGTTGCGGTGATATATGATTGGGGTGAGCAAGATAGTATTAAAGAACCACTGTTATTCTTATGATATCCACAGCACTGACATTCGGACAAGAGGTGGGTTGATGCCACCACCAGAGCGGCCACCCCCCTAAGAATATTTTTATACTAGGTTGAACTGATCTGGGTGAGCGGAGTCCCATATCGGAAGATCATGCAATTGATTCGGGGCAGAGGCAACGCTGGTCCTTTATGACTCTTCTGTACTTTGGTGTGCGTGTTGTTATTGCAATCGGAAAGTTGTTCTGACTCCAAAATATTCTAGGCGCGCTATGCTGTAATACCATATGCTGTGTATGTTTGCAAGGCTAATATGTTGGCGCTGTACTAACAAGCACCTCACTATAAGCCTCAACATACTGGGTGTGTCTCATCCCATGCACTACATTCGTTTCTGCTGACCGGCGGCTTACAGTAACTCTTCCGACAGTCCCGCTGACAGATACAGTGAGTAATCTGCGCTGATACCTGCCGTTCCTGTCAATTTGACTGTACGTCTGTAAAGGGGTGAGTGAGATTATTGACCGGCTTGTTGGTTCAATATAATAACTGCAACAGCTGTGAGTTTGTTCGAGTGTTGTTCCTCCCGAAGCTCAACACTAACTGTGGTTTTCAGGCCTTATTGTGGACTTAGCACTAAATTGGATGGATTTAGCCATGAATGTCATGCTGGGCAGTGAGCTACTCAGCTGGAATACCTCACTGAAACTGACTTGGCTGAAACATTACGCAAGTTATCATGATTGCTCGGTTACATGCTATGTATCAGCGATCGAGAAAGATGCTTATCTTTCTCATTATAATCTTCCTGGCTGTCACCATCGTCTGCGCAGCGATCACCATAAGAGACGACTTTGCTTCAGGGAGTAAGCGTTTATAATGGACAAAGGAAAGTGCAACAGGCTCATCGGACGAATCCCAGTGGAACTCATACTCTCTGGCACCTATATATGCACTTATGTGTATACCGATGGCGTTGGAGAAACCTACTGGATTAGCATCATGCCTTGGGTACTCACCACTGTATGGGAGGTCCTCGCACTGTGTCTTGCGGTCTGGATTGCTGCAAGACACTTCTATGGACTGCATGGATCATCGACAGGATGGGCCATAGGGGGCTGGTTCACGGTGTTAGTACAACCTCATGCAATGTGAGCTCGTAATTTGAATACGGTTGTCTTTTACGCTGAGGTTCGGAATGCACTAGTTATGCTGCTGTTTCTTGCTTCGTCCTCGGCAGGCTATCTACAGCGGGGATGGTATGTATCTGTCACCGATGTCTGCTCGTGACTACTCACTATCCTCTCAATAGCAACCCTATTCCGCGGGAGCTCAGGTGTATGTTGGTTTGATTCAAATTTTCTCGGTTCTGCAAATGTTTGTGTTAGGACCGCGCCTCATCCTTAGCATTCGAGAATATCACGCCAAGACTTCGGGCAACTCCGACAGCGTAACGGACATGGGTACAATGGCTTTCCGGGGGGTACATACGTCGACTTGTGGTAGTGTGTAGCATGCGAAATGTTCCAGGTGATTAAGAGTTGTCTGTCAAGTACTCTGCAGGGAACACGAGAGCCTGATGTTTCGTCGTCTTGATATGGTGTACGGAAGTAGAATCGAAAAGGGAGTAGGTTAATTCACTACTGGAACTACCCACTGCGATCTAGGGTACGGACGAAAAGTGGGTTGTTAATAACACTGCTAAGAAAGGTGTGTTATTAACATGTTATTAACATGTTAATAACAGGCACACGGCCGTGGGGGGGTGACATGGTGCTAATAAGTCTATTGACCCCCATAGTCTTTGTGAGTCGCCTTCCGACCTTCTGCTGTTCCTCGCAGATCATTGACTTAGAAGTTTGCAACACAAATCTTGCAGAGAAGCAAGCTGTTGTCTGACATGGGACTCGAGTGTCTCGCAACGAAGTTTTCAACTTGTTTTCCCTCCCTCTTGCACCAGTCGAGCACTCGAAATGGCTGACATCGTCAACACAAAAGCCTCAGATGATATTCTCATTATTCCTGTATCAGTGCAATCTATTATTCTCCCAGACAAGAATCTGTCTGTCTCGTCATTCCTTCAATTCTCACTCCCGTCAGCTTCAATTACCACTGCTCCGCCACTGCGCAAATACTTTAGCACTGACTCCCCACCTGAGGACAGCTTATATCTCGATTATCTCCGCACGCAGCCACTTCCCCAGCTTGCGGTTCTGCACAAGCTCCTAGAAGGGGTGCAACATGCAATATCGGGTGGTAGCCGGTCTATTATCTATGCCCATGCCGACATTGAACAACCTTTTCCATTCTGGATTCTGACGTTTTGGCGCCAAGCCTATACTCTCTTGGACATCCAAAGCAACTGGCGACAGGCGGAAGCCTTCCTCACCAAACATCAACCTAATGAGTCCCAGCACAACCCCACACTCAAAGGACAAACAGCTGCTGATGTTCATGAAGCTTTCGTTCGCCAGTTCGAGCGCTATGTGAAAGGACAATACCCTTTTGACACAATGATGGATGCTGGTCAGGACGTCCTCTCATACTGGACTCACTTGACGAAGATACCTGAAGGCTCCATACTTGCTGTGAGTTTCAGCCAGTCCTGACTACTCATAACTCAAGCTTTATCTCCAGTGTATCGCAGAAAAAATTTATTCAATCAAGCCCTCATCTGTGCCCGAGGAACGAACAATGTCGGTATTCACGAGGATGAATACACCAGCCAGGAACTGTCAACATGTCCGGACGTTGGTGGACATGACTCAGATTCGACAATGGCATATGTATGATCCAAAGGTCAGTGTCTTATTCAGTGGCCTGTATTGATAACTCATGCCCCTTAGAAAATGGTTGAACGACGGCATCCAGACATTTCATTCTGCAATCTTGACTCCATCATTTCCTCACCCAAACAATCAGCTGCTCAGTCGAAGCCACGAAACCACTGGCAGCTATCTATCTGTGGGCACAGATGAGCAGGAAGAAATCCTTGAAGATGAAGAAGGCACTTGGCTCGATGAGACACTAGCGGCTAAACCGGCGGAGGATTCAGCCTTCGACATTGAAGCAGATGCAAACCTTCACGCACTAATTGTCACCAAGGCCTTGTCTGATGAACACGAGGAAAGTCCTATCAATGGCCTGTGTAGCACTCAAGGTGATGCTACGGAGGATGATGCTGACCTAGAAGGCATGGACAACGAGTGGGACGAATTTTGGTAGTAGCTGTAGCGAAATTTTCAAATTTTAGGTCACGTGACTGTTAATAACATGTTAATAACATGCTTGTTAATAACCCTACGCATCCTACTTGATTTTTAACATAGGTTAATAACAGTCGGATGACTTATCGTCCGTACCCTACTGCGATCATGCGGAATTCGTAGTCACCTGCACCATTGTTTGTCCGTGTTAACTTCAGAAGCTTCAGCCTTCTATTTTGGGACGGGTCATGATTTGTTTTGGAATTCATGTGATACTTTTTCATCAAAGCTACACCGGCTCTGCCGGTAATTCCGAACTCAAGTCGAAATATCTCAGTCGCTCACTTCCCACCTTGAACCATGTCAACGCAGTCCCCACCAGTGAAGCAGGCGCAGCAGCTGACGCCTTTTGCAGCTGCGTTGGCTGGCGCCCTCGGAGCTTGCTTCAGTAACGCGTAAGTACTTCTCAAGTCCCCACGCACCAACTGTCGTTGACACATCAACAGTGTGGTGTATCCTCTAGATGTGTAAGTCGACAGTCGTATTTCATAAGATCTTGTATGTCTCAATGAATGCTGTCATAGCGCTAAGACCAGGATACAGGTGACCTCGTCAGCTGCGCGAGGAAAGCGTAAGGACGAGCTGAGTATGCTGTCGATGATACTCGACATATTCAAAGAAGAGGGAATTAATGGATGGTACAGAGGATTTGCTGCGACTATGCTAAACACTTTCTCGATGCGTGTGTCTTCAGTTACCTCCTTTACATTCCCCGTCGAACTGAATACCCCAAGAATATGCCTACTTCTTCTTCTACTCATTCATGCGTTCATCTTACATCAAACGCATGACTTTGAAGCTTCCTCCTGGATCAAGACCTCCTTCACTATCTACAGCTGCTGAACTTTCCCTCGGGGCAGCCGCAGGCGCGCTATCCCAGATCTTCACGATTCCTGTATCTGTAATCGCAACTCGGCAGCAAGTCGGGCGCTCTGTCCGAGAGTCATCCCAGGAAGAGGGACAAATGGACGAGTCTTTCTTGGCCGTCGCTCGTGAGATCATTCGAGAGGATGGCGTCACGGGCCTTTGGCTGGGCATCAAGCCTGGCATGGTCCTTACCGTGAACCCTGCCATCACATACGGCGTTTATGAGCGCCTCAAGACCTTGTTGTTGATCGCAAGTTCTGTAAATGGCAAATTGAGCCCAGGAACGACGTTTTTGCTTGGGGCATTTAGCAAGACGCTTGCCACTATTGTGAGTTCGATATGTGGTTAGGTGGCTGAATGACGTTTCTTGACATTGCTTCCTAGGTAACCTATCCATATATTATGGCCAAGGTTAGAATTCAGGCCCGTACCGGTGATGCGGATGTATCAGAGACCGACAGTTTACCTGGTGGTCAAAACGAAAAGACTAAACCCAAGGCAAAACAAGCCGGTGCCCTTGGCCTCCTCCTCAGAGTTCTGAGGAAAGAAGGATTTGTAGGATGGTATCAGGTCAATATCACCGCGTTATCATTCCCTATTCTACGCTGACAAAGTAAACAGGGGATGTCCGCACAGATCATCAAAGCTGTACTGTCTCAGGCATTGTTGTTTGTATCCAAGGAACAGTTCGAGCATTGGGCCCTGGTAATCATGGTGTTGTTTGCAAAGTTCACTTCGCGGTCATGACAATAGATGATTGTAATCAGGATCAGTTGGTTGTTTGCTTTCTGGGCGTAGTGTACACCTTTTGTGTTGCGTATCGTCCTAGTACCTTGATAAATGAAGAGACGGATCATGTACCAATCCCGATGAGGCGCGTCTGGCTGCAGGGCGCTATCTTATTTACTTCTATGTAGTTGTCAGGCAGCGAGTCGCGGATCTGATCGAGTCAAAACGCGTCAGGTCGGAGATGTGAAACGTGCAACACAGCCTGGAAATTCAAAGACTCGTTCTGGAAACAAAAATGCGTGCTAAGGAGTGTGTATGAGAAGTAGATAATTGATGAATGATGCGGTACAAGTGCGTGGTCGTGTGGGGTATGTTATCGAAAGGAACACGTGAAAACTATGGGTACAAACAAATCAATCCTAACTGTCCTATAATCCTCCGGCATATTAGACACGAACGAAGAGGAGGAAGAATGAAACGTGATAAATCAACAAGCGCCAATGAAGACACCCCCTCGTGAAATATTGAATAAATACATGTGATTGCTCTCATACAGATCTGAATCGTTTCAGGTCGTCCCAAATCGTCAGATCATTTGTGAGAGCGTGATGCGCATTTCGCATCAGGACATCAGGGTTGCATCAAGATCAAGCACTGCAGTCAAGCATTTCCCAGTCATCACTGGAGTTCACTAAGGAGGAATTAGACAATGTCTCATCGGGCGCCTCAATTACTCACCCTCCTGTGTGGACACAAGCATCTCGAGGTCCCGGGTAGCGGCTAAAATAGACACAGCCATGCGAGGGACCCATGCGAAGAATCTTCGCGCCTTCAGGAGAGCACCGCATACGGGCTCTGATTGCGATCCGGTACAGGTCCGGCTCAGGCTTTGAACGAGGGAATGAAGCGCGGGGCGGGAGAAGTTTCTGATTGGGTGATAAAGGGGAGGAGGTTCGCAGCCCCTGCATTAGTTTTGGCTGGCGAGGCTTCGGCATTTGGGGGGTTGACTTGGCAGGCTGCTTCGTGGAGAGTGGGGCAATGGTAAACTCGGGGCGGCTGCGGTTGAGCACGGCTTTACGCCGCTTCACGCTGCTCCTTGTAGTGGTACAGAGTGCGGTTGTAGGGAATGACAGGGGGTTGCGACTTTGCGTAAAATGAAGAGGGGCTAGACTGTAACAAGGTATCCTCGTCACCGTCATAGTCTGACAAGGAGAGAAAAGAAGCTGTGCGACGAAGAGACATGCGGGCAGCCTTTGAAGGATTAAGGTGATAGAAAGACGAAGTACGCTTGAGAGCGTTGGTCGTGGAAGGAGTAGTGAATGTGAGAGCAGGCATAAGTAGGGAAAGAAAGATGTGAGACTCGGTGGCACAGGACAAAGGGATTCATATCAGTGGATTTGTGGCTCAAACAAAAGCAGTGCCAAGCTTGGGCAAAGGCGCTAATGACTAGGTTCAGATATGATCGGAAATGATGACGGAAGCAGATTTGTCAGATCAGGATCAACGTTTCCAAATAGGTACGTGCTCACCTTCTGACTCAAGGTTCCGGTCTTCCATTTCCCTGGCTCCATTAGCCCCAAGTTTCGATAAATCCCCACTTGTATGAAACAATAATATGTTAGAATGTGCAGACCTAAGTGCTCCCGCCAAGTCAGCATTCTCTTATATCCATTACTGGGACGCTGGAGTCAGCTTGGCCAATGGACCTAGAAATGCCCCCGCGCTGAGCGCCAACGACTTGGCCAATAACTAGAACAAAGGGTTTGTATGACCCAAGATGGTGATGTTGTAATTAGTTGGAATGCAGATTGTCGCCCTTGTCGAGATGAACATTGTCCTTGTCGTGACAGATGCCAACCAAGCTAGGGCTATGAAGACACGAATGTCGATCCTACGGGTTGCTCGAGAGGCTGTTTCATGAGTGGCGCAGGGAAACATAAATTCACTGTTTCAAGGTCGACCAGAGCGTCAATGAGCCGAAGAGATGGCTTCGGGGCTGTCTATCAGTAGACTCGCTTGTCTTCAAGCGTCGTTCGTACGAGAGACGAAGGAAGAATTTTGCAGAATTCGGTTTCGAATGTAACGAATCAATTCATTAGAAGGAATTCATAACTGTCATTTCTTTCTATTGGTTCGGGAATCGGGAGACTAATGATGGACCGAGTTACCGGAATTGAAGACCTGTTATCTTGACTAACGCCAGTCTTGAGCGCACGTCAATTGAGCAAACATCTCGTACAGCTTTCGTACAGCGAACCTGTTCCAAACTGCGGGGTAGAGTTCAGAATGCATATCCTGCCGAGAGAACATGAGAAGTTGCTCTTACATCAGGTATTCCCCACAGTCCTTAATTCATGGGATGGAATGATATGTCTTTATCTCTTCATCTTCTCAGGCCGGCTTTCTAGCCCAAAAGCGTCTCGCTCGAGGCATACAGCTCAATATCAACGAAGCTATCGCTTTGATTGCCTCTCAGTTGCAGGAGCGTATACGTGATGGACAGCATTCCGTGGCTGAGTTGATGCAGCACGGGAAGACCTTATTGGGGAGGACTCATGTCTTACCTAGCGTTCCACCCCGTCTACACGAGATACAGGTAGAAGGAACGTTCCCAGATGGGTGAGCTGTGTGTCCGTGCGACATCGCCTCAACTCACGCCCAGTTAAAGCGTATTCCTAGTAACTGTGCATGATCCCATATGCACAGATCATGGCGACCTGGAGGCAGCGCTGTATGGCTCGTTCCTTCCCGTACCTTCACAGGATAAATTCCCAGCCGTGGAGACCACAGTCATCTCCCGCGAAAGCCTTCCAGGAGCTATCATCGCCAGGAAAGAGAGGATTACTATTAATAAAGGACGCACACGCATCAGGTTGAAGGTGACCAACAACGGTGATCGTCCCATCCAGGTTCGTGACCTACTTATTTTATCGTGCAAGCTCTCATTATCTCGGAAGGTGGGGTCTCATTACCATTTCATCGAAACCAATGGCGCCTTGGAGTTTGATCGGGTCAAGGCTAACGAGATGCGTCTTGATATTCCCGCTGGCACTGCTGTCCGCTTCGAGCCTGGCGACATCAAGACTGTCACACTGTGTGCTATCGCGGGCAAAAAAAAAATAACTGGCGGCAACTCGATTGTCACTCGCATGGGGGATGCTCTGAAGAAGGGTACTCTTATCGAGAAATGTTCACTACTAGAGGCTTTTTGCCACTACCCGGAACCTGATGCGCTCGAAGTACATGAGGACACCACCATTGGCCGCGAAGAGTACATCTCTATGTATGGGCCCACAGTCGGTGACCGTGTTAGGCTCGGTGACACCAATTTGTGGGTTGAAATTGAGAAAGATTACTCGGAGGTTTGTTAGACTACGATCATGCTTATCGCGTAAGGCTCATCTCTAGCACAGGCCTTTTATGGCGAAGAAGTCAAATTCGGCGGCGGTCAGTGGTGTTTTCTGGTGTCTTCCCTAATTTTAATCAATGTCTGCAGGCAAGTCTATCCGAGAGGGCATGGGCCAGATAACAAGTATTCGCTATCTCGAGCCCAACCTTGACCTGGTCATTACCAATGCAGTTATAATTGACTGGACCGGGATATACAAGGTAATCTATACCCTCCTCCAGCTTTCACCTGCTGCACACCCTTGTAGGCAGACATCGGAGTAAAGAAGGGCAGGATCGTTGGCATAGGCAAAGCTGGCAACCCTGACATCATGGCTGGCGTCACCCCTAACATGCGCATCGGCTCCTCAACAGAGGTCCTTGCGGGCGAGAAGCTCATTGTGACTGCAGGCGCTATTGACGCGCATGTGCATTACATCTGTCCGCAACAAGTCACCGAAGCGCTCGCAGCGGGTACGACAACTATGATTGGGGGTGGGACGGGTCCGAGCGCGGGAACCAATGCTACGACATGCACGCCAAGCCCATTCTATATGAAGACTATGCTTGCGGCGACGGATGGGCTGCCGATGAACTTTGCGTTTACCGGAAAGGGGAATGACACTGGAAGGCACGCATTGGAGGATATCGTTCGCGCAGGTGCATCGGGCTTGAAATTACACGAGGACTGGGGTTCCACTCCAGCTGTGATCTCGAACTGCTTGGATGTTGGTGATGAATTTGATGTTCAGGTCAATATCCATACAGATACTCTCAACGAGAGCGGTTTTGTGGAGAGTGAGAGGCGTTCTATTCATCGGTATTTCGGATGCTAATGGAAAACAGCTACGATCAAGGCATTTGGTGGTCGTACCATCCATACGTACCACACGGAAGGCGCAGGTATAGGTTTTGTTTCCTCTAGCCTCCTATTACATCGCCTCATTATGAAACCAGGTGGCGGTCACGCCCCAGGATATCATCGTGGTTTGCGGTTTGGAGAACGTCCTTCCTTCATCCACCAACCCCACACGCCCTTACACTAGCAACACTCTAGACGAACACCTTGACGTGAGCCATCGACACACGCTGGTTATCTTTACTTACTAAATCAATTGCAGATGCTAATGGTTTGCCACCACCTCGACAAATCGATTCCCGAGGACCTGGCATTCGCAGAGTCTCGCATCAGAGCAGAGACAGTAGCAGCAGAAGACGTCCTGCACGATAGCGGTGCGATATCCATGATCAGCTCTGACTCTCAGGCTATGGGGCGTGTCGGAGAAGTTACTTCTCGGACATGGCGTACTGCAAGCAAGCTCAAGGAGTTCAAAGGTCCGCTGAAGGAGCTCGATGATACAAGCGAGAAGGATAATGGACGCGTCAAGAGATATATTAGCGAAGTATACGATCAACCCGTTAGGTTTTTTCTGTTACCTCCAGTGGTCGTGCACTGACGGATCTTTCTTCGTTAGTGCGATCACGCACGGTATCAGTCACCTCGTTGGCTCAGTGGAGGTCGGAAAGCTCGCTGACCTTGTGCTTTGGAAGCCGGAAAACTTTGGCGCGAAACCTGAAATGGTGTTGAAATCAGGAGTGATCGCTTGGGCTCAGGTATTAGGACCCACAATGTAACTTCTCGAATCATGGTGCTAACGTACTCGCTAGATGGGCGACGCAAACGCTTCCATTCCGACTGTACAACCATCCTATGGCAAACCGATGTGGGGTTCCTTCCCTCCCGCAGCCGCGCTCAACTCAGTCGTGTTCGTCTCCGGGATCTCCATCGAGACTGGTACTATTGCTTCATATGGACTCTCCAAGCGAGCGGAGCCTATTTTCAACTGTAGGAATGTGACCAAGAGAGACATGAAGTGGAATGATGCACTGCCGAAGATGACTGTTGATCCAGAGACCTATGAGGTGAGGGCGGATGGTGTTTTGGCTGATATCGAGCCTGCGACCACGCTACCGCTCGGGAAGGAGTACAATTTCTTCTGACCGCGGAAAAGAAAAGATCAGAAGCGTGTATATTACCTGTACTATGTCATGGCGGGATTATGGAATTGCTGAACCCTTGAAGGAATTTACCGTGAAGTTTGACATGAATTCAAATCACCTCATCACCCATGAATCGAGTCAGAACAAATCTATGACGGCAGCGTCAGTCACGTATTATGGACATGCCATACATCGGCGGCGAAGCTAATACTAGTAATAGTCCCATCCAAGAAATAACATTAACGAAAACGATTGTCCTTTTGCCAAAAGTAGCCTAATTGCCTCGCGCAGCTGTGAGCATCATACCAAGGTTGATGAAGGCTTGGTTGAGCATCAGAAGGATTTGGGGACTCCCACTATCAGGTGTGGGTACGACTGCCGTGCCAGTAGGAACGACGATACCGCTTGCTGCACCTGTGTTGTAATTGGTGGATGAAGTCGTAGTTATATTGGACGTAGAATTGGTGATGGAGGTAGATGTGGTGGGTATAGATGATGTGGTTATGGTGGTAGAGGGTGTGGAATAGCTTGTGGTAGTAGGTGGTGTCCAAGTAGTTGTGGGCGTTGTGGGCGTAGGAGTTGGTGTTGGTGTTGGAGTGGGGGTCGGCGTTGGCGTCGGTGTCGCCGCTGGCGTCCATTGGGAACTAGAGGATGTTGTAGGATTGTTGGTGCCATCATTAAACCACCATGATCCGTAAACGACGCCATCAGCTGCGGAAGCGAAGTAATTGAAAAGACCATCAGAGAAGTCAAGCCCGCCGTACGGGCACCCCATGCACTGAAAAAGGCGCGTAAATACAAGAGAGAAACGATACGCTGTTGGGCTCACTTCATCCATGATGGTAGCCTGGGCAGTTTTTCCTCCATAGGTAATGGTTATGGACTTGAAGCACTCTGGGCCCGGAAAACCAGCGCCAAATTGGAGGACGTTGAGGGCGACGATCTTGTCATAAAAATGAGCTTCGGAAATTTTATGGTAAGAAAATAATGGCTGGGACATACGAAATCACCCGGAGAGCTATACTGCCCACAAGCACCCCTTGAATCGAAAATAACATTAAGTTAAATAACTCAACAAGTAGTCCTGGTACACTCACAAGCCAACATCATAAAAGGTGAAACGCGCGTTGTCAAAAGAGCGTTTGTGCACGCCAACGTCTCCTCGCGCCCGCTGCGCGAGATCTTGATGACGGTCACGCTTCAGATGGCCATGCGTACTGGCAGTGGTGAATGACAGAAAGGTAGAAACGAAGAGGATGATTGCCGACACTAGCATTGAGTATTAGACGAAACGACGAGGGTTTCGCGTCACCGAAATATGTTTTTCTTTTCGAGGTATAGCAAAGGAGCGTATGCACAAGGGAGCGACTGGCGTACTGGGTACGAAACGGTGGTGGAAAGGATACAACGACTCGATGGAACAAAAGAAGGATCAAAACGAAAAGAAGCGCTAGCCAAGCCTAATAGCCAAGTAATTAAAATAGTTTAGCGATTTACATGCCAACATCATGTAAGTACCTGGGCGCCTTTTACAAACGACAAGAGGCCTGACCTGAACATGAAGGCGCCGTCGTCATGGGGGGCTTGTCTATACACTATTGGCGTGTAAGCTTCCCATGAGCTCGAACGCTGTCAGTCGATTGGACCTCGGTACATACAGAATACGAGAAGGAGGTTCATGCTGTGACCTGTCACATGTGAGCTAGTAAACAACGCCTAGATATTCGCCATTAACCTTCCACTTGTAGTGCAACGTAGCTAGCTTGTCATGTCACGGTATATATCTTCAATAACCAGTAAGGCTGGCATATCATTATAGGTATCATGATCTGCCAAAGACGAGATCGATAGAGCACTGCACTCGTTTCCCAATGCTTATCCTCATACAGATCTCCGTGCACGTTTCCTGGCAGGGCTTCCGCTGTGGATCTCACAACCCTCATTCTCACAACCGTCACGGAAACACGCACACGTGTGCCCCGCAGCATACACAAAGCTCTATGCACGCGCAACCCTCACTACCGCCCTCGGAGGACCCGCAAGACGACGAAGTTGTGCATCCCGCATGCATGGACGACATGATCTGGTCCCTCAGCCTCGATATCCTATCAGGGGCGGAGACCTGCAGGAGGAGGAGTACTCACGCATGGGGAGGAAGAGGGCTGAAGTCCATTCAAGATTGGAGAGTGCGAGCTAGCGACATAAAATGAAATGAAATGTATTTCAAAAATATACAGACAAAGAGGACGTACAAATACAGAAATTTGATGCATTCTCGACCGAGACCCACGCTAACAGCACGATGTGCTGGCTTTCGCTCATGGGTGAGAGCGCGGTGCAGAATATCGGACCGTGACGCAGGCTTGGCACTCGGAAATTACCGGTCACAAGTAAATCATCTGCAAGTGCACTAAGTAGCAGCTCGCACTCCTGTCACGGTGCCCTGGCGAGCAAGACACTACTGATAACTCCGAGATAACTACCTTAGTCAAACAAATTCGTCAGGAGGTCGTAGTGAAGCAGAAGCAATCGTCCGTGACACACTTCCTGTGCTCGATTCCCACCGCCAGTGAGTTCATCACGAAGCTTGATCAATAATCATTGAAGGGTGACTGAAAGCCCTAAGCTGCTTGTTTCTGATTCGCTGACCTATGCGCGATGTGATGAGATGTTATTCTAGATTTTGACTATTCGTATACGAGGTGGAACCATCAAAGTGCAGTGTGGCTCTCATAGCCTGCCCATGATATTGCTGCGCATAGAAGCATAATAAAGATCCGACGATGAGTTCTTTTCTAATGATCATCCGAGTCATCTCAATCTTACACTCACAGCATTCTCGTGTGCACTGACTCAATTCGGAACAGTAGAAGAACATGATGGCCATCGACACGACCTTGTACAATCAGAAGAATAAGAAGTCGGGCTTCCTGCACAGTCATGCAGGCCCACAGATGCGTCCGAGTATTCTTGTCCTCTCTGCGTCCTCTCATTTGTTTTGACCTAGAACTGGTGTCGTACATTCAACTGATATGAATCAGGATCCTGGGTGTGTGATGTATCACAATCGCATCTACTACACGATGCATTAAGTGCAGCGCATTTTCACACCCACCATCTTGGCATCCTGATCATATGATGAGAGAGGAGATGCGGTCGAGGCGACAGATGTTATAATGATGATGATCAGCAGCAGCAGTGGGCATTGAGGGGTCTAGAGGAAGGTGAGACAGGTATGCTACATTTGCTCCATGTCGACCATGGTGTCATATCATACCGACAGAATGGGACCTTGTTCATAGAGCTGTTACGCCCATCGCGCTCGGCCAGCATGGATTGAGAGAGTCCAGATGGCCTCATCGAGAATTACCATCAAGAAGGCAGGGTTTCAACTTGTTAATGATCACTTGATACTTAGACCTGTGCAAGAACATCTCGAGAATGGCGTTGGAAATAAGTCCCTGATATCACGAACAACTATTTGAATTTTCCCGGTCCGCAAACATTCCCTGTGCGTGAGACTGATTTCAGTTTCATTCAAATTGAGGACTTCAACTGTCTACTTAATTTCACACCGCAGTCCTTACACCAGTCAAGGGCCTTGAGGCAAGGCCGAATTCCGTCCCCATCATCATCATGTCGATTTGGCGATACAAGTGCCGTGCGGTGGTATATATATGTAGCACAAATGCCGTCGCTATATGACCACCAAGTTCGCCACTCACTCACACACATCCCTCGGATATGACCTTTGTTTCAAATGATCCCGGCTGGTGGCCAGTAATCAATTGACGCTCTTTCTTCAGCTATTATGTAGGTTAGTGAAGGTCTAGTAGGATGATGTCGGTGATGTCTCGATCTAACCTGGACTGTGGTTCCACAGTTGCCGCCTCTGCCATAATGGTATACGATTGGGGTGAGCATGATAGCATTGCAGAAACACTGGCATCCTCATGATATTTCCAGCGCTAACATTCGGACAAGAGGTAGGTTCATGCAATTACCGAAGTGGCTGTCTTGCTAAGAATGGCTCTATAGGTTGAACTGGTCTGGGTAAGCAGAGTCCCATCACCATCACCATCAAAAGAAGAAGAGGATGATACTATTTTCGGAACAGATGCAACGCTGGTCCCTCATGACGGTTATGTATCTCATTGTACGTGGGTTGTGTTATAAGCACAGGTGGCAAGTTACGCTGACGCCAAAACATTCTAGACGCGCTATGCTGGGATACCATTACACCATGTACGTTCGTAAGACTAACGAGGTGGTGCTGTGCTAATAAGCCATCCCACGATTAGTATTTACATTATGTGTATGTCTCATGCACCTTACTATTGTTTTGTTCTGACTGGCAGCATACAGCGGAACTTCCATCGATCTCGTTGACGGATGCAGTGAGTAATGTTCTGATGCTTGCCATTCCCAACCAATTAACTGCACTCCTATGTAGGGGTGAGCGAGATTTTTGACCTGCTCGTTGGTTCACTATATTGACTACCACAGGTGTCAGTTTCGTTGGAGTGTTTTATCATATGAGGGCGATCACTGACTTTCTATTTCAGGCGATATTAAGTACTCTGCAATGTCTTGGACAAATGTAATCACAGCTGTCATGCTGGATGGTGAGCTACGCAGCTGCAATACCCCAGTGATATCGACTACACTGACACACCATGCAAGTCATCATGATTGCTCGGTTACATGCCATGTATCAGGGATCTAGAAAGATGCTTATATTTCTCATCGTTAGCTTCTTGGCTGTCAACATTGCCTGCATAGTGATTACTGCAATAGTGCTTCAATATGTTGCATCGGGTAAGCTTTAGTTATATATCAAAGAACTAGGCTGACTGGACGAATATCAGAGGAGTATGTCCTCTCCGGTGCCCATACGTGCTACTATACCTTATGGGGAGACACTGTATTTCTGATTCAGATGACTTGGATACTCACCCTTATATGGGAGGTCCTCGCACTGTGTCTTGCGGTCTGGATTGCTGTGAAACACTTCTGCGGTCTGCGACAACTTGACAATCGACAGGATTGACCATCGGGGACGTTTTCACAGTGTTGATGAAATCTCATGTGCTTTACTTTGCAAGGTGACTTTGTAATTTGAATGCGGTGATCTTTTTCTCGCTAAAGTTCCACGCGTGCTAGCTTTGCTGCTGTTGCTGCTCTCCAGCTTGGCGGGTTCTCTCCAATAATTGTACGCTGATCCGTCACTGACCTCTGATTTTCACCATTACTCATCATTTCTATAGAACTCGGATTCCGTGGGAGTCGTGATATATGATGCTTTTCTTCAAGTTTTTTCGGTCGTGCAGATGTTTATGCTGGGACCGCGCCTCATCCTTAGCGTTCGGGAAGTTCACGCTAAGCTCGTGGCCGTCTCCGACACAGCAACTGACATGGCTTCAATTGTCTTCGAGGAGCGCGTACACGTGTCAACTAACAATAGTGTGTAGCATGAGAGATACTTATTGGGTTCTCTGAAAGAGCAGGAGGATAGTTTCGTGGCGGTATCTATGTATGTTATTCGGTGTTCCAAAGTGTATATGCCAAGATTCAGAGTGACGGTTATCTTTGTCAAGTAAACCCCCCCACCAGATTTACGGAGGTTGTTGCGATTGTTAGCTATATATAGTCAAATATGATATTTCAATTTGTTCACTGGTTCACTGATGCACAGGTGCATCCGAGACTCGAGTATTCTTGTCCTCTCTGCGTCCTCTCATTTGTTTTGACCTTGAAATGGTGTCGTACATTCAACTGATATGAATCAGGATCCTGGCTGTGTGATGTATCACAATTGCATCTACTACACGATGCATTAAGGGTAGCGCGTTTTCACGCCCACCATCTTGGCATCCTTATCATATGATGAGGGAGGAGATGCGGTCGAGGCGACAGATGTTATAATGATGATGATCAGCAACAGCAGCAGTGAGCATTGAGGGGTCTAGAGGAAGGTGGGACAGGTATGTTACATTCGCTCCATGCCGCCGACCCATGGTGTCATTATCATACCGACAGAATGGGACCTTGTTCAGAGAGCTGTTACGCCCATCGCGCTCGGCCAACATGGATGAGAGAGTGTAGATGGCCTCATCAAGAATTACCATCAAGAAGGCAGGGTTTCAATTTGTTAATGATCATCCATTGGGAACTAGAGGATGTTGTAGGGTTGTTGGTGCCATCATTAAACCACCATGATCCGTAAACGACGCCATCAGCTGCGGAAGCGAAGTAATTGAAAAGACCATCAGAGAAGTCAAGCCCGCCGTACGGGCACCCCATGCACTGAAAAAGGCGCGCAAATACAAGAAAGAAACGATATGCTGTTGAGCTCACTTCATCCATGATGGTAGCCTGGGCAGTTTTTCCTCCATAGGTAATGGTTATGGACTTGAAGCACTCTGGGCCCGGAAAACCAGCGCCAATTGGAGGACGTTGAGGGCGACGATCTTGTCATAAAAATGAGTTTCGGAAATTTTATGGCAAGAAAATAATGGCTGGGACATACGAAATCACCCGGAGAGCTATACTGCCCACAAGCACCCCTTGAATCGAAAATAACATTAAGTTCAATAGCTCAACAAGTAGTCCTAGTACACTCACAAGCCAACATCATAAAAGGTGAAACGCGCGTTGTCAAAAGAGCGTTTGTGCACGCCAACGTCTCCTCATGCCCACTGCGCGAGATCTTGATGACGGTCACGCTTCAGATGGCCATGCGTACTGGCAGTGGTGAATGACAGAAAGGTAGAAATGAAGAGGATGATTGCCGACACTAGCATTGAGTATCAGATGAAACAACGAGGGTTTCGCGTCACCGAAATATGTTTTTCTTTTCGAGGAATAGCAAAGGAGCGTATGCACAAGGGAGCGACTGGCGTACTGGGTACGAAACGGTGGTGGAAAGGATACAACGACTCGATGGAACAAAAGAAGGATCAAAACGAAAAGAAGCGCTAGCCAAGCCTAATAGCCAAGTAATTAAAATAGTTTAGCGATTTACATGCCAACATCATGTAAGTACCTGGGCGCCTTTTACAAACGATAAGAGGCCTGACCTGAACATGAAGGCGCCGTCGTCATGGGGGGCCTGTCTATACGCTATTGGCGTGTAAGCTTCCCATGAGCTCGAACGCTGTCAGTCGATTGGACCTCGGTACATACAGAATACGAGAAGGAGGTTCATGCTGTGACCTGTCACATGTGAGCTAGTAAACAATGCCTCAATATTCGCCATTAACCTTCCACCATCAGTGAACTGCCGGAGACCTGGGAAGGGCATATATTCCATCATATAATCAATAATCACCAGCATCTGTATAATTCTGCTATGAGTTATCACAATGTCATACTTAGCTTTATAGTTGAAAGATGAGTTTTTAATCAACATGCACAGTTTTGCAAATTGCCAAAAAGTCATAGACTAGTTTCACTCCAAATCACGTTGTAGATGTAGCAAAAGCTAATGGTCTGTCTCAATGATTCACAGCCCCCACTTCGGGACCAACGTCTACTATTTGGACGGTAAGGCCAGAAGTCAGTATCTTGCGGTCACCAATACTCTGTGCGCCAATCGCACAAGAACTAAGTTATACGAACCTTCGTGTTTTTCGACTGTATGTTTTGAATGTGCAATTTTGGTCAGTGGAGTGTCATTGGATACTCCATATGAAATTGCTTTAGATTTACATCAACAACACATTTCCATGGTGTAGTTACTTCACTAGAGGATTGCCAATAGTAGGTCTTGGTTGACCTTAGCACCCCGTTTGCCGTTTGATTCACGTCTTATCCACTGTGCAATCGCCAGTAAAGTTGAATGTGTTTTGCCGCACTACAGTACAATTTTGGTGTGGGCATAGACAAGGTAAATATATTGACTCTCCCATGTATGACGAGTGGGGCTGTGATGTCGCTATATTCAACCATTGCTGCGACCTCGCAGACCTACAATTTTATTTATTCTCACCTCATTATCCGTGAAATCGGTGGTCTGTGTGCCCTGCTGAAGTAATTGTTTGTGTGGGCATTTGGGAGCCTTGGTTATTCCATTTGTCGATGGGACAAATATTTCATCGCTGTGCAATCCTAGGCGTTGGTGCCAACCTCCCAATAAGTGAGAAATTGACTTAGAAGTCTGCAGACGAAAGATCATATCCCGACTACCTCATGTGTCAACTGCATTTTGTATCATTACACGTTGACAAATCTCGCCTGTGAATAGGAATGGTGCGTCGAGAATTTTGTCACCACACTAATACATATTTCCTGTGTGCGACCTGAATGAGGCTAGGCAGTACATAAATACATATTATGATGCTGCATTTTATATAATCACACGTCAACAAATCTCGCCTGTGAATAGGAATGGTGTGTCGAGAATTTTGTCACTGCGCTAATACACATTCCTTCCACATATCACCATTCTTGCGCTACTTCCCCTCTCCTTGCACCTCCATACTTTCTGTCTGTAGATAGGAATAATGAGTAGGATGATATCACTTCGGATTTATACAATATTTTCTCTTTTGATAGGAATGAAGTCCATGACATACATGTATCACCACAGTCTTGCTGCTTTTTGTGACTTCTCGAGTCTATACTCACTGTCTGTGATGTGAACGGTGAGCAGCAAATATGGATATCACCACTTCCATGCTGTATATCCGCAATTCAGATGTTCAAACTATATGCACATGGATCTGACATCTCCAGCCTCAGTTACATCATTCATAATACGTCCATGAATTAATAAGATTGTAAGTATGGCTCTCTCCCATAGCGCGAGGGCGAATAGTATATCTAAGCCTAGTGATCTGAGGCCTGAGAATAATATATCGCATCTCAGACACATTATACAGTGCCAGAGGGAGCTTCACACTACACAAGCATTTTGAAAATCATCACATTAAAAACGGCAAACTGCAACTACATTAATTAGGTATACTTGATTGTCCAGATGTATAAGAAAATGATGGTTAAGGTGATATCAAAAATACCAAGGTAGTAGACGCTGCCAAGTAGCTGGCACGAGAAAAAAATCAGTCTGAATCGAAAGTGGCATCATCCATTTGTGCTCGTTGCCTGGCTAGTGCATTTATGGACATCTTAGCCTTCGCCCTGTCACTGAGTTCCACATGACGACTTGTTCCAAAGACCTTCCTGACTTGGAGAGACAGAAATTAGTTGAGGACTGTTAAGCATGTGAACAATGCACCTTGTCCACCATGTCAGGAGTTGCTCAACTTTTCGGTGTGCTGCACGACCAGGGGGCCATTCGAAAAAGTCTACAATGGTTTGCCAAAATGGGATGTAGTCGAAATCACTGTCGATAGAGCACCACGAGGTCACAGAAGAAAGGGCGAATCGCAGCTAGTTACCCAATATTAGTGTTTGGCAAGGAATTAGACAAAGCCTCTATTACTTACTTGACATGACACGTAGGCAATTGAACGGGGAGTGACTTTATGCATCTTGATTATTTGCGCTACGTGCATCTTAACTTTCTTGCCAGAATACAAATCCTTATTGACACATCGGTTATTAGCAATAATATCGGCCCTGTTACCTTCATCCACGACCTCCTTGGCAGAGGAGGGAGACGTGAATATAGCTTTGAAGGCCTGCTAAACGTTAGATCTTTGTCGAGCTCTAAACCGGATATGACAAACCTGAACTAAAAGACTGCTCTTGAAGAGGCCCTCCTCCAGATTGTTCTGATCAGCCGTGTACTTTTTGTACAGGAAATCTGGCCAGGACATTTCCGTCATGACATAGCCGTCTGCACAATCCCTGATTCCTGTTCTGACGCTGGTAGACGGTCAGTATGATGAAAAAAGTTGAATAAGATAGTTACATTGGGTTGCTCCAGTCCAGCTCGGTTGGGAAAAGTAGTCTACCACACGCATCATTGACGAATCCACGACAGCTTTTGTCATCGGGGTCAACAGGGGGATTAGGTTTCAGTTCACGATTAACACAGTCAGCAACGAGGCTCTTGAGCTTTGAGGTGTCATCTCCTCGAGCACCATCAGCCCCCTGCCTGAGCTATATAACAACTGAGTAGAAGGTAAAATATTTATATAGGAAAATCATACCTTTTTTAACATCTCCATGTACTCGTTGTACTCCATCTCTGAAGCCCTTCGGTGAAACCATGAGAAGGTGTTGTTAAGGGCGATGTATCCAAATTGCAAATGCTCCTGACTGTGAGGACGGACTGGTAAAATGATAGCAAATACAAGGTGAAAGACTTACTCGACGGTTACATTTTCGTCTGACTGATGGTCATCGCATCTCCTATCATTCTCGGTTATGAGATCTTCAAGGGGATCATACAATGTAACTGTGCGTCTGATGGCCCTTCCCTTGAACACGTAGTAATTTGTCTCCCTGAGTCACAATCATGGTGAGTGAACTGAACTAGGCATACTGCTGTGGTGACGCTCATACCTTTGTTTGAATGCCTGCCCCGATTCCAGCACCTGTAGTTTTTCTTCTAACTCAGCGATTTTCCGCCTTTGGTGAGCACCCTCAGATGTCGGCACTGATATTGATTGTGACGATCTTTGGGATTGGGGGATGTCCTCCACCGTGCTTGGCTGGGACATGGATTCGGACTTCCACAGTGAGAAGGGAACGAAAGATCAATCAAGCTTACTGGAGGTGAGGATATGAGGCAGGAGGTGCGGATAGGCAAGTTGATGCAGCTCCTGCTGCCGCGGCTTTATATGGTCGCTGTCTGACTCGGCGGATGTCAAGAAAGGCAGTTATCAAATAAATATATGTTGGAGTCCATCGAGTCAGTGGGATGATGTGAACTATGAAGTTCTTTGTAGCGAGCAGAAGCACAGTAGCAGAATCGAGTATGGTACTGCCAGTGGCGTCAGGACTCAGCGGACTAGTGGTAACAAGCTGTAATGGGCTGTAGCTGTAGTGCTAAGCTATTTAGAGTTAAAATGTATTTTTAATCAGATTCACGGAACTGGGAACCGATTTCGGACTCGAGCGCTACTCATCTTCGCTTCGTAAATGGAGTGGATTGATCGTTCAAAAACGAGAAAACTTATATTAGAGAATATGGAAGATAGATCTGATTGTGAACGGCAAAGCAAACTGCGTAGTAGAACTACAATAATGCCGTTGATAGGCATATCGCAAGGAGGACTCACTGAAGGCAAGAACCCAACGAGGTGGCATGCCCCCGATTGAGGTAACGATCAAGCGTACTTCATCAGATTTCCGAAATAGAGTAAAGTCACGGTGGCCAAGCTTTTGCAGTTCCAACTTGAAGGTTCACTAAGTGAGTTGCATCAGAAAAGAACAGTAAATTTATCTGGTTCGAAGGACTACAAGGGTACAGTCGACTGAGTCCAAACGAATTAGAGGCAGTCTGGATGGTGTTCCGTAGCATTAAAATGTCTTGCGAGTAATCCAGACAGAATAAATTTATCGGGTTTGAAGCAAGGACGACGAGGGTACAGTCGACTGAGTCCGAATGAATTAGAGGCAGTCTGGATGGTGTCCCGTAGCATTAAAATGATTCGTTGAATTCTGTTCTGGTGTGGGAGTGATGGCCTGGGGACATCATCAATATCATTGGAGGCATTCAGGTCCTCAGCTAGATGCTCGATATCATTGAAAGGCCTGGAAATCCTTCTCCTAGGAAGTGCGGGCGCTGCTGAAGTCGAGCAATCCTCAGTGAACTGCTGGAGACCTGGGAAGGGCATATATTCCATCATATAATCAATAATCACCAGCACTCACAGTTTAAACATAATTCCCGATGATATATTGCTTTGAGTACCTCCTTGGTAAAAATTGAGCATGTCCATCACAAGGCAGCGATGGCATTATCTGGCTTGCGGAGGAGCTTGGCGGATATCATAGTATTTCGGGTAAGACACTGTCTGAGGACAGTAGGCACGAGCATCACATGCAGGACGAAAACGAAACTCAAACCTGTACTTCTCATCAAGGTCGTCAGAAATTGAGGGCTTTTAGATGGGCTTGAACAATAGAAAGATTCGCGAATCCATTTCTTCACCACTCTCGGGTCAGGCCAGCTAAACCGTGCGGAAGAGGGTCAAATCGAGGTTCATAAAGATGCTTTGAATGAACATTGGCAGGTCTGGCGCGTGCAGTGGATGCAATGTGTGTGCACAAGCCCCACACAAACTTGCAGCAGAATCATGATGGATCAAGATGTAGAGTTGTTTATCTTTGTTTAATCCAGAAGCTTCCACCTGCCATATCGGTACTATGGGCACATAAATGTCCGAGTCTGTGTACTAAGTACTATCTGGAGCAGTCCCTGACATCAATATGCAATCCCATTTTTATGGGCCGACTGGAAGCTGCGACCAGCTCTCCCGACTCTCCTCGCTTCTGCTGCGATTCACGAATTTCCTCGGCATTCCCTCCCTTGTTGTCTATGAAGCTAGTCACGTCGAGTGTTATGACAGTAAGACTTATCTTTTAGTTTTGAATAAGCTTTCTGGACTGTTATGTCTTGCGCCTCATCGACATACCTGCCAGTGGTGTAGTCGATCAAGATCTAGACTCGGAGTTAGCCGGACAAGAGATCTACGTACTACAGACAACCAACCTGTTGACAAAATTTCGCAAGACCTTGAGCATCACATGCGTACTGAGTAGGATTGACTGGGATCCAATGATTCCGAGCAAAATGGCTCAATGGTAATAGTGAATGACAATTATAGCACAGCTGTCATTAATATGCAGTCTACATGGGTATAGTAGTATCAATACTACATGACACACGTGTAGGTTATGACAGCGGCTTGCTTCGTAGTACCTCTTCGCCATACTTAATAACATCAAGAACTGACTGCCATTCGGTGCCCATTTTCTCGTGACAGATACACTTGGTAATGGGAGCACCAGGCGGAGCCAGCTGCTTGGGCACACAATACAGAAGTATATTCTCCCTGTTACAGCCATTGTCGGAGTTGGTATCGACACTATCAAGCTTCTGCTTGCAATTGTTGTGAGTAACGTGTACTCGTATAACCTCGCTACCTACTCGATCTTTCTAATAGTATCTCATAAGTACTGCGAAGTCACATACAAAGACTGAAAACACACCTTCCTACTAGTAGCAGCTACAACTCTCGCGAGGTGCTCGCCGAGTGCGGCACCTCTGCATCTTGTGTGAGACTCATATGACTTCTCCTCATTGCCAGGGATCAATGGAAGCAGTGATTCAGACGCACATAATATGTCAGCACCGAGTTTAGAGGATTTTACATCTGGACTCAGAGCAGATAGAGGTATTGGAAGCTTCAAGTTCTGTCTGGATGGACTTGGAGGTGCAGGGAAGACAAAAGCCTGAGGGTCTGTGTATGACAGGTCAGGTGCCCAAGTTGGCAGCTGAGTATTAGTTGCACGAGAACTTTGTGTGCTATAACACATGACGGCTGGGTAGTTTGAAGTTGATAGTACGAGTGAAGCTTTGTCCAGTTGTAAGCCCGCTCTCTCTTATCGTTGTGAGCCATATACATTGTCACCATCGTGCGGGGGTGAGCTAACAAATGAGAGCCTAGTCTGTCTAAAATGGCTCAGTAGCGAAAAATTAAGGTTTTCAAACCTATCTTAGCCATGGGGTAATGTGAACTAGTATGAAGTCCTTTGTAGCACCAGTGGTAACAGTCAAGTACTACAGAATCAAGTTGTAATAGGATATAACGTACATAAACAAACACCGTTTTCAATATCATTATTGTGATCCCTGACATCTAACAGCGACTGGAAGTGCACCCATTCTGACATATCAGCAGATTCAATTGAATCCGGAGGTACCGTTCTACAGCAGTGATTCGTCAGAAACGAAATAGGTCATTAAAATAACTCACCTCGTTCATTGTTCACCGCCAGTGAAGTCCATCTGACCACTGTGACAATTATGATAAACATAAAATTCGAGCGAGAAAGTTTTAAGCAAACCCTATATTACAGCCATATATACTCCTATAGGCTAAGGTATGGTACTGTCAACTCAACATCAGCAAAAGCGGCTGAAATTTCGCCCAGTTTAAGTGTTAGAAATCAATTCAGTTCACCTGAGACTATACCAAACAGGGAATGTCAGGGATTGCAAAACGATAGTTTTTCAACAGGTCCAAACATTGATGAAGCCTCAAGGTCTAAACAGCCAACAGTACCGAGGTACGGTGACCATATTACGGTCCCATTTTGAAAGTCTCATTGTATCGACGTTCAAACAAGGGAGGAACGAACTCTGCTGTCGGACTGGCTACTGCGAGTCCGAACTGCATCCAAACTTTATCATTACTAGTCTGAATGATATGAAAAAAACACATCATACGAAACATGATTATGGTAGTAGCGCCCCCCCCAAACTTGAACTACCCTCCGAGGCGCCCCAGCCTGCACTCAAACCTGATGTAAAATAGAAATGGTTATTATGCTGCAGGTTGTCCTGCATAAATGGCGGCAGATCGCGATGATCCAACGTTTCCTCTCTGTAAGAGTGCGACTCCGGCGGAATGTGGTCACGGTATTCAGGTTGTGGCTGGAAGCCTGAAGGCGTTTCACCGCTGTAATAGAAGCCCTGCGAACTGCCATCGGGAACACATGGTGCATTTTGTGCAACCTGAGGGGAATCTACAAATCCACAAGGCTTGGGGTACCACAATGCATTAGACAACGAAGATGAAGATGATGCAAGTGTGTTTTGAGGTGTTAGTGATGGTACCGAGTTGGAAGATGGTGTTGATGCTGAGGTACTCACCACCGATCGGTATAGTTCCGACGAGGAGGACGGGACATATATATTGTATTTCTTGATAGGCAATGCTTCACCTGTGCGAGATCGAAGAGCCTTTCTGTAAACATAGCATCAATATGTATATATTTGCGTCTTAGACACACTTACAAACATTGTTCGTGGTGTGCGGTCATGCGGGGCAAGAACTCACCTTCGTCAAGCTCAGGGCTGTCTAAGTATTTTCTCATCGCATTCCAGATCCCAATTGCAACAGGTTGGAACTCGTGCGTAGAGAATGGCAGTACATTTTTGGATTTAGATAGCCGGCCTGTTGCAGCACGGCGAATAGCACAATTTAACTAGTGTCGACAGTGCATCAGTATCTGGCGGGTTTTTGATGAACGGACTCACCGCAGCACCTGAGAGCTCGTACATGTACCATGATAGGTTCAAGATCCTCGACATTGGGACATCAAGGAAAGGCGAGTTCCTTCCAAACCAAAAACCCTGATGAAAGTTGAAATAGGTTACGGCCGAAAACACAAGAATTTTCCTGCGGTCAGCATCCCAGCCATGCAAAAAATAGTTCCGGAGATTGTTTTCGTTCAACATGGTGTTTGCACGTGCAGCTACTATGTCTGCCATCTGGTCTTCTTCCAACATATTACCATCCACATATTGCAGTAACATATCTCCGTATTATACGAGTGAACGGACGTGCATAATATCCCATATGATATGGGCCAGCGGACCATGGGCCAAAGGTAGATATATCCTCGACTATGACGGATGGGCCGGGAGTGTTATTATTCCCGATGGAGACAGGTGGGCCCATGTAGGGAATATGTAGAGTAGATGAGTGGGCCGATAGACATGAATATTCAATAGACAGATGGGCCGAGGTAGTTGGATATTATGTAGATGGGTTTACCAAGGTAGATGTGTATCAAATAGCCAGGTATGTCAAGGGTGCTTGTTATCACATAGACGGGTGGGCCCAGATATATATCATATTAGACGGGTGGGCCGACAAATTAAGATTATTTTGTAGACGGGTGGGCCGAGGGAGTGGTGAAATATTTATTATATATACGGGTGGGCCGAGGGAGCGGTAAAATATTTATTATATATATGGGTGGGCTGAAGGTCGTCGTATATTGCACAGATGGGTAGGCCGACATGGGGGTATATAATATAGACGGGTGGGCCAAGAGAGCAATTTATTAGATATTATATAGATGGGTGGGCCGAGGTAGTTGGATATCACATATACGGGTGGGCCCAGATACATATCATATAGACATATGGGCCGAGGTGGTAGTATATTATATAGACGTATGGGCCAAGGTAGTAGTATATTAGATAGACGGGTGGGCTGAGATGGTTGATATCATATCCCGGGCCGGGGTAACATCTATCGAGTTCCAGGTAATGTCTATCGAGTTCTGGGTAACGTCTATTGATGTCCGGGGTAACTAATACAAGTTCCAGGTAACTAATATCGACTTCCGGGTATTTCATAAAATTGAACAAATCACGAAGTACCGAGTACCGAGTTCCGGGCACCGAGTTCCGGGCATCAAGTTTAATTGTTATCATATACATGGGGTGGGCCCAGACACATCATGTCGATGGGTGGGCGAGCCAAGGGTGTTGTATGAATATACACGGGTGGGCCCAGATGTATATGATGTTGACAGGTGGGCTGAGGTTATTATATGATATAGACTGGGTGGGACTATCGAGTGCCAAGTGCCAAGCTCCGACTACCGAAATTTTAATGAACCGAGCATCATGTACCGAGTTCCGGGACCCGGGTCTCGACACTCGAATATTTGATATCTAGCACCCTTCCAATTATCTGGTATTTCATTGACATACTAACATTGCAATGAATGATAATCCATCATAGAAAGGTCAGTTTCAACTACCGAAATTTGACTGAACCAAGCATCATGTACTGAGTTCCTGGGACCCGGGTCTCGACACTCAAATATTTGATATCTAGCACCCTTCCAATGATCTGGTATTTCATTGACATACTAACATTGCAATGAATGATAATCCGTCTTTGAAAGCTAAGTTCCAACTACCGAAAATTTGAATGAACCAAGCATCATGTACCGAGTTCCGGGATCCGGGAGTCCTGGGTCCCGGGTCCCGACACTCAAATATTTGATATCTAGCACCCTTCCCATTATCCGGTATTTCATTGACATATTAGTATAGCAATGAAATGATAATCCATCTTTGAAAGCTAAAATCAAGGTTCCCTATCTGATCCACCCTATCTCCACCACCTTTAAAGTCTGTGGACATCCGGCATTGACCATCTGATTTCCCAAGATCAACACCATCATGAATGTGTCTTCCACCTCCGATATTGAAATAACCTTCTGGCGCACTTGGGCCTTGACAGTCACTCATGAGGCATGTGAATATACCGAACAGAAATTCATTGCCGAGAAAACAGGAGGAGACCCAGTCATACCTTCTCCTAAGCTAGACACCGATCTGGTGATGGCTTGCGATCGATTGGTGGATTGCCTCATAAAGGCATATAACAATCCCAGTGGGTCTTCCCGCAGATTCGGACAGTCCATTTGATGATTCAAATTGCTTCACAGTTCGGATGCAGATTGATATTGCGAGATACAGCAAAATGATCTCCCCGAAGGACACTGGACATAATGAAGAAAGAGAGGCGAGGTTGCTTGAGAGGTGTCCTCCTGGCCATGAAGGTACAAAGTTGGTCGACATACCCGCCACAGTTCTCGATGCTACCGGCGCCATCATTGTGTGGTACCTCCCGGATGCCCTGACAGAAACCACCCAGGTGGGTAACATATTTTGTTACTCAATGGATATGGAATATGAAATGGGAACTCCAGAAGGAAATTCTGGCAGCCTCCGATTTGCTCAGTCCGAGCCTTGCAAAAAGTGTAAAGGTTGATGGGAGTTGGCGGACTAATCAGGATTGGTTCAAACCAAGCTCGGAAAATGATGGCATATCTCCCGGATGCATCAATCTATCTCCGGCTTGGTTTCAACAGGGGCACGAGGTGGGATCTCATGAGATGGTGGTTTCCGATAGTTACACTGACCAATCCGGTAGAATCTGTCGGACCCGGCGGTATCTGCCTCATTGAAGGGACCATTCTCCGAGAATATTCTCAAAGCCATTGCCAGGCCGGCAGCCATCGCATCAGCCGCACTCAGGGTGATGCATCCTGAGCAGTACTGGGCTGGGATACGAGCCTTTTTAAGCCTCGGACAATCAGCCGAAAGCAAGAATCTTCCTGAGGATGTCAGAGACCCTCCAGTACTGGGCATCCGTGTTTAACACCCTCACCGTCATTTCCAATCGGCAAACCCCCAATCATCGAGACCACATATCCATTCCTGAATGCTTCGATATTCTCACCACCGTGGGTAGTTATTCGAATGCTCGCATGAGTATGCCAAGTCTTCAGCTGGAGTTCATGTACGAGCCCGGCTGTATGATCGCGTTTTCAGGAAGGATCGTAAGACATGGGGTTCATGAAGTGGAAGGGGATAGAATTGCTTGGGCATGGTACATGAGGGATTCTGTTCATATTTATGCCGGGATTCCCTCATGTGGATGGGCTAGGATGGATCGCGTACATACTCCATCCTGGCAAGGATAGAACAGGCACATAGCTTAGTACCCATGTGATAGTACCTACTGTCAAATACCAATTACAATGTTCGAGTGCCAATAATCAAGCATCAAACAGGCAAATGTTCGACATTTGATACCCTGGACCTCGGTACTCCACTCCTGGAACTCGGCATTCGGCACTAAACACCCGGAAGCCGGTAATCGGTATATGGTGTTTGGTACTCGACACCCGGACATCGGACCTGGAGCTCGGTATTCGGTACTCAGTACAGTGATTTGTCCAATTTACAAAATGTGTATTCCTGGGTTTCAGTACTCAGCACTCGATACTGAGGCCCAGGAACTCGGAGCTCGGTAGTCAATGCCCGGCACTCGGCATTCGGCACCCGGATTGCACACCCAGAAGTTGGTAATCGGTATACGGTGTTCGGTACTCAACGCCCAGAACCCGGAACCGGAGCTCGGTACTCGGTACTCGGGACTCAGGGACTAGTATGGTGATTTGTCCAATTTACAAAATGTGTATGCCTGGGTTTTCGGTTACTCGACACTCGGTACTCGAGGCCCGGAACTCGGAGCTCGGTAGTCAATGCCCGGCACTCGGCATTCGGCACCCGGATCGCACACCTGGAAGTCAGTACTCAACACCCAGAACCCGGAGCCCGGAGCTCGGTACTCGGTACTCGGTACTCGATACTGTTCAGGTGGTCAGTACTCGACACCCGGCACTTGATGCCCGGACCTCAATGGTCGATACCTGGAACTCAATGGTCGATGCTCGGTACCCGGAACTTGATACACTGAACTTGATACCCGGACGTCGATACTCAGGCATTCGGTATTCGGTGTTCGGTGTTCAGTGTTTGGTACTCGACACCTGGACCTTAGTTATGTTAGTTCCTAACCTTGGTGCTTCATGCCCGGTACGCAGAACGCGATACCCGGAACTCGACATTGAGTCAAAGATCTGTACAACATACGTCTAAAGGGCATGAACATTTGATACACTAACATTTAATAGGGATCATCCCCTCTGGCTCTCTTCAACCGGGCTAGGGTGTCAGTGTACATATCAATCTCCACCATCTTATCACGGATGCCCTCCTGATGGTCCTGAATCAACGACACCAGGCGTTCCCTAATCCACTTCAGTCCCACCAGTGATGGAGCCAGGGTGCCGTCCAGCTGCTCCGGAAGGATGAAACCATTGTCCTCAACGCCGCTCTAGATCGGATTAGTGATCTATCAAGGAAGTTGGGTATAATGCTTACTAGCCAATGCTGGTAGTGAAAGTGACAGGAATCTATTACCCGATCCCATTGCCATGGTTGGTTAGGGATTGTAGTGTCCCCCATCCACCATGGAGTATCATAGGAGGATACGATCCGGGAGGGTTCTCCGTGATCCCGGACCAGACTGAAACTCGGATAAGTGGGATGAAAAGATGTGGTCTGGAACCGCGTTCCATGTGAGCTGAGGAAACAAGTGAAGAATATGAGCGATCGGGGGTGGCATAACCGAAATTATGTTCCTTGCAGCTGAGTACTGCAGAATTGGTGTCACAAAAGTCTGTTGGCAATCTCAGCATATTCCCCACCACAGTCATCTGTCTGATGGCTTACAGTGATCTCCCATTGGATTCCGGCTTTAAAGTAGATTATCCGAGCCGAAGGAACATTGTTCTCGGCAGCCTCTGTCTGATATTGACTGATACAGGCTTGAACGTGCGATGCAGCCATTGCCAATGTAACTGCAATATCTGCAAGACTCATTGTGGGGGGTTTATATTCAGTGCCGGAATCCTCAGTGGCAGAAGTAGATGCAGGAGGTGCAAAAGTGGATTCAGGAGGTGAATTTAAATCAGACATGGGCAATGCAGGAGTAGGACACTAGCAATGATAATGACGGTTTTTTCAGATGGGATCCACTGATGGATTGATAAAATAATTCAAACTCCGACATGGGCTGACCCGGCCCCTTGCCGAGACTCAATTGTTGGGATCGAATCATATATCAGCAGAACATATTCATAATTCATTCATCTCGGGCATCTATTAACATGCTCTGCAGGTCTTGAAACGCTGCCTGAGCATCCTGCGCCAGTAATGAATACATTTGGGATTGCCTTCCGGAGTAGCAAGCATGACCCGGAAGGCGTTTCACCAATGATTCCCTCATCCGGTCGCCCCATTGCGTTGATTTCCACAAGAAGAAATTACACGTCCAATCCATCTCCAATTCCACCAATATCAGTTCTTCCTTCCATCGATCCCGTAGTGCCTTTGCCCGAAGCCAATGAACTTGGTAAACTTCACGCGGGTCCGGTCAGATCGCAGGCATTTGTCAAGCAAGCTGGAACTCACATTCCTCATTCCACGAGTGATCCGGACCCCCCAAATCTACTTCGATAGACCAGAACCAAGCGAGAGACTCATTTCGCTGACCTCGGGCATTAGGATCGCCGACGGCCGTGCTGATTTTGAGCTGCTCCTGAAGCAGGGGTTTATATTTTTCCAGCTGGTCTTGGCCCGGCTCAAGTTTCATCATTTGCTTCCTTGTCTTGGTATATATGCTGGCATGGAGGGACACCGCCTGCTGCACTGATGTCACCTGGGACCAAGCTCGGGTTTTCAATGCTTGAGATTTGGCTTGCCTGACTGTTGTTCGGAAGAGTATTGCCTTGTTGCACAAGTGAATTCGGAGGTTGTGAAGGGCATCATTGGCCTGTCCTTCACGAAGTGACAACTCCAGCGGAATCAGATCCTCTGCCATACAATGTTTGGATCGATCTACCCCTAGGTTTGATGGCAATGGGATGACAGTGAGCTCGGGGGAGTTTGTCCATGTATCGGACTTCCTGATGAAATCCTCCGGGTCATCATCGAGATCATCGAGAATGTCTATATTCAAATCGTCAGGGTCGTCATCTGCATCAAATCCCTCTCCCAGATGCGTCAGAGCAGTCTGAGTGAATGCATCTATCTGGCCTTGTAGACGATCGCAGTTGCCGGGCGATGTCTAATCTCTGAGTCTCGGTAGTTCTTTTTCCTATTCTTCGGACCTCGATGTGCAATGCAATTTGAGCCTCTTCAATTGCCAGGCCCATTGATATCCATGTTGCCACAGATCTGCGAGAGGGTGCTGCATGACGGGCATTACCCTCCTGCAGCAGTCTAAGCTCTATCTCCTTTTTGCTCGGTGCTGGGTTCAAAATGAATTCAGACTTCGATCGAGACAGAGTGATCTCACCCTTCTTGATATTAATCTCATATATATCCATCGCAGCTGGATCTTGTATTCTGTTGGACTGAGCGATCCTCTCACTTGCTAACCAGTCTGTCTTTAAGTTGGCCGGTGCGGCTTCGTCGAGTCTGTCGAAAGCCTTTCCACTTTCGGCGATGCCAGTCTTCGCCTGCTTGTATTTCCGGCAAAGGGTCCTCTTCATGCGGATCATCTTGCAAAAGTTGGAATCGTTCATCTGGAAATCAAGACATTCCTTCCGATGCAGGGGAAGACATTCCCTGAGCAGCAGGAGAAATCAGGTTGAGACGTGCCCATAGGGTCTCCATGATCTCTCCATCAATGCGACCAATGCCTTCAATGAAATTCGACGCATATCTGACATAGCAGCTATCCTGATGTCCATGGATGTGCCACAGCCCGATTCCGGGAATGACGGTCAATTCCGGAACCATTGTCAGAAATCGGCCTCGATCCACCCGAACATGCAAGTGCTTGTTGTATTGACAGTTGATGTCATAGAAGGTGACAGCCCTTGTAATCCCATCCATGTTGTGCTGGGCAGCCTCACAAAGTGCGTAGTCCATGTTCATTTGTCTGCAAACGATGCACGGTCAACTCAGGGAATGTTGAACGGCATGTCCAGCTTGCCTTTCGCCTTTCTGGAAATCTACCATCGAGTGAGGGACAAAGCAACCGTGTCGGCCACAGGCTACTCCCCCGATGCCAGTGGACTCCAGCTTGTGCCGAGCTGCATTTGCTTGATTGACAGCCCGATGATTGTTGCAGCTCGATTTTTCCACAGTGTCAGCAGCCTCTTCAAGATGCTTTTGATACCTTTCCTTTCCCACCATAAACCCCAACCCATCAGAGAGCCATACTTCATCATATGGCTTGATGGGATGCAGGTGTTCGGCTTTGAAATTTCCGTCCATCACAAATGACCTGGGTGTATTTCCAGCTTGGAGTTTTTAATATCGCCAACATAGATTCGGTAACAAAGAGACTCACTCATCAAGTGATTCATCCCCTGACAAGGATATGTTAATCCCGGGCTGAGGACATGCCGGGCAGAATAATGCGAGATCTCCGGCATTCGGGTTGTCGGAACTATGCCCGAAGCCATGCCATTTCATAGACTTTAACTGCCTCCACTGTCGAGCGACTCTCATAAGCTCTCTGTATCGGTCCTTGCAACATGCTTTGTCAATAAGATGTGCTTCAGATGATGTAGATATGGTATTACCGGAACGAGGTGGGGAAACACGCTCGAGGTCATTCGCCGAAGCTTGCTGTAATAGTTCATCGCTGAGGTTCCGCATTCAAGGTTGTCCAACAGAAAATCATCTAGCACTCTGAAGGTGAACATGGTCTTCGGCTTGTTAAATGATGCAGGGAAAAAGCCATGTTGAAACATTTGAATGTCTGGACTCATGGCATCGGGACAATCACAGCATTGAACCTTGAGGCGATGGACTCCTGACTTGTCAACGATGACCATTGTATTTTCCTTGGGCTGGAACTCGGGTCCCGATACAGAAGGTAGATCTTCAGGTTCAAAGTGGTCTTCTTGTTCATCTTCATCAAACAAATCCCACCTATCCATGACTACTGGACACAGCTTGCCATCATGACCGAGGTGTATGACGAGTCCAACATGAGCCAGACAACTTTGCTCGAAGAATTGACCATTCCATTGACTGATCCAGTGGAAAGGATTGCAATGATGTTGACTCCGGCAACAGCCTGTGCAATAGAGAGGCTCCCCAAGACAATCTTGACATTTGAAGACCCCATCCTGATCGCAGATGATGCATCTCCTATCTTCTGGTGGAGCTTCTCGATCGAGGAGGTGATGGAGATATGATTCCTGCCTTGGCAGCCATTGCCTGAGGTAGTCATTCTGACTCTGCATTTTTCAATACTTAGCTTTCGTTTGAAAGACATTCCAACATTTTACATGAACTTGCCATTGTTTTTGGGAGTTGCAAGGGCTCAAATGACCCTTGGTCTTGCTCGTAAGTATCTTCAGGAAAGTCTTCCCAAGGAGGTGGGGCCTGAACAGGTTCAAGTGTCGGTGATTCCGGGGGAGAGTTAGGCATGGACCTGTAGGCATGTCGACTTGTGCTGGCAAGTGGGACCTTGACCCATGTCTTCCTACCTTTGCTGCCCCTTGCTTCCACCCTGTGGGATTTCTGCAATGGGGTGCAATGACCTATCTTCATTTTATTTTTTAATGTTGCAAGGAAAGCATTAGCTCAGGAAGGTCAAACGAATTGTTATTCCATCATCGTATTATGCAGTTTGGTTGGCTCACTACCAATTCATTTCCATGAATGGCATTGCATCCATTATAGGTAGATTAACCAACTGTTAGGCTTTGATCAAAGTTGAACTCGCAACCATTATTCCTTCCACTTTGCTTATCCTCAGCCCATTCTGCAATCTTATTCACCATGGCAAGATCAGGTCATTCCACTCAGTTGACTTCTAGAAGACACAGAACGCGTCAACCACAGTCACAGAAGCTCACGGAAAACAAAATTTCAGAGCTGAAGAACTACCTTCCTGAGTGGACTTCTGCAAAAAGGAGCGAGAAACGGGGAGTTTTCAATGCCATAGCGCGAGCGGCCAGGTTATTTGCTCCTAAGGTCGACCAAGGACAATGGAAAAAGAGGAAGCAGGTGATACATCCTTGTTGCATTGAAAAACTCGATTTTTCATGTCTGATTCTTCCTCTGCCTCTTAGATGTATAAAACTTGGTTGTTCAACAACAAGAAAAAGAAGGAAAGGAAGGACATGATTAAGTATGGGAGGAAATGGACGCCTAGGCAGGTGATCTATCAGCAGAACAGAGAGGAAGTGCTAAAGAGGATCGAGGACGAGTTTGGGGCAAAGCCAGGAGGTCAAGACATGTTCAAGCATTATCAAGCTGTGGTGAAGAAGGTCATGGCCAATTTGTCCGAGGATGAGATGGAGAAGGCGAAAGAAACCGCCGAAGAATGGTCCAACAACTTTCCTCCTCCTGAGACACAGGCGCAAGTTGCCCGTAAGAAGGGACCTGTATATATGGAGCACTTTTTGAACGAGATGTGGAGACAATGCGGGATGAGAGTGTTTGTGTTGTCGGCTTGGAAGAATGAACACGGAGAGGTGCTGTTCAGGATGTCAGTGAATTTTATCCGTCATCACAGATATTTGGTCTCAACTTATTTCACATAGGCACAATGACAACGAGGCATTAGGGGATGGGGACAGCTTCATGAAGACTAAGGACTGGGAGGACATAGAGCCGGTTTGGCAGGAGTACGCGCAGGAACAGTTCGGTGAGTGTTCCCACTGTGGAGAAGAGAATGATTTCATTGATCGTCGGGATCATAGGTGGCGAGGCACAGGATGGAGGGTGACAGGTGAAGGGAGGGCGAAAAAGAATGAAGAAACCGGCGTTCAATCTGGAATTGGACGGGGATGGGATGCCATTGCTTCCGGACATCACGGAAACAAAACTGGAGGAGAAGAAGGCCATAGTGAGGGCTTTTCTTACAAAGCACTATAGTGAGTCTGGCTTCGTAACTTCCTAAGAGAATCTCTTTAATGTAGGGTACAGGGATCTGTTCTGGGATTGACAAGGCCGTCGTGCTGTGGAGTGCCATCATACAAAGTCAGGATGACTTTGTGGCCAGACAGTATCTTCCGGAGGATGTAAACTTGAAGGAGCCTTCCAAGTTGCAAAATTGGGATACCACCACCGCCTTGCTCAATTTCTGGTATGCTCGTCAGAAAATGGGTGAAGGTCTGATGTTCCTGTTCAAGGCATGGAGGAACAAAGAAGGCGACATGGTAGATTCCGTTGTATCTGAGAAATCACCTCCTCGTCTGAAGCGTAAGAGGGTGATGATCCGGAGACCTCGGGAGTCATCAAGTGAATCCAAGAGTGAGGCTGAGGGCCCTGGCAATGTTGAACATGAAGTTCCACTGCCAGCCCTGAAGAGCTTCCGGAGGAAGAAAGATGTGATTGAGGCACCGGCGAGAACAACTCGGAGTAAGTCAGTGCAACAACCATCTGACAGAGTTACTAGAGCAAGGGGCAAAAAGTAATGTACATGTACCATTGTCTCATATGTCACTATCAATGTTATTCAATCGGTATTCAATTTACATGTGATGTTAATGTGGTCAAAGATTCTGTGGTTCACCGAGTAATTTGAACAAATGACCATGTACCGAGTTCCGGGCAATGAGGTCTGGGCAGGTACTTGATTCAGGGAACTCGGTATTTTTTACCCAGAACTCGGAACTCGGAACTCGGCACTTGATGCCCGGACCTTGATTCCCAGACCTCAATACCCAGAATGTGATATTTGATGTTGGGTACTCTATGCCTGGAACTTGATACCCGGAACTCTTGATCTGGGCAGAGAATACCAAGTTCCGTGTATCAATTACTGAGGTCAAGGCATTGAGGTCCAGGCAGGTACTTGATTCAGGGAACTCGGTATTTGTTACCCGGAACTCGGAACTTGGAACTCGGCACTCAATGCCCGGACCTCAATTCCTGGACCTCAATACCCAGAACGCGATATTCAGTGTTGGGTACTCTATGCCTGGAACTTGATACCCGGAACTCTTGATCCAGGCAGAGAATACCGAGTTCCGGGTCCAAATACTGAGTTCCGTGTATTGATTACTGAGGTCCAGGCATTGAGGTCCGGGCAGGTACTTGATTCAGGGAACTTGGTATTTGTTACCCGGAACTCGGAACTCGGCACTCAATGCCTGGACCTCAATACCCAGAACGCAATATTTGGTGTTGGGTACTCTATGCCTGGAAATTGATACCCGGAACTCTTGATAGATTACTTATTCTACATGGCAGTAATGTAATACCTCTGTGTTCCAGTAATTTACATGTGATGTGACTATGTTATCGAAGATTCGGTATTTTACTGAGTTGGTACTTTACATGTGATGGTATTGAAAATTCAGAAGTTTAGTTTTGGTTTCGTTCTTCACACTGATGAATCATGGAATCTACCACCTTGAGCATTTCGATGCTTGCCTGTTCAGCTCTTCTCAGCCTCTGTAGCTCAGCATCAGCCCTCCGGAGCTTGTCAGATGTATCCGCCCAAGCGATTCGAAATGGTCGCTCGGCCTCGATGAGTAGTGGTATGGAAGGGGCCAGAAGACCTCCATTAACTTGTTTGTAGCTGCTGAGTCTATCTTGAAGGGATTGCACTGAAATGAAAATAAGAAAAATGATAGATATAGTAGTATACCAGATACTCACATCCAGAGTGTTCAAATGACCCTATTGGCTGGAATGTTCCTTCAGAGGTGTGAGGTACGAGTGCCAAAGAAGGGCGACTCGTGACCCAGGAAGGTGGGCTCATGGCAGCTCGGGATCTCCCGCATCTTCTTGCATGGAGCCGCCATGGAGCCCACAACTGACAGCAGCGAGTCTTGGTGCTTGGGATCCGCATTTTTTGCGTGTGCTTGACGCTGCTCGAACTCTGGGAGCCCTTATATCCCTGGCGGACTTCCTCTCCTCGCCGTCGTCCTTTCTCCCTCCTTCTCCCATGCCAAACCCTTCTGTGGGACTCAAAACCAGGAAAATGCAGGCTCTCACCTCTTCCTCAGCCCTCGCAGGCAACGCCACCCCCTCGGGGTAAAGCTCTGCAGTCCCACCTGTTCCTGATGCCCCACCTGTTCGTGCAGCAGCACCTGATCAACCTCCCGCCTCTACTGTCGGCGCTACCCCAACCTCTGCACCACCAGACACTCCCGCCACCAGCCATTCCTCACCAATCTCCTCACGAGCCTCTGACCGCGCGCTCCTCTCTCTCAACTGGCCCTGGAGCAGGCCCTGCAGGCATCTACCTCACTCCAGGTCTCCAAATCTCTCCAAGTCCCCGCTATCACCATCACCCTCCCTCCCTTGCCTGCCTCGGGTGATCGCAGGTCCCGGCTACCTTCTTCTCCCATGGCTCCCACTTCCTCCATTTCCCCTATCTCCCGTCCAGTCGCAAAGCGCCCTCGGGGTGCTACTCCCATCCCCAAAAAGCCGTCCAAAGGGAAAGAGCGAGCCATTCGTGGCTCCCTCCCCCCCAGGCCATCCGCAAGCTCGGGTCTTTCAGCCCCCTCCATCTCTGGGGCCCCTGGCACACCTGCTGCCAGGCACACACCCATCTCCCCTCCTTCTTCTCCTGCCGCCAAGCGTTTCTCGCCCGCTTCCTCCCCTGTCTCACGCACCTCGTGCCCCCCTCCTCACATGTTCACCGAGGAGGAGGTGGCCACCGCAGCCTCCAGGGCTGCTGACGAGGCTCTCGCTAGGTACGCCCAGTCCATCCACGGGCACGCTTTGGCGGCCCCTTTCGTATTGCAGCCTCCACCTGGAAGCCTCTCTCACCAAGGTAAGCACATCTCTCCCCCTGTCCCCCTCACTTTCGCGTGTGGCTTTTTTCGGTCCTGTGCTTTCGCACGTCCTTTCTGCCATTCGACCATTTTTCGCACTTCTGCGCCCTGTTTCTTCCAGTTGCTTACTGCCTTCGCAGACAACTACTTGCGCGATTTCCCGCCTCTCCTTCCATATGCACTTGCCCAGAGTCGTGCTTCCCGCGCTCTGCAGTCCCACCGAGCACCTGTTCACGGTGCCCTCCTCAATCCTCGTGCCGTGGGCCACCAGGCCAAGCACATCAAGATCATGGAATCAGGCTGGCGCATGTACTTCCCCTTATTTGAACTCTGCCCATCCTTTGTCCCTTCAGTCAAGCGCTCTGATGCCGATATTCGTGCCCTGGAGCACAGCCTGTCTTTCACTAATTTTCGTGAAGCATTGTGCAACCTCGTTCAGCTCATCTCCTCGTACCTCGCCTCTCCTGACCGCAAAGCTATTGCGCATTCGTGGCAGTTACACTACGACATGATTTTTGACCAGCCAGACATATACTCGGCTTTCGCCACCTACCTCGTCTATGATGAGATGCTCCGCATGGCATTTCCCAAACGTTCTGGGGATTTTGACCCCAGCGTTTTCCAGGTCCATGTCTGGCAATCAATTGTTGACCAGCAACGCGAAGACCGCATGGCAAAGTTTGATGTCATGATGGATCACATGAGGGCGGGCACATCTTCCACTAGCACCCCTTCTCTGGCACCTCATCGTGCCCCCACTCCCTCGTCATCTGCTTCATCTGGTAAACATCCCCATGCTGCCCAATCTTCCTTTCGGAAAGAGGCACCCCCCGACTCTGCGGAGAAGCTCCCCTCCTCTTCCTTTCGCATCACCTCCGCATGCTGGTTCTGCGGAGAGCTCCACCGTCCCAAGGATTGCCCATCCGTTGACAACGGGTGGCTCGTCAAAGATGCCCAGGGCCTCTAGAAAGGCCCTGGCAACATCGCAGTTTGTTTATACTTCAACGGTGCAAAGGGATGTGGAAACCCTCCTGGCGGGTGCATGTTCACTCATGTCTGCTCTCGCTGCGGGTCCACAGACCATAATGCACAATCCCACCCTGCGTAACCAGTTCTTCCCCATAGTGACTCCCCTTCGCTGGCAGAGGTGGGAGGAGCTATTTCTTGCAGTGGGCGTTCTTGATCAGTTTTCTGATGTTGTTGCTGGCATCCGCGATGGTTTTCGCCTCGGCGTCACATCCTCCCTGACTCGTACTTTCTTGCCCCCCAATCATCGTTCTGCGTTTGACCATCCCAATATCATTAATACTCATATTTGCAATGAAGTTGCTGCTGGCAGATACTCTGAACCTTTTGACCCTGCTGTTTTTGAGCGTGTTTTCGGCCCATTCTGTTCCTCCCCGCTGGGTGTGGTTTTCAACCCCAATTCTGGTAAATTGTGGCTGATCCAAGACCACTCCTTCCCATGCAACCACCCTGACCTTTCCTCCATCAATTCCGAGATCGACCCCTCTGCCTTTTCTTGTGACTGGGGCACTTTTGCCCAATGTTTCCTTCTTGTGGTGAATGCTCCAGTGGGTACTGAGGCTGCCGTGTTCGATGTTGACGCCGCACATTGCCGCATGCCCATTGCCCCAGAAGACCACCTTCATGTTACCGTTTTTTGGAATGGTCAAGTCCACATTGACCACAACGCTTGTTTTGGGGCCTCCAGCTCTTCTGGCATCTTTGGCCGCTCCGCAGATGGCATTGTCGCCATATATTGATTCCGATCCTTTAAGGACATCCTGAAGTGGGCTGACGACTTTCTATTCTTTTGCTACCCTGTTCACACCAACAACGACGGCTCCTTCACCTTCTCCGTCGACGCCTCCTCCATTTGGTCCACTGCCGAGTTCCTCGGCTGGCCCTGGTCCATCCCAAAATTCCGTGACTTCGCCCCAGATTTCCCCTACCTCGGTTTCCACTGGGATATCCCCTCGCGCTCTGTCCAGCTCCCAGAGAGCAAAAAAGAGAAGTACCTGGCATGCCTTGCAGGCTGGCTCGCAGGAGCAAGAGTCACCAAGCGGGAAGTGGAGGTGGTTGTGGGGACCTTAAACCACTGCTCCATCATCCTCGTCTCCAGCCGGACCCACCTCCCTTCATTTTACCGTTTTCTTAGCCGTTTTTGCCCTGGCGCCCACCTCCTCGCTACTCGCTCCATTCCAGCAGAGGTCTTGGGAGATGTCAATTGGTGGCGTGAATGCTTTCTGCAGCCGTTTTGTGGCATGCATATCACAGCCCCTCCCTCCCCTCTTCCAACCCCAATCTTCGTCGATGCATCCACATCTTGGGGCATGGGCTTCATCCTGGGGAACAGCTGGTCAGCCTGGCATTTGGGTGGTAACTGGCGTTCCGAAGGACGCGATATTGGATGGGGAGAAATGGTAGCTGTCGAACTTGCCCTTCGCAACATCATCGCTGCAGGTTTTCGCAATGCGCACTTCATCGTTCGTTCAGACAATGCTGGTGTTGTTGGTGCCCTTCGTGCGGGGCTTTCACGTAATGCCCAGCAAAACACAGTGCTTCGCAGAATCATCTCACTCCTCCTCGAACACTCTATCCGGTTCTCCACCATGTGGGTCCCGTCGAAAGATAACCTCGCAGACAGCCCCTCACGGGGAGTTTTCCCCAATCTTCCAAGATTCCCTCACTCTGCATATATCCCCCATGCCTTACGGCCCTTCGTGTCCGCTTCTTAGTTGTTGCTGTAGTCTCATCCATCACGTAGTCTTTCATGTACTATTTACACCCTCCTTGCGGCCCTACAATTCATTCTTGCTGCCATTGACGTCCCACCCCAAAATCCAACCTTCACATGCTTCCCACGTGTCGCATCACTGAGCTCATGTCCTCCACCCGCTCATAAGTTCTCATTCCCACTCATATACCTTTATATGTCCCTCGCTGATCCTGCATTGGAGGCCATCGTGTCTCGGGCAATCGACACCCTCAGCTCCCGTTTCCCCCCTTCTGTTGCTGCACATTCTTTCCCCCACCTTGCGGCTCGTATCGACGCCGTCATCTTCAATTCCTGGAAGGACTCCACCCTCGCCAGTTACCAACTCGGTGTCAACCGTTTTCTCTCCTTCTGCGCTGACAACAACATCCCTCCCAAGTTCACACTCCCAGCCAACGAATTCCTACTCTGTGCCTTCGCTGCATTCGAAGCAGGCTCTCGCTCTGGAGGTGCCATCTCCAACGACTTGTCTGGAATTCAGGCCTGGCATATCCTCAACGGTGTGCCATATCACGGCGGCATCCGTCTGTCTTATACCATTCGCGGTGCTCATTGTGCAACCCCCGCCAATTCCAAAAAGCCAGCCCGCCCTCCAGTCACCATTGATATGCTCATTCTTCTCCACATCCACCTTGTCCCCACGAACCCCCTTGATGCGGTCTGTCTCGCAGTTGCTGATTGCACTACGTGGGGTCAAGCACGGCTAGGGGAACTTCTGCCCTTATCCCAAGCTAAATTCTCGCCTCTGTATTTCCCTACGGTAGCAAACCTGCGCCCAGTCTCTGTGTCTGGCCAGTCCTGCATGTTATTTCTCCCTTGGTCGAAAACGGCGCATGAACGAGGAGAGGATCTGTTCCTGGGTCGCCAACACGCACCCTGTGATCCTATTGCCTCGCTCAATAATCATCTCTCAATTAACCGTCTTCTCCCATCCTCCCACCTCTTTGCCTACCGTTCTCTCACTGGATCTCTAATCCCCCTCACCAAACACAAATTTCTTTCATGCTGCAATGACATCTGGTCACAACATGGCTACCCCTCCATATCAGGCCACTCGTTTCGCATTGGCGGCACCACGGAGCTTTTGCTCTGTGGTGTACCTCCCCACATAGTGAAAACTCTGGGCCATTGGTCTTCAGACGCGTTCCTGCGCTATTGGCGCTGCCTCGAGCAACTCGCCCCCCTACATGCAGAAATGATCGGCCCTCGAATCTCATCTGCTCCCTGATGACCACCGTCCCCCCTCCCCCTTGCCGTTCCGTTCTCTCGCGTTCATGTCCAATCACTCTCTTTCGTCGCCGGCCTCCGCTTGTGGGCAGTTCCCCCGTTCATCTTCGGGTCCTGGTTTTTCGCGTCCTACGTCCTTCTTGCGCTGTTGGGTGGTTTCCGTGTCCCCTCGTATTCTTGGCACAACCCAGGCCTCAGCCTTCAGACAGCAGACAGACCAGGCAGACTCCCACTCTTCGTGTTTTTAGGGATTCCTTTGTACTGTAGATCTAGTCACATGCTGAGACCCCACCCAAAACCAGCGGGTGCTCTCTGAATATATTCACTTGACTTCACCTTGCACTTGCACCGCTCTCCTCAACTCTCCCACACCAACAGACGCGCGGGACGAGTCTCACGAACCATCACACGCAAATCTTCATTTGTGACCTCTGGATGTGCTGGATCACATTTGGCTGGTCTCTCATTCACTTGCGAGATAAATTAAGTTTCGATCGAAAAATGTGTAGAATTTACTTACATGACATTGAAACTTCAGATGCGACCGGAGACTCACACTGTGCATAGACAGAGCCCGGCTCATCATCACAATCAATCAGATCCTCATCAGGCCCAAGGTACAAGTCCGGGTCGATGTACTGAACCGGTTGATCATATTGAGCCGGAGGTAATTGATCTGTACGAGTTTAGTGAGCATGCATGGTAATATCCAAGTGATAAATGTACCAGGGATTGCAGCCAACACGCCCGGACCACTGGAAGACACGGAATCATCTTCTATGTCATCATCCAGCCCAAGGTATAAATCATCTATGGCATGTAAGATAAAAACATAGATAAGGGATAGTACAAATAGATCTTACCTGTTGATGTCCCAGACTGTGTTGAATCATCTACGTCCATTGAATAATACTCGGTCGCTGGAGGATCGTTAAATCTGACTGTTGGATGTGAATTCATCTTGTGAGGGACGGAAGTACCGATAATTGATTGTATACTTGAAGTTCAACTGAAGTCTGGCAAATTCCGAAAGTTGAACCATAGCCAAACAAAGCCAAATAAATCAACAAAGTTTTACATGGCCGTTCAACTGCCTGTTTTCCGTCTGAAACTTCATCAATTTCACATCTGATTCAAAGATTTACACATCTTTCTCATCATTCAACATGTCCACTCCAGCTGAAACCTCTTTTGCCGAACTTAAGGCAATCACTAGGCAGATTGTTGACATTGTCCGCGCGGCTCGGCTCCTCCCACCCGGCAACAGCCACTTGGCTCTGAAAGCACAAGTCACTGAACTGGTGGTATGTGGTTTTTCCTTTTTTTCTTTTCATTTTCTCTAATGTCCGGGCAGGCTAAGGCCGTCTGGGACCATGAGGCTTCACCTTGCATTCCGGGCATAGTCTTGTCCTGCTCCAAGGAGTTACTTCGCGTTCGGCAGTTGTCCCCCCAGGATTCGCCCAACTGGCACAGCATCGGCCATAACAATCTTCACCTCCAGAGGCACAGCTGGCGCCACAAGGTCTCCGCATGGGAGGCTTTAGGCGACCGGACATTCGATCTTCCGGTCGATGCCCCCAAATCCCCTGACACTGTCGCGGTCGACCTTCCCTCCCCACCTGCCGTCGCTGGCAGCATTGCTGGCCCATCGTCCAGCACCATCGATGAGTCCCGGGAGAAGCATGAGGATAAGGGTAAGGGTAAGGCGTTAGATGCTGACCCGGAACCTGAGGCGGACGGGAGTAGGGAGAGGAAATCGCCCCTGATTTCGGGACCCTCCTGCCAACCGCTGAAATCCGTGATGAAGAGTCGCAAGAGGGCAAAGTCAGCTCGGGTTGTGAAGTCAGCCGAGTTTGTGGAGTCCAAGGACGAACCTGTGGACAAGGTATGTCATTCTGTTTGTTGTTTTCATTGTCACTCATTATTTTGCAGCCGGCTGCCAAAGGAGGGCCGGTCATCTTACTTCATCGTCTCACCTCAGTCTTGCCCCGGATCCCCAAGAAGAGACCTTTCAGCCTGGTGAAGGTATGTCTAATTTATGCCCGCATCCCTCCTGGCCATCTGTAACGTCGTCAGGTAATTGCCGGAAGGCGTGCGGACGTCGCCGGGCAGACCGACTCGACGTCCAACACCCCTGTGGTCACCCCGGTGGTGGCACCAACTGTCATTGATGGCCCTGCTGGAAGCCCTCCGGAGGTCATTGAGCACTCGGACTCGGCGTCCAATACCCCCGCGGTCACCCCGGACTTGGCGCCAACTGTCATCGATACAGATGACATTCTCATTCCCGGACCGGTGAGTACTTTGAAAATTGACTGGGCGTCCTTCAACTAACTGAACAAACAGAACAACCCATGCTGGGCTTGCAACAATGCAGAGTTGCCCTGCACGACCCGGTTCAACAACAGAACTGGGAAAGGCCTTCTCTCCTGTGTTTTCTGCAACACAAAGAAGGTAAAGTGTTTTTCCGTCACCCTCGGAAGTCCACCGAAACGGTCGTGGGGTAAGTCGACCACCCGGAAGGCCAGGTCCCGGACACCTTCCAAAGCTCCGTCCACCTCCCAACCAAAGGCCCGGACCCGCAGCCAATCTCGTGGTGTAGCCGGAGCTGTCAAGGCACCCGCCCCACCACCTACACCCTCACCTGCACCAGCTCGTAAGTCTTTCGAATTTCTCATCATCATCTTATCTTATTCCTTTGTAGCAATTGCGTCTTCGAGTGCCCGCGTGCCTCGTGCGGCTCTCGACGTCCCTATGCCGGACCTCCATTCCATGGCAAGAAGTATTCGCGATAGTGCCGAACGCATCAAGGCTCTTGAGGATCTTGTTGCCGAGCAGGGCAGCCATATTGATACCCTCAGCAGGCTCCATGAGAGCCTTCGACGCCAAACCATGGAACCCCATCCCTCATTTCCCCTTCCCACCACTCCGGCAATTGCAACGTCTTTGTTGCTTGATCAATCCATCGCTGGAACAACGTCACCCTCCCAATCCGCACTCCCTCCTCTCATTGATATTTCAATTGCAGTGGAGCCCACACCCTCGAAAATTGAGGATCGCTCTGCCATCGAGGGTCTTTCATTTGAGCTGAGCCAAGTTCAACCAGCCCCGGACCTATCACCTACTCCCTCAACTGCCGGAGCAATTTTGGTGCCGGATGATCCACGCAACCTTGTCCCGGAATACGATTCTGGTGATGAGATGGATGTTGAGGTGAAGGTTGAAGTTGAAGGTGGTGATGAGGGTCATCTGGTCAAGGTTGAAGGTGAAGGTGATGATGAGGGTCATCTGGGCGAGGTTGAAATGTCTACATAATTTGGTAGTTAGATTTCTGTAAATGTTGTTGAAATGCATTGTACCTCTGCTATACTCAAAGAATGAAATCGAGTTCCGGGTAACTAATACTGACGTCCAGGTAACTCACACCGACATCCAGGTAACTGATATCGACATCCGGGTAACATCCATCGACATCCGGGCAACTGGTATCGAGTTCTGGGCATCGAGCACCAAGTTCCGGGCAGCTAATACCGACATCCGGGTAACTGATATGGAGTTCCGGGGATGTCTTAAATTGGACAAATGACTGAGTACCGAGTTCCAGGCATCGAGTTCCGAGTTCCGGGCATCGAGCACTGAAACACGAAACTAAAATCCAAGTGTGAAGTACCGAGTTCCGAGTTCCGGGCATCGAGTTCCAAGGTCCGGGCATCGAGTTCCAAGTACCGAGTTCCGAGGTCCGGGCATCGAGTTCCGAGTTCCGGGCACCAAGTTGTATTTCGGTGCTCGATGCCCGGAACTCGGTGCCTGGACCTCGGAACTCGGTACTCGGAACTCAATGCCTGGACCTCGGAACTCGATGCCCGGAACTCGGAACTCGGTACTTCACACTTGGATTTTAGTTTCGTGTTTCAGTGCTCAATGCCTGGAACTCGGAACTCGATGCCTGGACCTCGGAACTTGATGCCCGGACCTTGGAACTCGGTACTCGGTCATTTGTCCAATTTAAGACATCCCTGGAACTCCATATCAGTTACCCGGATGTCAATATCAGTTACCTAGACGTCGATGGATGTTACCCAGACATTGGTGTCAGTTACCCGGACATCAGGATTAGTTACCCAGAACTTGGTACTCGGTATTAGGTACTTGGTGATTTGTCTAATTTATGAAATGTTGTATTCAGGCTTTTGTGTTTCTCGTTTCGGTGGTTGATGATAGGTGTATGCACTCATACAGTGGGTATGTACTGGTGCCTACATCAGCACACTGATTAGTATGTTATCCAACTATCTCAGCCCACTGATGTTTATAACACTCATTCTTCTGGGCCCACCCATCTATATGATATCAACCATCTCGGCCCACCCGTCTATATAATATACTACTACCTTGGCCCATACATCTATATAATATACTACCACCTCGGCCCATACGTCTATATGATACGTATCTGGGCCCACCCGTATATGTGATATCCAACTACCTTGGCCCACCCATCTATATAATATCTAATAAATCGCTCTCTTGGCCCACCCGTTTATATGATAACAATTACCTCAGCCCACCTGTCTACATGATATACCCCTAAGTCGGCCCACCCGTCTACACAATATACTACTACCTCGGCCCACCTGTCTATGTAATATACCCTATGCTGGCCCACCCGTCTATATAATATACTACTACCTCGGCCCACCCGTCTATATCATATATAATAAACTGCTCCTCCGGCCCACCCATCTATATAATATACTACTACCTCGGCCCACCAGTCTATGTAATATACCCTACGTCGGCCCACCCGTCTATATCATATATAATAAACTGCTCCTCCGGCCCACCCGTTTATATAATAATACGACTACATCGGCCCACCCGTCTATATAATATACATCTCTCTTCAGCCCACCTGTCTATAATATACATGTCCATCCTACTCTACATATTACCTAGATGGACCCACCCGTATTCATTGGTAATAATATCCCTCCCGGCCCATCCGTTAACATCGAGGATATCTTCATCATCAGCCCATGGTCCGCTGGCCCGTGTTATACGGGATATTATGCACATCAGTTGCCTCGTATAATACGGAGTTTGCCACTGAAGGGGCTCGATGGCAAGCCATGTCCGGTAGTCACGGATAGGTGGGATTTGTTTGATGAAGATGAACAAGAAGACCACTTTGAACCTGAAGATCTACCTTCTGTATCGGGACCCGAGTTCCAGCCCAAGGAAAATACAATGGTCATCGTTGACAAGTCAGGAGTCCATCGCCTCAAGGTTCAATGCTGTGATTGTCCCGATGCCATGAGTCCAGACATTCAAATGTTTCAACATGGCTTTTTCCCTGCATCATTTAACAAGCCGAAGACCGTGTTCACCTTCAGAGTGCTAGATGATTTTCTGTTGGACAACCTTGAATGCGGCACCTCAGCGATGAACTATTACAGCAAGCTTCGGCGAATGACCTCGAGCGTGTTTCCACACCTTGTTCCGGTAATACCATATCTACATCATCTGAAGCACATCTTATTGACAAAGCACGTTGCAAGGACCAATACAGAGAGCTTATGAGAGTCGCTCGACAGTGGAGGCAGTTAAAGTCTATGAAATGGCATGGCTTCGGGCATAGTTCTGACAACCCGAATGCCAGAGATTTCGCATTATTCTGCCTGGCATGTCCTCAGCCCGGGATTAACATATCCTTGTCAGGGGGTGGGTTGCTTGATGAGTGAGTCTCTTTTGTTACCGAATCTACGTTGGCGATATTAAAAACTCCAAGCTGGAAATACACCCAGTCATTTGTGATGGACGGAAATTTCAAAGCCGAACACCTGCATCCCATCAAGCCATATGATGAAGTATGGCTCTTTGATGGGTTGGGGTTTATGGTGGGAAAGGAAATGTATCAAAAGCATCTTGAAGAGGCTGCTGACACTGTGGAAAAATCGAGCTGCAACAATCATCGGGCTGTCAATCAAGCAAATGCAGCTTGGCACAAGCTGGAGTCCACTGGCATCGGGGGAGTAGCCTGTGGCCGACACGGTTGCTTTGTCCCTCACTCGATGGTAGATTTCCAGAAAGGCGAAAGGCAAGCTGGACATGCCGTTCAACATTCCCGAGTTGACCGTGCATCGTTTTCAGACAAATGAACATGGACTACGCACTTTGTGAGGCTGCCCAGCACAACATGGATGGGATTACAAGGGCTGTCACCTTCTATGACATCAACTGTCAATACAACAAGCACTTGCATGTTCGGGTGGATCGAGGCCGATTTCTGACAATGGTTCCGGAATTGACCGTCATTCCCGGAATTGGGCTGTGGCACATGCATGGACATCAGGATAGCTGCTATGTCAGATATGCGTCGAATTTCATTGAAGGCATTGGTTGCATTGATGGAGAGATCATGGAGCTCCTATGGGCACGTCTCAACCTGATTTCTCCTGCTGCTCAGGGAATGTCTTCCCTGCATCGGAAGGAATGTCTTGATTTCCAGATGAACGATTCCAACTTTTGCAAGATGATCCGCATGAAGAGGACCCTTTGCCGGAAATACAAGCAGGCGAAGACTGGCATCGCCGAAAGTGGAAAGGCTTTCGACAGACTCGACGAAGCCGCACCGGCCAACTTAAAGACAGACTGGTTAGCAAGTGAGAGGATCACTCAGTCCAACAGAATACAAGATCCAGCTGCAATGGATATATATGAGATTAATATCAAGAAGGGTGAGATCACTCTGTCTCGATCAAAGTCTGAATTCATTTTGAACCCAGCACTGAGCAAAAAGGAGATAGAGCTTAGACTGCTGCAGGAGGGTAATGCCCGTCATGCAGCACCCTCTCGCAGATCTGTGGCAACATGGATATCAATGGGCCTGGCAATTGAAGAGGCTTAAATTGCATTGCACATCGAGGTTCGAAGAATAGGAAAAAGAACTACTGAGACTCAGAGATTAGACATCGCCCAGCAATGCGATCGTCTACAAGGCCAGATAGATGCATTCACTCGGACTGCTCTGATGCAGATGATGACCCTGACGATTTGAATATAGACATTCTCGATGATCTCAATGATGACCTGGAGGATTTCATTGGGAAGTCCGATACATGGACAAACTCCCCCAAGCTCACTGTCATCCCATTGCCATCAAACCTCGGGGTAGATCGATCCAAACATTGTATGGCAGAGGATCTGATTCCGCTGGAGTCGTCACTTCGTGAAGGACAGGCCAATGATGCCCTTCACAACCTCTGAATTCACTTGTGCAACAAGGCAATACTCTTCCAAACAACAGTCAGGCAAGCCAAATCTCAAGCATTGAAAACCCGAGCTTGGTCCCAGGTGACATCAGTGCAGCAGGTGGTGTCCCTCCATGCCAGCATATATACCAAGACAAGGAAGCAAATGATGAAACTTGAGCCGGGCCAAGACCAGGTGGAAAAATATAAACCCCTCCTTCAGGAGCAGCACAAAGTCAGCATGGCCATCGGCGATCCTAATGCCCGAGGTCAGCGAAATGAGTCTCTCACTTGGTTCTGGTCTATCGAAGTAGATTTGGGGGGTCCGGATCACTCGTGGAATGAGGAATGTGAGTTCTGGCTTGCTTGACAAATGCCTGCAATCTGACCGGACCCACATGAAGTTTACCAAGTTCATTGGCTTCGGGCAAAGGCACCATGGGATCGATGGAAGGAAGAACTGATATTGGTGGAATTGGAGATGGATTGGATGTGTAATTTCTTCTTGTGGAAATCACCGCAATGGGGCGACCAGATGAGGGAATCATTGGTGAAACGCCTTCCGGGTCATGCTTGCTACTCCAGAAGGCAATCCCAAATGTATTCATTACTGGCGCAGGATGCTCAGGCAGCGTTTCAAGACCTGCAGAGCATGTTAATAGATGCCCGAGATGAATGAATTATGAATATGTTCTGCTGATATATGATTCGATCCCAACAATTGAGTCTCGGCAAGGGGCCGGGTCAGCCCATGTCGGAGTTTGAATTATTTTATCAATCCATCAGTGGATCCCATCTGAAAAAACCTTCATTATCATTGCTAGCGTCCTACTCCTGCATTGCCCATGTCTGATTTAAATTCACCTCCTGAATCCACTTTTGCACCTCCTGCATCTACTTCTGCCACTGAGGATTCCGGCACTGAATATAAACCCCCCACAATGAGTCTTGCAGATATTGCAGTTACATTGGCAATGGCTGCATCGCGCGTTCAAGCCTGTATCAGTCAATATCAGACAGAGGCTGCTGAGAACGATGTTCCTTCGGCTTGGATAATCTACTTTAAAGCCGGAATCCAATGGGAGATCACTGTAAGCCATCAGACAGATGACTGTGGTGGGGAATATGCTGAGATTGCCAACAGACTTTTGTGACACTGATTCTGCAGTACTCAGCTGCAAGGAACATAATTTTGGTTATGCCACCCCCGATCGCTCATATTCTTCACTTGTTTCCTCAGCTCACATGGAACGCGGTTCCAGACCACATCTTTTCATCCCACTTATCCGAGTTTCGTCTGGTCCGGGATCATGGAGAACCCTCCCGGATTGTATCCTCCTATGATACTCCATGGTGGATGGGGGACACTACAATCCCTAACAAACCATGGCAATGGGATCAGGTAATAGATTCCTGTCACTTTCACTACCAGCATTGGCTAGTAAGCATTATACCCAACTTCCTTGATAGATCACTAATCCGATCTAGAGCGGCATTGAGGACAATGGTTTCATCCTTCCAGAGCAGCTGGACGGCACCCCGGCTCCATCACTGGTGGGACTGAAGTGGATTAGGGAATGCCTGGTGTCGTTGATTCAGGACCATCAGGAGGGCATCCATGATAAGATGGTGGAGATTGATATGTACACTGACACCCTAGCCCGGTTGAAGAGAGCCAGAGGGGATGATCCCTATTAAATGTTAGTGTATCAAATGTTCATGCCCTTTAGACATATGTTGTACAGATCTTTGACTCAATGTCGAGTTCCGGGTATCATGTTCCGGGTACCGAGCATTGAGCACCAAGGTTAGGAACTAACATAACTAAGGTCCAGGTGTCGAGTACCAAACACTGAACACCAAATACCGAATACCGAATGATGAGTATCGACGTCCGGGTATCAAGTTCCATGTATCAAGTTCCGGGTACCGAGCATCGACCATTGAGTTCCAGGTATCGACCATTGAGGTCCGGGCATTGAGGTCCGGGTGTCGAGTACCGACCACCGAACAGTACTGAGTGCCGAGTACCGAAACCCAGCATACACATTTTGTAAATTGGACAAATCACTGTACTGAGTACCAAGTACCGAGTACCGAGCTCCGGGTTCCGGGTTCTGGGTGTTGAGTACCAACTTCCAGGTGTGCGATCCAGGTGCCGAATGCCAAGTGCTGGGCATTGACTACCGAGCTCCAAGTTCCGGGCCTCGAGTACCGAGTGCCGAGTACCAAAACCCAGCATACACATTTTGTAAATTGGACAAATCACCGTACTGAGTACCAAGTACCAAGCTCTGGGTTCTGGGTTCTGGGCGTTGAGTACTGAACACCATATACCAATTACCGACTTCCAGGTGTGCGATCTGGGTGCTGAATGCCGAGTGCTGGGCATTGACTACTGAGCTCCGAGTTCTGGGCCTCGAGTACTGAGTGCCGAGTACTGAAACCTGGAATACACATTTTGTAAATTGGACAAATCACTGTACTGAGTACCGAGTACCGAGCTCCGGGTGCCGATGTCTGGGTGTTGAGTACCAAACACCATATACCGATTACCAGCTTCCAGGTGTTTAGTGCCGAATGCCGAGTTCCAGGAGTGGAGTACCAAGGTCTGGGTATCAAATGTCGAACATTTGCCTGTTTGATGCTTGATTATTGGCACTCGAACATTGGTAATTGGTATTTGACAGTAGGTACTATCACATGGGTACTAAGCTATGTGCCTGTTCTATCCTTGCCAGGATGGAGTATGTATGCAATCCATCCTAGCCCATCCACATGAGGGAATCCTGGCATAAATATGAACAGAATCCCTCATGTACCATGCCCAAGCAATTCTATCCCCTTCCACTTCATGAACCCCATGTCTTACGATCCTTCCTGAAAATGTGATCATACAGCCAGGCTCATACATGAACTCCAGCTGAAGACTTGGCATACTCATGCGAGCATTCAAATAATTACCCACAGTGGTGAGAATATTGAAGCATTCAGGAATGGATATGTGGTCTTGATGATTGGGGGTTTGCCGATTGGAAATGACGGTGAGGGTGTTAAACACGGATGCCCAGTACTGGAGGGTCTCTGACATCCTCAGAAGATTCTTGCTTTTGGCTGATTGTCCGAGGCTTAAAAAGGCTCATATCCCAGCCCAGTACTGCTCAGGATGCATCACCCTGAGTGCAGCTGATGCGATGGCTGCCGGCCTGGCAATGGCTTTGAGAATATTCTCGGAGAATGGTCCCTTCAATGAGGCAGATATCGCCGGGTCCGACAGATTCTACCAGATTGGTCAGTGTAACTATTGGAAACCACCATCTCATGAGATCCCACCTCATGCCCCTGTTGAAACCAAGCCAGAGATAGATTGATGCATCTGGGAGATATGCCATCATTTTCCAAGCTTGGTTTGAACCAATCCTGATTAGTTCGCCAACTCCCATCAACCTTTACACTTTTTGCAAGGCTCAGACTGAGCAAATCAGAGGCTGCCAGAATTTCCTTCTGGAGTTCCCATTTCATATTCCATATCCATCGAGTAACAAAATATATTACCCACCTGGGTGGTTTCCATCAGGGCATCCAGGAGGTACCACGCAATGATGGCGCTGGTAGCATTGAGAACTGTGGCGGGTATGTCGACCAACTTTGTACCTTCATGGCCAGGAGGACACCTCTCAAGCAACCTCGCCTCTCTTTCTTCATTATGTCCAGTGTCCTTCGGGGAGATCATTTTGCTGTATCTCGCAATATCAATCTGCATCCGAACTGTGAAGCAATTTGAATGATCAAATGGACTGTCCGAATCTGCAGGAAGACCCACTGGGTGTTACGCGAAACCTCTCAGATGAGATCCAGCGGCGCTAAACCCGCAAGGGGCGTTCGAAGCATAGCCTTCAGCGCTAGCCCAGCAAGGAGCTTGCCTGCGCTAAGTCTGAGTAAGGGTTGAGGCCCTTACTTGTGTAGAGTCGAGTGGAGTTTCTCAAGGATACAATCCAAGAGACGGAGTTCAACTCAAGAGTATCGTCTCAAGAGGGGATGGTTCTGTGTACAGAGGGAGTTCTCTTAGACAAGAGAAGTTCAGACCCAACGACAAGATCAGATGAGAACCGAGTAGATTCAAGTTAGAGAATCTATCTACTGAGAAGTGAGATATATATATGTACGTAAAGGGGAATACCGGTGGAACAGTAAGGGTACAGGGTAACAGGAGTATTACCGAAGTACTGGTAAGGGCAGAGGGTTGTGTGAGTCATAAGTATAAATAGGTAAGAAGTACCGGTTGAGTGGTAAGGGCAAAGGTCATGGGGAATCCCCATCAATGAGAGAACCGAAACAGTGGGAAGGTCATAGGGTTCAGGAGAAGCTGTGGCTTCTGTGATCGGTCTAGACAAGTCCGAAGAATGAAATGATGTGTAACGCTCATGTTACTGTAACACTGGGATTGTTATATGCCTTTATGAGGCAATCCACCAATTGATTGCAAGCCATCACCAGATCAGTGTCTAGCTTAGGAGAAGGTATGACTGGGTCTCCTCCTGTTTTCTCGGCAATGAATTTCTGTTCGGTATATTCACATGCCTCATGAGTGACGGTCAAGGCCCAAGTGCGCCAGAAGGTTATTTCAATATTGGAGGTGGAAGACACATTCATGATGGTGTTGATCTTGGGAAATCAGATGGTCAATGCTGGATGTCCACAGACTTTAAAGGTGGTGGAGATAGGGTGGATCAGATAGGGAACCTTGATTTTAGCTTTCAAAGATGGATTATCATTTTATTGCTATACTAATATGTCAATGAAATACCAGATAATGGGAAGGGTGCCAGATATCAAATATTTGAGTGTCGGGACCCGGGACCCGGAACTCCCGGATCCCGGAACTTGGTACATGATGCTTGGTTCATTCAAATGTTGGTAGTTGGAACTTAGCTTTCAAAGATGGATTATCATTCATTGCAATGTTAGTATGTCAATGAAATACCAGATCATTGGAAGGGTGCTAGATATCAAATATTCGAGTGTTGAGACCTGGGTCCTGGAACTCGGTACATGATGCTCGGTTCATTAAAATTTCGGTAGTCGGAGCTTGGCACTTGGCACTCGATAGTCCCACCTGTCTATATCATATAATAACCTCGGCCCACCTGTCAACATCATATACATCTGGGCCCACCCATGTATATCATACAACACCCTCAGCTCGGCCCACCTGTCAATATGATGTGTCTGGGCCCACCCATGTATATGATAACAATTACCCTTGGCCCTACCTGTCTAAGTGATATCCATCTACCTTGGTATATGCATCTACATAATATCCAATGACCTCGGCCCATCCATCTATATAATACTCATGTGCATTGGCCCACTCATCTACCTTACTTATTCCTGACATGGGCCCACCCACCTCCACCGGGAATAATATCACTCCCAGCCCATCCATCATCTTCGAGGATATTCATAACATCGGCCCACCAGTCTATATAATATTCATCTACCTCAGCCCACTGGTCTATATGATATATGACTACCTCGGCCCACTCTTCTACTTTATTCTACTCTAGATATTACCTAGATGGGCCCACTCATCTCTATCGAGAATAATATGCCTCTTGGCCCACCCATCTTTAATGAGGATATTATGACTTTGGCCCATGGTCCGCTGACCCATCTAAGACGGTGTATTATGTCCCTTGGCTGGCCCGTCTAAGACGGAGTTTGGTCACTGTAGTATGTGCGTTACTGCCCACTGGATCGCTAAGGCCGACCGGAGTTCAATGCTCATTTTGAGGGCTGCGCTAATAGGCTTCCATCATGTTCCAGGCAGTCACACAGGTGAATTGCTGGCAGGAGTCATCTTGCATCTTCTTGATTGCGCCACTGTGACTAAAAAGGTCAGTGTTTAATTGTACCGTGTAACACACTCTGACTTTGTTTAGACTGGTCATTTTACCTTGGACAACGCTGCAAACAATCAGGTTTGCATGCGAGAGCTTTCGCAAAAACTGGAGTGCTGTGGTATTGATTTTGACCCCATCAACCGCAGAATCCCATGCTTCCCACATATCATCAATATATGTGTGAAGCATATTATTGAGGATTACCACAAGGCTGACTTTTTACTTGTGGACAAACATTGGGTAATTGGTGATTGCACTATCATCAAGGCAGAGTATCTTGAAGTGGTGACTGGGAAAGCTCTCAGCAGAGCTAGGGACCTTGTGCGCACGGTTCACGCATCAAACCAGTGACGTAATTCTTTCAGGGACGCGATCATCACAGGTAACGAGAAGGAGTGGTTCCAAGATGATGTGGGCGAGAAACTACACCTCCCTGTTGTCGAACTCCTGCTTGATGAGGTAACCCGTTGGGATTCAGTCTACATCATGCTCAACCGTTTATGAACCCTTCGCCAGGTAAGGCATCACACATGAAACATTTGTCATGAACTAATATTCACCCAGGCAATAGATTTATTCTTTGACTCTCCCACTCAATGCTCCATCAGCAAGTTCAAGTTGAGTCTGATGGAGTGGCAGTTCCTACAGGATGTCAAAGTAATCCTAGAGGTTAGTTTTAGTATCTTCGAAACTCATGGTCCATCTTATCATTCTATACTAGGTGCCCCACGCTGCCCAACAATGCATGTCAGGCGAATGCACTCCCATGCTAAGTGGTACATATCCGGCATTCAAATCATTGATCGAGCGGTGGATTTTATTGGCCGAACATGTCCCACACTGTGACCCTCTTGTTCAGATAGGTTTGACTTGGGCAGATAAGTATGACGACAGGCTGGGCGCCACAAATGCCTATGCAGTCACTATGCACGAGTCCAGTATATTTTTTAAATATTTGGTTGCTCACGATTGCATTTATAGTTGTTGATCCTGCGGTCCGAATGTCATGGGTTCAGAGTCGTTGGGCGAAACAACTGGTTAAAGATGTAGAGAAACATATAATCAATCTGGTACGTCTGTCAAACCAATAACAATGCAACTTTGAACTAATATTAGCACACGCAGATGCATCAAAAACGAACCACGAACAGCTCAGCATCTGTCGAGTCTCCAGCTAATGAAGTAAGACCTCGGCAACAACCACGCACGCTAGGCTCCTGCCTTTATGGACTTCTTGATATTGGTGTCCTGCCATGTCACAACAGCGGTGCCCAAACAGTCGAGCAAGAATTCGAGGCCTACACCATGGCTAATCTCAGTGCCAAGGGAACAGATATACTTGGGTTCTGGATGGTAAGTGTCCCATATCTCTACAATTAAAATCTTTATTGACCATGAGGTGTTCACCAGGTCTCGGAGACCTTATTTCCGACACTTTATGGTATTGTGATGGACTACCTCCCTATACAGGCCTCTGCTGTTCCATGTGAGCGAGTATTTTCGTCCGGTAGTGAGACCAACATGAAGAAATGTAATCGCATGAGCCTGGTCCTGATGGAGGCCCTGCAGGTGGTAAAGTTTCTCGTGAAAAAAGAACGACTTAACTTTATGAAAGGTTGGGCAGCATCGCAAAAGGCTATGGAGTATGAGGTGTTGGGTGAGGGAGAGGAGACTAACAATCTTTTGACATTTTCCAGCAGTGGAATGACAGGTGATGTATGTGACACTCTTCTCAGAGCTATTGCAGAGGAGGAGTGTGATGACATTGATGATGTTCCTACTACCTACGACTTGTGATGTTTGCTTTTACTCTTCATTTCTTCTTTGCGCTACTTTTACTTCTTCTGGTTGCCTGGCATCTTGCAATGCCTCTCATGTTGTATTATGATTTCAATTTTCAACTATTCTCTCTTTGCTTGCTTGACTGTCTTTCTTTCACCTCTTTCATTTTCTGAGTGTCACCTCCCTCTGATGATCTATGACATCATGAAGGTGAAGGTATCTACCATGCATCTTCTGCGCTATAATCCTCTCAGTACCAGGTGCGCCTTTTTTTCTCCCATCTTTATGATCACTAAACCATTGCTATCAGAGTAGAATGGCTGATACGAGTGTAAGCCCCTCACCACTGGGAGAGTCAATGCGTGTTGCTCACCATACTCAGCCTGATCTATGACGGCATTGGATATTTCATCATGTTGTCTGGCAAGTACGTTCTGCTTGTGATGAGCACCCTCCTAATGTTCCCTCAGCAGTGAACGTATTGAACCTCATCCTTTATCATACAACTGTTAGTTGGCAGGGTAAGTTTTGCGTTGTCTGGCATCAATAAGGCCACTGAAAATGCATCATCAGGGTCTCAATAGGTTATGCTGTAATGTGGATTATGAGCCAATGGATCCTCATCAATATACGAGGTGCGCACAACCCCAGTGCTTGACTTCTATTCTGCTAACGCTCGCACTATACATTCGTTCCATTGCTTCCGCTCCACTCACCCCTTTCATGGGCTGGGTACTTGAACGGCCAGCACCTCCTGTTCTATCTGACAAGTGTCATAGCGCTGTTCCTCCTCTGTCTCTGGAACACCAGTAAGACCCTCTGTTCAAGTCCCAAATAATGGCACTCCCATCCTCGCTGCCACTAACAATAACAGACCATGTACACGATGTTGCAATACATGCCACACATTGACTATGTCCTCTGAGGAGGTGCGTCATCGACAGTGTTGAAGATCCATGCTTGCAATACCGTCCTGAAGCTCCAACAAACCCCGAAGGCGCCGCTTGACCTTGGTTGACGCACCAAACATGCACAATATTATCACCAGATCTGATATGCACTAACACTGATCAACATAGATTCAGCTATCACTGCAGCTCTCCAGCAACCAATCGAGAAGAATGGCAACAATGACCATTTGAGGCCACTGCTACAACTGACTCTGCAAACCTTCAATCACGCTAAGTATCACGATAACACAACATTTGTGATTTACGCTAAGTTCCTTGGAAGGCGCTAATCCAGCGCCCTACTCCCACACCCTGCGACCCAATACTTTCAACAACCAGTGTCGCAACTTCAATCTCTGCGGCACCTGAACAACTCTTTTGACTTCTTCTTTGTCAGAAATTTCCCACCTCCATTGTAATGGCAGGTCATTGAGATATATATAACATTAAAATTGTAATGGTACCTCATTCCACGTGATATTATTACAAGATATTGTAATGCTTTGCACAAGTTCTGTCAATACACAAGCGACAACAAATGTCGGTGATAGAGACTATTATAATGTAATTGAATCAGATAAGACCAATATAGATTTCAGATTCTGCTGTTATTGTTTTTGATGTGTGATTCATCAAACCATTGGGTGTTACAGTAACATGAGTGTTATGCGTCATTTCATTCTTTGGACTCGTCTGGACCTAGACCATGGTTATGATTCTATTTCTATCTCTTTCTTCCTGTTGTTCTGAAATGCAAGAAGCTCTCGCTTCTTCCCCTAGATCACAGAAGACACGGCTTCTCCCGCACCCTATACCCTATCCACTGTTTCGGTTCTCTCATTGATGGGGATTCCCCATGCCCTTTGCCCTTACCGCTCAACCAGTACGTCTTACCTCTTTTTACTTATGACTCACACAACCCTTGACCCTTACCACTGACTCGGTATTGCCTCCGCTTACCCTGTACCCTTACCGTTCCACCGGTATATCACCCTTACGTATATATATATCTCACTTGTACTGTAGATAGATTCTCTAACTTGAATCTACTCGGTTCTCATCTGATCTTGTCGTTGGGTCTGAACTTCTCTTGCCTAAGAGAACTCCCTCTGTACACAGAACCATCTTCTCTTGAGACGATACTCTTGAGTTGAACTCCGTCTCTTGGATCATATCCTTGAGAAACTCCAAACGACTCTACACAAGTAAGGGTCTCAACCCTTACTCAGACTTAGTGCAGGCAAGCTCCTTGCTGGGCTAGCGCCGAAGGCCACACTTTGAACGCCCCTTGCGGGTTTAGCGCCGCCGGATCTCATCCGAGAGGTTTCGCGTAACATCGGGACCAACATGGCAGAGGTGACCTGTGACCTCTGTAGTAAATCATTCAAGCCGCGTGGTTCCAGGGCACATCGCACCACCTGCACAAAATGTGTGAGGGATTTTGAGGAGGACCAGCATCACATTGTGAACACTTATTACCAACCTTCAGGTGCACTTCTGATTTTTTCTCGAGATGCCAAACATTACCATGACAGTACACTCAACCGCAGTTAATGTCCCATTCGATGCACATCGTGCAGCTGAGCAAGCCGACAATCTGAATCAACAGGTGGAGAGTTGGAATGCATGCATCGCCAATGAGCCTGTTGTGGATGATTCAAATAACCAGTGGATGGATGTTGAGGATGAAGGTGAGTGAATAAATCTTTGCCTTTGATGTTATAACTAGCAGCCGTTTTATAGATATTCATTGTGTGCCTTCACCATATGAACCGTCTGTAGATGGTTCAGAGCATCAAGCAACTCGGCATAATGTTGATGATATTCAGACTGAATATCACCCCAACTCTGGAATCCCAGCGCAAACACGAACATTCTTGACGTTTCAGCGCAACAATTTGGAAGACCCACCAATTCCCGATACACAACCTTGGGTGCCATTTCGATCTCACCTGGACTTCGAGGTAGCTGAACTTGCTCATGAAGCTGCCCTTAGCCAGCCTCAAATTGACCGGCTGATCAACCTTTTGCATCGCTCGAAGCAGGATTCAGAGTCTTTCACCCTCCGCAACTACAAAGATGTTCAGAACACGTGGAGTGCTATCTCCCATCGTCTAACTCCAGTAAGGTCCTCTTGGTGTTTTGATTTAATTCATTTAACAAGCGTGTTTTGATAGTTTACAAAGCAAACAATCCAAGTGCCTTACAATGGGGTTGATCAAGAATTCACCCTTTACTACTGGGACTTATGGGACTGGGCATGCGACCTCCTTCGAGACCCTTATATTGGCCCCCAATTTACCTTTGACGCTCACTGCCTGTTGAAGTTTGATGGGAATACATTTGTGAGATTTATCGATGAGCCTTGGACTGCAGATAGGTTTTGGGAGGCTCAGGTGAGTGTCGAGTAGCACAACATTAGTTTCAGCAACTCACTCAAGTTTAATACATCCAGTCATCTATGCCCAGCCATGCAAAGCCACTTGCATTTATCCTCTATGCAGATAAGGCAAAGTTGTCTTCCTTTGGTCGCGAAAAAGGCTACCCTGTGATTGCCCGTATCGCAAACCTCCCAGCATCCATCCGAAATGGCGAAGGGGTTGGTGGCGGTCGAGTTGTCGCATGGCTCCCCATTGTATCGTGACTCCATCCTGCTTGACTATTGTTTAACTAACACTGATTTTTCAAGATCAAAGATGATCCCTCGAAGTCGGGAAACCTGAAATTTGCGGATTTCAAAGTGGCGGTTTGGCAGGAGTCCTTCAAGCTCATACTCAAGTGTCTTAGATCGAAGAGGAAGCATGGTGGATGAGTTGAGTGTTGGGATAAACTTCAACGCCTTTTCTTTCCTTTTGTCCTGATCTTGTCTGCAGACTATGAGGAACAGTGCGTATAGTCCAGAGCATTATCTATCGTGCTTCTAAGGTGTATTATGTGCAGATGTGTTATGTCCCTGATCCGTGGAGTCATGGGAAAATTTCCATGTCCCATTTGCTTGGTTCCCCAGGATGAGTTACATAGTCTGTTGGACACCTGGCCACTTCGCACATGTCGCGATTCTGTTCGCCTGCTCAGGAAGGCAAGAAGGAAGACCACTAAGGCAAAGCGAGAGAAGAAGTTGAAGTCTCAGTCGCTGAGAGATGTCGAAGTAAGTATTTGAATCTTATTATATTGCTGGAATCAAGTTCACAGTGTAACTCAACAGAACTCTCTCAATCTATCAAAGCTTCTGGACGTCTTTCGTGCCCTTTGTTTTGACTGCCTACATACCCACCATGAAGGACTGTGGGGGAAACACTTGTGGATCGAGCTGCAACTATGATAGATGAAGGGTCTGTTTTTCGTTTCATCACAGACATCTGAATCCATTATAAGTGTTTCTCAGGTTCGCAGCAGTGCCAAGGTGGCGGAATCTCAACCACTTCAAGGAAGTCATGGGAATTAGCTTCACTGACAGGACAAAGTGTTACAGTAACATGAGCATTACGCGTCATTTCATTCTTCGGACTCATCTAGACCTGGACCATGGTTACGACTATTCTATTTTCATCTCTTCTTTTGATTCCGTTGTTCTGAAATGTGAGAAGCTCTCGCTTCTACCCCTAGATCACAGAAGCCATGGCTTCTCCCGAACCCCATGCCCTTCCCACTGTTTCGGTTCTCTCATTGATGGGGATTCCCCATGCCCTTTGCCCTTACCTGCTCAACCGGTACTTCTTACCTATTTATACTTATGACTCACACAACCCTCTGCCCTTACCAGTACTTCGGTAATACTCCTGTTACCCTGTACCCTTACTGTTCCACCGGTATTCCCCTTTACGTACATATATATATCTCACTTCTCAGTAGATAGATTCTCTAACTTGAATCTACTCAGTTCTCATCTGATCTTGTCGTTGGGTCTGAACTTCTCTTGCCTAAGAGAACTCCCTCTGTACAAAGAACCACCTTCTCTTGAGACGATACTCTTGAGTTGAATTCTGTCTCTTGGATCGTATCCTCGAGAAACTTCAAACGACTCTACACAAGTAAGGGTCTCAACCCTTACTCAGACTTAGTGCAGGCAAGCTCCTTGCTGGGCTAGCATTGAAGGCCATGCTTCGAACACCCCTTGCGGGTTTAGCGCCGCCGGATCTCATCCGAGAGGTTACGTGTAACACAAAGTACGAAGACATATTAAAGGTGATTGACTCGGACACTCTCAAAATTTCAATTATAATTGATGTTCACCCTTTACATGCAGTTGATCATGTTTGTTGCTCATGATGTACTCAATCCTGAAGTACACGAGCAAGGATATCTCCTCCTTCAATGTATTCGAGCCCATTTAGATGTAGACATGTTCATGGCTCTTAAAGTGCACACCATGGAGACCCTTGCTGCTGGTCAAGCCACTCTTGGCAAGTTTTCTAGACTCATGGATGTAAGTTGTGCTTTATGCTAGTGCTGTCGAGTAGCTGACAGATCATCCATAGAAATATATGTCTAAATCTGGATCTGAACTGAAGAATTGGAATTTTCCAAAGCATCACTTAGCTGTTCACCTTTTTGACGATATCGAGGCCAAAGGCGTTACTCGGAATTTCAACACCAAACCAAACGAGAAAGCACATAGACCCCTGAAAAAATCTTACCAGCTCCGAACAAATTTCAAACAAGTTGCAGACCAGGTCGGGCATCTGCTACCATTTCTGAACTTACATTGATTACCGAGAATACTAGATCTTACGTGCAGACCATTGGAGCCTTGTATCGGCATGGATTCGCTATCACCTCAATGATCTCAATGACTATAACGCAAGAAAGGAAGCGAGTGCTCTTGGTGGTTCAGATTTGGATTCGGACGCAGATGACACAGCCCCGGACGAGAGAGTTACACCTAGATTGGAGTCCACTGGCAGCTTTCATATCAAGCTTGGTTCACGTCAGCATATATCCTTGATAAATGCCATTCAGCAAGCACACCTCGAAGACCCAGCATTTCATCAGTTTCATACCAAAATTAACCGCTTTCTTAACATGATACCCATCATTACATGGAATGGACATGTTGCACTTGAATTGGGTGCTGATACAGTGAGATTTTTGTTCTTCTTGATGAGTCAGCCACAACTTTAATACTTTGATTTGCGCTGTACTGACAGGTGACAGAATTCTGTTACTTGCAAGCAAACTTCGAGTCAATGGTTGATTTTTGGACATCAAAAGACTACCTCCGCTGCTCCCCAATGTTCCACAATGTGCCGAGATATGACTCCGTCATTATCAGGACCCAAGATGGGATCATCTTTGGTCACTTGATCTTCATATTCATGTGCTTGGTTGGAGATGCAAGTTACCCCATGGCTCTCATTGTCACGAATTCCCAATACGAATCATTTTTCTTTCCTCGGTTTTCCTTCGACTATGTCCCATACCCGAACCAATCACGTGACACCACTACCTTTCACATTATCACATCATCACCATGTCACAGTTTCACCTCTTCACATTTCACAAATCACATCTCCGATCGGATCTCCTACACCCAGGGCTAGAACTATATGTCTTCCTATCACTTAATCTCCGTCTCTGACATCATTGCTTATATATCACGACGTCATCCTACGTCATGCGCAGTATCGTACGACTCTTTTCTCATTGGCTGATTATTTACAAACTCAGATATCTCCGACTCAATGTTATGTATATAGGTAGGATAGTTAGCGTAGTTTCTCTTTAGACTTAACCTCTTCGTTCCTACCCAGTGTAGACTCAGACGTTCACTCTCAATATCATCTCTTGCTCTTATCCTTGACGAGTCCTAGTGGTTGTGTTAAGCCTTTGCCACTTGGTGAACGCTGATCATAACATTAGGTTAAGTCTTCTTACCACTCCGACTCGAATTTTGTCCTGGACACCTTGTCCTCGATAAACTTCACCTGTGCTATTCTGCTGAGAGTATTCTCGCGGATTACGTTTCCAACCATCTTTCCCAGACGCGCATTATATCATCTTCTTTTACGATTAGTCTTTTGTAGAAGTAGACCAGGCCCTTGCCCTACGCGAGCCGCCAGTCTATAAGGAGCAGTGACACTTAGGTCCTGTTTCCGCACGCCTGCAGTTAGGTCCAAAACCCTACCGACTGCACGCTACCTACCTTTTCTTTCGTACTATAAAGAACGGCACTCGCGGGTCTTACAACCCTAGTTACATTACCTTAGGAAGTTGTGGGTATTCAGAAGACCCAAACTTCACCGCGTCGCTCCCGAACTCCTTCCGAGTTCTACTTAGGTTGACGAACCGCTACACGCGCTGTATTCGCACCTATAGTCATCATAGCTCCCCCTTGGAGATCTCGTCTCGTCAGAGACCGCGCCCTACAAATCCACGACAACGATACCTGTCGGGAAAACAACTGCCCTTTCCTTCATGTCCGAGCAAGATTGGAGAACAATCCAATCCCCCGCCCCGCACCACGCACCAATTCAAGGATGGCAGACACTAGGAGCAGGGCCGTCGGGATCTGCAGAAAGCTCCACACCGACCCTATCGAGGCCGGGCTCTGTGGTAGCGGAAGGCATCTTAGGCCCTCAAGGGACTACCATCACCCACGAGAACATTTCGAACGCCATATTCACCGTAACCGCAGCAGAAAGAGATCTAAACCAACACCGGTACAACGAGTTGAAAGATCATCTCGCACTCTTAGCCGAGAACCTAAACAGAGTGGAGACAGAGAAGAACGAGTTAGCCCAGAGGCTAGTGGCAGCGGAACAAACGATCATGGCTTTGCAAGCCTTTCGTACGACAACGCCAACAATACAGGCGTCTACCTCTGGAGTTTCGAGCTCTGATCTCAAGATGGCCAAACCTACAGAGTTCACAGGAGACAAGAACTCTATCGACGTTGACACCTTCCTCTCTCAACTCGACCTCTACCTCACCTCCTATCCCACCGCCTCTGAGCTCCAGAAGAGTTCCTGTCTTATTTCTTTCTGCAAGGGCTCTGCAGCGAAATGGGGAGAAAGCGTATCCAGAACGGCCTTAAGTGGACGACTCGGATCTTATGATCAGTTGAAGAACGATATGCAAGCCATGTGGGGCATCGTCAACAAGGAAGAGAAGATTGCTCGCGAGATAGATCATCTCCAGCAAGGAAACCGCAGCATCGCGGAATTCGTCTCTCTCTTCAGACAGAAAATCGCCCACTGCCGTTTTTCAGACTACGAACTCATGCGCAAGTTCCGTCTCGCATTATCCCAACGGATCAGGGATCAGTTGGCCCACGTAAACCCTAGGGACAAGAAGCACCCTAGAAGGAATGATTTCACAGGCTCTTATTATCGGAGCAAACTTTGAGGAACTGGACGATGAGAAAAAGAAGACCTGGCAACCACCACGTCGCCCATGGGTTGAAAGAGGCCCTCTCAAACCAGTTTCTCAAGGAGGAGATGCGATGGACGTAGATGCATCCTAAAACACGAGGTGGACCCCAACCTCAAGGCAAATCGGGAGACACTTTTAAGTGTTATCGTTGTGGAAAACCCGGGCACATGGCTCGAAACTGTACTGGACAAGCGATGGATATCAAAGGCAAGAAACCCGCTATCAAGGCGGTCAAGGAAGAAGAAGAAAAGCCAGTGGCGAAACCAATCACACTGGAAGATATCCAACGCATCGTGAACGAGAGGATTTTCATGACTTCTTCAGATGAGGCATTGAAGAAACAGGGTTTTTAGGAGGGTCGAAGTTGACTGCGAACTTAGACCAGAACAATCGTTTTTCTCTTCTTAGTGACTCGGCAATCATGTTTACGGAAGTATCAGAAGTTTGTTCTGGGAATAAACGAGATCATTTTTACTTGCCAATCACGTTGAAAGGAAAAAACAAGGAAGCAGAATTGGAAGCTCTAGTAGACTGTGGAGCAACGAACTTATTTCTAAGCCAAAAGTTCGTAGACAAAAACAAAGTCAAAACCAAGCAGTTACTGCGAGCACTGCCCGTCCGCAATATTGATGGAACTAAAAACTCCGCCGGACCAATCAAAAGCTACGCAGATTTGACTCTGAGAATAGGGGACCACGAAGAAGAAGTAGCCTTTCTGATCACAGATCTAGGAACCGATGATGTTATCATTGGAGTAGATTGGCTACGATATCATAATCCAAACATAGATTGGAATGCAGGGAAAGATGACGTTGAACCGCTGCCCAGTCAAATGCGAGGACGCCAAGGTCAAAAGAGAAGGACCAAGGCAAAAAGGCAGAAGGATATATTACCTGCCTTATTACCCATGGAAGAAGATGACGATGAGATCACCATGGAAACTTCGATTCCTGCAGCCAAAGTACAGCTTTCAAGTACTCCTAAGAAAGTAGAGATAGAGGAGATTGAAGATGAAGATTCACCCAGAAACGTATGGATCAAGTACAAAAGCTCAGTGGCTTCGGAATTAGCTCAACAGGAGGAAAAGAAGAAGGAAAAGAAGTCCGTAGAAGAGATGGTCCCAGAATGGCTCCATGATTATCTCAAGGTCTTCTCCGAAGAAGAATCTACTAGATTCCCCGAATCTAAGAAATGGGATCATAAAGTAGACTTCAAGGACCCTAACGATCTTCCCCCGAACTCGAAAGCATATCCCCTTTCGCCCGCAGAACATGACGCATGTGAGAAGTGGCTCAAACAAGAATATGAATTAGGACGACTACGAGATTCAGAATCTCCAATAGCAGCTCCTTTCTTTTTTGTTGCCAAAAAAGACGGAAAACTTAGACCCGTCATGGACTATCAGAGGTTAAATGAGAAAACCGTCCGGAATGCATACCCTCTTCCCCGATCGCAAGATCTCATTGATTCTCTTACCGGTGCAAGCCTCTTTTCGAAAATGGACGTTCGATGGGGATACAATAATATTAGAATGCGAAAGGGAGATGAATGGAAGGCAGCCTTCAAAACTCCTTTCGGACACCATGAACCAGTAGTTATGTACTTCGGAATGACGAACTCCCCTGCCACTTTCCAAACTATGATGGACCAGATTTTCCAAGATCTCAAGGAAGGGAAAGGTCGTTGTAGTCTATATCGACGATATCCTGGTTTTCACGAATGGGACTATAGAGGAACACAGGAAGGTGGTACGAGAAGTGTTGAAGAGGCTTCAGGACAATGATCTTTATCTCAAACCCGAGAAGTGTTCTTTCGAGAAGAAAGAAGTAGAGTTTCTCGGATTGATCATTAAAGACGGACATGTTTCGATGGATCCAGTCAAGGTTAAGGGAGTGCAAGAATGGCCCACTCCTACCTGTGTCAAAGATATCCAACGATTCATGGGATTCGCGAACTTTTATCGTCGTTTCATTCTCGGATTCTCGAACATTGCCAAACCCATGAATGACCTCATTACGGAAGAATGTACCATGGAATGGACGGAAAAACAAGAAAAAGCTTTCCAAACCCTTAAAGACAATTTCACATCCGCACCAGTATTAGCAATGCCAGATGCCACAAAAAAGAAAAAAATCGAAACAGATGCATCTGACTATGCTACGGGTGGCGTATTGTCTCAAAAGGAAGACGATGGACTATGGCACCCTGTTGCTTTCTTTAGTAAATCTATGCAAGACGCAGGAGCGAAACTATGATATTCATGACAAAGAACTATTAGCTATTATCCGCGCTTTGGAAGAGTGGAGGCATTATGTACAAGGAGCACCAGAACCGGTAGAGATATGGACGGATCACAAAACCTTGAATACTTCATGACAAGTCAGAAGTTGACTCGCAGACAAGCGAGATGGTCTTTGTTCCTTGCAGAGTATGAATTCACACTGCACCACAAACCGGGGAGGGTCAACGACACTGCCGACGCTCTGTCCAGGAGGCCAGATCACAAAGGGGGGGTAGAAAACGACTAATTCGGATCGCGTGCTTTTGAAACCCGAGTTTTTCCAAATAAAAGCCGCAAAAAGAGGTCAAGTTCTGATACAGGGAGAGCAAACGTTGCTTAAACAAATCAGAAACTGCACAGATCTAGATCCGGAAGTTCGAAATGCTATCGAAACCCTTAAGAAAGGCTCCAGTACAGCTGCGAAAAGGACTAGAAGAGTGGAATACAGAAGATGGACTTATTCTTTTCAGAGGATTGGTTTACGTACCCAATAACAAAGACATTCGCCGCTCAATACTGGAAATCTTTCACGATACACCAGCAGCAGGCCATATGGGACGTGCTAAGACTCTCGAACTCGTTTCCCGTAACTATTGGTGGCCGCAGATGCAGAAATGGGTCAATGACTATGTAGACGGATGCAACAGGTGCAAACAAACGAAGGTGTTACCATCTAAACCCCATGGTCCCTTAAAGCCTAATGAAATTCCCGAGGGTCCGTGGCAAGCAGTTAGCTGTGACCTGATTACCGATCTCCCAAAGTCAGAAGGCAAAGACAGTATCCTCGTAGTAGTCGATCGATTTACCAAACAAGCTCATCTTGCACCAACCACCAAGGACGTTACTTCGAAAGGAATCGCAGACCTATTTCTCAAATACGTATGGAAGTTGCATGGAACACCGAAAAAGGTGATCTCCGATCGTGGAACCCAATTTGTGTCCAAGTTCATGCAGGAAGTCTCAAAAAGACTGGGAATCAAATGGTCCATGTCGACCGCATATCATCCACAAACAGACGGACAGACAGAACGAGTAAACCAAGAAGTGGAACAATACCTTCGGGCATTTACGTC